AATTTTATGCAAGTGATTACTAACACGTATTGTCGAACTATTCAGATACAGAAATACAAAGGATGAGAGACTGCTTGAGTGTTCGCCGCAACAATTGGTGAATCGTCTATATGAAATAGATGGGCGAATAAATTTCACCTGGGGATATAAATAATAATTGTGCTGTGCCATACTTTTTTTACTTCAAATTTGCATATCATAATAGGTTTTTTGTGAGCGATTCACTTGATTTATTGCATTTATTCTCATTTATTGAAAATTTGAAAATGATTATACCAGTATCGTTTCTAAAAAAATTTTCATAAAATTCTTAGAATTTTTTTGAAATTTTCGCCTAATTTTAGTGTTATAAATAATGATAAAGGAATTTTAATTAATTATTTATTGAAAAGTTTACATTATTACATATGCGATCCACAAAATGATAATTTTTCTATTTTATTTTTACAGCATTTCTTCTTTATTTCATCTTTATCAGCAATAATTTGGTACAGTTTACTTTCATTTATTTCTTATCGATCTTTATGGTTGCATTCCCCCACCTCCGTATTATTCCCTTATCAGTAAATTAATTTCAATGGAGATCGGCCAGTGTTAAACAATTACATTTGAGCGAATACATTTTCAAGAGAATTCAAGGCTTTAAGAAACAAAGATAAGGAAACAAATCTATTTTCAAATTTATCGGGATTGTATCTTCGTAATCAATGTTATATTTTATAAAGCATAAATTCTTAACATAAGTTTCTTAAATTCTTAAGTTTCTTCTTAAGTTTCTTAAATGCATGGTTTCTTAAATTGGAAGGAAAAAACTTATAACGCTATTCTATGTAATTGAAATTACAGTCAGAGATGAAGAAGAAAAGAATGCAAATAATGTTAAATACTGTATAAAATGCCTCTTTTTGTAAATTCATTACCGGTCGATTTCAAATACCTTGGGTCCACTCTAATACCAAATGGTTAGGCAAAAGACGATATTAGCCCGAATCACGGCAGTTAGAAATGCGTTCTTGCGGTTGGCGAAACCTTTATAGAGCCGTCGTGAAATCACCATAAAAACGAAAGTCTGTATATATAGCCGTGATTCGTTCGATCTTGCTATATGGTTTTGAGACATGGCCAATGAGAGTGGATGATATTAAGAAGCCATCTACCTTTTACCACTCTTGTCTAAGGTATATTTTACAGGTCTCTCGAGTAGATAAAATATCACATGATCGCATCCACCTTCGTTCAAACACCACCTATATTAATAATGTTGTCACAGAGCGTCACCTTCGTCCACCACAGAAGTTGACGCATATTTCGTTATTTGCTAAACCATGTGATGTGATGGTTGGCGTCAAAAACGAGGTGGGCCAATCAAAGCCTGGACTGATACGGTTAGAAAAGATTTTGAGCGTATAGGTGGTCCAGAAATATATGGACTTAGACAATGGAAAAAGGAATGGCTTCTATTATTGTCGACAATGCCATCAGACCCCGCTGCTTGGAAACGTCTTACCCTTGTAGCCGTTGCAGCCAGCCTAACCAGTAATTGTGAGAGCTATTAGAAGAAGAAGAAGAAAAATAGTGATGGATATAAGCAATATGACAGGCACTATAAGCAGACTTGGTGCATCATTGGCTCAATGGTAAGATAACTCCTAACGAAGATCGAAGGATGGCACTGTAGCCTAGTGGAGAAAAGCAAAAAAAATATGAAATTTCACTTCTGGCAATATTAAAGCTATCCAAAAATCCCGATAATGCTGGTAGCTCACATTTGTATTTATATCGCCAAGGAACTTTCATATTTGTCTAATGCTATAAGCCAGCGAACGAGCCTAGCCAGTAATGGTGAATGTTCTTAATAAAAATAAAAAAAATTGGCTTTATCAACAGAAATCGCTGATAGTCAAGTGGCACATATGGCTTAAGCATCGTAGGCTTGATTCCTCTTCTTAACGGAAGTAAATTTACCTTCAAAAGTTGAGTCCGAGTGAAACTACGGGTGCAATTTCTCCTAGCCTTGATTTTTTAACTAGATTTAGGTGACTTCACTCTATCAGTTAGTGGAGCAAGCCAATTGAAGAGCGTTATTAGAAAAAGAGACAACAAAAAATCAATTACATTACTTACTTACAATTATTACATTATTGCATTACTTACAATTATATTACATTACTTTTTCTTTGTCCTCATATGTATTTTATTTTATAAATTTACAAACAATATTTAGAGAATAGGCTTATAGGTTTCGTAAGGAGGCCATTAGGGGATGATTAGTCGAGTGGTATGGTTATTCTGATCTGCGACGAGTATCAGGATTCCTCAACGTTAATAGGAATAAATCTGTCATTAAAAATCTTGCTAGTGCTAGCGTTCCATATATACTTTTATCGTCAAGTAACATCTTGGCTAATTTAAAATCATATTCAATAGCAAACAAAATTCAAAACAAATAACCAGAAATGGTCACCACTCCTAAAAACAAGCGCCGTGCATGGAAAAGAATAAGCACTTTTGATATAAAATCGTTTCCTCAAATTTTTCATGTTTATGTCTCATAACTGTCGTGTGTGTCTTTTGCTCTTTCTTATTCTCATCTTTTACGCTTTTCCATCATTTTATTTTGCCAAAATAGCTTTGTTATTTTACTCGGATAATATCATTTTTTCTTTTCAATTTTTCTCCTAAAGACTTTTATATCGAAAGCTATATTTTTAGATTTTGTTTGTGGACAATTCGTAATTTTCAAAAGATGGTGAGTGCAAACGAATGAATATATTTGTAAAGCGATGCATGCAAACGAATATATGTTTGCATAGGAGGGGAGTGCAAATTAATTTGTTTGCGAACTGGTTGGGGCGTAACTATTTGTTTTTCGATTCGATCTTTGCTATAATTTTGTTCGCAGTGGTTTGCGACATTTTGATGCGAGTTGTTTTGATGATCTGAAAATCTCAAACATATTCTATATTCATGATTGTTTTGTGGGTGGAAAGTGCGTGATCACCTTACCATAGCAGATTCTTTAGATTCTTCGTGAGTTTTAGTTTCATTTTTGATTCATAGATGTTTATCTCAACTTAGCTATTTATCTCTAAGAATATAGCGAAAGTTTTGCTTGATCTCTTAGAAAAATATGTCTAAACTTTAGTACTTATTTATCTACGGTTTGGTTCAATTTTTTCCTTTATTCTTCGCTAAATTATTTAATTCAAAACTATACAATTTTGTGTAACTGCACGATTTTTGCTTCATTGAAAAAACGCATTGATCTGATTCGAGAATCGACAATTACCAGCTAAAAATGATAATTTATCAGGGATATTTCCTGTTAAGAAAGCCAGTGGCTGTAGATTTATTGAGAATGGACGATAGGTCTATTGAAAAAGACATCTCAGTAGAAAATTGATCTTTCTTCCTAATTTCAGCAAAGGACATAAATTGTTTTGTATATATTGACCTACTGTTCAGTGCTATATATAAATAGCTAAGTTGCCAATTTTTCCAATTTTCTTTTCAAAATTCATTTGCCGCAAACGTTGCTTACAAATTATGCCAAAATATTAATCGCTGAATTGCTGATGAGTATGACCTTGCTTGACCTCGACCTCAACACTTGATCTTTTAAATTCTATAAGTAGAATAATTGAGTAAAATGTTGCGTCGATTGAAGTTGTGCATCTTGAGTTCGATTCCAATATCTTCATAGGAATGAGCCTTATATTCAAAAATAAATTCCGTGTGGCGTTGGGACTCATTAATGAAATTTTTTGACGAATGGGTAAAGTCAACCAAGCCTGAACTGCTAAGTACAGTTGGAAAAATAAAAAAGAATTAAAGATTTAATAAAAGTGTCAGTTTTCATATTTATTTATCTGATCTTACATCTAAATGTTCTTCAGCGCTCCTCGATTAACTATTGCTTATCATAAATTGTTTGTAACTAAATTGTTCATTTAAGAGTTTGACCAATGTCTAAACGAATTATTGAATAGGAGTTTCGTAAGCTTGTCATTTTTCGCCAGTCTTATCTTCTCACAGCTGTCTATTATCCATTATTTGTATTATCACTAAATTTATCATATAATTCTGTCGATCCTACGTTTCTTGCCTCGAATCTTAAAAAATTCAAACAAGGTTCAAATGCAAATTCAAAGATAAATTCTAAGAATTCAAAGCTATAAGATTCAAAGATAAAATGAACTACCATCTTTGATGCTGTCGATTTAGCTGTATTTCTATCACTAAGATTTCCTGGTGTATTTTTCTAGTGCAACAAACCAATCTAATCAGTAGTGGTGAGTGCTGTTTAAAAAAAAAAAAATGATTTTTCAGTGCTGAACTTTGACAGGCAAAGCGAAATGAGAAAATAAGAAATAAGAAATAAGAAAAACCTGTAATTTGAAAATAAATTAAACAAAAATTAAGTTAAATTAAATATTGACGAGGTGCAAGATTGTTCACTGCTATTAAATGTTTCATTATTATTCTTTATCATTTATCATTTGTTAAATGAATTATATCATGCCTATTTCTTATCATATCTATAAAATATTATTTTATTGTATATACTTAGTTATTTTTTACTTATTTATTGTCTGAGACGAAAATTTTGATCATAAAATATTTTTTAAATTTACTGATAGCAATTACATATAATTTAATGCTTGGTAGGCGTTTTGAGTCGTTGGATATTTTTAACACCCATCTACAGATAAACTCGAAATTATCATTTATTGTTTTCTCTTTTTGGCTCTTTGGAAAATGGAAGATCAATAGTATATGCCGTTAATGAAATAATTAGCATAATTATTTGATGCGAATCGTATTATTATTTTGATGTGTCTATTTCTTTCGTGCTCAAAGTGATGGAAATTATCCGTTAAGAGTATAAATTTTTCTCACTAATCAATCTTATACATTCCAATGACGAAATGTTCGAACTATTTTTCAAGTTAATTTGTCAAAATTTGTAGATTTTTACATTAAAATGAATTTACTTATAGATGGTACATTATAAGCTGTTATATTTTCCGATTCGAGGTCGAGCTGAACCGATCCGATTGCTATTTCACTTTGCCCAAGTTCCCTTTGAAGATGAGATTATCACTTTCGAAAAATGGCCAAGTCGGAAAGCTGGTTTGATTTGATTTTCTTTGCTTTTTATGTATCGTATTGTTTCGTTCATCCATTTTAAACCAAATATAAAGACATTATAGATATGCCTTTTAAAGAATGAAAGAAATTCTTAAAACTATATAAAATTATAAAAAAAATTATAAAACACTTCTATTTTTTATGATTAAAATAATTTTATAAAACTATTTTTTGAAATTAATTTTTGTTCAGAAATGCCACTCGGACAGCTACCGGTTTTAATAATTGATAATAAAATTATTCTCGGTCAAACAACAGCTATTTTGCGTTATCTTGCTGGAAAATATGGTAATAATTTGATTTTTTCAACTTTTCAACTACTCAAATGAAAAACTCTAAGAAAATTTAATAAAATAGTTAGTTTTGGTTTCGTCGTAACTATTAAGCATTAGAAAAAGTTTTTATGCTATCTCAATCAATCAATTTAGGTTTGAAAGGCGCGACTGATGAGGAAAATGCTATTATCGATATGTTTGCTGACGAGGTGCAAGATTGTATCACTGCTATAAAACCATATTTAATGGCAAGATTTCGAGGAATTGGCGATCTGGTTGGCACAAATAAACTTTCGATTCGTTCTAATTTTGGTTGCTGAATAAAAAAAAATTTATCCATTGGTGTTTACCTCATGATCACTCTAGTCAATTTACAGGAAACGGCAAGAAAAGAAAATCTGATTCCACGTATCAACAATATAACCGCACCAATTTTTGAGAAGGCATTGAAAAGCAATCCATCTGGTTATCTTGTGGGAAATAAGGTTTTTTTTGTCAAATTTCTAGTTCATTCTAATCAAGTTTTAGAAAGAATATTGGTATCTTTTGAACTATATTGATAGTGATATGATTTATGATGAAGAAAGCCTTATTTCATCATTTCGATATACAATTTTTTACAAATATGGTTTAAATATATTAATATATAGTAAAGTTTAAATATATTAATAATTTCAGATCACATGGATTGATATAATGCTCGCTGATTTTTCTAATCGCGTAGAAAGCTATATGGGTAATCCTTTAAGCAATTTTCCAGCTGTTCATGCGCATTGCAAACGTATTCTTGATCATCCCAATTTTGCGAAGTATCTAAAAGAAAGAGAACAAAGCGCACAGCTATAAAATAATTGATGCTAAAGGATTCATGAATAACGAAATCCTTTGTTGCAATGAATGTTAAATCGAATTCTTAAATTCTTAATCCATATTTAACATTTGTTTTTTTCGCATTTTTTGGCGTAAAAATTTTCCCACTGTGTAGATTCGTAATGTAAAAAACAGAGTTCATAATGTAAAATGAAGAGAAGAAAATTTCTTATTTTTTTCTCGCCTGTCATATTGTTGAAATATTTTGTTGTTTGGCAATCAAACTTGAATGCAATACAGTTCAATATAGAAATTTTTATCCTTAAACTTAAACCAAAATAAGAGTGTAACGGAAGCAACAAATGGAAGGGGAGGAAGTCAGAAAAGGATGAAACGACGATAAATTTAAAATGTTATATTAAACAGGGACAAAAAACAAATTTTTTAACAAAAAAAATTTATTAAAAAAATTTATTAAAAAATTTATAAAATTTATTAAATTTATTAATTTTTGTTAAAAAATTTATAAAATTTTTTAACAAAAATTTTTTAACGAAAAACAAAATTTATGATTATATGAGATTCGATCATTCATATACCACATTCGCATTAAAATTTAATAAAAAAAGATTTAATGATTCTCAAGTGATTCACTTCTTGGCACCTCTGTGGATGGTTTTGCCATGTCCTTAACAGCAGATGATAACGGATGATTGTTAGCCACCAACTCAGAGTAATGAATTCCTCGGATGAATGGTTTTTCGGTTGCTTTTCCTCTAATGAAAACCATTGTTTTCTTGAAAGTTTTGCATAAGTCTTATCGGCTTTTTATCGGCAAATATGATGAGCGTCAAAAACGAAACGTGAAGTAGTCAACACTAATCTTCCAGCACCTTTCATATAATTTTTTATTGGCCGATCAAATTGTTCGATTCTGTGTGATTTGTTCCATCTGTTGCCTTGAATCTTCCTCAAATTAGTCTCTATATCATCGCTAATGTTCCTTGTTCGCCGAGTATTGGGTTCATCTCGCAAGTTGGAAACCATTATTTTTTCTAATTGCATGCCGATTCACTTGTATTTTCATCTCCAGGGAGCTACCTGGCTTATTTATCCAGTGCGACAAACTAGCTGAGGGGTTCTAACTGGTAATAGTGAGGGCTCTTTAAAAAAGTTTTATAAATAACATTTCTTATAAAATAGCACTAACATTTCTTGTCATTCGATGGTTTCGGTTAAACTTTTGCAGTTTTTTAGGTTCATTCCACTGCTTCGCGGAATTCATTGAGAAGGCAATTTTTGAATTTTTAAATACCTTTTAAATAGCCATGTTTCGTTCATTATTTTCCAGTTTTCCTACTTTTCAAAGTTTTAAGATGATGACAAAAAACGCTTAAAACTTGATAGGAAGTGATTTGTTAATTTAATTTAATTTATCACTGATTGCTTAAAAACTGAAAAGGAATGCCAATTTGAAAAAAAAACTAACCTCTTAGAACTGGAAAGGAAACGATTTGTTTTTAATAAGTCAGAAAAGGACAACTACTTTTGGTTAACTTTGGATGTCGGAAAAGAAGGCATTAATCTATGATCTTTAAAAGATTCCACTAAATTGCATATAAAATAAATACTGCGGAAAAAACAAATAGGATAATTTATATCACTTATTGCGTTACTAAACACAGCAAACTATAAAAGCTAAAGAAAGCCGATAACAATAAAACCAAGAACAAAGTGAAAGTCAAAATATGATAAGTAAAAACAAGTTAGTATAAAAATTGAGGTACCAGTGTAGTGCAGCCAACTAAGGATATTGGATTCAGAAAATGTCAAGTACAATTTTAAAATTTGACCATAATATGTGAAAGGCATATTAACGAACTTTGATGAGTTAAAACAGAGAAAGAAGATACTGTTTTACATATTATTATAAAATATATTATATATTTCAGGTCATTCCCAATAAGTACCACTTCTTAAACTATTTCTAAATCTCAATGTTTTTATCGTCCGAAAAAGAAAAGCATGCCACGCCGCTTTGTTTATTTCTATTTCCAGGTCGATAGCTACAAAATTCTAGATTACTTCATATGCTATTTTATATAGAACCCCATTGAAACCAACCTCACTTATTCGAAACTCATTTCGGAACCCGTCAGAATAAACGCTTCTTCCTTAGACCCTCCCTAATCGCTTGGAATCTCTCTCTTTGATAATCTTTCATATTTAATGAATATCGCAAATTTCTTTTTCTTACATTAAGTGAAATAGCAAGGAATTCTCCGTAATTAATAATTTTATTTTTTTCAATTTCTCTCATCGTATCATTTCGACAATATTTTATACTTACATGTTTCTTTTACATTGTAAAACTAAATTAATGAACTTTTTTTACATTCTCAATTTTCCATTAAAATCGAAATATTCTATAAAAAAATTATTTTATCCTTCAATGCTCATATTTAAAACTATATTTATCAACGTAGAAGAAAAGCAAAAATCCTAGAAAATCTTGGAAAATCTTGCCAAAAAGTAAAAAGCATATATCTATGAGTTATGTGAAGACTTATTACGACTCCATTTTGTTTCGCATTATCATATCATTTGGCATGGGAATTCAAGAGACAATGGTCATTTCTTATGATATTTCAATTACTTTTTAAGTCATTTGTATTGCCAGTAATTCGTGGATTGTATACAATATATAAGCCAGAAGTTCTCTTTATCATTATCATTATTTCTAAGCTATTAGAAATATAAAAAAAGTGATAAATCCATTTATTTATTTGAAAAACTTTCTTAAATTTATTTTACAATAAATGAATAAATATTTTTTTTAATTCATTTTTTATTTCTTAATAAATTTTATTTTCTTATTTTATATTTTCTTTTTAATTCTTTTTCATTCTTTTCTTTATTGCTTTTTCATTTAAAATCTTTGCTTAATATAGGTATATAACAATCCAAAGAAAAGGACCACTAGGAAATTTTCATTTCATGAAAGGAAGATGCCTTTCAGATATTTTCGCAAAGCAACACGATATGTACTTTTTCAAATTTTGAGTATTAGTAAGTAATAAGCTCCATTATGGCCATTGTTAAAAATTCTTGAACCTGCTGTCGCATCTTAAATATCTGCTCTAAAACCGAAGAGGGCTGCTCGCGATTGGCGAAATACTTTTAGAAAAACTTAAAAAAAAAAAAAAATTTATAAGCAATATTTCAGTAAAAAAAGTGATAAAGTGAAAGGTTATAATAAAAAAGCATTTAGAAAGGTATGATAAAAATAAGCCAAAAATTCTCTTTATCATTATCACAATTCTAGCACAGCATATGAAGATTGCAATAAATTATGACAAGTGATATATGACGAGTGCAATAAATTTTTTTTTTACTATTGGAAAATACCTTTTAAATTTAAAAGATCAGACGAAAATTATCCAATGAAAAATGGAAATTTTTTGGAGGAATAATAATTCTACTCAAATTCATTTAATGAAATCTGCTGAGGTTGGTTTATGTTGGCCATAAACTGAATATTAAACTACTGTGTTAACTTTTTCCTCTCTATTGACTTATTAGCATTATTTTTTCTCTTAACGACTTATCATAGAAATCAACCACTTCTCAGACGTTACACTTTTAATCAGCTCAGTATTCTAATTTTAGACGAACAGCCATTATCCTGAAATACAAGCATTGTTACATGAAATATCTATATATTATAAAATGAGAATCCGAATAATTTCATTTTCCATAAAAAATTTTGAATTGTTTATGAGAAATAGAAATGAGCTAAACTTTTCTGAGATAAACATCCAACACGCAGAGTATGACTGAAACTTCGAGTTTATAAAAAATGGAACCGCTAAACATTCATAGCTATGATACATCCCTCACTTCTCGTGCCAATAAAATTTCGCATAATGCCATCTACCTTCTCGTCACATAGATAAGATCGTAATAGAGTTCCACCTAAGCCGACTGGGATACCATAAGAATGGGCAGATTACCAATCACTTATGAAATGAGACGCAAATTTCAGAATGGCATTGGACCATGAGATTTGGAAGCTCTTCATTCTTGTAGGCAGCCAAATCAGAAATGGTACGTGCAGTTGGAAGAAAGGTGAGGCGATGCTAAGTATCAAAAAAGTGAGGTAAGGAAATGAATAAGAATTTTTTTTTTTTTTAAAGAGCCCTCACTGTTACTGGTTAGACTTCACTGGCTTGTGGCGCTGAACAAATATGGCAGGTAATCCATTAGCGATAGAAATACGAGTGGCCAGCATCACCAGGATTTTTGATCAGTATCGGCGTTTCGAATTGAAAAACAACTCAATGAATCATTCTACTCCTTAGCTAGAATTTAATAAAAGGCTGTCCGAACGAATATTAAAAGAGTCTTCAATGTAATTGGATTAAGAAGTTATGAAACGGTTATAAATTTATGAAATGATGGGGTTATATTCAGATATAAGAAAATTTGAAAGGACTACAGGCTTAGGGTGTAGGATGTTTTGGAACAAAATAGCACAGAAGGAAAGCTGTGGCCTTAACAGGTTAAGGCCTGAGGGGTAACGGACAAAGATTACTGATAAGCACAATGATCTTAGAAAAATTATAAAAAATTTATAATTTATAATTTCAGAGAGAATGAAATTTCGAATATTAACGATATAAGTGAGAGTTTTGAAGAAGTAGATATATTATGATTTATGATTATCACTAGTGATTCGCTGACAATTGATAAAAATCTAAAAACTAAAATGAAAAGAAATAAGTTAATGACTGAAAATTTATGCAAAATTTCGAATTTCAAATTATAAATTGAATTTTAAATCAATTTGCTTTCTATTTCTTGGATATATTTCCTTATATTTCCGTTATCAACGAATTGTTGGCTATAAAGATAATTTGAATAATCCGAATAATCTCTCACACTATTTGCAATTTAATAATTTACTATCCCTATGTAATTGTAACTAGCAAGCTGTAAGGCCTTGCTACGAGAAACCTTTCATGCTTTCATCAACGAAGGGCATGCAAAAAATGGCCAAAAATTGCATCAATTTTTTCAAAAATTTTTTTCTTTAATTTTTAAATTCATAGAAAATGGAGAAATTGAGGCAAAATTTTTTCCTCCATCAAAAAATACCGTGAATCAATAATCAGTAAACTAACATAATTTAAGAAGCTATAGATAAGGTGTCAGGCTTTAAATCAGAAGATTCCAGGTTAGTCGAAGATTTAGCCTATATTTTCCAGCCATCGGAGAATTTCAAAATCACTGGTTGATCATTTAATGAGAAATGATGCAAAGTCTATTTATACGAAAATAGACTTAAAATAAAACTCTTTATATATGCACGTCTGGTACGAGTGAAAACCTCAGGCGTTCATCACATATGAAGTATGCCAGGTGATGCTGGCGATTCACCTGTATTTCTATCGCCAAAGGACTCCTGTCCAGTGCGACAAGCCAGTGGAGCGATTTTAACCAGTAATGGTGAGGACTCTTAAAGAATGTATGTATATATATAATAGGTACAATGGTCGAGTTTAACCAGTAATGGTGGGAATTCTTTAAAAATAGCTTGAATAGCAAAAAACATGATATAGTGGCTTATGAGGTTCGAATCGTCAATTTTGTCCAAATTTCAAATTTTCAGCCAACTCTTTTAATTGTAATCATTATGGCCAAAATTCGCTTTAAAATTATACCGCAAATACTGCACTAGGCTTAACGCCTTTATGTAGTTGGTAACACAACAGTTATATCCACAGACATTTTTCTACCATATTACCGACTATTAACTTAAAAATAACCTAAAATGCACCAAAAACCAATTATTAATAAATGATCATAAATGAATGACAAAAAATAAATATGTAAAATAGAAAAAATGACCGCTCGTATAAATATAAATGTAACTTATGCTTGCAAAGGTTAGTTCCTTTTAAATTTATTTGTACAACTTTTGTATAGAGAAAAATCAAACAACCTAGTATTATCAGGAAGAGATTTGGAACGTATAAGATCGCTTGGCGGCTTAGACGATCAAAAAAGGAGTGATTTCTTTTAATGCCAGTCATGGCGTCGGATCGAGTAGCTTGGATAAGCCTCGTCTGATCCTCGTCACCAGTGGAGCGAACCGAACCAATGATGATGCGAACTGCTAGAACTACTAAAAATTTTTTTATCGGCTATTTGTTTTTCGTTATAAATCGTAAAAACAGTTTGTTTTTACTTAAATTTACTACATTTGCTGCTTGAAAAGATTCAATAAAAAGTTGTTTGGTTAAGTAAGTGGTCAGTGCTCACCATTTTTGGATCCTATGGCCGTTTTTTTAGCAATAGAGGAATTATTTTTGGTTTTTGATTTAATATTTAATTAGCTCTTACAATAAATATTGAAATAATGAATATAATTCAAGATATGGTACCAAATCTCAGATCATTTAAAAAGAGGAGACTATCAAAATATTGATATTGTGATAATGATACATTATCATAGCTAAACGTTGATATAATTGAGTTTGACTCCAGATTCGTTCTTTTTAAATCAAATTTTATATAGTTCTATTGTTCCAGGCATTCTAAGGTTTGAAAATTAGTTGAAATTGTACAGGAAAAATACAGCAAAAACTCAAATTTAATTTTCGCGTCCAGGCCAATCCGGCATTTCGTGGATGGTACAAATCGGCGATCAATTGTGGAATGAACCTATAAATGTCATGCGGCAGCTATTCCGATCTCATAAACCTTTTTTGTACCGTCAAAAGCCTGAAATTTGATGTTCCTTCACCAAACTTAACGATTTTATGAATTTTTTAAGAATGTCGATGAATTTCATCATAAACAGTCGCCTGCTTCACATCAGAAATATTATAATAGTTTCTTCATAGTCTAAATTACCATATCTGAAAGAAGAAGAAGCAGGCACCAAATCTCTCCTCACCAGTTCAGTTCTTGTAGGTTCTCGCCTTTGAAGCCATCCATCACAAGGTTTGGTATTCAGCAAAGTTTGCGCTGATGTGATAGGCAACTCTGTGCGATGCAAATGTTATTAGAGTGAAGGCTTCTTTGTACTATTTACGTTTCGCAGTCGTGTAACAGGATTTTGCAGCAAGATATATCTTTCCTAATGCTAAGGATGAAAGGATCCTTTAGCTGCACCTATCCGACCTGGCAATTCCTCTGGTACTTGGAAAATTTCTTTCGGATCCACTCCTATTCTTAATGTACTACATTACCTCAAAATCTCATATTCCTTATTCCATAATCACGTACGCAATAACTGTAAAATTTCCTCTGATAAATTGCTTTTGGATAAAAATAAGCGAAAATTTGTTTTTTACCTAATTTAATTTACCGCCAAAAATATCGTAGAGCATATTTCGGTCACATTCGACTTTTCTTTTGTTCTTCAATATTCAATTTTTTTTTGCTTTTTTTTTCTTTATTTATGTGGTGCGAATTGATTCGTGTTTTTTTTTTTCAAGTTTTTACAATATTAAAATCTTCAAAGTTCAAAAAAATTTTATCAAAAATAAATATAATAATTAATAATAATACGGAAGAATCAAATAAAGAATTAATATTAAAATTAAAATTAAAATTAATATTAAAATTAAAATTAATATTAATATTAATAATTATAATATAAAATAATTTTGCTTAAGTGGTGCATTATTATTGAAATAAAATTAGTATTAATAAATTTCTTTTTCAAAAAAATTTTTTATTCATTAATTTAATTAGATTTAATTAATTAAATTAAATTTTTTTATAAAATTTTTATCGCATTTTTTTAAATCATATTTTAATAGATTTTAATAATATTTATGATTGTTTATGATTATTACTGCAGTTTTCTTAGATTTGCCTTATTAATTATTATTTTATTAGATTCGTCGCAGTATCATAATAAGCGTTCTTCGAATGCAATCTAGTTTAGGCATTTAGGCATGAAATGCAATGAATCATAAACGGATTGAGAGATATGGGTGGATTCGCAGCGCTCAAAAATCATACTTTTTATAACCGTCAAGAGGCAAGAATTGATTCCCATTTAGCTTCAATACAATTTAACGTGAAAATTTCAGCTCAACAGATGTGATCATAATTGGGTTTGATTCACAACTGAACGGGTAATTATCTATGTTTCGTGCGGTAGTGAAATATTCATTCTCGCGAAATAGAATACAAACAGTTCAAATATATGCATATAAACGGTTTCAAGCAATTGGCGAAAATGTCACTTATTCCACTTGAAAATAGCATTACTGGTGCAATGCCAGTAATTTTTTTTGAAGCGCAAATTCACGGACAATCGCAAAAAATTTTGATGGAAATTGGATTATCACTGGACACTGATCAGTGTAGCGTCGCTCTTCTCAGTGAGTATTTTATTATTTTATCGCTTTTTTTTTTTTATCAAAGTTTTAAATCAATTTTGTGTATCATCGAAATATCATTGCATATTCTTAGCAAAAAGAAGTTTATTGCTTATTTGATGTTTAATTATTTGTTTTCAACTCTTTGCTGATATTTATATTCCGTTCAAATGCAGTTGCACTTCAAATGCACTTATATATTATGAGCAGTATGGCAAGAATTTGCAAACAAAAAAAACATGATTCCGAGAAAAGTTGAGTTATTAGAGAACTACATATATAAATTTTGTCTTTTAATGCATTTTTAGCTTAAAGGTTAAATATCATTTAGAATTGGAAATAAATTTGTATAGAACGATTCAGTGGTTGCTTTAGGCAGTGCTCTAATCTGGAGAGTATAGGGTTTTACTCAGGGCGAGATCATGTGTTTTTTTCGAAAATTAAGGTGATGCTGGCAACCGATCTTTCGGTCGCCAACTAACTCTTTGGTAAAATTTGAATGGTTTGATAAATCGCTAGAGCGATCTTAAATCAAAATGATGGGAGCTTTTAGAAGAAAATAGTCATCTGGCATTAATACCACTAGTTAAAATGTTAAAAATTGATTTCTGGATAATATTTTCTAGTAGAAGATATTGAATTCGTAACATGGATTTAAATTTGGTTGATTTAGATTTTGGTCTCTTTTTGCAGGAATATATTTGAATTCGTCTAGGCTGATCTCTTCTTTTGGCAAAGGACCGAAACTGAAAAAGAATATATAATTGGTTGTTCTATTGTGAATTTTTGCCAATTTTCTGCCTTTTTTTGTTGATATTGTTTTTATCTTAGGGCATTTTTCTGGTATTTAAAAATTCATTTAAAATTTAAAATTATTTTTTAAAAATTTTGTTTATAGTTGTTCCGTTTGATTGATTGCCTTCGTATACTATTTGAGTCAAATTTTTTGTTCTGATTTAATCATTTAATATAAATTTCTTGGTTAAATTATATAGTTTCTTTCGATCTGTCAATGGAATAATTGAATTTCGCAATATCTTTTTCTTTTGTTTGAAAATGCTTTGTTCAGAATTTATTAGTTTCTGATCGATTGAAGCGGAAAATTCATGGAAGAAATAAAAGTATCTAAAACAGGAATATCCAGGCTTTTCACTTTCCTGGATCTGGTTGGGTAGAGAAGAAATTTTCACCACGCATAATATATGCAGTTCTTAATAGTATAAAGAGTGAAAAAATAAGTGAAAAAACATCTATATTTTGTGTTTTTTATTAAAAAATTAAAAAAGCGAATATTTTAATTTTGTAAAATATTGTATCAATTTCTGATTCGATATTCGTAGTTAATCCTCAAAGTGTTAGACATTTTTTTTTTGTTCTAATTTCATTCTTTAGATAGGCCACTTAAATAGTTCGGAAAAGAATCAAATTTTTCTTTAAGTTGGATGTAGCTGTATTACGTATTCCATTTGAAAATTCTCAGGTAATGCATTTATGTTGTTTGAATATAGAATGGCATATATTGCAAAATATTTCTGTATATCTTAATTGATAATATTGATAATATAATATTATCAACATTAAATTGATAATATTATCATAAGGTATAGAGAAATATTTTGTATATGCCATTCAGTATATGCCATTGATAATATTTCCTTAAATCTTAAAATTTTCTCATTCCTCCTGAAAATAAAGCGAAAAACAAGGCTGTATATTTTCACTAATTTGGTGGTTTGAAGCATAGCATTGATAAGATGGCTTTCATCGTGAAAATACACGATAGAACTGGTCTAATAAACGAGAAATACTAAATCTATGAATCTATTTTTTTATTAACAATTTTTGGTATAAATTTTCCTTTTTATTCCCCATAATTGACTTGATTTCATTTCACAAATAGCCCAAGTAAATGATTTCCTAATTCATCCTTTTCATAATATTCATATTTTTTAAGAATTCTTTTTGTTAGGCCACATTACCAACTTTCTGGATTTACGGTTCGGAAATCCTTTATCTAAATTATTCTCATTTATTATCAATGAAAATTTTTGTATTTGTACTCGATTGTATGCCTATGCTAGAATATGTATTCAATTTTTGGAAGAAATGCCTCGGGTTAAAAAGATATTTGCGAAAATTTTTCTTTGTTACACAGCGTAATCTAATGCGATGATTCTAAAATTACATCGATATGGTTCTCTTGGTTTTTTTTACTTTCTTTTTTTTTACTCAAAATCGTTTTTTCTCTTTTTGCTATTGGTTCATTGTTGGTTCTTATTTGAATGCTAAGTTTTGCCCCACACCTGCCATTTAATGAATTTTAAATCTGATTATCGCTTTTTAAGGATAACATAGTTTGAAATTTCTTTTGTATTAATAAGTATTAATAAATATTATAGTATAATTTTAACCCTTTTATGTTGAAGGTTTTGAAATAATGTAATATAATTGAATTTAATTTTGAGATTTCCTAATTTTTTGGCAATTTTATTATCAAATAATATTCCAATATTTCGATGTTTGTTGGTTTTGATATTAGCAATAAGTTTTTAAAATTCATTTGTTTTGTTCAATTAAATATTTATATAGGTAATTCCATGTGTTTAGCTAAGATTTTTTGCTTTATTTTTAGATTGAGTCTTGTTTTTTTATTAAGTTTTAAGGTAGAATTAATAAAATAAAAATTTCCAAATGCTCACATTTTTGCATTATAATAGATGAGTGAGAAAAATGAGTGGATGAAGTTTCAGAAGATTTAGAATAGAATGAACCTTAAAACTAATCAGCAACTAGCGTAAACAGTTACAAATTAACAAAATGAAATTGAAATCGATTTATGTTTATGGAAAATAGTTGAAGACGAAGATTGAATTTCAATTGTGTCTCCAAGGAGTGATAAATTTATTGAAATAGTAGCCTTATCCATGAAGCGATTTGCATGGATTTTATAAAAAATTTATACATATTTGAAAATAAAAGTTGAATTAAAAAATATTTTAATATTACTTATAATATTACATTTATTTATTGCATTTATAAGAAAAGTTATGAGTTAATTTCAATGTTTTAATTATTATTTATAACGAAATTGGGTGCTTTTACGAATAATTGCAAAAAAAAAAGTAATTTTTTTCAAAAGAAGTCAACAATTCTCACCTTTAAACATTTAGCGTTTTTCTTATAATTCGTTTTTTTTATTTGAGCTTATTTAATTGCAAACTGATTGCAAAAGTTGTGTTTTTTTAGCAAAATTTTTGATGGAAGTGAGAGGTGATATTTGATAAGGAAGTTGATATTTATAATCGGAAGATATGGTTTTAAGTGATCGTCAAATTTTCCTTCATTCATAGATAAGTAATACGGCGTGGAAAGTTAGAATAGCGCATGATTTATGATTTCTTAATTGCAAAATAATTTTTATTATATTTGTGTGGGGTATTTTTATTATATAACGAGCGATCTTATTTAACCGATTTGCAAATAAATAATAATTTTGCTTACGAATACGAATGAATATTAATTGTTGGAAAGGGTATAAAAAAAATTTTGATGCGATTTTCTTCCGACATATTTTTATTTGATTCTAATTTTCAGTTATAAATAATTTTAGAAAGACAAGTGATTAATTGTAATTGATTAAGGAAAATAAAATAAAAAAAATTTTTTTTTTATTTATTTATTAAATAATTGATAAATTTAGATAGCGGTTAAGCATGCATGAAATGCATGCAAATTAAATCCATGCAAAATTATTCAAAATTACCTGCAAAATACGATTTTTTCTCGGAATATTCTCTTTTTTTCAGTTGTAATAGGTGCATTTAATTGTTTAAGTCGAAAGATAACGTATAAATATTAGAAAAATATCGATCTTCATCATTGATCATCTTCATTGAATTTATTTTTTATTAAAATTTTTGATAATATAAATAAAAAAATAAAATCATTGCTTGATAAAATCATTTGCATAGATTTTTTTTTGAATTCCTCAACAAAACCATAATTTATTTAGTTTTTGAAATGCTAAAACTAATTAATTGATATTAGTGGTGATAATCGCAAAATGAAGGGAATTTAAGTGAAGGAATATCTGATTTAGTTGTCTCTTACAAATAGGGGTAATTTTTTAAAGAGAGATGCATTCACTGAAAAAATTCATTTTTCGCTATATCAGCTGTTATTGCCGATAGACGATGACATATTTTTAAACGAGGATTATTTGTTTTTGCAGTTTATATTTATATATTTTCTTTAAAAATTCATTTATATATGTTTAAAAATTTAATTATTTTCTAATAATACTCATTTCGAAGTTTAATTTATTCAAATTGATTTAATTAACAATTTAGAATTAAGAAATATTTATTTGAAATGTGTGATAAGTTTCGTTTTTCAATTGTTCATAGATATTCGATAACTTGTCGGCTAATTGGCCAGCTGTCGCGTGATAAATAATTTCTAATTTAAAAATGCCTAATAGGCTTATTAGACTATTAAGTAGTTTTTATTTGTATATAATTTCGCTTAATAGATAATTCGCGTTTAAAAAAAAAAAAAATGATTGATAATGATTTTTCCATGATAAATATTAAAACAGTTTTTCATGAAAAGAAATTTTTTGTTTTTTTTTCGCTTATTTTAGTTATTTGTTAAACGAATGAAATCGTTTTTAGTTTCACTGATTGTGATTTATAAGTACATCGAATCTTTTACTATTGGATTCTAAATTTTAACTTTTAAATTGGATTTTAAATTTAAATCGAATAAATTGCCTTTTTTTTGTCGTTCCACAATGGGAATAGTGAATAGTGCTGAAGGGTTGCTCGATTGCATTGTCATATAAGTGGCAATTTCTTCAAAAAAAAAAAAGAACACATCATATTTTAATCATTCAAAAAGACATGATTGTGTTATCAGTTAAGGCGAGAAAGTTATTAAAAGGAGATTGAAGAAGGCAGTTCTGCTTTTTACTTGAAATATATAATTAACGCGAATATTTTTCGTATTTCTGATTTCGCTCATTTATTTCAGATTTCTGAAGCCTTTCAGAGCTATAAAAGCTATAAATCTCTATTTTCTTCTTGCTTTTGTTTCTATATTTTAGTCTAAATTATGCTATATTGTATATTGTATACTTATACAAACTCACTTATACAAGGCAAATAATGCCTTGGAAAGAGCAATCTTCCATTCGAAAAAATGATATTTTGTTCAACTTTGAAGGAAATAATGTAATTTTCATCCTCTCCGCACCTACGGCACTCATCACAGGTTGTTGTCCCTCGTTTAAACATATTTTTAATCGTTTTATGTTGAATAAGATTTTTATTTTTTCATATTTTGTATTAACAAATTATTCATTTAATTTAATTCATTTGTTTATTTTTTATTATTTATTATTTTTATTATTATTTTTATTGTAATATGTAATTTTTTATTATTTTTTATTTTATAAATTATTCATTTAATTCGTTTGCTTATTTTTTATTATTTTTTACTCAAAAAATCGTCATAGAATTTTCGCATAAAATAATAAAATTATTTTTTAAAGGAGTTGTATTGTTGGATATCTTTTTAACTCCAATAGTATTGATTAAGAAAATAATCGTTTATCTTATCAGTAATGAAATTATTAAAATGATTATAGGAGAGAAATAGTTTTGAATTTTTTATTTTTATTTATTGCAAATAAAATAGCCTATTTTTTTTAGCTCGCGCAAGTGGGGTACTAATAGTAATGGGCGTTGGATCATATGTAATATATCGAATGTTTGTCCGATTATTAGGAAGAAATTTTCTGTGGAGAATTATCGATCAAGTTCGTCTCGATCTGTTGAATTTAAGTCGACAAGAATTGTATCTCCTACATTCTACACAGGTTTTTTTCATTTTTATATTTTCATTGGTAAATAAAATTTTAAAATTTTTATTTTTTATTAAATTTATGTCTCTTCATGTTGGTGATTTAATGGTTATTGCCTTTATATAAATTAGTTCTTAAATCCAGCGACACTTTGGCATGTTGCTCTTTTTTATTTCGAAGTCTAATTTTTAGATGCCCTAAGGGAAGTTTTTCACTGATGGATTAAAATAGGTAGAGGAGTGTAGTTTATTGAGTAATAACACTAATTGTTATTACCGTTTTAATATTACTTGGAGAATTTTCCAGGTGAATTTTGGTGTAGATCAGTCGTTGTTGGCTGTAGCTGGTGCAAATCGTTTATATGTGGATAATTGTTGTGAAGAATTCTCGAGACGTATTCTTTCTTCTGTTTGTTTTTGTTTTTTTTTTCTTATTTTTGCCTATTTCTTATATTTCTCACAAAATCATTTTTAACTGATTTATGTGAATAATTTTATTTGTATGGGCATAACTAATTTTTCATTTTTTGATTATTTTATAGTCCGAAAAAAAATTTATTGATATTAAATATTGCTCGCGCGCAAATTAGTGAGAGTAGGTAAAATTTTAGTTTGTATGATTTTTACATATTGTTTATAGGATGAATCGGAACGAAGAAGAAAGAAACGGTTTATCTCGAAGTACTCTTGCGATCGACAGTTTTCTTCAACATCTTTCTCATCATCATTTGCTGAACGGTAAAAAATTTTTTTTTCTTCCCACAGTAATTTTCAATTTAATATTTTTTTAGGTGGCAGCGTGATAAGGTGATAAGGCTAAGGTATGCATGTGCATATGGCCCAAGTGTAATTTCGTTTTGTCCTGTGCGCAAAGCGCATTTTCGTTATGTTACTACAAAAAATTATATCAAAGTATTAAAAATATTATAAATATTATTAGCTATTTATTTTTAAATTTTAACATTGCGAAAGATAAAAATAACTAATGAAAAGCATGCTCTGTGATGGATGTTAATTGAAAAACAATGCAAGTTCGTTGGAAAATATAGGTAACAGCTGAATTGAGCTGCGACTTGGCTATGTTTGCAAAAAATGTATAATAGGTTTTTCTTCGAAAATTATTTTGTTTGTTTTCATTTTGTTAGTTCGAATCCGTAATGTTAAAATTTAGAAATAAATAATTGACTATGTTTTCCATTTAATGAAAATAAGTTTTGCTCGCAGAACGAAAAAGTCGTAAAATAGGTTGCAAGAAAAGGAAGGGAAGGGAGTAAAGGAAGTCAGTTAAAATGGATCAACATTTTATTCAAGCAGTATTTAAAATTCATATGATTTTTATATGATTTAACTCTTAAGTGATGGTCATGCATCTTGCACATTTACTATATAAATGACATTTCTGGACTAATTTTTTTTTTACAGTTATCGAAATGGTCAGCATCCAAAATACCAAAATTCGTTAGTCTCGGAACAAGCGTCTCATCAACGTTCGTCGGAATTAACCGAAACAAGAAGTGAAAAATCTGCCTCATTGCGGCTTTTGTGGGATGATCCGGAATGGGATGATCAAATGGATTTTCCTGGTCAAGTTAATAGATCAATTAATACATCATTTACATCATGTACCATTTTATTTTTCTTCATAACTCTGCTGATTTTATGGAAGAAGAGGTTTTAAACTTAATCTGAAAAATCATTTTAATAAAAATTCATCGTATCAAAGTTATAATTGGGTTTTTTTTTTTTGCTATTCTTGAACCATTATAATCTTTGATATATATAATATAAGCATATAAGCACAATAAGCACATATTTCGATAACATTTCAATTTTTCTATTCATTAAATTTAAGCCATTATTTATAAGTTGATTGGTCTGTGGTTCTTTTAATTCTTTTAAATGGCTTAAAATTTTTAGTATGGATTGATTTTCGCCTCATTTTCAGATATGGTTCAATATGGCCGAAACTCTTCTCCATCAGATATGTCGGAAATGTCGGAATTTCTAGCAGCAAAAAAAGTTTTTGATGATGCGTCGTCTGTTAATAACTTATCCAAAGATAGTAATGATTTGTGCGGTGTTTCTTCGGATTCGCTGGTTAGTTTTATTTTTTTCATATGAAAAGTTTTATTAATCGGAATGATGACTCACAATCATTATCAATGCTTCCATAAAAATTAAGCATTATTTCTTAATTTTAGTAATATTTCCTTAAGGATAGTGCAGAACTAATAAGTTTGAAAAATTTTGCAACATATAGTTAATAATATTTTAGTCTGTTGAAACTAATGATTCGGTTATTGGCGCTCGCGATTTCATTCAACGCAACTGTATGACTGATTCGAAGCATTTGTATCAACTAGTCACTGAGTGAGTTTTTATTTAATTTTCATATTTTTTTAATTATGCATTGTGCGGTCTAAACTGTCATTTGACATGATTTCATTTCAAAAATAATTGCTTCCTTATAAAGCTGTGTTTATTTATTTAATAAAAAGCAAGTAAGGAATATAGCCTGTGGGCTTGAATTTATAACGTTATATAATGAAAAAGAAATTAAAACAATGTGAGATTTGTTTTTCACATTTAATGAAGCATTGAAAATCAAACAGTAGGTTCTGTTATAATTTTGGAGGCATCGTTAATATATATTAACATTATGAGGATTACGTGATGGTATAATTGCCATTTCATATTTGAGCGGGTGCAAGTAATAAAGAGATATGGATAGATAAGCTTGGAACCGATCACTTAATCTGATTCATTTATTTCACATATTATCACATTGTCCTAATTACTGATGCCAACAACTTACTATGTGATACAGTATCAAAAACTGTCGGATCGAAGTAGATAATTGTCCTATCAAACGCATAAAGATTAATCAGCTGCTATAAAGTGGCGATTTTTTTTCTCACAAGAACTACGCTGATAAGGATCATTCACTTCAAGATATCTATGCAAATCTAAAATCTAAAAGATTTGGTCGCTCTGATATTCTTTTGGTTGATACAAGTTAAACTTGTCTGTGTAAATATATATATATATATATATCCCTTTTCTTAAAAAGGGTACGTCGAAATATAGAAATGTAAAGTTTTCATGATATGGAAATAATTTGGTGTTTTGATGGTTTTTCTTGATGTTTGCATTTTATTTAACCTGTATTTATGAATAACCATTCTCCTATTGCTCTCATGGTGTGTTCTAAATTCAAGTGCATGAGTATTTGCACTGCTTGGTTTTTACCTAAATAAATAAACAGTTATTATAAATAAATGGCCTCCAGAATTTGAATTAACACAATATTTTAGAATATTCTCACAAAGGAAAAGTTGGAGAAACTATAAAATTATTAGATACTCTAAGATATTTTAAGCTGCTCTGCATTTACAAACAATATCTCAAACAGTAAATTAAGTGCTCCTATTTATTGAATGCAAATTTTTATTTATTGCTGGCCACTTTTTTGGGGAATAGAATGGCTCAGTTGGTTGTTGCTCAATTTGGGGCGCCGATGCTGTGGTTCTACTCCTCGCAGGAGTAAACCTGTCCAAAAATCCGGGTGATTCTGGCGACTCACCTGTCTTTCTATCTCCAAGGGACTCCCTAGCATATTAATGCGACAGGCCAGCGGAGCGAGTTTAACCAGTAATGATGAGGACTCTTAAAAAAAAAAAAACTTTTTTATAGTCTTATGAAGAATGATTGAAATTTCAAAACAATCCATTCGATTTCAAAAGAAAGTCAGTTTTTATTTGTCCATACTTTTTAGTTTTATGAGCTCAGATGCTGCATCACTTTGGAGCGGATGTAGCACTCGTTCGTTTCGTTCGCTGAGGTATTGCGCTGCAGTGAATAGTAATGGGTTGGATATTTTGTGCAGAAATTGTTTCAAGTTTTATTTCCTTCCATAGGATACCACATTTTAAATACAATACTACGTTTTTACTTTAGCAGTGACTTATTGAAAATATTAGAGTAATAATGCTTAGACGAAATTTATAATATTAAGTAATATAAATGAAAGGGTTAAAGGAAAAAAAACAAAAACATTTTACTTTATATAGGTTGTTTGTTGGAGAAGAAGGAGAACGGAATGAGAATTATCGTTAGACGCCAACTGTTTAGATCGAAGGCGATGACGAAGCATTTTAAGCATAGGAAATTTCATTTTTTGACCCTAGCTTATAGTTTGAAAATATTGAAGTACTCGTTTAGATTACTCGGTGTGACTCAGATTCTCTCTCATACTACTCATCCAAAATGTGACATTTTCTCGAATTCAATGACAGACAGTGGAATAAGTCGTGGTACAACTGCAACATCAGTCTACTGCTCTCGTGACAGGTCTTCTTAGTGTTTTTGTCCATGCTTGTTGCAAATCTATAGATATATAGATATATATATTTGTAATATAAAAATACAAAAAAATCTTTATCGCATTGCAGATCCTTAATTTTCGATTCGATGACCAGTTCAAAGTTTGTTCCTGCTGAAGATGAGGCGTGCTGCTCAGGCCTTGCTAAGGCATTTATTATTAACTCAACATCGTGCGATCTGAAAAACGAGTCTATTATCAGGTACTATAATTTTTTGTGCGCTTCAAGCTTTTCTCTTTTATGAAATAATGGAGCCTTTTATAGATTTTTCTAACTGTTCGATGATCTTTTATTCTAATTGGCTTTTCAAATCCCTTTCTTGAATTCTTTTCTTAGATAAAGAATAAAGATAGAAGAGATAATTTATTACGAAGTTCTGTTCCCTGTAGGAGTAAGTCTATTCAAAAGTCCGAATGATGCTGGCAGCTCTCCTGTACTTCTTCGCCAAGGGGCTTCTGGCATCTTTGTTTCAGCTGACATGTAGTTTATACTGAGGTCATAGGTTTGGTCTCTTTCTCTTGAACAAACCTGTCATTAAATATGAGGTCTTGGTGATACTAGACTCCACTTGTATTTCTACTGATAAGTGATGCTTTTAAAAAGGCCTCAATTTATTAGTCAGTGCGGCCAGCCAAAACAAAATAAAAATTGTTGTTTGAAAGGAAAGTTTTCTAAGCATAACGTTTTTATTATTCGCAGATAAATTGCATTTACTTTATATTTCAGGCGTTCAGTCTTAATTGATGAAGATCAACAGTCATTGACGCAGACTCAGCGCAGTTTAGAATGGGATGAAGAATTCGAGGAATGTGATGATTCGAGGAATGTAATCGTTGAAAATTTAGATAATTTTAAGGATTCCAAGAACTCAAACACAGAACATAATTCGGTTTGTTAATGTGCTAAATATTTTATGAATTTAATGGTTAAATTTGGTTATTGGTAGATAATATTTGTAAATTCACTTTAGTTCATTATGTCTTTAGAAGATTAATAGGAGAGCAGAATAGCCGATCAGTTTAGTAATTGTTTAGAAACTTAGATTCGTATTGAGAGTGAATGATTCGACTTCTTCTCTAGACACGAGTAAACCTGTTATTAAAGAATACGGGTGGGGCTGGCAGCTCGCGTATACTTGTATAGTCAAGCGATTCCCTAACAAAAATTTCAATTTTTAATTTCATTTTTATTATTCGATTTTTTTCTACTTATGTGAGTTGAATTAAAGATATTGCTAGTCCCTAGCTGGAAGATTTTGGGTTATACTGTTGATGTTAGTGGCGTTTGTTCTTAAATAATGATTTTTAGTGTAAAGTGTCTTCGGGAAAATGTTTGAGAAAAACGAGAGATTTAATGGTTTGGGCTCATCAGAATTATCCACTGGATCAAGTTCGATTAAAAGTATATAATTTTTTTTCGTTTCGTTCCTTTTTTAAATTTCTCTCTAAAAAGAGAGTTTTAAAATTTATTGCATTTTCTGAGATTACTGTGTGAAGTGATTAAAGGATCCAAAAAAAAAATGAAGAATCGTTTAAATGAATCCCTTATGATTAATTGAGATGACTGAAAATATGAATTGACTGATGATTTAGTGTAATTACAATTTTCGTAAAATCTGTATGCACCGCTTTTGCGCATATCAATCATTTTTATTTTTTAGCCGCAAGTCGGAGTCGAAATTGGTTCTAAAATCTTATAATTACCAGATTTGCAGTAGTTTTGCTCTTTTCCATGGTTTTATTTAATCAGTTACATGATTACTAATGAGGAAAAAGAATGATCATCATTTACCCTATATCATATGAAGAAGATCTTTTAAATTCCTTCTCTTTAACGATCTTCTATGAATCGATCTTTAAGATAGCATGAAGAGCTAAAATATAGAACTCATTTTCCAGTATTTTAAATCGAACTTTCGTTTAAGAAACCAGTCTGTCTTTTCAGTTATTTTTTATAGCTATCTAGGTATTTTTATTTCGATAAGTACTAATTAATATTTTTGGCACTTTTTTAGTTTTGTTATTTGTAGTCTTATTGATTTTTAAATTTATGCTGGATTTTTTTGATAAAAATTAAAGCTCCTTTATCATCTATTATTTACGTCCACAAAGTATTAAATCAAAACTTAAAGCGTGGTGAAAATTTTTAAACTTGAAAAATAAAAAATAAAAATAAAAATTTATACAATAGCTTTATTAAATAATTAAATAATTTATTATTGAGCACATTGCACTTTTAATTGTTAGTGCAATTTAATTTTAATTATTTATTATATTTACATTGCAATAATTATTGCTTTAAAAGAACAAATAAAAATGCCTTTCACGAGGTGAGATGGTGAGACTTATCATGCCTGGGGCAATTATTTGTTTACCAAGAAATTTTTCTTTATTCGTCTTTCTTTGAAAAATTTAATATACTGTCTTTTTGTTATGCTATATTTATGAAAAAAAATTGCGATATTATTTTTATGGAAAAAGTGAAAAAAGTTGCATTGCATGACACAAAAAGTCGAGTATTAGATTGGATATAAAATATTTCACTTTTATTAGTGATGATGACGAGAATGATGATGACGTTCCTAATGTGCTAAAAGTGATATAATAGCAACCATGCCGATTTAACGAGGAATATTTATTCATTTCACGAAAGGGATTTTCATGCCTTAGGCGTCTTTATCAAATACGATTAAATTCAATATAAAGTAAAATGTTTTCTTCGATATGTTTATCGGATATTTATCGTGATTTTCGTGAAAGCTTAGTATTTAATATGAAAATGTACGCTCGACTTGATAATTTTTTATACAAATTAGAGATTTACACGAATAATGAATGAGAAAGATGATGGTGATGATGAATTATAATAGTAAAAAGTAATAATTTTTTCTTCAAAAGCATTTATCATTTCTCGACTCGTTTGAGACAATTTCGCCACGGATTCACTTAGCAAAGAATAGAAATACGGATGAGTCGTTGGATTTGTGATGGATTTACTCGTACTGGAAGTAGATCAACAATGCTAACGCTGCTCCGATTTGAGAGTAAAAACTCACTGATCCATACAATTTCCAATAATAATAATAATAATAACAATAATAATAATAATAACAATAATAATAATAATAAGTTTAATATCGTTTTTAGTGTGTTTAATTCGTAATTCAAATTAATATAGGTGCGATTAAATCTTTCTTAAAACAATTCGCTTTATTTTTTTTTCTTTTTTTCATTTTTTCATTTTTCATTCTCTTGATAAGTGCCATTCTTCTTTAAATATTAAACTTTATTCTCATTTTTTTTTTCAATTTATTTATTTTTATATTGAATTGGACGAATGAGAGAAAATGAGATAAATTTGAAAACTTTCTTCTTCATAAATAAAATTTTAAAATTAAATGAAATTATGATTTTTATATATTTATATTTTTATATATATATATATATATTATATATTATATTTTTATATATACATTTTGGAAAGTAAAAAAAAAAATTTGTAAATTTTTCTTTTTTTTTTTATTTATAAATAGAATGAAATTAAGAATTTTGCTATAATTTTATGGCTATAATTTTGTAAGTATTATAAACAATTAGAAAATTCGCGCAGATAAATAAAAAATTTTTTCATCGAATAACGAATAATGATAATAGTGCATTGAGCGAATACGATTCTTGAAGATATCCAGAATTATCATTGATAAAACTGAAAGATATTTAAATCACAAAACAACTCTATAAATAATACGTACAATATGTTTATTCGACCACTTTTTTAAAATCAACTTCTGAGGCTTCTGAGGTTTATCGTTTTTATCAATTTCTGAGGCTTTCTCTGCATCTTTTATCAACTTCTGATCTACCGTTTTTATCTATTTTTGAGGTCTGCTTCAACGTTTTATTAGGTTATTACTTTATGTAGTTTATTGAACAAATCTTTTAAGTTTTTTTTTTCAGTAAGAATTAAATAAAATGAGAAATGCATTGGTCTATTTAAAGAATTTTCTAAATTAAAGCAGATTAATTAAATTTTTTTTTTCTTGCAAAAATTTTACTTTTGAATTATTAATAGAGGGAATTGATTTCCTTTTTTTTTTTTTTTTTTCAGGTGTTCCGAGAATTATATTCTTTACGAGGTTTTAAAAGAATTGGCGTTGAACGAAACGGAAATATCAATGAAAATTTTTTAGCATCTGTATTACACATTATGCTTGCTCATAAAGTTTCATTTTTTTCTCGTCATAATCTAACGAATGCTCAAAAGGTTGGTTTTTAAAAATATCAAAATTTTCTTTTATTTATAAATTTATAATTTGTTTGTTTTATTATGATCAGAATTTTAAGAAATTTTCTCAAATTAATGAGCATTTTCAAAAAATTTTCTTATTTTTCATTTTTTTATCTTTTTTCTTATCATTTTATCAATTATTTTTTATTATAACAATTTTTATAAATATCTCTGAATTTTTCTTGTTGAATTTTTCTGCTTTCTATATTTTCTTTTTGTAAAAAACTTTGTTGAGAATATATTTCTTTGAAAAAAATTGAAAGAAAAGCATTAGCAGAAGCGAGAAAATGCAACAATAGCAGTGGTTAACAAAATATTGATGCAAGAAAATGAAAAACAAGTGTATTCATTATATTCTTTAGAAAATAGGGCTGCAGAACGAAATATAGTTGCTGTAAGTCAAATAAGAAGCCTTTGTTAAATGCATTTTTTTCTGGATTTATCTGGATGACAAAGTAACGTAGTTTTCATCCATTATATTGCTGAGATATTTTGAGAAATTCGTTGCGCTGTTGCAAAGATCGTAATTGCATACGCATCGAAACATATATTCAGGTGTATCGACTCTATCGTGCTCATTCGGTGTCATAAAGCCAAAATTATATTTCTGAATAAGGCTCGTCATACTTATTGTGCTTAGTCCTAATTAATGGATTGTATATTTCGAGATTTTCAATGAAAAAAGAGAGAAAAATTTTCAAAAAAAAAAAAAAACTTTCGCGAACAATGAAGATAGCAAAAAGAATCTTGATGAATTGTAGAATTTTGAAATTAAGAAATACTTAACTTTTTTTCGGTTTTTTAGGATTTTATGATATTTTCTTAAAATTTAGAAAATCGTTGCCTGGAAAAACTAAACGTTTTCAATTGATAGAACTGGAATTTAGTGAAGAATCATTAATTGAAAAACTTACTTCTAGTAGACATAGTGTCAAGATTTTATACACATTGTCTGATATACCAAATGCATTGTCATATGCTTTGGTCCAGTCAGCGTCTGGGCCAACACCAAAGAGTCTTCCTTGTTCTTGACGAACCGACGATGAAGGTATGATCACGCAATAATCCCATGTACTATTTGAAACTTCATACATTTCCCCCTATAAAATCTTTTTTTTCCTCTCGCAAAATAACATCGTTTAGATAAATCTAAAGATGAATCTTGCAAATACAGTTATTCGCAGTAATAATAGTTGATTTTGATAAAATCTAATTATTTACTCACTTCTAAATGAAAATTATTTATTGAAAATTTCTTTTCGGAATTGAATAAAATACATGTAAGAGAGATGACAGTATATTCCTTCCTTCTCCTTACTTTCCTTCTCCTTCTCCTTTATTCCTTCTCGTTTAAATTATAAAATTTATTCTAATTTCTAGTTTCTGTGTTATTCTAATTTTTTTGAGTAAATTACTTGAGATTTATAGAAAAGAACGATATGAAGTAATTTAGAAAACGAAATTATAAATTATTTATATTATGGTTTCTATTTCTTTCCATTAATGTAAGTAAATCTTTCAATAAAAAGAAACAGAAAGAATGTGATATAACTTTCAAAATGAACTGGCTGATAAGTAACAGATTTTTTCATTTCCAACTAATAATTTGTTATTTAGAATTGACAACAATTTAGAACAATTTAGAATTGTTAAGTTCAAATTTTCAAATAAAAATGGCAATGAAAAAAGTTTTTTATCTAAATATTATTCTAAATTATTCTGAAATAGCAAAAAATTATTATTTTTTACATTTTTTTTTTTTTCATCACCTTTATATGCGATTAGAAGATGGAGGACGATGGAGGATCATTAAACAGTCTAAATTCATTGTCCAAATTATTTTCTAAATGAGAAAGTGTTAGGATTCAAAACTGTTTTACTAAAGGAGTCGTCGTATTTTAAAATTCAAAATTGTGGCACTAAAAAGTCATCGTATATATTATTTTTTTTGGCTAAGGATAAACATGAATTCGATTTTTGTTTCATTTTCATAAAAATTTTTATTAAAAATTTTCGAGTAAATTTTTTATTAAAAATAATCAAAAAGAACTGAGTTACGCACCTTTTAAATAATTATCTATCAATCGAAACACTATAATTTTAAAATTTTATTAAATTTAATTTAATTCTATTCTATAAGAAATTTTTAGAGTTTTTAGAAGAGCAACGCAACTTAATTCTTTTAATTTAATTTGATTTTAATTGATTAATTTTAATTTAAAATTTAATTTTTATTTAATATATTTATTTAATATAAAATTTAATTTAAAACGTTCTTAAAATTTAAAACTTACATTTTCATTATTTTCATAACAAATTAAAGCGTGAGATGGTTGATAGAATGCGAGTAGAACGAAGATGATGATGGTGCATGAAAGTTGATGGAATGAGATTCGATGCGCTGCAGAATTCATTGTTGCAATTTTTTCACTAACACACACGCTGATGCTCTTGCTGTAACTAATTTTAATAGATTGATATATAAGTTGATATATAAAATCTAAAATGTAACTGTCGTTATTGCACTATTCGTTTAAGTCGAATTACGATTAAGGACTACGATTTTCTAAGTTCAGTAAATAAGGAAATGGAGAAGCACTTGTCGACTAGGTAACAAGTAACAAGTAATTTCTTTCTGAAATGGAATGATTTTTAAAAGGAGACAACTGGCTATTGGGGCGGAGTCGTTTTTGATAGCATTATTGGCATTTGCTGTTAGCACTTTTCTACATAATTATATTTTTCTTATGAATTGAGTTCGCGTAACTGATTTGGAAGATTTAGTTTTTTACTATGAAAATGATGAAATTTTTTAAAAAGAAAATGAAAAAAAAAAAAGATTATTGAATAGAAAAAATATTTAATTAAAAAATTCAGGAAAATTTTCGTTTTTTATTAGGGAAATATCCTTCGACTTTTGTCCGGAAAATATCTTTCGACTTTTATTCGGAAAATATCCTTCGACTTTTGTCCAGAAAACATCCTTCGACTTTTGTCCAGAAAATATCTTCCGACTTTTATCCGGAAAATATCCTTCGACTTTTATTCAGAAAACATTCTTCTTTTTTTATTCAGAAAATATTCTTCGACTTTTATTCACAAAATATTCTTCGATTTCTATCCAGAAAATATTCTTCGACTTTCATTCGGAAATTATCCTTCGACTTTTATCAAAAATTTTTGTTATTGTAAAGGAAATAGAAACAACTACAATTCACATGGGAATAATTTAAAAATTCACTAAAAGCACGAAATTGCAAAAAAAGTTTACATGTTTCTCCTTGTTCATCTGTTGAATTATAGTTGTTACTATAAAATTTTATATGAGAGAAGTTGGCAGTTTAATTATCAAATAAATAATATCGTAATTTTTTTTTTATCGAAAAATGGTAATTTCATAGGGCTAACTAAATGATTAAATAAAGTATATAAGAATATATAAGAACTTTTCGAAAAAATTTTATCAATTATCAAAATCCTATAATATAAACATTTGATTTTATTTTAGGACAAAAAAAAAATTAAATTTAATTAAATTGATTCAAAAAAAAAAAAAATTTAGATTTAATTTAATTTCGAAACTAAGAAATAGTGAAAAAAGCTTATGAACGACTGAATGATTTTTAGCAATAATAGTTAAAGGCTTTTTTGAGGCAATTATGATATATTAAAATTCGAGTGGTAAATATTTTAGTGTTTAAGGAAATTATTTATTATTCAAATCAATCTTAAAATTTCCTAAAGTGCACAATAACTCAATAATTTATGCATCGAAACATTGGCGTGTCAAAATATTTTCGCAACAATTTTTATCGCTTCTAAAATGAAAAATACCCTATTTTTTTTATTTATCTAAATTTCACTTATCACTAAACGACCATCTTTTTTTTTTATGATCTTTTAGTTATTAGTTATCTTTTAGTTAATAGAGGTGATAAAAATTCATTCAGTTAAATACTTTCATGCAAAATTATTTTTCTTTTATATTCCTACTTATGTGTATACTCTAAAATATTCTTTTAGAAAATGAATTTTAACAAACCATTAAAGATATTCGTATTTAAGAGCTCTTACTTAGGGAAATAGTTAAGGCGAAATGCAGTTTTTTTTTCTCTTCCATTATTTTTCCTATGCACAATATTTGCCCAATTATAGATCATCAAGAAAAATTTATTTGTTTTTTGAATAAATTTAATTAAAAAATTTTTTGTTCTAACAACAAAGTCAGACGTTTTTTAGGTTTTATATTGTAGAATTTTTTTTCTTATATACTTTACTTAGTTAACACATGAATTAACTTCTAACGGCGAAAAAACAATGGAAAATGGAATGGCTCAATGGGTTGTTGCTCAAATTCGGAGCGCCATTGCTGAGGTTCTACTCCCGGCAGGAATAAATAAATCTGTCTTTCAAAAATTTGAGTCTTGCTAGCGGCTCACCTGTAGTTTTCTATCAAAAAATGGTTTATATATATATTCTTTTTCTTCTACTAACAACTCTCACCATTATTGGATATATTGGTTCCGCTGGCTACAAGGTTAAGACGTCTCCAAGTCTCTCAGTCCTATGCCACATCGTTAGTAGCAATAGAAGCCATTCCCTTTTCCATCGTCTATTATATTGTTGGTTCCTCTATACATTCAAATTCTTTCCTGGCTGTCCAGTCTTGATTGGCCCATCTCGCTTTTGACGCCATCTATCAGGTTAGCGGGTTAGCAAGTAACGAAATATGTGACAACTCTTGTGGTGGACTATGGAGACTATGTATATATATATATATATATATATTAAATATTTTTATATGTTTTTATCAGAAATAGTATTTAAATATGTATTTCTTGATATATTGTAAAATACTATTTTTTATTATTTAAATTATTGAGTTATTGTGCACTTTAGGAAATTTCGAAATTGATTTGAATAAATAATTTCCATATGCTCTAATATATTTACCACTCAAACATTTACATCATATTTGCTTCTGACAATATTTTCTGATTTTTTCCCTCTCATTCATAGCATTTAATATTAATTGAATCGTTCTCGATATACTGCTTACTCTCTATTCTATATTCAATTCTAAATTTAATTCAAAAAAAAAATGTTTTTTTATCCATTTTTGATTTGATGGAGATTAATGGATTTGTTTAATTATATTATGAATTTATTATATGAATCCACTAAAACTGGACGGTTTTCCATTACTTTGGTTTCATAGAGGATTTTAGGATTTTAGAGTCCTCAAAAAACTCTTAGGTAAAAATTTAGACCTTATCTTCTAATCACATTTCAAAAGATTAAATGATAAGAATAAAGTCCATGATTTCTCAATTCGAGAAATCCATGATTCGAGCAATAGGACTGAAGGATTGTTTGCATGTGTGCTTCGTGTGCGTTATATTACTGAATTTCAGGCTCTTACAGTTGCGTTTTCGAGATTTGATTTTCTCAAGCAATGGCAATTTTCGCGAGATATCAGTCAGAGATTCATGGTTAATCAAACACCAATTGATGATGAGAAATCGATTGCAATTGAAACATTAAAAGTTCTATGGGAAGTAGTGAGTATTAACTCATTAAAATATTATCAGTTTTAATAGGTGCTTTAAAAATCTGAAATACCTGTGTCGGATTGAGCAATGGCAATTTTTACCATCATTCAAAAATTTTGAAAAATTTAAAAAACCAGTTAAGTAAAATTATCCACGATTGCAACAAAAGTTGAATTCAACGTCAGTGTAAATAAAGGAAAGTCTTTTCGTTTTATATGGCTGACTGTGGTAAAATGCCTATTTTATCATTTTATCAAGGGTTGGAGAAGTAGCAAAATTTTAAATTCTTTTTTGAATCCACTCATGCACGAAATATCCAAGCGAAAGGCGAAACTACACCGGGGATAACAGCTAAAAATATATTCTTTCATCGGCGAAATCATTATGGAATCATCGCCGCAAAATCACCATCAAAAATTCTATCTGGCAGTGCCATCACTGCTGTTACATTGCTGCGAAGCATGGCCAGTGAGAGCTTAAGATGTTAAATTTTCTACCTTTAACCACTCTAAAGTAGATTTTATTGTGTTCGCAGACGAAATCCCATGTGGCTGCATTTATCTTCGCTCAAACATTTTATATATTACATGCATTCAAAGTTTCGTCACAGATTGTCGGTTCCGCCGTGTTCTTCGCCTTACATCGCAGGAATTGATCTTGCTACTTGTTAAACCTTTTAATATATGGCATTAAAAACGAGTGAGACCAATAAAGACCTGGGCCGGCATACTCAGAAGAGATTTTGAATGGGAGTGGCCCAGCGATATATGGGCTTAGATGATGGAAAGAGGAATGGTTCTATCTCAGACATGGCATGGATCGAGGTCTTATCTTTGCAGCCAGTGAAGTTAGCCTAATCAGTAATGATGAGAGGTGTTAGAAGAAGATAAATAAGTTAAAAATAGTAATTTGATAAATGACTGTTGGAATTCATAGCTAGTAAACTTACTTTCGGCACTTTTTGCTGAAACAAAGAATGAAGACGGCTAAGTGTTTTACAAAGTAGAATTTTATTTTTATGTGTAAAGATAACGAATTTATGTTATCATTAATAAGTTGATTCATATGTATGTTCGAAAGCATTCTTTTCAGGAACAACAGAAAGATGTGTTAGGATCTAATATAGAAGGATATTGTATTGAAGCAATTAGGCTTTTATTGGTATTGAGGATGACAAACGCTTTTGATGCTTATCAAAGGAACCATCTTTCACCATCTTCCTTCTATTACAAAGTCTTTATCAAATATGATCCTCGATTTATTGCCAAAAAACTTCGCGAAGCAGCTTATGAGCAGGTATTTTAGTTTTGATCGAAATGTGATTGATCAACGACCTTAAAAAGGAATGAAGCAGATTCTTTATTATTCAAAATTGCAGGAAGAGCTGTATATTTTGGTGGATACTTTTAATATTGATCTCGAAATAATCGATACCGTTTTAATGGTTGGCTCACATGAAACTTCATCTAATTATTGCTATTCCGTTGACGAGATGTTTCTTATTACGGATAATAATGTCGACAATAAGCTTTCCTCAGCTTCAAATGCTAGCCCCTCATTACGCTCAAAAAAGCCTTTATTATCATTCCTAAAAGTCAGACCTCATAAGCTTTATCCACTATTTCATAGTCTTGAATAGACTGATCTAAAGGAACTAATTTATGTTTAATTTGAGTTCTAGTTTTCCATTTCATGAGAATTTTGTGGATTTATTGCATTTTACATAGAGTGCTGATAACGAGAGATGTAAATTTAATTATAAATGCTTTTATTCCATACCTTTAGGTAAAACTTTTGCAAACTAAAAAGTTAAAAAATGAAGAAATAAAGAAAAAAGAACACGAGGAATTTATCAATCTTAGCAAAAATTTTTTATTCGATCGAAAGGATTATTGTTGATTATTGGTTAAATTTAGTTTTTAGCCAGCTTCAGTGAACTCAAATAAAATAACTCAAGTGAAATGATGAGTAAAAAAGAATTTATCTGATAAAATTATTTGAATTTTTAATAATTATAATAAATTTAAATAAAAATTTCGGTTATTGCTTATTTTACTTTAATCTTTTAGTAATAATTTTTGGGTATTATTTTCTGTCCGCTTATTTCTTGTAATATGTAATTCTCCTTCAGTATTGTCTTTAGTACAATTGAAGAATTGCTGGTCTTTTTTATTTATGTATATATGTGCTTAAAAATTTTTTTATCATATTGTATTATTATTTTTTTATTCGTTTAATGCTTTCGTCAAATATTATTAGATGATCTTTGTAAATTTTTGTGTTCCAATTTTTTGTATTGGAATAGTTTTTTCTATTTATGAATTTTCTTTTTAACAATAAGTTTCACTGTAGTAGAAATATCGTTATCATATGATTAAGTTGATTATATTTTTTTATTCATTTATTTAATGAAAAAAAAAAAGAAAGATACAATTTTCTTCCTCTGAATTTTTTGGATGACGTCGCAAAGGCTTTTCATTACAATTAACGAATTATTCTCAGTAAAATAAATGTGAAAGACGCTTATTATCACTGTTTAATTGATTTTTTTTTTCCTAATTTTACTTCATAATTAAAGCTATTCAAGAGGCTATTCAGTGTATTTGTAACTAAGAATTAAAAATAATTTAGACTGAATTTTATTGCAAAAAAAATTTAAGGGATAAAAATATAATAAAAATTTAAAGATTTGATTTTGAACCTTATTTGTGTCAAATTTTTAGCGTAAAGTTCTTAGATATATTGTTCATGGATATATGTCTAATGTCTAATTAAATCTGTAATTTTCTCTTTTAAGCTATCTGAATTGAGATAAAATTTAGCCTTTTTAATATTCGCAATAATATAATTGATAATTGATATTTGATATTTGATATTTGCTGATTTGATAATTTGTAATTTAATACTGTTTTTTTTTTCGAATTTTATGCATATTTTTGCTCAAAATCGCTTTATGGTGTTTGTTTTTTGCTCTTAACACAATCTTAATATAGTTTTATTTGTATGAAGACCTCAGCGACTAAAAAATAGAATATTGTACGAAAGCGAATAAATTGTTCAATCTATTTTAGCACATATAAATTTGTATTTGGTGCGAAATGATTGCAAATCATCACATTTTGTCTATATTTTTGAAAATGCATCTGGATAGAAATAAATCTTAATAAGTAATCGTACTGGGTTGCAAAAAAATGAACAATGTCGTAATTATTCATAGAATCGAAGAATCAAAGAATCGAAGAAACCATGAAGGCTTATTTATTATTCTAGAAAAATGTTTTGAATTTTTGAATTCTTATAAGCAGTAATGATTGTTAGGCGTAAATCAGTCATCAAAAGTGAATTGTGTGGTGACTACTTTGGGTCCAACTACACGTCTAGCACCAAGTAATATCTCAAAAAGAAACAAATTAAAGCCAGTGTAACGAGAAAAAATATATGCTATTTGAAGAAAAATGATTATTTTAAATTTTAATTTAATTTTTATGTTTTTCATTAATATTATCTGCTTTAATGATAAATTCCAAATAAAATAAAATGATTTTGTAGAAAAGAAGATGAAAAGAAAAAGGAATATCTCGCATTAGAAAATAAAATTTCCATAAATACATATACACTGATAATGATAATTTATTAATTGATTTGCGATAAATTTTTCCGATAAAAATTTTTATTGTTTAAATTTCATTTTTTGTTTAAATTTACATCAAAATCTATGGCAGTGATTTGTCGGTGAAAAAATGAATTTCAAATAATTTGTCAAATTCAGAAAAGTATGAAGTCAAGTCGGAAAAAAAAAATGCGAAAAAGATTATTGGAAAACGAAGAAATTCGAAAAAATTGGAAATTTTTCCGACAAAGTGAAAATCTAAAAGAAAATTTTTAAGAATTTTTTAAACAATGCTAATTACAGGTGCTTATAATTCTAAATTGCTATTAGCGTTTAAATGAGCTGAAAAAAGTCAGTCATTTGAAAATAGAGACAAAAATTCGCCTCCGTAGCCACTCCAATTTTACATTCAGTAGCAGTGAATGGCAGTACAGTGATTTCTATCAAGGAAAACAAATGGAATCCCCTACTGTTTATGTGTTAACGAATTATAATATAATAGAATTGGCATCATCATCATCATTTTCTAACACCTCTCACCATTGTTGTTTTGCCTGTCTGTTCTGGCGATCACGAACCGTTTAGGCCCATATATCGCTTGGCGATTAATTTAAAATCCCTTTTGACCGAATCATCCCAGATCTTGATTGGTCTTCTCTTTTGAAATCATCTTCTGGACTGGTTTGTTTGCAAGCAAGTAGCAAGTACCATAACTCAGTCTATTTACATAGCTGAAAATTGCAGATAAACTGCTCCAAATGTTAATTGCTGAAAAGTTTTATATAATTAAACGTAGTCGTTATGCCGAAAGCATATATTGGTAGCAAAAGTTCATGTTCCTTAGCAAAGCAAGGAAAAAACGCTCTACGTTACGTAACAGAAGAAAATTAAGTATTACGCATATTACGCACCACGTAGAAATTCTAATCCTCAACTATATCGGTTTAGTGAGAGATGAATTTTAACAGATCAATCTGCGCAAAATCTAACAAAAAAGCGAAACATTGATGAACTGCTTCGAAACGAATATAGACTATCCGATTATTAACGATTGGATCTGATCTTATAGTTTCATATATGAGAATAACAGCTCTCCCTATTTTTCCATGATTTGTCAAAAACATCACTGCAATTATTAATTCTTATCCAAACCAAATTTAATTACTGCTCAGAATTGGGGAGAGGATTTCCAATTGAGCGATATCTGGAATGATTATCGCATGATTACTGCAGTCATGATTTTCATGTGTGCATATAGAGGCTGACATTTGTTTCTTTTTTCATTGGACAATCTTATTTCCTTGTTTTTAGAACTAGCAAACTAGCTTTTAGAACATGATTACTCTTACTCTTGAATCATCGTGGAATCACCATAAAGACGAAAATCCGCTTCCATATAGCTGCAATTCGTTCAATCTTGCAAAACATGACCAATGACAGTGGGAGATATTAAGAAGTTATTAGCCTTTGACCACGCATGTCTAAGGTACATTTTACGGATTCGTCGAACAGATAAAATCGCACATGATTGTAAACATCTTCTCTTAAATACCACCTATATTAATAATGTTATCACAGAGCGTCGCCTTCGCTGGTTAGGACACGTTTTCCATCGTCCACCACAAGAGTTGCCGCATATTTCGTTACTTGCTAAACCGTGTGATGGACGGCGTTAAAATCGAGGTGGGCCAATCAAGATCTGGACTAATACGATTAGGAAAGATTTTGAATTTATAGGGGGACCAGCGATATGTGGGCTTAGACAGTGGAAAATGGAATGGCTTATACTATTACTATTCTATTATTTCTAGGATGACGTCGGATTGAGCAGCTTGAAGATGTTTTTCTTACTCTTATAGCCAGCGAAGCCAGCCTAACCAGTAATGATGAGAGCTGTTAGAAGTACCATCACGCTAGAGATACCATGCAACTTTTAATCTTCTCGCCACAGTGTCTCTTGGGAATTAAAATGCAGCTGGACATCTAATAGCCACACAAATTTGAATTGAATTACAGGTTCATTCCAACCAAAGCAAATAACGAAATAATTTCGCGACTACGATAACTAGGAAAATATAAAGAGAAAAATTAAGGAGAAATAATTCATTATTTTTTTTTGATTTTAATTCTTTTTTGAACCATTAGAAAAGTTAAATTGTTAAAATAAAAAAGAAACAGACCAAAAAAAAAATAACGACGACTATTTGCGGCACTTAACAAGTCGAAAAATCCACAGTAAAGTGATAAGTGATAACAAAAGCAATTAAGAGAACACGTAAATATATTATCTCTGCCTCATTAATGTGAAATGAACTATTAATTTTTTTGACTTAAGAATGTTTTTTCTTACATTATTAAATTGAAACAATGCAACTTGCGATTTTTTAAATAAATATTTAATAAATTTTTTAAAATTTTTAATATTACAAAAAATTTTATTTATTGATTAGGAATTTAGTTAGATAAAATATAAAAATAATTTTTCATGAATTTCGAACAGCTTTTGCCATTTGCATATCGAATTTAATATTATAAAAATTTTAGAAAATTTTTATTGGAGAAAAAACTTAAGAAAAATGTAATAGCGTATTTCATTTAGTGCAAGTCATTAATAAATAAACTACAAAATAAATCATTGGCAGTAATTGAGATTTTTTAGTGGATTTGTTATTGGAAATTTAAACAATCGTGTAAAAAAAAAAAAAAAAAAAAATTTCAGGGAATTCTCTTTTTTTTTTAAATTTAAAAAATTAAATATTAGTTTTGATTAGAAAATAATTTTATTAGAAATTCATTTTCGATGAATAAGTTATGTATTAGTTGCATATTTTTATTATTTTATATATTTATTGTTATATATATATGTTGTTTCATCCAGTTTTTCATTAACCGTCTGAAATTTTTTTGAATAGTCGAAATTAATAAGTCTCGTTCGCTACATATTTAACTTTAATTATTCATATTTATTATGAATATTTGGAAAGAATTTATCTTATGAAATGAGCAAGATTTAGTTAAGCTTTAAGTAGAACGAATAAAAAATTTATCTTATCTTATCAAAGCGAGAATCATAATAGTTACACTTGCGATTTCTTATTCTAATGCCCGTAAATACTCACAAATATGTTAATATTCAGGAATTATTGAATATTTTTAAATATATTGAAAATATACAATGATAACTATAGTAACTATAGTATATTATTGCGCTTTTTATTGGAAAAAAAATTTCGTACAACAGTTCATAAATGATGAAATGATTATGGTACCATCATGCCCCTAGGTAGGTTACATTAATCACTATTGGTCGTATATTGTTGAATCAGTAAACTCGTCGTTTTCTTCATTAATAGTGAAACCGAATGCATAAGGTGCAAAGATTTTAGATATGCCACAGTCTGATGGACAATAAGATGCAGGTATACCAGCTTCACCAGGCGTTCCCCAAGGCCCATGCTCACCATAGTCACCAAGCTAGAGAAAAAATAAGAATAAAAATTCGAAAAGCACGTTTTTAATGGTCGCTTGAAACTGGAGATAACTTTAAATGAATTTGGATTTTCGTTAATATTTTTCCTTAAATAAAAAATTCCTTAAATAAAAAAAAGGAAAAATTATCATTTAATTTAAATTTACTGAGAAAATGGAAAAAAGAAAGATTAATAGATGGGAGAAAAAAGCAAAAAATTTGCTGGATGTTTGCTTGATACCAATGCATAGTGAACGAAATCCTTTTACTATGGTATTTACTTTCAGTTATTGTATTTTTCAAAATAGTGATAGAAAGCTTAGTTCAAAATTTAGTTTTTCACAGAAATGATAGTTGAGAGAGAACGAATCAGTTGGAATAAGTAAGCCTTAGGGGACAAAACAAGAAAATTGATTTTTGGGTCCTCCAAACATGATACATTATAATTATAATTGAGCCTACGATAACCATAAAATAACGATTCCAGCGCGTTCACTCGGTTTGATATTTCATTTTGATCTCTTTCTTATGCGAGTAAGCAGTTAATTCTATCTTATATTTTGTCCCTTTATCTCCCTCCAATCGTAATTTTTTTAAAGAAATTTTGTCGTTAAAATGAGAAAGACCTATAGAAAAACTTTTTTAAGCCGCCAGCAAGTTCTTCATGGACTTAAGAATTTGATCGTTAAATCGTAAAGTTGTTTTATTTGCTTACAAATAATAATACAAATGAGAAATATGTAGAAAAATAAAAATAATCGGTCACCTTTCCTTCTGGTCCAGGTGGTCCGATTTTTCCCGGTTTTCCAGCAACTCCAGGTGTGTTCGAAGGACGGCCTGGCAGTCCAATAGGGCCTTTCGGTCCTCTTGCACCAATAGGACCTTTTGGTCCCTTGGATCCGGTTCCTCCTTAAGCAGAAATGTTTTAATGATGGTGATTTTCAACAATATGATCTAATTTCGTCTCCATTTGAAAATTTTCACCAATGCTTACCTATAACAGCGTCACCGACTGGCCCTTTTGACCCATCTGGACCAGGTTGTCCTTTGTCTCCTTTTGCACCAGGTTTTCCTATAGGCCCTTCTTCACCGTTGACGCCAGGGCGACCTGCAATCAACTACTAAGGAATCAAGAGTAAATAAACTACATATTAAATTAAAAATTAGTGCATACCTGGTAATCCAGGAATGCCTTCAGCACCTTCCATTCCTCTTTCTCCTTGAAACCCTCGTCGTCCTGGTGGACCAGAAGGACATATTGTACATGGGAAATTAGGCATAATATCGAGCATAACTTCATTTCCGTCCAAGCCAGGTTTACCCATTTTTCCTGGTGCTCCAGGAACACCATCTAGTCCAGGGGGTCCTGTTGGTCCTGCTTGCCCCATTGGACATGCTAGTCGTACACATTCTGTGCAAAAAAAATTCTTCGAATCTTATATAAAATTAATATACTTGAATTGAATTGAATTTTGAAACTTGATTTCGATACCATTTTGTTTCACAAAGTCGAGAAAATAAATTATTGGTATAAAAAGTGGTCGAGAAAATAAATTATTGGTATAAAAATTAAAATAAATTTGCTTCGAATTAGAGCAGTTTATTGAGATACTATTAGTTTTTCTTCTATAGTCTACAATGTTCAATAATTAATTAACGTTTAAAAATTTATACGTCCACATTTTTCCGCCAATTTTCGAAGAGGACTCGGATTTTGACGTACAAAGCGACCGTTTGAATTATGCATTTTTATTAATTGTATCCAAAGCATTGAGCTTCTCTGCTGAAATATTTTCGCATTCGCTTAATTCTTTCTGGATTAAAAGTTTTGTTTGAAGATAAAAATTTAGATTTTATGACTTAATAGCTTAATATATTTCGTTATGGACTTCTTTCATTTCTTCTTTTTCTAACAGCTCTCACCATTGTTGCGCTGACTACAAGGGTCTTCAAACTGCTCGATCCGCTCGTCGACAGAAGTCATTCCCTTTTCCAAATCTAAGTTCATATGTCGTTGGTCTTCCTATACGTTTGGAATCTTTCCAGTATGGATTTTTAGAAGTCGCCTTAGCAATTTTATTAAAATCTGTTGCAACCGACATTTTAAATTATTTTCCTAACAAAGAATCTTTCTTTATTTCCATCATTTTGTTTTCCAGATCTTCTAAAAACATTCAATATTTTTACTTTGACTAATCACTGCTATGGTGAGATCATTTCACCAAGGAATGAAATTGGGATAGAGCTATAAGCAACACTCGGATTACTCTTTTAATGATAATTTGACTCCAATCAAAGGCAGTATCGAACATGTCGAGCATTACCTAATATACCATTGTATGCGAAAGTTCTAGCGACAAGTTCTATTTTGGATTCATCAAGGCACAAAAAATGCGGCGTCAGAAAGTTTATGGATGTTGGGACTCGAGTACTGTATAAACTCGACAAAAATATCACGAGGATACCACTTGCTTTTCTTATCGAAATACCGTTTTTTTCACTCTAGGTCTCGAGCATTTATGGTGCTCAGCTCGCGAAGATATTGGTTGTATCATAGTGACGCATAATTCGAAATGAAAAGATGTGGCTCATAGCTACATGAATTTGATCAACAGAATCTATCCCGTCTTAATCATGATCGGGTGAGATGCACGCGTACTAGACGTCATACTATTCTTCTGAGCGCCTGAAGTGCCAATAAAAAACATTTTTATCGCTTCGCTAATAGTATGAGCCTTTTGGTACCAATACATATTTTCAACGCCGGATAAGCCATTTAATTACCATGAAAAAAAGACCCCACATTTCTCCGCCCATACTATTAATAAAGACCCCATACTAGAGATCTTCGGCCAGATTAATTCTGGTCAATCGCCGGTGATAGAATTCCGTAGATGTTTTTATCGCTGTAACTGGCACTTCAAGGATCATGTTATAGACTAATCCAACATCCACAACCGATGACAACCAATCTAATCTAATTCGATCCAAAATCTTTGGATTATCTGAACCCAGCAAATTCGGACATAGTTAGTTTTGGATCGAATTATTAAAGGCTCTCGATGATCTGAACATCAGTAACATCTCTAAAACAGCCGATGATTGCAGATTACAGTTGAACGCTTATCTCTTAAAATCGACCAAATCCATTTTATTAGGATACACCACTTGGAAATGAACTATTTGGGTCTCGAAAGAAACAATCCAATTGTCCAAAAGCACCAACAGAGCTGGCACATCAATGGAGTCTATTTTTCTAACCTTATGAAGGTATAGTACAACACAAGCATCCCTGAATATGGTGACGATTTCTCCAGTGGGTTCGAAAATTATTTCGATACCTTCGCAATCATAACGCGGTAAAATCCAAAATAAAGATGAAATGTTATTTGGAGCTCCCAGCACTCATCGTTAATGAAGGACAGAATTCTTTGAGACCACTTTTAGTTGCTCATCGAATAGAATGTCATTCATATATATATATTATATATTTTTTCTCATTTTTCTCATATATCGAACATGAATATCATCTATCATCTACATTGATAATATCGTTAAAGAGCGCTGATTGCGCTGGTTAAGCCATGTTTTTCGCCTCATGTTGCATAATTGATAAATCTGGCTAGCTGCTGAGCCTTGTGATTGATGATATCAAAAGCGAGGAGAACCAGTGAAGATTTCGATTGATATGTTTAGGTGAGATACATCGACAGTCCATCGGTAGTCGAATTTAGAAAAAAGTGGCTTTTTAAACAATAGCATCGGTGATTTGGCACGGTTTTTTAGCCAACAAAGAAAAAGATGGATATAAATTTTACAAATTTACAATCTACACATTTATTCCTTTAGATTCATGATAGTTATTTCTTTCGATAATTCTTACCTTATAGAAATCGCTTTTTATTTCCACTTCGAATTGCATACTTTTTGCTTCTTGATAAATTATCAGCATTGCTCCTAGTAGTGTGACGAGAGTAATTATTGAAATTAAAACTGCAAGAAGTCCATAGGCGAAGTATCGATCGCTTCTGCTATTTTTATTCTTAATAAACAGATATATATTTATATATTTTATAAGCATATATTTAACTGATTATTGATAATGAACATGATTGATTTATGATAGTATTTATCACTTAGAATCGCAGTTAATCGCAGTTTTTAAATCTCTAAAATTCTCTGTAATTTGTTTTTTCCCGACATTAATCACAGCATCATTCGTGCAAAATTTTTATTCAAATAATGTTAACCAACTTATTTGATTGAAAAGAAAATTTGATTGATTTAATAAAAAATTAAAATTTTAGCGTTAGATTTTGATTTGAATTTTATTTTTATCGAATAATAAAATTTTTAATTTTCATAAAAATCAATCTGAAAATTATAAATTCTGAAAATTAGATGTGTTCTGAGGATTACACATTTTTCCATGCTAAATTCATGCTAAAAATAAGATTAACGCACTGCATGGAAAATTTTCACAATGCATTTTAATTATAAAATACGAGGGAAACACCAGAGAATGTGGAAATTTAATCAAGCATCTCATTTAATAAAAATCATTTATTTTATTCTCAATCTCCTTACCATAGGCCTGAGAGATTGAGAATAAGGCAGGTAAATTTTCAGAGAACTTCATCCAAGAGTCCTTATCGGCAAGGTAGAAAGGAATGGCTACGGTTCGAACCGTTGCTACAATTGTTGCATTAATTAGCCATGAAATCTGATAAATTTTACTAGAAAAATTTAGCTTATATGAAAAAGATTCGTTAACTACGCAGTTGTCTATTTTTTCGAATAACTTCATTTTTTTTTTTGAAAACAGTCACCATTGCTGGTTTGCTTGTCCGGCTTGTCGCAACAGACAAAGGGGTTATGGAGTCCCTTGTCGATAGAAATGCAAGCGAATCACCAGCATCACCTGGATTGATACCCTCTTTAGCCAAATTTTAAATGATTTATATTTTAGGCTTAAAGAGAATAAGAATAATGAGACTCTCGAGATGACGAAAGATATAGCGATGAATTTAGTGAAAATAAATTTCGAAATTTCTTACCTGTGGAAATGAGTACTGGTCATTCATTGCTGATAGATTTCTCAAATATCGACTATTCTCTGACCAGTTGTGACCAACGACCCAATTATTAGATCACCATTCCTGGCATTGCTATTTCGCATACTTTTATGAAGGCCAAACTGGTATACATGAACTAAATTGTTTAAATGATAAACAGATACGAGGGATCGGTCATAGTGCATTTCTAATTCACAATTCCTATAACCTTAATGTTAAGGAATTTACCATATAATTTTTTTTTGTTCACTTTTCATTGCTTTTGATTCTACTATCTCATTGATTCTACTAAACTTATCCATATGGCTAGTTGGGAAATTCTGTCAATTACTGGTACTTTAGTGATAAGCCAGAATTAATAAACATTGCCTTTAATAGTTTAATATTTCAATGAAAGGTTTTTTTAACACTAGCTTTTCACAATTTTCTAATTTTTATTTACAATTTTACAATTTTTAATTTTTTATCTGTTTTTTATCATTTCATTAGAAAAACGGCTGAATCAATCTTTCAGCTCACATTAGCTTCTTCTAATGGAAATTTGGAAATTGAGCTTAATATAACCTTTCATAGTCCCTACATTCATTTATAATATTTATTTATGACGAGAATAAGAACAATAATAAATAAATAGTAACAATAATAATAAATAATAGCTTAGAAAAACTACGGAAGCGACAATCTTCATCGGAAGTCTTTAGGCCATTAAAAGAAGCCTTAAAATCAAATTATTTGCTTTAAAAAGGGAAAAAAGCTCTCTTTAAATCTCTTTACTCATAGTATAACACTATTTTTTTGCAACCCATAAACCTTTTTATGATAAAGTTTCAGATATGTAAGTACATAATCATTTGGATAACAATAAATAAAATTTTAGAAATATACTCAAATTAAAGCAAATGAAGCAATTTTAAAAAATTTTTGCAGAACTCTTCCTCCTATGCCGTAATTTGATCGCTTTCATCGTCTTGGCCGGAAGCAAACTTTTTTTTAAAGAGGTCGAATGTATCGCAAAAAAAGTAGATTTAAGAATTTCGCAAAGAATATTTGATTTAACTAATTATTTATTGACCTCAGCAATTTGATCGGCTATAATGTTTACTTTTAGAACATAAAATGTAGTTATTTTTTTTTTCAAATATTTTCGCCAAAAATTTCATTGTTTCTATTGTTTGTACTGTTTTATATTTGCTATTTTTGTATATTCGTCACTTGATATTCATTTTATGATGTCCATGGAAAAATTGGATCCACATCACATTTTTGCTGAAATAACTCTTTAATTATTATTCTAAAAAATTTATATTTTTCATCATAAAATTTAAAAATTTTAAAATTTTAAAGATTCATCTGCCATATTTTAAAAAATTCACTTAAACGTAGATTCGTATGCAATTCTATTTATATTCTAAATATTTAAAAGGCTTCTTTCAGCTGAATTTTTTCATATCATTAAGCGCATAAAAGCGCGAAATACAATAAAATATTATTAAGTATTAAATATTATTATTAAATATTAATAAATATTATTATAATATTATGAATTACACTAAGAAGATTTTACGATGAATTTTTTTTTACTTTATAGTTATATTAATTTTTTTTACTGGAAAAGTTTTTTATAGTAAGGAAAAATGAATAATCAAAAGATAAATGATCAATTTAGTTCATGTATACCAGTTTTTGGCCTTCATAAAATGATAAATGATAGTGTTTTGGCAAACATTTACACGGAAATCTTTTAGCTGTCCAATAGAGAAAAAGAGATTTTTAGCACGAGATCTAATTTTTCTTGTAAGCTTACAACCTGCCATATGCAAAATTTTTCGTCTAAAAGTTTACAAAAAATGTGCTCTTTTATAAAATAAAATTCTGCAATGAAATTTAGCATTAATCTTAATTTATGCACAGCATAAGCAGTGAATATCCAATAATTTCTGCAAACTTTATCCAAAAGTCCTCTGAATTTTGATTGTTCCAACGAGCTTCTAAAATAAAATTCAAAATTTTTTCATTTATGGAGAAAAAACTGAACTACCTGGAAAAAGTTGATGAAATCTGTAACTTCGATAAATTCATCATTTTTACGATCAAGTCTCTGAAATTTCTTTTAATTTTCCATGTAATCTAGATTTTTCATCATTTTGTATTTTTTGATATTATTAATACTTCTACTTAATACTTTTACCATTAATACTTTTCATTACTTTATTACTTTTATTATTTTACTGCTTTTTTTATTTATTGCTTTTTATTATTTATTTTTATTTATTACTTCTAATTCTTTTTATTAATACTTTTTCGTCATTGTCGTTAAAATAAAGTGGATTAAATTGATTTCAATGGTTCCATCTTTGACTGCTCTAGTCGAGGCTACTTAAGTTATGGGCTATGTCAAACAATTGTTTCACAACTTCTACTGGTAAAGTAAGTAAGCATTCAACCGGATCAATTTTCTTCACATAATCTGTATTAAAGTATTGTATAATCTTTATTAAATAAAAAATGTGTCTCACTTCTAGTGTCTCACTAACTATACGTTCCACAGAAGGTAAAAATTGGCGATGACTGCTTGATGCACGAAAATTGCGCGCCTCATCCAAAATAGATAAGATACAACACACGAATTTTGTTAAATCCTGTAAGCGTATCATTTTTTACTGATTTTTTAATTTCACCAAGTAGAAGAATGAAAACAAAAACTTATAATTTTGTAAATTATAATTATTTTCGTGAAAAATTTTCAATCTTTCTGAAAAAAATTTACAGATTAGGTTCTGTGAAGCAAGCATAACGAAAGGCCGCTGCTGGCTATGTTGATATTAATATGTTATCATTTATTATCACAGTTGTTACTAATATTGCTGTTATCTATTATTATTTCCATTTCTGCTATTTACTAATTATTTCTGCTTTTGCTATTTATTATTCAGTTATTACTATCATTATTTCTTTAATATTATTTATTATTAAATTATTACTATTATTATTATTATACTTCTTAATATTAATATTATCAATTTATTTTTGTTTTAAATTATATTATTGTTTACTCCATTCCGAATCATTTTATTGCCTACTGATGGCGATTCTCTAAATTTCTTACAACTTACGTATTAAAGAAAATTTATAAATAACCTGATGGGTAGGTACATTTTCGCGCTTTTAATAACAAGTTGTAAAGTAATAGAACACAAAAATAAATATTTTGTTAGATTTCCGATTCAGCACAAGTTTTCAATGTAAATTGTTAGGGCTATAAATTAGAGTGCTTTTTCAAAGCACAAGGCTTCTTTTTGATTCCGACAACTTTAGGATAATTTTAGCTCGTTGCAATCAATTATCAAATTTTATCTGATACAACTTTGTGTGATAACCTTGACGTCGATTTTGCTGGCTTCTTTTCCTTTTATCATCCTTATTGTCCATGCCGCATACAATTCTGGGCGAGGTGAACAAAGTGAAGACAATGATTCCATGAGATCCTGAATCATTTTTATAGCTTTAAATGAAATTACTAAGCTCCGCTTCTCTGTTATGATCTTACACAGACTTTGGATGCCATCAAACCAGTCAAATCGTGTACTTCTTTTACTGGGCAATTTTTTATTAAGTGTATGTAATATATGTAATTCTCATAGAAATTTGATATGCTCAATTCATGGTCATTTTTGCATGCATTAAAGGAAAGATAAGCAATTTTTAAAATTTTCGAAAATTTTTAACCTGAAAAGTGATAAAATTTTTGCCGTTTGCAAATGCATTAAATAATCTCTTATAATATTCTCCCTTGAAATAGCGTGGTAGATAATTTTCGAACATCGCATTGAATTCATCTTGGTACATTTTCCCACTTGGGCATCTCTATAGAAAATCATTCGGTTGATCACTGAGTTGATTTTTAATTTTTAATTTTTAAAAATCGCCTAATAGAAATATATGAGAAAACTCTCTTTAATATATTTAATGTATTTGTTGCTTGCCTTTCTTAAAGCTTCTTTTTAAAGATTTAACTAAAGCACGAGAAACAAAAGTGAAGTGAGTTAAAGCATTTGTAAATTGGTTGCTTCTGCAGCCACAGATAACGACCGTAAGAAATGATGCTTCATATTACTCAAAAGTCGCACTAACCAAAAATTTTCGCTATTTAGTACAATTAATCTGACATTTAAAGGTGAAAAAATATCAACGAATTTTATATTTTAACGCACATTTTTAAAACATCTAAAAGCAAATTTAATATATTTTTTGCTGAAGATTCTGTTAGTGCATTTTTGAAGTTCATCGATAGTGGGTGGTTGAATGGGTAACTCATAATTTTGCAGATCCAGTAAATTTTCGTCCTCCGTTCCTGAAAATTTCTAGGAGTTCTAAAATTTCTAGAAAAATAAAAATTAAAGATATTCTAACTAAAAAATAGAGAATTCCCAATTCGTTGAAATATTCGCTTAAAAAACAAATTTATAAGTTTTTTATCAATTTTATTTGTTATTGATAGAAACAATGTTTTTTTTTGAATATTTTTCTTCAATTTCACGAAAATGCCAGGTGATAAGTGACTTTGATAAGAAATATAATACGTGAATTAATGTGGTAGTACTGTAGGTGCTCTAATTTAAGTAAAACGTATAAGAACGTAATTTAATCTATCTGATCGATAAATTGCCTACCGGAGCTCTTATAAAACATTTTAAACTGCATCGCTCGAAAATTGAAGTAGATTGTTCCAAATAAATTTGCAACAGTTTTATTTTTTGAAATCAGAGGTGGCGCGTAATTCTTTCGGACAAATTCGTTTATCTAAATTTTACGATATTTTTTCATTCACTACGTAATCAAACACAATCATGGTTTTTTTAAAATCTCGCTTTTAGTTTTCCAATGTTTTCATTTTAATGATGTATTTGGGTTTTGCACCTTCGAATGGACCCGTTACATACTTAAAGATTTCTACCTACAAATTTTATTTTCAGAGATTTCGATTGATGATTCGAGTGATTTGATTTTGGACTCATTCATATATTAAATTGCTTAACGAAAGATGAAATTTCAGATGTTAGTAATTAGGAATGTTTCTTTCCCCTTGTAAAAAACGCTTCAAAGGAGTGGCTTACGTCACTCCCGGATATGGTACTGCATCGAATAGCTTGGAAATATTCTGCTTTTGTGACCAGTGGAGTTAACTTAGGTAGTAAACGGTTGAAAGAAGATGAAGAAGAATTGTTGAAAACATTCCTTAACGCTAAATATTTAAATGCATTCAAAATAAATCATTAATGAAATTTCATTATCTGAAAAAATCATTTATTTCTATCTAAACCAGAGTTATCCAAGAAAAATTTCGCATGTAAAACTTTTGATAAGATCATCTGTTTATACTTTTAAATTTTTAGAAATAAATTAAGTTTACCTGCAATTCTCGACTTTTCGATAATTTTGATTTGAATCTCTTTTCATAACTATTATTTCCAATGAACATATTTTTTTTTTGATAAAAAATCTTTATTGAATCACAATCACTAAATCACTGCGATATTCATTCACTGAAGATATACGATACCTTGTATTTGTATTTGAGCGAATTAATTCTTTTACTTAATGGATAAGCCATTTATCGCGAAAAATTCTTAGTTACGGTTCTTCGTTTGATTACATTAGTAATAAAATAAATATCTTTTTTTCATATCTTTAAAATCTATACAAATCTATACAAAATGATGAAAAATTTTGTATTAATATGAATATGAATAATATAAATAAAAAAATAATAAGAACTTATTTATTAAAGGGTAAAAAGAAAAAAGTATAAAGAGAAAAGAGGAATTTTGAAGAGCCAAAGCGAAAGATCCATAAAATTCGTCTAGAAAAGCGCATCCCTACTTAATTTATATTCAAGCATGCTTGGCAAAGCGAATTATTCATGGCTCGTACAAATTAAAGTTTCTATTTTTTTGCGATATTTCTATCGCTGCTTGATTCATATTTTACCGTCAATAAGCTATTTCGCTTTAGTTATATTTCTATATAACAACAAAATAATTCAGCAAAAAGATTCCATTCTTGGCAAAAATCACGTTGATTTGGACAAGAAATAAAATTTCTGGATAATTGCATTCAAATACTGAATACATTGTGCCTTAAAATCAGATATTTTCGCCTGATGATGATATTTCGCCTAAGGAATTAGGCCACCATAGGCTCAATTTTTTCCTTGAAGTAAATCTATTATTAAAACCGAAATATGAGTGATAATCCACCTGCACTCCTGCTCTATTCCTTAAGTAATTCTCTGGCTAACTGTGATAATATTAGAGAAGCTAACCAAACTAGCCAAATGATGAGCATTTTTAGAATAAAAAAAAAGGAAGCTCTAGCTAGAAAATCATTCGATAATTTTCAAGAGCATTCAATAGCACTCTATTGAAATTTGCTTTAAAAAAACAACAAATTTGATTTGATTTGCTTGACTAGCTTTCGTTATAAAATTGGACAAAGAAACATGTATAGGAATTTTATTTCAGTGGTTAAATGATTGCGAAGTGGGAAAATTTGAATTACTTTTAAAAGAATAAAATAATTTAAACGTTTAAAAGGTTTGTTTTTTTAATATGAATTTATATGAAGTTTCAATTAAATATTTTATTTAAATAAATTAAGCAAATTTTAATATTTACAGTAAATTTTATGAATATTTATGAAATTTTTTTGATTGTAACATATTATTTATATATATATATATGTGATCGCCTTAGCGGAAGAAGCTTAGCCAATAATGGTGCGAGTTGGTGAATAAACTATGGTTCATGAAGTTCAAGGTAAACTTGGTAGAATGGCTGAGCAGAACAATAAGATTATAAAATTTCATACAATATACCAAGATTTGCATAGTTCATTTTTTTAAATTCATCTTTAATCACACTGATAACACAAATCGCAGATTGATGCTGGCTGGAAATTCTAAATATTAACCGGCTTAGACGATGGAAAAAGGAATGGTTTCTATTATTGTCAGCGATGATATCGAATTAAACAGCTTGGAAACGTCCTATCACTGTAGTCAGCGCAGCCAGTCTAAGCCGTATGAGAGTTGTTAGAAAAAAGAAGTATAAATAGAGGAAATATAAGAGTGAGCGAAATTTAAAATTTGAAACTATGCAATTATTAGAAATTTATCCAAAAAAGGGATTTAGAAATTTATCCATTAAAAAACCTTCGTTAATTTAAAACTAGGAAATGTTTCACTTTGTTGTATTTTATTGGTTTGGCTTTTTATTTAACAATGTAATCATCCTTATTCCTTATTTCCACAACTTAAAAAACCTCTTTTCCATAGTCTTTATTTATGAACTTTAAAAATCCTTTTCCTAACTCTCTTATTCCTTATTTCCGTGTTATATATTTCTTATTTAAACTTGTAGAGCGCTTATCGTCTTATTTTATATTTTTTCATATTCATTGGCAAATTTTATTTTTTCCTATAATAAATTAATCTGATTAATTTTATGCATAAATCTTATAACATGAATTTCTTTTTATTTGAATCGAGTCAAAAATTGATTTGAAAGAAAAATTAAGAGTACAAATTTAGAAAATTGTACAAATTCGATATATTTTTAGAAGTTGAAGCCATCCTACTTTAAATTATTATACGAGGTAGAGAAATACGAGCCTTGGCTTGTGAATTGAATATGGAGAGATAGAAATCCTTGCGAATCAATAAATTTACCACCTGCCAGATTTAAAGAATGATTGCAAAACTTGCTTAAAGTTGATTGTAGAGCGTGAAGTGTTGTTATTTCTCATCATTCACATCTGCTTTGCCATAAATCTGATGTGCTAGATTTTATTGATTGTCCTCGCCCTTAATCATGGACAATTTATCATGGCTTTAAAGATTTTTAGATTTTTTATTTTTTTTTATTGATTAAACAATTTAATCCAATCTATTTCATTAATCAGCAATTTTTATGAATATTTTTTACGAATATTCTGCCAGCTTAAACATTCTAATTTTTTTTAAATCAAAAATTGCTTTCAAAAATATTAGCGCTGAAAATAAGAGAAAATAAAACCGGTGGGATAGCAGTTAAATGTTTAATAAAACGTATCCTTTTTGGTTTAGGCACAGAATGGCTCAGTGCGTTGTTGCTCAGTTTGGAGCGCCAATGCTGAGGTTCGATTCCTCGCAGCATTAAACCTGTACAAGAATCCGGGTGATGCTGGCGATTGCCAATGCTGAGGTTCGATTCCTCGCAGCATTAAACCTGTACAAGAATCCTGGTGATGCTGGCGATTCACCTGTATTTCTACTGCTAAGAGACTCCCTAGCATATTACCCAATGCGACAAGCCAGAGTGAGTTTAACTAGAGATGGTGAGGATTCTTATAAAAAAAAAATCCTTTCTAGTTTGGCCAACTTCATTGACTAATTGAGATGAGATGTTTAAAATTTTCCGGTCATATCTAAAATTAGTTGAAGCACAGTTGAAGCGAAATTCGAGTTAGTGTTCGGAACCTATTTGTGCTTTAATCCTTATTTTTTCCCTATTTTTGCGCTAGAAACCTTCATCCAAATAGCTAATAGGAATAGTCAAACCAGATATGATTAGTGCTATTAGAAAATGAGGAACAAAGAATTCTTGCCAAGTTTATTTTTATTTTTCATTCTTTTATTTCTTCTTTCTTGCTCGGCTTATATATTATTCCTATATAAATTCTCCATATATTTTTTTCTCTATAAATTTTACGATAAAATTAGTTAAATAAAAAAAATTCGATTTCGCAGCGATCAACAAGCTTTTTATCTTATTAAATTGCTCTTATAATATCGACAATCTTTATTTCTAAATATTTTTTAAGGGCAGTTTCACTTGCTTTATTTTATTTAAATTCATTAAATATAAATTTTATTGGCTTTGTTTTCTAAGAATTTTAATGTTATATTCAAGTGGAACTTTATTGCTTAGCCCAACAATTTGCCCATATTCGCGCTTTTGTCATTTTTTGATAAACACATCTCTTATCCTATATTACAATAAGGAGGCATAAGGGAACATAATCCACTGTTTCTTCTAAAACTTTTTTTCTATCATTCTGATGACTGATATAAAAATTTGACCATTTGCGATTTCAGTTACCTGCAGGATATGTGAACCATGAGCAGTTCAGCACGTCTAAGGTCAAGGCAAAATTTTCGTACTCCTGAGAAATGCACAGAATATGCGAAGCAGAAGAAAAAGAAGTAAGAGATACTCTTAAAAAACATAATTTTAGAAAAAATGGATTAAATTGGCCATTTTAGCGAAATTTTCTTTCTTATCTTTATATGGATTTCGTTCACGCATAATCCTCACATATCCTGAGTTCATTTCGTTAATAACTATTACGGATTTATGGATGCAATTTTCCCAAATATTGAATGCTGGGGAGGGTCTTCCGTTGTAAAATCTGAGTCTTCGATGAGATTCATGATGAAAGTGAATAATAATGATCGAAATTTAAGGTGGACACGATTTTTAACAGTTCTTGGATATTTATTTTTTGTATTGCTACCTGCAACCACTCTTAGCATCTATTATATCTTTATTTGGGATCCTTTCTATATATTACAGGTAATTGTCCATTCTCCATGACAAGACTGTTAATTTAAGACGATCAGTTTACTAATAATATTTGTTATAAATTATTAATAAAAATATCGTTATCATCACAATTATCATTATTATTAATATAGCATCAAATTGGAAATTCTTCAACAACAACAAAAACTTATGATGATGGTCAATTAAAAATCGCAAGCAATTTCAGCCAAAGTCCTCAAATCTTGTTTCTCGAAACTTCGCCATAAATTTAATGAAAAAATGATGATAATTTTCTTGTGATAAACTTCTGTAATATTCACTGATCTAGTTTTATTCATTAAGCCAAATTCTTGTTTATTTTCCTTTTCTATGGTAAATTGTATTTCTTAGTGTTAAATTAAAATTAGGAAATAAGTTGGGCTTACTGCTATTCACTTGTAGGATAGCTTAAGGCTAAAAATAAGGCTAAAATTATGAGATTAGATTTCCAAGGTCAATACTCTGTACATTTGCAATTGTACAATTATTACTTAGCATACCATGAAATTAATTTTTGTTTTGTAATGTTTTCTTTGAAATTTTTTCATTAATCTATCCAATAATGATCTAAAAATAAGGCTAAGGAGAAAACCTTGAAAAATTTTTATACGCTCCTTGACGAACGAAGTTTGATTGTCTAATAGCTTTCCTGTTTTATTCGATTAAATTCAATTTGATGCTAGAAATGAAGGGGGAATGCTACTAATGCTATTCGGGAAAATACTATTCCGATTTTTAAAAGATAGGTTCACTTTTGCCAAATATTTTAACTAAAACATATACTATAAAATTTGTTGAAGTATATTGTATATATTGTTTAACCAATTGTCACTATTAATAGCTTTTAGGTCTTTGTCACTGGTTTTAAAAGTATTTAATAGTTTTACATTTTTTTTAGCAATTTATCCTTTTTTTTGCAACCTAGTTTTAATGAAATTAAGTAGATCGTCCCAATGTGTTGCTCTCATTTTCAAGCGCCGATGCCCGACATTCGGTAGAAGTAAATCTATCTTTAAAAAATCCCAATAGTGCTAGCATCCCCACTTCATTTCTATTACCAAATGACTTCCTAGCAAAATTTTTATGGTACAACAAACCAGAAATGGCGAGCGTTTTTAGAAAGAAAATAAAATAAATTGGTCATTTTTCGCCTTGAAAATTTGAATTTGGTTCAGAAAAGTCTAATTTTTTTTTCTTTGCAATATGCTAATTGAATAAAAAATTATGCAATTATCCTTTTGGCGACAATTTTTTTGTCATATTCAATATTCGGTTATATGCACTATGTTAGTAAGGTGTGACTCTTCTTTTACCCTTCCTTAAAGATAATGTAGAAACTATGGTAACAGTTGGATTTTTGAGGTGAATGATTCAGTCAGGGGTAACAGGTCATCGTAAACTAATCAGGAAAAGTAGCCCAGTTGTTTGGAAACTTAATCTAAGTTTCTTGACCATTCATTGATAGCTGTATATAAATACTATCAAATTTGTTAGATAGTTGTTGCAGGCAATATTAAGGTTTTTATATTTCAAAAAAGAAAACGAATAGCTGGATAATTATTTGCTTCAAGGAATTTGTGATCCACAATTGTTGAAGTAAAGAAGACGTGTGTTTAGAATAAGAAAAACTTTGCTACACGGTCATCTGAAGTAACTCACGTATCGGTGTAGAAATATTGGAGCGACAGATGAAAGAAACAGAAAGATTTTAAGACTGCAAGGCAATAGGTTACTTTGGAGATTACTATGATGAAGCTATTCGTATTTAATGTGGATCAATTAATTATAACTTAGGTTCATTCGCATCATTTTAGCACAAAATTTGACGAGAATGAATGAATGCTTGATTAGCTTAACTCCTTATGTTTGCTTGAATGCATGTGGAAATATCAGCCAATAGATATATCAGCCAACTTTATTCAAAGCATTTGATAAAATATCATTAATGAATCAAATATTAATGGATTCAATGAAATTGATTCAAATAAAAAAATTAAAAATTTTAAAAATATAAAATTGATCAACCTATTCCATAAATATTAAAATGAGAAAGAAATTTGACGTAAAATTAAGAAATAAGGAATAAAGGAAAATTGAAGCATTTAAGAGGAAACTTATCAGCTAAAAAGATTAAATAAAAGACGGAGAAAAGTTGTGGGATAATCATTCGAGCTGATCTAAAACTAAAACTAGTCGTTAATTAGTACGACACTATAAACCAAAAGAAACCGTACTATTCTGATTTATTTTTTTTATAAGGGATAACAAATTATTTTTCAGAATTAGAAAAAAATACATGGTTCTACTACTCGTCGAGTAAAGTATGAAAATGGTTCGAAAAATATTTTTCGAGTCATATTTTTACTTTGGCAAAGACCAAAGTGACCAATACCAACACCACTATAAATTCATATGTCGTATGATACAGATAAGGTTATCATTCAAAATAAATTGAAGTGGTGCTGAGAATCCATTTATTCTTAATTAACTGCCTGACAAAAGGATCCTATCTCAACAAGCCAAACGAGAGGAATAGTGAGTATCCCCCGAAAAAGAATCTCCTCTAGCTACATTCTTTCTTTGTTTTTCAAAAGAATTCTTGATCGCAAAAATTAATGGTTATCCTCAAGCGTCGAATTTTATAAAAATTTCACAACCTACGGAAAACTTAGAGATATTAGAACAATCATAGTTTAAGGCATTGTTAAAGACCTATCTTAATGGTTATAAATTTAAACAATTATTGTTACCAATTATTGTTAATTATTGCTGCAAATTGGAAAGTTTGCAAAAACGGTATGAACAGTATGATCTTTTCTTTGGGAAAATTTCTTGAATTTTCTCGCACGCCATCGACTGAATTTTCAAGACAGTGTCTCTTCACTTAAAATGAAAAATTATAGGTAAAAGTTATAATTAATTTTATTCTTATCAAACTTTTTTCAAGAAATAAGTGTAATAGAAGAGCAATTCTTAAATAAGCTCTGATATAAGGACCAATTTGCACTGTGATAATTATCGAATTATTTTTTAATTTATAAAATAGTATAATTATTTTTCATTTTAATCGCCGTTAGGCTTTTATAATATTCATAGTTTACGGCTTAATCGACTTGACATTTCCTTCTAATCAGACATGACTTTAATTGATAAATCCAAGAGAATTTGTCGGGGGGTATGAACCAATAAAATAACGAAAAACTCGTTCCAACGTATTGTGATTGAAGCAAATATTCAGTATAAAATTCTTTCGCATTCTTCGATCATTTTCTCAACCAGCGATTTGATTTGATTTATCCTTTTTCCAATTTTTATTCAACAATTACGTCTAATTTACTCTAACCAGTTTGTTTTTCAGCTCAGTTCAGTAAACATATTCCAACGCTATCATATATTTAAGTGATGTTTCCGGCAAACTTATAGTTAAATCATAAAATTTAAAGAAAAATGATAAATCGTTAGGAAGCTAAGCCTTAGCACATGTTTTATCAAAATCCTTTTTTCATAAATTAGTAAATTATAGTAAGTTTGAATATATAAGTACTTCGAATTTTTTATGCATTTCCTTATAATCTTTACTAAAAGCTTTTCCAAAATCACTGCGAGGCATTCATTTTAAAAATACGAAAAGCGAAGTGAGGATCATCAAAATATAACGGAATATAGCAAAACAATAGAGAGATTTAGTTGAAGCATGAAAGTTTTCTGATATAGCTCATTCTCATTAGCCATGTTTCGCAGCCATATAACAAAGAGCGCAGAGCGTACTGCAGTTAGATAGATACGAACTTTCGTCTAATTTTGCTGATAATCCATAGAGACCTCCTTTCTCAAGAGATTTTTTCATATTGTTGTCAATAAATCATTATATCATTATACAATGATTGCGTAACATAACAAAGCTTCATGGAATAGTTTTATTTGTTATCGTACAATTTTCAGACAATTATTAATGTTGGATTATACATTTCGTTGTGATGCTCAGTTTTTCCTAAAAATGGGTCAGTGTCGTACATTTTTAGTCTTTAACATTGCAAAGTGCAAAGTCGGTACACATAAACCTGAATTGATCAGACTTTTAAGGTCGTTTGTTGTGAAACGATTCAAAAAGCTGTTTTTTAAATAACTTTTCCTTTAATTTTCAATTAGTGTTGATAACAATGAAGATTCATAGTTGTGATTTGATCAATTGTTTCATCTTTGTAAATTAACATTCATTCACATGACTGAAAAAAAAAAAAGAAAATTGTCGAAAGATGTAATGCATGATATTCTAGTAGCTGTGGATTTCAGGCATGAGAAGTGTCGCAGTCGTTATTTTTATATTGCCATTTGTAACACTTGATGAAACACTTAATCAAAAATGTCGCAAATTGCTTTTGTGCTCTATCAAAAAAGATTGTGTTAATGTTAGTCATTTTTTCGTTAATAAAATTTTATTATGGCCAAACTAAATGCCTAAATATGAGTTAACATTTTATATTTATTGAAACTAAAGTAATTTTTATAAGTAATCAAAAATCTGCATCCAGAATTGCAATCACTGCCAGAGTACTGCAAAACTAAAATAATTTTATAAGTAATCAAAAATCTGCATCCAGAATTGCAATCACTGCCAGAATACTGCAAAACTAAAATAATTTTATAAGTAATCAAAAATCTGCATCCAGAATTGCAATTACTGCCAGAATCGTGCAGAGGAGATTTTAAGTAATCGTATAAAATAACGATATTATTTCAATAAGTAAGATAGAAAAATTTTTAGCTGCGTTATCTTGTTGAGAAATTTAACGGTGCTGTGATTAACAAACGATTATATTCGGATCTCGATTCATCGATCGATTATGGATGTATTTTTACTTCAGGATGTTCCGATGAATGTAATAATTGTCCACTTTGCTTAACAAGTAAGGAACAACTTGTTGATGTGCTATCAGGGACAAGGCGGGCTCTAAATGGTTAGTTTTTTCCATATTTCAATATAGATCAATAAAACAGCTCAATGGGTTACAGCTCAATTCGAACACTGAGGTTCTACTCTCCGCGGGAGTGAATTTGTCCAAAAATCCGAGTTTTGCAGGTATCTCCCTTGTACTTCTATCACCAAGGTACTTCCTGGCATATTTGTCCAGTGCGATAAACCAGCCGAACGAATCGAACCAGTAATGGTGAGGGCTCTTTAAAAAAAATCTTTAAAAGAGGCAATTAGGCTTGCATTTTGTTTAAATTTGATTTCCGGTCTATATCTATTACATACAATTGTCATTATTTTTAAAGAATTTTAGATTTTTGCAATTTGTGATGAATTACTAAATTTCGAATTTTCATTGTCATTTTTCATTTATTTTAGTCAATCGAACAATCGATTCTAAATCATCTTATTGCTATCATAATTTTTTTTTTCAATTTAAAAAGTAATCCGACTTATAAAATTAGTATTGCAATTAATGCAATACCATTAAGGTACCATTTTTATCGCGATTTGTTAAACGATATCTTATCTTAGACATTTTCTAAATGAAAAATCTTCCAAACTGGTTCATAACAAAAATTAATAATTTAATTTAATTTTGAAGAATGGCATTCAAACTAATGATAAAATATTATATGATAAGATATTTCAAATTTTTTAGAATATTTATATATGAAATATTATAATTTAATTTTTGAGATTTTCCTAAGCAACAATTAATATAAAGGCATTCCTTCTAATTCATAATCTATAATATTTTATAAAAACTTTCATCACTTATAGCTGATTTTAAATTCATTTCCTAAAATGTTCTTATCGCCAAATTTATTGATAAATTTTTCATGAAAAATTTAAACTCGTTCTGTTATAATACTGGTCTTTAGAAAAGTTATAATGAATTTCTTGAACGCCGCGATATTATTTATATTTATTGCGATAGCTAAATATATATAAAAAAAAGTACAAAAATCATAACGATAGCCTAGCATTAGCACTCTAAAATTTTCAAAAAAAAAAAGAAAAATTCCTAAAAAAAAATTGAGAAGATATGTATCTAACATGTGTATATAAACGTATTTACTGTGTGTATGTAGTTTATGCAGTGGAACCAAACATTGGAACTGGTAAATTGTAATTGCGAAATCCGTAAAGCCTGTTAAATAATATATCGCTACGAAAAGTTTGATAAGAACATGCAACAATTGTTAAAAAGATTTAAGGAAGCGATGAAATAAATATTTCATGACTTAAAATCCACTTTTTTCATTTGAAAACTTTTCAGTTAGTGATAAAATGAGTAAAAGCAATTGAAAATCAAGAGAGAAATTCATAAATTTGTGATATCTGATAATTAATTAAGCAATAAATAATTTCTTTACCAATCTTCTTCTTTTAACAGCTTTAGGCTAGCTCCACTGGCTACAAGAGTAAGACGTCTCCAAGTTACGCGGTCCAACGCCATCGCTAGTAATAATAGAAGCCATTCCTTTTTCCATCGTCTAAGTCCATATATTGTTGGCACTTATGCGTCCAAAATCTTTCCCAACCGTATCACTCCAGGTCTTGATTGGCCCGCCTCGATTTTGACGCCATCCATCACACGATTTAGCAAGTAACGAAAATGCGTCAACTCCTGTGGTGGACGATGGAGAACGTGTCCTAACCAGCGAAGGCGACGTTCTGTTATAGTATTATTGAAATAGGTGATATTTGAGCGAAGATGGATACAATCATATGCGATTTTATCTGTTCGACGTATCCGTAAAATGTACCTTAGACATGAGTGGTCAAAGGCTAATAGTTTCTTAATATCTTCCACTCTCATTGGCCATGTTTTGCGGCCATATAGCAAGATCGAACGAACTGCAGCGTTATGGACGCGGATTATCGTCTTTAGTTTCTTTCGTAGTAATGGAAATTTATGAAAAAATTTTTTTCCTCTCAAAGTCTTTGCTGTGTTTCTAATACAAATAATGAAAGATATTTGCAACTGTTTGGTTATTTCTATTTAGGCAACGTTGCTTTTTAGATTTTAGATTAAATATTAATTTTGACATTTAATTTTTTCATTTATTCCTCTTTTCCTTTTTTTTTCATTTAAATCTTTGAAAAAAATAACTTTTTTGTATACAAATATTCGTTGAATAATGAGCACAGTTGAATATGTTCTAAAAAATTTCAAGAATTCCATTTATTGTATTTTTGAGAGAAAAAATTTTTTTAAAGCTAGAATTGGTAAATAATTTATTGTTAACGATGGATGAACAACATTTGCTTTATCGTTCATTATTGTTCAGAAAATTCACTATTTTTTGATTAGCCTAGCTCCGACCTATTGGCCATTGGTACCATTAAAAATCTTTGTTATGAAGTCGCTAGGCTAAAGAAATATAAATGGATCCACAAGCATTCTTCGGATTTCTTCATAATAGATTTTTCTTAGGCTAAGAGCCGAACATTTGCCTCTCGATACTTTGAATTGCTATCCGCTCCATTGTCCTGTCGTTCCATAACTTTCATGGAATTAATTATGTGCTGTAAAAAGATAACGCAAACTAAACATGCCATCAAAAAAATTTAAATAAAACCTTTTTGCAACTTTTTATGCCGTAAATGCAATGATAAATTTTGTTATATCTCGTGTATTATCCTTTTTTTTTAAGAATCCTCACCATTACTGGTTAAACTCGTTCCGCTGGCTTGTCGCACTGAACAAATATACCAGGGAGTCCTTTTGCGATAGAAAGACAGGTGAGTCGCCAGAATCACCCGCATTTTTGGACAGGTTTACTCCTGCGAGGAGTAGAACCTCAGCATTGGCCGCTCCGAATTGAGCAACAATCCACCGAGCCATTCAACCCATATCATTTGCTTTCAAGAAATAAATTACAGGTGAATGCTCGACACTTGTAAATTGTGCGACAGATTGTGTCGCTCAGTCAAATGCCAATTTCACAACAATAAATTATTGCCTGCGACATTTATGCGCTTTTCACTGTTTTGATGGTAGTTGCAACAAATGTAGTGCATTTGTTACAAGATTATTTAATCAAATATGTGTTAGTGCTGGCTTTAGACGAATGGTAAAACAATTCGACGTAAGTTTCAGTATTATTTCATTGTTATTAGTCATGGTTCAACTATTTACTATATCACAAAAAAATTTCTTAAATGCTAAAAAAATCATTCATCGAAACTAAACAATGGATGCTATGATAAGCCTAGTCGAGCAAATTGTAATATTGTAATACAACGTTATAAATTAATAAATCAGAAAAAATCTGATGTTCATGAAGATTGAGTTGAAATAAGTGGAGTAAGTCGGTACGTCTCCTCCGGGAAAGTCTCGTTGAACATTTCATCGAATTAGCTGGCTATTCGTATATGGATTTAAGTTTTTTTTGAGCTCGAAATGAATTGAACCTTCCTAGATTTTCCTTAAAATTAATTTACATTCCATCATAACACTAAATTTCTTGTGATGTGCAAGCAAAAATAAAAATTTCAATGATTTTTTATAAGCAAATTAACATCACTTGAAATAAATGCATATAATTGTTCAGTTTTTTTTTTAAAAATTTTTTAAGAATTTTTTTTTCATCTTAATTAATTTCTTAAAAAACGATTCATCTTAATTTTTATCTTAATTTGTTTCTAATTTTTCAGGGACAATGTTATGAACTATTTAAGCAAATAGTTTATAGCAAATTCAAAGAACAATTTAAGAGAAATGGTAAACAGCCAGCAATCGGTGTTCACCAGCATTCTTGATTATTCCATAAATCAGGTGATACCGCTGATTAGCTGATATTTATAAACATGGTGACATTTTGGTGAATAAATCGAATAAAGACAATCGCACTGAATCGTTCGAAATGAAAGAATATATTCATAGAAATAAGAAGCAATTTAAGAATTATTACTAAAGTTCAATGATATTTATATATATATATTTATTTATTTAATTTTTTTGCATAAATTTACCTGTATAACCTGAAATGATATGACATTATGAAATTTTTGATTTTCTTGTTACCCCAATACATATTTTCTGGATAGTAGAATGGTTGAATGGGTTTTAGCTTTTAGCTCCGAATGTCAATTCTGGGATTCTACTCTCGGAAATAATAAACCCAAAAATCTGGATGATGTTGGCGACTCACTTTTATTTCTATTGACATGTCCCTCTCCCTGGCTAAATTCATTTGGCCGACAAGCCAGCGGAGCAAGCCTAACGCGAAATGGTGAGCGCATTTAAGAAAAAACTACTTTTCGCTAAGAAAAATAAATCATGATATTAGAGAAAAGAAAAATACGCAAATTTCGGTACATTTCGGTACCTCACTGTGGATTTCTTGAAAAAAACCAAAATCACTTATTGCATTGATTATTTGAAATAATCTGCTAACTGCTATTATCATTTGCAATCGTTTTCCTTTAGCTTTGCAGCGAACAATCAAAAACGATCAAAACTCGTTTATCCGACATCCCGATCGTTCATCTTTTTATGGGAAAGGATAGCCGAATGGATATTAGCTGAGAGTGACGATGTCAAGAGTTCGACTCCTATTCCCGACAAAAGTAAACCCATCATTAAAAACATTCGCCTGGTGATGACTACCCATCTAAATTTCACTTTTATATTTATTATCAACTAATGAAGCTAGTCTAACCGAAAACGATGGACGCTAACCACTTATTTGGTTCCGCAAATTATCCAGTAGGCCGTTATTATTTTCGTTCATATTTTAAAAGAAAAAACATGAAAACTCTCAGCTTCTTTTATTAGTTAACGACAAAAAAATACTGGATTCTCGATGAAATATATCATTTTTTTCGCTCATCTAAAAAAGAAAAAGTTATTCGAAGAATGAAAAGATTTCTGAATTTTTTTATCAATTTTTTTTTTTTTTTTTTCATCAATAGCAAAATATTTCTAAAAAAAAATTTTTATAATAAAAAATATTATTATAATGAATGAAAAAGAAAGCAGAAATGTAAATTTAAAATCGCTTTTGCGAAATTCAAAGTATATGTATACTATTCGAATTCTGAGTACCAATACGTGGCACCTACATTCGAGCAGCACTGGTACTTACGTCGTATTTCAAATATCTCATTCTCTTCCTTCCTATTTCCATCAGTACTAATCAGTAATAATAAAATAATTCTGGATCGAAACTGTTTGAACATAAAACCAACCCTTTGCTTGATCTTCTAATCTAGCATAGGGCCATAACTAAATTTTACTAACCGAGATTCATTCCTACCCCATCCTCCCGATAGCCTGTCCCTCTCACATGATCCGATTAGTTCTTACCATAAGTTTCATGCAAAATTTTTTTTTTATCAATATTCACTGGTATATTTTGAGAATTATGGAGTTAATTTAAAAATATTTTTTATTTAAATATAACATAAACGAAGTAGGAGACATAAAGCCAACTCTTCGACGGATGACGCCATTTGTCGCCGATTAGTCGTCAAATTAAGCGAATTCATCAAAAATAGCGAATATCCGTGGTATGGCAATTCGTAAGCATTGCTTGGCTCTTTTTATAAATAAAAAACACCAATTAGCGGATAGAAAAATTACGCCGAAGTTTAATATTTATCTAAAGGAATAGATTTACTATTATTAGAAATAATTTTTTTTTCATTCATAAATGATAAAATTCTATTCCGTTTGTCACCTTTGACCTCAAAAAAGAAAAAATTTTGAGATTTTGGCGCCAACAATAGACCTTTTAGAATTGTTATTTCGAAATATCTTGTTTTCGATCTAATTTATCGATTTCCTAAAAGATACTTTCAAAAAATACACTAAATCTTGGACTTCTTCTTCACATCTGTGAACTTTTTTTATTAGGGCGCTGATTGAGGAGGTCAGCTTAGGCCCGTTTCTCCCAGATTAGTCCAGCCTAGGCCGGCTTACTGAGGCCAACTGAAGTCGGAAGAAACGATTTACTTACTTACTGAATTCATCTTTTCTGAATGAATGACCTCAAAAATTGCTTCCTAAAGCGGTCGCATGGATTGTTAAACGCTGCATGTTTAAGTGCACGCATCTATATGGATAGTGAATGTGTACAGTGTGTGTGTGTGTGTGTGCATGTATAGTGATAATGAATGTCTGATAATGAATGCGATAATGAATGCGATGTCGTTTGATAATCAATTTTTTATTAAATAATTAAATGATAATAATTAAAATAAAACTAATAAAAATAAATTAAATTAAATTAATAAAAAATGAAATAAAATTTTAAATTTTTCGAGAAGAAAATTTTTTGCCAAAAATATAAAAAAATTTGGAAAGAAATTTCCCCATTTTAATTGTATTTTTGTAAAATTTAATTTTTTTCAATAAAATTAAAAATTCTTTTTTTTTTTTGTTATTTTTTAAAATCATTTTATATTATTTTCGTATAATTTGTGTCAAAATAATATTTAGAAAAAGGAAAAGAATTTTTTTTCTTGAAAAATTTCATTTATTATAATTTTATAAAATAATTAGATCAGCAAAAAAATTATGATTCAGTCGAATCAATATTTTTATTTTCTCATCAGTTTTAATTAATCAAGCGAAACTGATAATTTTATAGCTTTAAACAATCGATTCGAGCGATAAATGCTTGAATGATTGAGAAAGAATCTCTCGTGTTTTTTGATAAACGTGGGTAAAGGAAGGGAAGGGGGGAAGGAGAGGGGGCGAAGGACGACAACCCAGGTCGTAAGGCGATTGCCAAGCTACTTAATGCTCCGTGGTTGAGCTATTAGTAGCTATAAGTTATAAGTTAAAATTTAATATTTTTAATTTTGGCGGGAAGAAAACTGTTTGTTTATTGGGCAAATATGCGTTGAGGAGGAGGTACCTTTATGCAAATTCTGCTATAAAAGGATGAGAAAAATGGTGCACATTTTGTTGGTATAACCGTTGGTTAACGTAGAATCCGGATATGAGGTGGGAGGGGGGGAGGCTTAGGTGAATGGATGGGCAGGGGGTGGTGGTTGCAAGATGATTGGAGGGGATTGGCCTGGATGGTTCGTTTAAGTGAAGTGGAGTGGATTAAATAATATGATTGAAGATGGAGGAATTGAAGCAAGATGGGCCGGAGATCGTCAAATATTTTCTCTGTATCTGTATCGTTGTACGCAAGTCTAATGTTCTATAAAAGCGGTTGGCAAGTTGCGGGTTGTGTGTCTATGTCGTGTTTTACTAGGGCTTCATGACTATAGACGGACACAATCGGTAATTAATGCCGCGGAGCTTCTATCAATATTTGGTGGTATGTGCTGTTGCTTGTTGGTCATTGCTATGGTATAACGCTGTCTGAAGGAATTCGTAAATTTGAACAAAGCAGTTACGGAGAATTGAATGAATGCGATTTGCAGGTGAGAGGAGTTTTGCATGCGACTGAAGGATTGCCACTGGGTTTTTTTCAGCATCTTTTACGAGGTGAATAAGTTTATATTTTTGCAATTCTCTTTTTTCGCACGTATTCGTCTACTATTCCACCAGCGGTTTGCCTCCTGCTTGTTCGTGCCAAAGTTCTTGTGATAGACTGTTTTATGGTTCTCTATCACAGTTCTTAGGCGCAGATATACAGAGATGCGTAACATTTTATATTTTCTTTCTTAACCATAATTTATCTTAATCTGCGCCACTATTGGACAAGGTGAGATCGTGGTAGATTCGAATCTTTTTAGTGTGAAGCATTTTAACCGACTTGGTCTGAAAAATTTTTGTCGCATTTTAGAAAAGCTCAAAATTGTATTATATATTATAGGATAGAAATGAGAATAAAGTCAGTTTTGCAAGGGTGAAAGGAAAATCGCTACGAAAATAGAAGACACAAATTTTGAATGAGGAATTGAGGATTTAGGTAATTGGAATGGGAATCAGAGGAATTACTTATGCGACAGGCAAAATAGACGAAATCATAACACCAATTCCTTCCTTTCAGTTATAATCTGATTTCGAAGCACCGATGCTGGGGTTCTGGTGCAGGCAGCAGTGAATCTGTACTTTCAAAAGTCTCGTCAGTATTTCTTTCACCAAATGATTTCTTGGCTAAATCGTCTGATCTAGTAAGCCAGTATAGAAAACCCAATCAGAAATGATGAGGGCTTTTAGAAAAAATTTGGTTTTATTTCTATTTATTCGTGATAATGAATAGAACAATAGTACTAATAATTATGAAAATAAAAGAATATCAGAAGAAGACTGGTTTACATAAAGAACTGCTCATTATACAATTAAATTGATAATGTTAAATGGAACGACCTTATGAGCGTGACCTTAGGAGCATGACCTTAAGGGCATGACCTTATTTCATTCGCTCAACTGAATTACAATAGAATTTCTTTTCATGCGGTTGAAATATTAAAAGAATCAGCAAAATAAAAATTTAGGTTCAAGTCCTTTCACCCAATTTGGCTTATATTTTCATTCTTGTTGCAACCACTTATCACTGTATCACTGACTGTGCAATAGGCGCAACAGCCAATATTTTATTTTGCTTACCCTTCGTTGAACATGCACAAAAACGCAGCTTTGGACACAATTTACGAACATCTTGATTAAATACAACCAAAATTATTCTGAAACGGTATTTATCAGTCAGTCTAACTAGATTAATCAATTAATTTTAATAAAAGTTGACCTAAAATTTTTCACCATTAAGAGAATTTTTTTATGCCAAAATCTAATAGTAGAAATGGGCAGTGCTTACCCATCAACTGTATGAAATGATTCCCATCCCATGGTGTTAGCGGCAAATTTTGTCCACTTTGAATTGGCCAATATGACGATTCCATAGAAGGTGAAAATTGCACAAAAATAAAGACCCTGTGAGGTGCAAGCCTAGAAATTTATTTGAAATTATTTTTGCATAGAGGTACCTTTCATTTATATATCACTTTTCGTTTATTTTCCTGGAAAGGGTAAATCTATCTAATGCAAAGTTTATCCTTAGATAGTTAGGTCTGTTTGTACTTAATTTAAACTGTGAAGGCTTTAGGTTTAGGCTTAAGAAGGCAGAAGAAAACTATATTAAATGCGGTGATATAGCGCAAAGGGGCTTCCGTTATTTTGATAGCTTATCTTTATGCTTAGATTAGATCAATAGATGAACTGCTGAGGACGAGGCTTCAGAAAAAGGCAATTTTTCTGCTATATGCCTATCGTTATATCGCCTCTTAATTCACTTATTACCTGCACAAAAAATCGTATTTCTCGCCTCCTTCGTTGTTGCCATTCTGCATTAGATATTGCACGCGATCCGTTTTGATTTAATTTCTAAAAATTACTTCCTCAAATTTTCCAATTTTCTTTAAGAAGCATCGTCATTACCGGTTAGACTCGCTCAACTGGCTTATCACAAGTATGCCAGGGAGTTTCTTGGCGATGGAAGTGCTGTTGCGTTACCCGGATTTTCAGATTTCTGTGGAGAATAACCTTAACATAGGCGCTCTGAATTGAGCAATCCACTGTGCCATTCTATATCTTTCAGATAAAAAAACATTTACTTTATCAATTATGCATTATTCATTTGCAGTGTAACTGATAAACGTACCTTGGACATCATAGTTAACTTAATAAATATGTATAAATCAAGGACGAGAATTGTGGTTGCAGCTAAAATATTAATGATGAACTCAAAATAGGATGCAATGATCATTCCGCATTTGCTATTGGAATAAGTCCACATATAAATGCTTCCATCAAAATTAAAGTGGCAACCAGCTTAAAATTATCGAATAATTACAATTTATCTAATATTTATTCGAAAAAAAATTCGAATTTCATAAAATTTTTTAAAATAAATACGACGATTTATGAAATAATTTCAAAAATTTTAGGCTTGGAAATATAGAAGTTTTAATTTTAAAAATATTTTGATTATTCGCGTTGATTTTCGATACTTTTTTTTTGCTTTCTTTAAATATAAGATTTGCAATTTAAAAAAATTCCCCATTATGTTCACAGAAGGTAAGAAAAAAATTTTTTCATAGAAGGTATGAGAAATTTTTTTTTTTTTTTAAAAAGTTTTTGCAAATATTTTTGTACTCTCCAAGATTTGCTTGAAACTTAACGAATTATAATTTAGTTTAGCGCTAAATCGATATAGAAATCGTTTCATACGTATTTGATAAATGCAGCTTTGAAGAAACGAAATACTCCAAACAAGCATAATCCATCGGATTGTCATTTGTGGATCAAAATATTTATTATATAAACTTGGCCAGTTGATAACGAAAAGTCGATTGATCGTTATCAAAACATTTGTATATATACCGCCATAATAGAAAAAAATGGTCAGCTGACCGGCTGTATTCGATATTATAATGAATACTCGTGAATTATTATCGAATAGATGTTGCCTAAAATTTTTAACTTTTTAGTGGAACATTTTACTATATTCTATGAGAAGTTCATTATTTTATTGCTAAATATGGCTATTTTTAAGTTTTTTTTCATATATTGATAAGCGATATTCAAAAGAAGGAAAATTACTGTATATTATTAGAAATTATCAGTAGTTTCAATGAAACTAACGCAATTAGTAAAGGAGCAGCCCAAAAAGCAAATATTAGTAGCACTCCAATGTTGCCGGCTGCGTGAGTCGCACAAGAGTATCCGAATGCATTCCTCAGGTGATCAGCTTTGAAAACGACAAAAGCTGATATGCCATTAGTTGATAAGCCAATCATAGCCACCTAAATGAAGGATTAGCGAAGTAATAATCGAAGAAATAAACTGAATTACTTAGTAACAATTGTGTTCACTCATTCGTATACTTCCCATTTTTATAACAAATCTTATTTTTATATAGAAAGTACTCGTATTTTTACGTGGAAATTACTAAAAAAATTACCACGAAAACGAGTGTCGTCGCTATCACATCGTCATAGCTGCTTCTAGGATCCGTCAAATTTACTGGATATGAAGAATTGCCCTTAAAAAAACATTCATTATAGTCATTATCATTATCATTACATTATCAGTGGACTTCTAGACTTCTTACATAAGTGAAACTGATACAATTTTAATATAATTTGATAATAAAATATCAGAAAAATGAGTAAAAGAATTTACAATCTTAAAATATTTAATGCTGAATTAATAGAAAATTGTTTTTCCGAGGCAAAATTGAGAAAATGGAAAGCAAAGAAGAAGGCTTTGTTCTTTTTGGGGGACCACGTAATAGAAATTTTTAGGCTTTATGGGGCCAAGACAGTGAGTATTTTGTAAAACAAAAGTATATAGGTACTTATAAAACAAAAACACTTCTTTCTTCCACAAATCCTCCATTGTTAACGAGTTTCAATTTATTTTTACAGTGAGTGCAATTTCTCGTAAAACTGTTCCACTAATGAGATGAATGAAAATCTTTCTTCTTCGATAATATCTCTCTTAATTACGGTTGAAAGTTAGTGTCTTAGTGTCGCCTATTAGGAGAAAATTGATGGAGAATGTTCATCCATTAGTGCCGATCTGTATATTTGTGAGAATATATACGTTTTTGTAGATAGCTTTTCAGAAGAATAGATATTTGTATGATACGAAAAATAGAATGTTTCAGTGGCTTGTTGCTCGGTTTAGAGTGTCAATGCTGAGGTTCTACTCCCCACAGGAGTAAACCGATCTAAAAATCTGTGTTATGCTAGCGACTCACCCGCAATTCACCAAAGGACTCTATGGCATATTTATCAAGTGCGACAAGCCAGCGGAGCGAGTCTAAACAGTGATGGTGAGGGCTCTTAAAAAAAATACTCATATATGCTGATATACTAATATCATATATTCACAAGCATAATTTTGACTGTGTAATTTATCACTTGAAAGATAATTCTAGTAATTTTATAATATTAGAATTTTCTCTTGATTTATACTACATCGTCCAGTTGAAGTTTGAGCCCATTTGCAGAATTTACCATCGGTAAGACTTTGCTTTTTTGGCTAACCAATTTTGGTTAAATAGCTCACAAATGGTTAACAGAACTCTTAATTGTAACTTACTTAGTTAGTTGCATTCTCATTTGCCTTTGTATTTTGCATTTTTGCTGTTATGAAATCTTACGCTTTTATTTTTTCCTTCCCCTTCCTCCTAGTTATTAATATTTCACTGATTTTTTAAGCTTACCCATTTCAGTCCACCTTTCTTTTTCTTTGCTTATTTTGATATACACTGGTGAAATGCAAAGTTAATGAAATCGAACAGAAAATATAATCATTATAATCATTATCAGTAATCTATTATCAGAAGAAAAAATAGCGTTGAATGGGGATGGCTTCACCGCTGTCGATACGAATTCAGTTGGCTGGTTGTAGTTTGCTGACCCCTTGTTTAAATTGCAAAATCATTTTTTCAAACACATATACCTCATCAATCATTGCCAATCTTCTTTACAAATAGATTTCTCTTAAAACGGTTGGTATTGTAACAGTCGTTCGTTCTTTGTCGTTTATATTCTTTAACTCTTTATTATATAAAATAGATGGAACGAATCTGCAAATTTCGTTAACTAATTTATGAAAAAGTTATTTTTATTTTTATATTTTTATTTCTATATTTTTATTTACTATTTTTGGTTTCACTGTGATTTATCTTTTCAATGAACATTGATGGTCAGCGTAATTCGGAGTTTGCAGGTTTATTTCTATTAAGGAACAGCATTAAAATCCACGGTCTTTAGTTAATCGAAGAAACATATCACATCCGTTCTTAATTTTGACGACATTTTTAAAAAATTATACTAATAGCTGAATCACAATTATATTGAACTGAATGTTCTAAGTTCAAGATTTTCAGTAGAAACGATGTAGACCACTTTGGAGAGCCTGAAAGAGTTCTGCAGACTTCGAGAGGCCAATGGAGTATTGACGGATAAGTAGAAGCAGGACTATCTTTAATCAGATAAGCACCAAAAATTATTTCTTGGATTTCAAAAAATATATTAAGTTAAATCTTAAAAACTTGTTTTCTTGCAAACTTATCTAAAGATAATATGCGATAAGGTGATAAAAATAATAAATCTTCGTGAATAACAAAAATTCTAATAGGTTCAGTTTTTTTTTTATTGTTTGTTTAGAAAAAGATTGGAAACCCATGAACTAAACAATATTGTGCTTTTTTTGTTGCTCTGTTGCTCGTGTCTGAATAAGGCGACGTGCAAGGTGAATAGATTTAGTTACGACGAAAGTACTATTAATCAAATTATTGATGGACTGTATTCGGAATCATCCATCGTAGTTGTAGGAATCCAGTGATCCTGTGACTTTATGATTCATAATCAGTCACTCAAGTAGCAATGGCTGCTTTAGACATAACAACACAACAGTTTCCGACTGTAATTATGTAAATAAGATGAGGCAAGTTATTAGTGTTTATCACTTCTGGTTAGGTTCGTTCAACCGGCTAGTAGAAATTTACATCAAAGTGTCACTTGGAGAAAGAAATAAATTCCCAGCACCATGGAGCATATTCTACCGGATTTGAACTTTGATGCTTAAGGCAACAACCATTCGGCTACATATTACGAATAAAATTTATAAAATATATTTGCTATATGGCACAAAGACTGATACACATAAAAATGATTAAATCTCTTGAGAGAGACAATTGGAAAATGCTTCGCTGTACAATACATTGGATTTTTTCATTTCCTCAAATATCCTCCAGAATATCACCCCAATATCCTTCAGAATCAAATATCCTCCAGAAAGCGCTAATAATTTATGAAACACTGTCTAAGAAGATGCCTTTGGCGTACACAAAACGAGTTATTTTTTTTAAGTAAGAAGAACTAACCATAAAATGATAACTCAAATATTGGTCAATATAGCAAAAATGAAAAGCGAAAACTTAGTAAAACAGTCGCTGGCTAATATGGAATAAAAAATAGAGAGACGAAATTTCTTTCTGATAATTTATTCATCACCACCTGCTCGATTGATCGCGAGAACAACGCTCATTTAAGTATTATTTCAAAAATTTCAAACATTGACATGCATCATTTTATTAAAATCTGTTTCAATCGTTCAGTTACTAGAATTTTTGAGTAAGGTACATATAGAAAAAATTCTTATTAGCTCATAGAAGCAAAAAATAAATTTCTGGAAAAATTCAAACACATTGTAGAAATAATCGCGAAACAAAGTAATCTTGAAAAAAACGAAAACGGATAATTAGGCGAAAATAGACAATTAAGCGAAAGTCAACAATTGAGCGAAAATGCACAAATGGTATGGCGATGATCCAGTAAATGTACATGTGGATTGCGTAATCACTCTGTAAAATATATTTAACTAGAGCTTACTAAAAATGAAATTAACATTAAAAGTTTCCATCAAAATCCAAAAAAAAAAACGACAGGCTAACAGAAAATTTTAGTAGACTGTAAGTTCATACATTTATAAGTAATTTTTTTGTTTTTAATGATGCAGATGTTTGAATCCTTGAAATCATACGCAGATGTTTTAATTTTTTGAACGCTCACAAGTAATTTTTATTAATAAGGCGATCAATAAAAGTTTTTTACCTATTTAGATTATTTTATTATCAATATTTCTCTTTTAGCCTGGAGCTTGATAATATTATATGATAATATTACATGATAATGTCCCATAATATTATATAATATCTTGCGATAATATTACATAATAATATAATATTGATAATATTGTATGATTTATGATAATCTTGCATGATTATATTTTATGACAATAGTGTATGATAATATTATATGAGTTTTTATAATCCATTCAAAAAAAATAATTGCAATCTTGTAAATTGATCGTAATTCGTCACTTTATATTATCCTATCTTTGAATTTCTTTCCAGCATTATCTTTGCATTACTTATTGCCCGAATCAAGCATTTTGCTACAGTAATGCATGAGAATTTTTTTATAAAGTCAAATAAAATGATCATTTAAATAGCAAATTTTACTTTTTTAAATATATTTAGACCTGAATTTATTCACAGTTGCAAAATTATTATTCCAATATTTAATTTAATTCAACAATAATAAAAATGTGGTAACATTAATAGAGTTAGAATAAATGATCAAAGTCGACAAGCATCGATAACTTCGCAGATTTAATTAATTAATATAAAGATAATTAAAGTGGAGCATTCTGAATTTTTTCTTCATTCTGCTACTGCAAAAAAGTGTACCACATTGAATTGCTGCATTTTCACTGCATTTTTCAGACCAAAAATTGGAATCTGTAAAAAATTTAAGCTTAATTTATAAATTTAATAATTTAATAAATTTAAAATTTATTTATAAAATTTAAAAATTTTATAATTTAATTCATAAAAAAAAACGATTTTGTGGAATATGTTTGGCTAAAAATATCCGAAAGCATAAATCGCTTAAAAATATCTCAAAACCATGTACTCCTGTCGCGTTTTCTGAATACTTCCTGAAATCTTGCAGATTATTTTTGCAGTGGTCATAATCAATAATTATAATATTGCAAAAGGCAGTATAGGGGTTGTCGAAGAGGACGCATATTTTTACTATTAAACAAAAATTCATCAGCATGATCAAGCTTATAGAAAAAAAAATCCTTTGCCTTTAATTATTGTAGCTGCTAACAGTGAGGTCTCAAAATTAAAATCAAGGAATTCCAGATTTCGAAAGTTTATCTTGAAGCATAAACTTCTGTGGCTGAACAACGACACAAGCTTTACATTATAGCAATTTTAGGTGAAATTTTGAAAATTTCTCTCAGAAAACTCAAATAATGCGAAAGCAATGCGAGAAAAATTTTACGCCAGAATTTGCAATGCCTCTTTTTGCTCAAAAATATAAGATTTTTCAGTAATCGATGCTGGCAAAGTCGAACTTTAAAAATAAATACTGAACTTCTAAAAAGTATCTGAATTAATACTATTTTAGCCCATAGAACGACTAAAGATGAACTGATACACGGTAGTTGTTGTTAATGGATTTTTCCTAGAAAATCTTGAAAATCTGTCCTATTAAATATCCTTTATTTTGAGTTACTATAAAGCAGATGGACGAATAAATATGGAAATTAATTTTAATAAATACAGTTGCAAAATTTTTTATTAATTTCATTATTTATCTTTCAAGCGGCCTGTTTAATCAATTCTTTTGCAGAACGGTTAATCACTTTCACAGAAAACTCAAAGAAGTTTATTATTTATTAATTAGGTCATATTATAGAGGAATGGTATATTATATATGTATATATATATATGTATTAAATGAGGAAGATGACAATCGTATGCAATAAAAAACAATAGGTAGCTTCATCAAAGACGGCAAAAATTTGATTTTAGCGTCAATTTTACGAAGAGCTGTGCTTTTGAACAACATGAAATATCTATTAGTGGATGAAATAGATATGGCTGCAATAATTGAAGATACTAAATATTGTGGCCAAATACGTCGTAAAAATATCGAGCGCATCTTCCACGGTTTTTCTCTTCCTTTTTTTAATTGCAGCAATATTCGAAGAAAAAAGTGAGAAAAATTAAGCACAAAAATAAAAATTTAAAGGATTTAAAAAAAAAACAACATTAATCATTTTTTTTTCTTTAGTTCCAAAGATTCATGTTCCGGCTGAACTAGCGCAGCTTCTTCATCAACGGCGCAAAAAAATATTGATGACGAATAATTTAATCATTTTGGATAGAAATGCTAAAAACATGCAAATATCTATCTCAGTTCCAAGCGAGGATAGTACACCTAAAGCAATAAATGGTCATTTTTGCAGAAAAATAATGATTTTTAAAAGCAAATAAAAATAAAAATAAAAATTTGAAAATATAAAAATACAGTTTTAATGCGATAATAATAAAAATAATAATAATTTGAAATAATAATAAAAAAAAATAATTTCAGTGAAAAAACGAAAAAAAAACAAGAAAATGAATTTTACCAATGAATTTTATCAAAAATTAACAATCAAAGAAGAAAACGAAACGAAAATGGAATTTAATGAAAAAGCTAAAGCAATAACTGATCAGTGAAAGTTTTTTTAAAATTTTTTATAAAACAATATTCTATTTTCTTATAAAATCGATGCTTTTTCATTTGTATTTTGGAAATAATTTTTCTAATTGTTTTTTATTTGTAGATCTTACAAAATATTTTCGAAAATTTGCTGAATAATTTTAATTAAATATAATGAATAAATGATTCAATTTATCATTTATTTTTGTCTCTAATGCGACCTAAAATTTTTTTATGCTAAATGGAACTTCTCAAAATCTGATATAATTATGATGAATAACTATAAAATAAAAAAAAAATACTATTTCATAGATATTTATTCATGCGAAATCGAATATATTTGTTAAATTACAAAAATTATTTAAAAAATTTAAAAAATTAATTTATAATTTTCTTATAAAAATTTTATCATTCGTATTTTTGAAAAGATAGCAAAAAATAAGAACAATATTTTTGAGCCTTTAAATCACGAATTCTTTTAATATCAATTAAGGTGCAAAGTAGTCGAAGCATCATGTCGGATATAACACCAAATCGATTCCCATATTTCGTTCCTGTTGCAGCATAAGCCTATGAAAAGCCTATCTCGCATAATTTATGCGTGGTAAAAGTGCGGTACAAATAATATTTTACTGAGTGTAAATTCTATGTTCCTATCGTCAAATAGTTCAGTGGCAAAATTTTTAATTAACCATCAGCTAGAAGTGTTTAACTAGAAACTGAGAGTTATTTATTTATTTTCACAACTATTAGGTTGGCAAACGCTAATCTAATTTTCTTCTAAAAACAATGGCATTCCATACAAAATGGTAATTTTCGGAAAGGTGAAAATTTGATAAAATAAAAGTGTTAGAAGAAAAATGATAAAATTTTCATGTGATTTTTTGTATATTTCGCCATATTTATTGCACAACTTCATTCTTTCACAATTGTAACATATTTAAGCGTTTTCCTCGGAACTTTAATATTCTACGAGTTATCAATAAATAAAATTTTGACTTTAATTTTATTCATTTTTTATAAATTCTTATTCACTTAAATTCAAAAAACAAACGGATTTGCTTTTCAAGAAGCGTAAATAAATAAAAAACGAAATATGTACGAAATATTCAAGTTTCAATGAGTTCCTTGACCTCATCACCAGATTGCGCAACGGAAATCGTCAAGCTTAGTCCCAGTTTGCCTTTTGCTAAACTCTTACTCTATGGCACAAAGCATGCCGCATTGAGATTCGTCAACGAAACTGGCAATTACTAAAGTAGGGAACGATTTGTCATAGCCTAACCGCTCAGAGCAAGCCGAAAATTTATGAGTGGAAGCACGGGAGAAAATTGAGATAAAAAATGATGAGGGGTTAATAGTTATGAATAGCTGAGATGTTTGGGAATAAATGAATTTTTAATTTGTTTTAATTTTTAATTTTTAATGAAATTTGTTTTTTTTTACTTTATGGTTAGTTATTAGTGTTCGTATTCTAATTTTGAGCAAAATTTTAATTTTGCGTTTGGCGTAATTGTCCTAGATTGAGTATTGTTCATTTTCATGCTTATCGTTTCGTCGTTTGTAGATTGGAAAAAAAATTGAAATTATCGTTCACGAACTGAGAGTAAAAGAGTTCACCTATTAAAATGCAAACCAAAATATGGTAACAGTTATTTGAATTTCGAGTCTAGATGTGCTGAAAATAAAGACGAATCTCCTTACGCACAACTAATAAAATACTTGCAAACATTTATTTGCTCAGGAGGTACTTTTGTTTCCTCATTCAATAGCCTCACCACCAGAACCAATCATGTCGAATACCAACCAAAAAATATGTTAAAAAATATATTTTTTTTTCCTAAGATATGGTGAAATATCGGTGAAAAATCTATACATAAAATGATTACATTTCTTAAAACTAAAAATGAAAATGCAACAGAGCCAATTTATCCCGTAATTATTGTCGAATTATACTTAAAGACAGACCGTAATTAAACCATTAGTTAAGGTGCTATATCAAAGTTATCAAATATCATTGTTCCGCTTCGTAGAGCATTCATCTTTCCTACGAACTTAGAAAATGAATCTGATTACTTCGTCATCTTCAATTTTACAGTGAATATTCATTGCAAACGAATGAGTCTAATTGATGTCAAAACTCATTGTGTTTAACTTTCTGTTTGTTATGGATTAAGTAGTACTATCGAGAAAACTATGCTATGCTACAAATATCTGCAAATGTGCACACCCTCAATTCGGAGCTCCTAATTCCCGGAGAAGTGAGCCTACCCAAAAATCCTGATGATGCTGGCTACCGATTTGTACTGCTACCACCAAGAGAGTCCCTGGCATTTGTTTAGTGCAACAAGCCAGTGGAGTCTAACCAGTAAGGATGAGGGCTCTAAAAATAAATTTTATGCATAAATCTAACATATGGAAATTTCCAGTCAATAGATATAGTGATATATCCATTATTTTGGGGAATAATTATTTCATGAAATGTACACATAGCACTACTGACTCGATTTAAAAAAAAATACTACAAAACGTAAAAATAAGTTGGGAGAAATGTACTGACGATCTGCATCTTGAAACATGAAACACCAACACCAACAATCGCTATATTTTGCATATATATCTCATCTAATTAAAATCGTGGCTACAAATTCAAAAATTACTCGGCCATTTCAGTTTAAAATAAAATTTTATGCAGTGAAATGAGCAATAACTTATTTTTGTCATATACCGAGATAAGATGACTATCTAGAATTTCGTAATGAATGAATTAATATTTTTTGTCGCTTCTTGACTATTTATCACAGAACTTTACTGAATATTTGATAAATTTATCATGGCTAATATGATATGAATATTTGGCTGATATTGTTTTAAGCTTCAGCAAATCAATTTATCATTGCAAGCATAAAAATTTTGCAAAAAATTCTTAATGCGAATAATAAAATTTTATTCATTAGTAAAAAAATTTAAATTCTGGCTATCCACAATTAATAAGTTCTTTCTTAAATAGATTATTCCTTATATGAATTTTTATTAGAAATAAGTTCTAAAATACACGAAAACGTTTTGGCATAATTTTTCGTAACATTTGCTTGATTAGCAATCATCTCTTTTACAATATTCTCCAAACCCTAATGAAAATAGTTTTTGGCTTCGAAAGCTAAAGCCAGTTCATTGCAAATAAATATGAAGACTTAACTGGTGATTCTGATTTGAAGCAGAAGTATAAAAAAATTATATAAAACAATCTTTAGGCTAACTCAAAAAAAAAAAATATTGGGCCAAATTAGGCCATTCAAATATTATTACCTTTTTCCATATCCTATTTATGCGAGGCAAAATTTTCATATAATGCTGCAGCATTAGCGAGATAAGGGTTAATGCTAATAACTTATATGAGGAGACTATCTAGTGGTATCTACTTAAAAAAAAGTCGAAAGTACTTGTGGCTTAGAGGCCCAGAAGTATCGTTCTTACATATCTTATCGAAAATACTATATTTTTATAAATATATTATATTGAAACAAAGGTACATAATAAGTTTTTCGCTCGAGAAACAATATTTATTTGTTTTTAAACTACAAATTTAATGTTCCGTTTTTTCTCAGATTTTCCATAAATCCATAAATCGTGAAATGTCCGATGACAAAAAAAAATTTTTTTTCGATACGTTATCGCCTTTTTTAAAAGACAATAACTGTGGTATTTCATGGAATTCCTTAAAAAATGAAAAAAAACTGGCAATAATTTTATAAAGTAATTTGATGACTATAAAATAAGCCGTTAGGCACTTTAATTAAGACGAATTTTAGTGTTAACAAATAAGATATTTTTATGACTTTGCTAGTTCTTTTTAAATCAAATTAAAATATTGAAATCTGCTAATCAGCGGTAAACTTCAAAGCAAACAAATAGGTAGGGTTATCACATACATAATCAGATAGATGAAAAACATTAGTCTACGAAATATATAAAGTTGTTGTGCAACATGGTTAAATTCAACGCTCTCAGAACTATTCGTCTCAATATTAATTTCTTCATTGAGTGGAGGATTAGATGAAAGAGTTTTGTCAGCCTCCCTTACTACATTACTTGCACTCTCTTGCTGCAGCGCCATTGCATTTCCACCGTTCTCGTGTTCTTCAGATACCTCAGAACTATGATTTAATATACTTTCATCGAAATCTCCAGAAAAAAGACTGAAATTTCCTAGTGTAATGCAAAAGTGCAACAAAAATTCAACAGGTATCGCAGAAAAAAATTATCGCTGATATTCCAGTGATTTAAAAGTTAAGAAAAAAAATGCATACGTCTGTGGGTCAAAAGATAATCCCTTGATATTAAATGTTCGTATCTGTCGCAGGCTCTCCGTTATATTTGTTATCTAAAAAAGAATATGACACTTAAAAATGAAAATATGAAAGATATAAAAAAAGCTTTTATTAACTGAAGTTGTAATTCTTTAACTTTAAAGTGGTTTTTAATCAAATGAATTTAAATGATAAAGGAATATAAAATGCTCAGATAAAATCATATCTGCCTATGACATTCCAAAAAGATCGCTAAAATTTTTAAGTATAAAACCAGTTCAAATATTACGACAGTTAGCGGAATTATGCTTTCTACGGACCAATAAAAATTAGATTCCAAAAATTCGATTTGACACTTCTCAAGTAAACATACGAATTGTATCCAACAAAAAATAATTATTTAATAATAGATTTAAAATAGTTTCAAAAAAACGAACCTTAAAAGGCAATTCGATATTTTTTGGAAGAATATTTTCTAGATATAAAATCATGACATGTAGAATAAATGTGATAGCCGTTAACGAAAGGTTGAAACCATAAAATGAAACTGAAATAATTTATATGATAATTATGATATGATAATTTAATTCGCTAGTATAGTATAGTATAGTTTTAAATAATAAACGTAAAGGGAAAAACATCCTGTTAAAAAAAAAAAAAATTTGTAGTTTAAGGTACTAAAAATTTGAGTTCAATTTATAGTTGGACTTTTTAACGAGATTATCTCTTTTGTTCAGTGATGTATATAAGCTATATTATATTTGCCAAGGTGCACCATAAATATATGTGGTATTAATTGAAATGGATAAATTTGCAGTTTACCATAAAATAGTTCATTTCTGAAAGAATATTTGGAAAATTAACCAATCTTGGGTACGCGGCCATTGCCTGGTGGTAAACCTTTTATAAGATCCCATCCGAATAAAGCCTGTAACACAATATTCAATACCGACATGGGTATAGCCAAGGAAAACGTATCGATCCAGAAAATTGATAGCGTAAGTGCACTTGTGACTAGCTGCAATTTAATTGATAATAAATTTGTACCCTTTCCTTTCGTTTAAAACATTCTTTATAATATTTCATGCACTATTCATACTTTTTTTGTGATTTAAAACTTAAGAAAGTCCATTATCATATTATTAGCCACAAATGCATAAGCTGAGGTTGGAAATGTCGACTAATTATTTCTACTTTACTAATCTCAAAAATGACAATTGTGTTCGTTACATGAATCTCTTTAATTTTGTACATGTTTAACATAAATATTTCAAAGTTCGAAAAAGGTTTATTTATAGTTTTAATGATTTTTTTTGCAATTTTAAGTTGAAAAGTTCAAAAATATAGAAATTGTAGAAAAAAACAAAAAATCCCTTTATATTCACTTATTAAATTCCTCTATGGCTAATAGTGATTTCAGGGAAAATTTTCGCTCATATTCAAATACAAAAGCTGATTATTTTTAAAAGGTTTAAAAAAAAAATTTTTTTTAGAAATATAAAAATAATCGCAAAAATTCTATAAGAAAAAAATTTAAATATATTAAATATATTAATTAAATATATAATAATTTAAATATATTATTATATTAAATATATAGTAAAAATTTATATCAAATATTTAAAAAATCACATACACTAGGTAGGATAATTGTTGTTCCAAAATATGGTACTTGCCTTTTTATTCTGATACCAAACTCGATCAATGACCAAAACCATTCCGGCTAAAATATTTTAAGAAACAGTGAAATTATGCTAATCTTTTTCTATATTTATTTAAAATTTAAAATTTATTTAAATTTTAAATTATGAATGATCCAAATAGAAAATAGTTATTCTATGAGAATTGGTAAATTTCATGAGCAAAGGTAGAAAATCATTCGCAAATGATTTTATGAGTATGATTGATCAATTGAAGCAAATTTCTAGAGATTCTGAGAAACGGCGTAGGATTACAGGATAGTGTTTAAAAATATGCTTCCCAATAGTAGGTCAGTGGAGCCAAGCAGAATGCCATTAGAAAAAGCAAAGTCGAGAAAGAAAAACATATGTGGAAAAATTAGCGAATTGAATTTTTTCCACAAAGATTTCGCTTCTTAGAATCCAACATCGCTGTTTGCATTTTCGAAATACTTTTATTATCCTTATTCATTTTCCACTTTTGGTCATTAAAGATGAAAATAATAAAAAAACAAGCTTTGATTTACCTGTCCTTCAGGTATTTCGTCTTTGCAACCAGATGGTCCCCAGTAGCACTGTCTTCGCCATGTATCTTTAACTTCCCAACCTTTAAAGCAATTAACTCCGAACAAATTTTCAAAAAGCAACACAAATAGTTTTACTAAATTATGGAAATTAGAAATGCCTAAAGTCCTCTTGAAAATAGAAAAATAAGAAAAGAACTCGTGAATTATTTTAGGAAAACCAAGAAGTTCGGCTGAAAACTAATTAATTATAAGTTGGTTAATTTCTAAACTGATTACCGGCTACGTGTTTCTTTGGACTGCTATTGTTCAAGGGATCATAGTTTAGTTTTACGGCGGGTTTATTCCACGGAGTGTTACCGAACGCATCGGAAAGATTCACTTTTGAAAGGTCGTAAATCCAGTCGGCGATAACTATTGGGCATTCCTGTAAATCATTTGATATGCTAGGGTGCTTTTTCCTGTGGTCTACGAAAGTGTTAAAAGTGTTATGTATTACGTGCTTTAATGTATTTATATGCAGAATCTGCATTAAAGAACTATTCAGCGCCAAACAAAATTTTTTGTGGCCTTCATAACTTTTTACATTAAAATTCTAAATTTACCATAAATTATTTATTTATTTTTTTTTAAGAGTTTTCACCATTACTGATTAAACTCGCTCCATTGGCTTGTCGCATTGGGTAAGATAGAAATACAGGTAAGTCGCTAGCATATTTTTGTACAGGTTTATTCCTGCGAGGAACCGAACCTCAGCATCAGCGCTCTAAATTGAGCAAAAATCCACTAAGCTCTTCTTTTACCAATTAGCTTATTACTAAATAAAATGTATTTTCATTATTAGCGACTGTTTGAAAGCACTGCATCCATCTGTTTCAGTTTGCAATGTTCTATTTTATTGCGAAACAAAATATTTTGAAGTTAAAAATAGCCAAAAAATTAATTTTTTGCGACCAAAATGCAATGCTATAAGTAAATTAGTAATTTGCAAAAAGGGAAATTTTCATATGAAAAATGAAAATTTCACGATCTTTTAGCTTAGAACTAGAATGATATGCTTGTCGAATTTCCATTCGCTAGCAAAAATTATTCCCAACACTACCAACTAAATAATTCCTAATTTGGTGTAGGTTAAATATTAAAAAATTGGGATGCATTATAGTTCACATTAATTCAAACCGTAAATTTTTGCTTTTTATTCTTGCGGTTTTCATAAAAAAAATTCACCAAATATCTGCTATTCGCTACCAAAAACTATTCCCAACACTGCTTAAATAAGTAATTCCTAATTTAGCCGTCTTTAATAATTTGGAAACATTTTTAATTGAAAGCAATATTAGATGAATGCTGTAAAAATTAATTAATTATAAAATGAAGTATTTTATTATTTTATTTATTATTTTAAGTGCTGGCAAGAGATTCGCTAGAAATGACTTCCAAAGCGTAAATTAATTAAATATTAAAATAACTTTGTAAATATTTTGATTTGTGTTGTTTTTCATTTATATTTTTAAATCACCTGTTCATCATATGGATAATCGGTGAAATCAAAAAGGCACGTCACATGGAAGCTGAAAGAACCTGACGCCCAAACTTTTCCATCATTGCCCACTGAAGCTGGAAGTCCCTCCATATGTAAATACCATGAATTTCCGCGAGCGCTAGACAATTTACAATTTAAAATGTTGTGAGAAGAACATTCATATTTTTCGCTTTAGCCTAAATACAGCTGTTCATCAACTTCAACTTTGTACAAATATGCTCAAATACCAGACTAGAACCTTTCTTTCTTATTTTATTATTAGTATTTATGGGTTAATATTTCTTTGCAAATTCGCACCTATTATAGAGTGCCAACGCTGGTTGCCAGATTTTCCAACTTTCAATAGCAATTCTCTTTGTATTATTGTATTTACTTGGATCCCATTGTAGATATTCATCAGTCCATGTTGCCCATAACAATCCGTGCAACAGCATCGTTTGCTCGCGCTCATCCTTAATAATATGCATAGTAGTGAACAAAATAAGCATTGAACGATATCACTTTGGTATAAAAAATACGAATAATATTAATAATTAAGACTTTTCAATAATAAAAATAATAACTAATGAATTTGCAATAAAAAAATTCGCATAAAAAAAGCATGTTCTCACCACTTTTTCAATATGACCAATCAACAAATATATTTGAATTTGCACCGTCGTTGATTCTTTTTTAACGGGTCTATGCTTTCGGTTATACGACTTAAGAAGGGTCTCTTCCAGGTGTTTATTGTATTCTGAGATCCATGTATAAGCACTCATAATTAACAAAACTAAAATATAATATTTAGAAATAAAAATTTCTCGTTGAACATATCGCCAATTATGCATATTATTTTATATAATATATGGTAGAACTCATAAAAATTTTATAACTTATATTATAAATTATATAAATTATATAACATCTATAAATTCTATAAATTATATATAAATTATATAACATCAAATAATTAGTTTATCTTATCTTATCTTGTCTTAACGATTTCATTACATAAAAGCCAATTAATTCTGATAAATTTTTTAAAATCACTGATTACAATTGAATTTATATTCTGTAATATATTAGTAATATAGTAATAAAATTCAAAATTCATTGAAATAAAAAAATATTGCATTAGGAAAAAAAATAGAAAAAAAAATCACCAAAATAGGCGAAAAATAACCATAATCGGTTTGCCATTCAACAACTAATCGCAGCTTCACTGAATAATTATCAAGCAATTCCGTGAATATCGCTATAGCCTGAAATATGATATAAACATTGAATGGACTGCAATTCGATATCAAATACAATCAAATAAACATTTTAGCAAATTCTTGCATTATTACGTTAATGTCTCACCTTATAGCTGTAGTCTCAGATTTTGAAGTTTTGAAGCAATGTCTAAGTTGCAATTTTTTTGTTTTACTGAAAAAAAAAAGTTTTAGAAGCAAAAAAAATATTTATGCTATATTTCTATTGAATTATTATATAATGCGAAATTAATAGAGAAAAATCTGTCTTGATAACTGAAAAAATATTTATATAAAAGTACGAAGAAACAATAATAAAACTACAAAAAATAAGTTGCTATATAAAAAAAAGGTTAAATAAGGTGAAATAGAAGGAAATGCCTCAAGCGATATTCAGCTTATTTTATCAAACTGATTTAAGCTTCAAACATACAAATTAGTTTATTTTTCAGATTCACAAAAGTAATTATAAGTAATTATAATTATAAGCTATTTGGTTTCAAAAAAGGAATATTTAGAAGAAACAAAAATTTTAGTGTTGCTTATTATAATATTACAATATTAATGCTTTTAGTTATAGCCAAAATCGTTTCTTATCCGAAAACAAGATTTAAAATTAAACCAAAAGAATGATTTTTATGATGAATGAAGAATGACATTGAAATGTTTTAAAGATATGTTGTAAATGTTAGCTTAAAGTTGCATATTTTACAAGGGGAAAACTGTTGGTAGAGAGGCTTGGTACTAAATAAATTCCAATTATTCACAATGCACGACACTTCAAATCAGAATTCATGAACAAGAAGCGTAGGTATAATTTGCATAATAAATTAAAGGATCAAGTTTATAGGATTTTTTAAAGCTTAAAGGTGATAAAGCTGGAGTTTTGTACCAAATAAAGTCTTTTTATATGTATTTTATCTGTATAAGTCGGTATTTTTTATCAAATCTTTTTGATAATATTGTTCATAAAAAATGAACATTTTGGCTGCCCACCTTTTTCCTAACTTTTTTCCTATGATATTTTACCAAATGTCGTTTTTTAATTCTCTATATTGTAATTGTATTTGAGAGCATTCTTCATCCTACGGCACCTATTATTTCTAATTTCACTATCTCACTATGATGAGATCTTTTCGTCATTTGACTATCGAATTACAGATGACAAATCTTGAGTATCTGCTGGATTGCTCTTTTAATGACCGATTTACTCCTATAAATGGAAAAAACTTCAACCCTCGTTGCTTAACCTCAATCCAAACAATATTCCATTCGACTATCCGCCTCGTGTGTTGTAAATATCAGATTGTTGAATTAAATATTATTCGTCAAGATCTTTCAAATGCAGACTTAAGTAAGATAACACAACAAGTAGCAAAAAAAATTTTTGCACTTTTCATCAGTGTCATATCATTAGAATTATTGCTAAAATTTTTTCAAAAGCATAAGTACTTCAAATTCGTAGCATATTAAAGATTTGTTATTCTAAAATTTTCGTGATTTAATTCATAGTGGAAAAAGCATTCAGTAAATTTTTTAGGTAAATAATGAATTTATCATTATATTCATCATTAATTATAATGAAGGAAAATCATTTATTACGATTTATACTTTTAGTAATTATTTTAATAAAAATTTTCTTAAAGTCTGAATTCTGCAATTCTATAGAAATAAAGAAGAACTTCAATGGCTTTGACGAGGCATCAAACTCGCGATTAATGTAATTGATTAACTTAATCTTAGAGAATAAAAATAAAACGCTATATTTATTCTAAGTGATAAAGAACAAAATGCCTTACTGATAATGAAAAATATTGACTTATTCCTGAAAATAATGTGTGAGTAATGTAAAATATTGGTAAATATGTCTTTCTATAAGTGTATTTAGAAAAATATCGTCGCATATTTGCTATGGCTCATTTCAAGAATAGTTGCAGCTTTAATATGATGCGAATTTGAAGATGCAAGGAAAAACATTTCTCTATTGCCAATTTTTTTTAAATTACTGTATTTTTTCATAAAATAATTTATTATGCTTTCATAAAATTTAAAGCCTCTCTACTTTATCGGAAGTGGAAATGCGTTGCATAATCAACAGAGAAAACTTTAGTGAACCTTAATTCCCTCATTCTATAATATATATTTTACAGCTTAATTAATCATTTCAGTTCTAATGAAAGCCAAGTGAGATTATAATACGCTTTGAAGTGAAAATAATTGGCCTTTATTATCAATAAATAAAGAAGCAATTCACTAACCAATGTAAAAAATCTGTGTAAAAAATTCAACAAAAAAATTTAGAAACGAAAATGACGATTTCATTCATTATTATCACTAATATTTGAATAAAATCAGTACTAAACATGGATTTTTTGAAAAAACAATACTTCCTTTCTAATCGCTTTGGTATTACTATTGACATCAAAACTAATGGATTTCGGGGATAATTTCATGACTTTTGATTAATTTGTGGTTGTCGCTTATCGATAAGCCCCTAATAGGTAGACGAATATACTTCTTTTTAGTTTCACATAAAAGTATTCTTTTCTTCCTTTAGTAGCACTTATCATTTCTGATTTTATCACCTTTAGGTGATTTCTAATGCACGAATCCTTCTTCAAAGAGTTATTATTGGGATTTAAATATGTACGGTTGGATCTACGAAAGGAAAAAGAATAGGGACGATTGCATGATGATTAACCTCAATCGTATTATTCTGCAATCCTAATTCTTTTTTGTTATAATAATAATAATAATAATAATTGCGAATTTAGAATTCAATCTTACTTCACTCAGATTAGTTAAATTAGCCTTCTTCGTAATTACTTTAAAAAATTTTTGAATATTCATTACATAAAGGCGTGGTCTGAATATATTCTCCTCGAATATAAATTTAATACAAGATTTTATTCATATTGCAATAAATTCGTTGTCAAAAATGCTTGTGCTATCATCGAACCTATGTATTATAACAACGATAGCTATGGCTTATACTTTATTTGTTACAATCAATTCTCTACCATCGCCAAAACTTGATAAACAACCAATGATGAACAGGTAAAATTCATTTTATATAAAAAATATAACCATTTAAAAAAAAAAAGACTAATATTCGATTAATTTTTAATTAATCTCATTCTAAAAGTGATTGGAACCACTGATTATATGAATTATCACTGATTATTAGATTTCTTCGGCAATGAATTATTTAGAGTGATAGAAGAAAAACAGATCATCACTGTAAACCAGTTTTACTCATAATGGTGCATTTGCTTTTGTTGGAGGAGAAGGAATAAATCCATGCTACTTCGACCTCAGTGGACTCTTTTTCATGAAATTTGCCTATATTCTCAGAGCTACATTGAATTAAATTCAACTATAGCCAATGGAAACAGAGAATATTCTTAATGCAACTTTTGATATCATTTTTAAAATTCTATTTCCTTAAATTTAAATGTTTATGGCGATCAATTCACAGAAATTCTTACAAAAAGCAGAACTAATGGAAAATATTTTTGAAGACATTTGCATCTAATAGCTTAATGAATTTCGAGAACAATGGTATCGTAATCAAACAAACAATTTTATGCCCTTAAATCAAAAAAAAAAAAGACTAAAGACTAAGGCTTGAAGGTATCAAAAAGAAAAAACTGTTTGGAGACATCTTAGACGTGTGACCAGGGGGACCAATCAGAAATGGTGAAAAGTGTTAGAAGTTTAAACGAACGAATATGATTCTTATGCATAAATATCTCGAGGAGTGCTTTCAGTCTTTCGAAATGATGATGAAAAGGGCAATTCGATTTCTTTCATTTCATTAAAAATTCTATCAAAAAAAAATTCCATTATGCTCTTGAAATTTGTTACAAAAATCCATTTAGCTTTAATTCTATCCAATTAAATATATTTAGTGGCGATAAAGCTATATCGTCACCGAAATGAACAAATTTTCGCCGTTAGCTCCCGTGGACATGCTCGTTTATCGCATTCTTATTTCTTTGTCGCTATTTTATACTTTTAATTAACCAAATTTTCTTATACGATGGGAATTTTTAATACAAATCCACGATATGTTCATTCATTCAAAAATATTTTTGATTATTCTTTTTCTTAATGAAAATTAAATTCGTTGAAAAAAAAAAAATTATTTTTCTAAGATTATTTTCTAAATTCAACGAATGATTTACTTAAATTGTAGCAAAAAAAAAATCGAAAAAGAAAAATCATTGCTTTCTTCATTTTAAGAAATCAAAAACAACTGAGTTTATCGCATTAATCATTGAAAATAAATTGAATGATCGAATTTTTTCATGAATATCGACTTTTATTACTACAAGAACCACTTTTATATAAATGGCTATTTGCTTATAAATAGCAAAAATAGGTAAAAATTAAAAAAAAAAGATAAGTGGAGAGTAGAAATAAAGATGTGCGCATTATTCTCTCTTTCCAACTGAATTTCCGAATTCTTTGTCAAAAAATGGATCGCAAAAAATTCTATCTGAAAATGATAATATTTCATTATTAGCATCAATTATAATAGAATTTTTCAATGATAAATTTGCAGATTTCACTTGTTGAAACGATTCCAATACGATATTTCTAATTGTATCAACGGATTTTTTAAAATTATTTTTTTTTAAAACTCATAGTTTTCAGAAACGATATACGATTAAAGAAATGGTATGATTGGAATGACGAATATCTTGTTGATAAGAAATGGTATATTGATTATCACAAATATAATGACAAAATTATTATGAAAAAAAATCATATCATCTATTATTTTGATAATCTTTAATAATTAGACTGGGAAGAAAATCATTAACAATTCTCGAGACTAATTTTTTATAGCGAAGCATCGCAAATGATATCCATTAATTTTTTAAAGCCATTTGTAAGGATTAAAAGGGAAAAATAAATACTTTTAATTTTAATCTCTCAATTTAAGTGGTATTTCTCGATTTAAAAATTTAAAGAACAGTTTCTTATCAAACTGATTTGGATAGTGAAGTCACAAATACACAAACATGTAAGATCGAACGACTCCATATAGTGGTGAAATAATATCAGACTAAATTTCAGGTACGACTGGCAAGATGTAAGGAAACGTCTAAACGGAAAGATTGACCTACCAAGTGAAGAGTTCTCATTTGATCCAAACAGCAGATTCGAATGGAACTTTCATCGACTTTAAATAAACTAAGAAACTTTTGGATATTACCGTTATTTTGATGAAATTCAATCCGATGTTATGTTATTGTTCATGAATTTCATGAATTTTTATAAATTTGGTGGTTTTCTTGGCACATATTCAAAAATTTTTGGGCAAAAAATTTTTTTCAATAAATGGTTTGAAAAAACCGAGATTATAATGCATAATGCATATATATATTGTTAAAAAAATTCCTACTCTCCTATTGTATATTTTCGTGTTAATTGATAATGCAAATTTATTTTAATTACATAGATTAATACAACAAATGAAATTACTTAAGAATTTAAAAGGTAAATTAGGCAATCTAAGTTATATCCTAAAATTAATTAAAGGTTAAGAAGATGCAAAAATTGATTCATAATTATAAAATTAACAATATGAATGGCAGTCAACAACATTTTATAGAATTATTAGCCTAATTCCATTCGAAATTAGCTTCGTATAAATATCACTTCGAATCGTTTTGTCAGCATTTCACATCAAATCATCATTATTCATAACCATTGCTCCAGCAAATTTCTTCAGTATTTTTACAAGCTATAGACTGGCGTCGAATTTTAAAATTTTAAATTTCATTCTTAATTTATTAATTCAATGTTTTACTAACATTTTAAAATTTATGCTCACTTGCTTTTTAACTAAATTTAACATTTTTCAAAATAATCCTCCAAAAGAATTCCATTTATTTAGACATATACTATCTGTTTGGTAGTGAGCTTTGATTTCTTGAAGTAGTGTAAAATAGAAATTAAATTGATTTGAAAGATTTCCATGGAAATAACCAAATCAGCGTTAAAATTCGGTGTTAAAGTTACCTTTTGAAGTCACCAATTCAATTGCGAATTCTTTACGCGATAAAAACCGCATTTCCTGCAATTTTTTTCAGTTATCGCAATGCGTTTGATAGATTTATTGCCAGTGATTTCTGAATATCGAAAACGCTATGGAAATTCATCTCTTGTTCTATGGATAGAATCCATTCGGTTTCAGGCAAATGATAAAAATGACAATAAACACGGTAGTGTGAAAGATAAATGCTTGTTGAACTATACATTTGCTGATGGAAAAGTTATATCTGTAGTTTTCAAAGAAGTTCAAGTTATGAGCTTTGATTCAGCTATTTCATTACTAAACTTGCTAAAGCGCTTTGAGCAGTTAAAGCAGTTAAATAATACAGAAGATAATAGAGAAAACATAAAAATCGAGGTATGGCAATGTTATAAAACTTCTGAAAATTTATTTATAGTTGATGTTACTGATAACGTGAATTTATCAGATTCGGATTTTCTAAAAATTCTTGATATAATCTTCAATTTTCAATCTAATTCAAAACAATATACAACTGTGCAATCAATAAAGAAAATTATTTTACCTTTAAGCATTTATGGCAAACTGTATATTCACTTTGAATATGTTGGTGAATGCATTAATCTCAAAATTTATGACCGATTTGGCGTACCGATTGGTGAATTCCTGGATATTTGCTTAAGAAGATGGAAGGAAGATTATGGTGGGGAAAATGATATCCAAAGAAACAATCACTATTCAAACGAAAAAATTAGCGATAAATTCATGGAAGTCATTGAGCATAGAGACTCAAATTCTTTTAAAACTAACGATGAAAAAAATGTTATCGATACGACAAAAGAAGAGCAAATGGACATATCAGCTGATTGTAGGAAATTCTGCAAATTTAAAACCAATATGCAAACTGATATTTTTGCAGAAACTGGATGCATGGAAAACCAAGTTCTTCCACAAGACGATTTCGATGTTGTGAACGATACATTTGCTGATAGTACCATATACGACAATCGAAACCAACAGTTGCACAATGGAACGCCAACTTCTTTCTCGCTTGTAAAAATAAATACGGAGGGAGCCACAGAAATAAAGGAGATAGAAGAAATTATTTCCAATACACTAAAAAAATTTATAGCAAAAAATTTTCAGGAAGAAACTAAATTTGTTTCAATTGGAATGGACTCAATAAAGTTAGCATTATTTGAAGACGCCTTAAGGCGAGTGTTGTTTAATAAAATTGAGGTTCCAAACGGTTGTGTATATCAGCATTCGAATATCAGATCCTTAGCGATCTTCTTAAATAATCTTAGAAATAAATTGCGAAGCATAAAACTTCAGATTCAACCATCGGAAAGAAAATTAGAAAAACCATTGGTGAATAAGAAAAACCATAATTTTATGAACGAATTTGAGCGAGAAAGATATGATGAAATCATTGGCGATCTGGAAAATCTTTTAAAAAATGATGAAACTATTCCACTTACATCAGCTCAAAAACGTTTCATTTTTATCAATGAATTGTGGCCCAACTGTGAAAAATTACAATTTCAAGAGAAAATCATTATCAAATTAGAGAATGCTAATATTAAACAACTCGAAAAAGCCATAAATAGTCTTATAGGTAGACAAAAAATATTGCGAACAAAGTACCAACGATATTATCAACAAGTCCTTAGCCTTACTGAATCTTTTTTTGCAATTAAAAATCGATCTATTAGAGTCGAAAATAGTTATTCTGTGAATATTTTTGATGACATACCACTCGTTATAATAATCGAATCTGATTTATCAATTTCTAATCATTTTATCCTTCAAATCTTACTTCATCATATATCAACTGATGGCCATTCAATGGCTATTCTAGCGAATGAACTGTGTGCACTTTATAAAGGTGAAATACTGAATCAATTAGCCATTCATTATGTTCATTATGCATTAATCGAAAAGAGGCGCATGGAAGACGACGCAAATCTCGAGGCTAATTCAAGTTATTGGAAACAGCAGTTCCAAGGATTTCGTGCATCAAAATTTCCAATTGATAAGCCTGTGAAAATAGATGAAGAATTTCGTAAAAGCTCTTTAGAATACAAATTTCTTCAGCAAACAATTCATAAAATCAACAGTCTCGTCGATCGTTTTGCTAAAACTGAGTTTAAAGTCATTTTATCAATCTATTTTATCTTGATCAGTAAAGAATACTGTATTTCCGATTGTTGTACAGGAATTCTCATAAGCAACCGATCAACTGCTGAGCTACAAAATATCATTGGATGTTTCGTCAATCCACTTCCACTCCGTGTTCAATTAACCAATTCAACATATAATTTTTCGACACTTCTCGATTTAATTTCACAATCGCTTGACAATGGCATCAAACATCAGCTACCATTTGATGATATTGTAAATGTTGTGAATATTGAGCGCAATTATACAACTATTCCTCTCTTCCACACTTTGCTCGTTATGGATACAATTAATAATTTTATTAACAATAAAAATTCATCGTTAAACTGGAAAATTATTGAATACAACTCGACCGGTGGATTTTATGATCAAATTTGGTATTTTATTAAAGAAAATGAAAATGAACTAATAATTCGAGTTGAATATAATGAAAATATTTATTATAAACAATCTATTGAACGACTTATTAATAAATTTTTAATTTTAATTGATCAAATTTACGAAAATCCCAATCGCATTTTAGAAAATATATCAATGGAAAGACGAATTGATCTACTAAAATCGTTTAGAAGAAAAGCGATGAACCTATGCGATTTTCCTATTAGGCAAACAATTATCGATATCGCAATGGAACAGAATAAATTAAGCGCTTACTGTAATTCATTTATTTTTGCTGATAAACGATTTTCTAATATATGGTGGGAAAAAATGAGCAATCAACTGGCGTCGATGTTAACACAAATGATTATTCAGAGATACGGTGAACCACCGCAAGTCGATTCTATCGCGATTTTTGTAATGGAACGATCAACTGATATGTTTTTACTATTATTGAGCGCGTGGAAATGTGGTATGACTGTCGTACCGCTTAGTATAGATTGGCCAGAAGAAAGATTGTTGGCTGTAATGAAAAATATAAAATACACGATAATTTTTGTTTCCAAAAAATTATTATGTGAATATCACTGGATTTTAGAAGGAGCGAAACTGATCGCTAACTGTAAATATTATTATTATTATTCAGCTACAAAGCAGAGAAAACGTCAAATTCCACATGATCTGGCTTACATAACGTATACTTCAGGCAGTACAAGTTTACCTAAAGGCATTTGTACTGAATTGATCGGCTTGAATAATTTAGCCATGAATTATGCATTCTGTTTCCTACCGCATAGCGCAAGTCGTATCTATCAAGTAGTCAACCCCTCATTCGATATATTTTTTGCGGATATAATTGAAGCTTTTTGCTTTGGAGGTACATTGATCTTCGCCAAGAATAAGATTCCTGACTGGTCTGAGATGGAATCGATTACACACGCTTATATTATGCCAGCGTATTTATCTACATTCGGCGATAACTATATTCCAAATCTCGGCAAATTCGAGGCAATTAACTTTGGTGGCGATATAATTCAGACAGGTTTCTTAGAACGAGCCCTTCAGGGAGGAGTTCAATTATATCAACAATATGGCCTAACAGAATCAACGATCTATACAACGTGCAAACGTATGAAAAAGTTTGATCAACCATTCATGATAGGGAAACCATTTTTGAACACTGATATCAGCATTCGAAATCTTGATAGACAAAGATTTCCAGAAAAAACGCTGGGTTTTGGCTGTATAGAAGGTATTGGCCTTGCTCGTGGTTATTTTCAAGATGGCATATTAAAGCAAAAAAATTATGAAAACCTTATAGACCAACCCAAAGAAGAATTAGTTCTTGCCAAAGAAAAGCGATATTTATGGACTGGCGATAAAATTGAAATGCTTAGCGATCAAGGTGATCTGAAATTTCATGGTAGAAATGATACATTAATAAAAATAAGAGGAATGATGATAAATGTAGCAGAAATTGAATACTATGTTTCTTCATTAACTTTCATAGAATCGTGTGTAGTAAAATTACAGAGCTTTTCCAATAAGAACGCATTTCTTATTTGTTATATTACATTTAGAAAAGGATACAATGTAAAGAACTTTGAAGATCAAATACAAACCTATTTGTTGGAAAAACTTCCAGAGTTTATGGTACCGAGGAAGTATTTAGTTGTAAATCGAATGCCTCTAAATTCTAATGGTAAAATTGATCGTTCTAAATTACCTATAATCAATTTCGATGAAAAAATTGAAAATAAGATAAAGGCAAATGAAAATTTAACCTCAGCTCAACGACGATTATGTGAAATTTTCGCTGAAATACTCGGACGTAGTCAAATTTCAATAAACGATTCATTTTTCGATGTAGGAGGTGATTCGTTAAAGGCACTATTTTGCATACAAAGAATCCAAAAAGAGCTCGGAATCGAAATCCATTTGAAAGACATATTGAAAAATATTACTTTCCGACAAATACTGGATTCTATTTTGATGAAATACAACCACAATTGTTCTAAATACTTAGAAGAACCTAAGCCTTGCAACTCATTCTGGTTATTCAAAGATGGTATTCCATTGAATTTCGGACAAGAGAGCCTGTGGTACTTACAAAAATATAACAAGAATGACCCGAGCTACGTATTAAAAATGAGTCTGAACCTGTTGCCCTCAATAGATTGCCAGCTCTTAAACATGGCTATTAATTATATGATAAGAAATCATGCAATATTTCGCACTATAATCAAAGAATTTAGAGTACAACGAAACCCTTCACAATGTGTTTTATCTTTAACCGAGTCGTTCATCAAACTGAGGGACCAGTTGGAATTCGATGAGGAGACCTTTCAGATGAATATTTCACCACCAATAAAGGTCAATCTGCAACGAAACAAACATACCACAAATCTCTTAATATATATACATCACATTTTAACAGATGGATATTCCTTGAATATTGCAGTTCAAGAACTTCTTCGATATTATGGAATTTTGAAACGCAACGGAATATCTGCAAAGGTTCTTAGTTGTTGTAGTGGAATAAGCTATGCAGAATTCAGCTATCGCCAACGTATTGAATGGGAAAACAGATCTGATGATGTGAATGAATGGGTTGATAAATTAAGGAACATAGAGCCATTAAACATAGCGACTGATTTTCCACGTCCTAACATATTTGATGGACAAGGAAAAGTTTATTCTCAGATATTGAAAATGCCGCTTGCAAATATCAAAGAATTTTGCAACATACACAAATGTACACTATTCACATACTTGGTGACTTGCTTTGGACTACTTATGCGCACTTTATCTGGTCAAAATAAATTCGCTATTGGCACGCCATCACTGAATCGACAGCAAAATGTCTTGGATACTATAGGCTTTTTTGTCAATAATATCGTTATATGCTTCGATCTAAATTCATTTACACTCATTTCTGATCTTATAGAATCTATTCAACATGAAATAATCAATGCGCTCGATCATCAACACATTCCATTCGAACTTATCGTCAAAAAACTGAATCCTATTCGAGATCCATCGCGATCGCCAATTTTTCAGTATTCATTGGTCCTTCAAAATCAATTCATTAATTCAATAGAAAACGACGAAAAAATTTTGCTTAGCGTTGATGAAATACATTCAGGTGGCGCCAAATTCGATCAAACGTGGTTTTTTCATGAGCGCGGAATTCATCTATCGCTTGACATTGAATTTTGTACATCACTTTTTCGGCCTTCAACAATACAACAATTTGCTAAAATATTTGAAAATATTATGAAATCATTGATAGAATCGAAGAAAATTAATGATATGAAATTTGTAAACGATGTAACTCAACTGAGATTTATACGATATGCGACAATAAACGAAAATCCAAATAACACATCGGTTAAGTGCAACAAACAACCGAAGCGATTTCAAGGAACTGAAGCAAAACTATACAAAATATGGTCAACTTTCTTGCAAAAGCCATCAATCGACGATGATGATAATTTTTTTGCGATCGGTGGCCATTCATTATTGGCAGTTAAGATTTGTAGTGAAATATCTCGAGAATTTAATATAGATTGCCCAATTCATATTATTTTTAGCCATCCAACTATAAAGCAATTAATAAATTATGTAGACAATATCCATTCGAGGAATTATGCAAATTATGTCACCAACACAACACCATTACCTTTATTCTGCAAACTACAGGAGCCAATATTAAAAATGTTTTTTAGAAATCAACCGAATTTCAATATGAAAGCATATGAGACGGGCTTTACTGTTCAAATTGAATCTCTAGATGTTAAGAGTTTGCGAAACATTTTGAATCGGATTATTATGAGGCATTCTAGCCTAAGAACAAAATTCGCTTATAGCAACAACCACTTCTATCAGGAAATTTACTCAGGCATTGAAGCTTTTATACCTATAATCGATTATTCCGCTGAATTTTCTGATCTATCCGTGCCTAAACCTCTGCTCGATATTTCTCTTATATGCGTAGCTAAAAACATAAGCGAACTTATAACTGATGTAAAATTTCTGGTTAATCATGTCTTAGCCGATGGCCGTTCTATGGAAATTATTCAGGAAGAATTATGTCAGAGTTATTTCCATGGAAGAAAATTGCCCAAAAATACCACCACTTACAGCCAATTTTCAAGCGATTTTAATAAAAAAGTCGAATCATTCGAGAAAATTTTTCAGTATTGGCAAACAAACATAAAAAACATACAAACCGATCAAATACAAACGGACAAAATCAGATCTCCAATCATTTCAAACAAAAGTGGATATGTTGAAAGAAGATTCATTGGTCTGGGAGAGGTCATAATGAAATTGGCCCAATATTTTTATTGTTCGCCAACGGCTATTATTTTGGCAGGTTTTCATCAGATTTTTGCCCTTCGTAAACCAGCAAAATCAGCATCATTAATCGCTTTCCCAGTTGATATGCGATTCAATTCAGCGGACCAATGTGTTGGTCATTGTGTTAATATCTTACCACTTATCATAAAATTTTGCGATTGCTTTAAAAAATTATGTAAGAATATAATGATACAAATTCATGATATACTAGAAAATTCGTTTATTCCAAGTGAAATTATCAGCGAATTATTGGAAAATAAACATACTCAGCTATCGATAATGATTTCGGTCAATACTATCGAGAAGAACTCCTTAAATTCCAATAAATTTCGATTAATAAACGAAAATTCTGGCTATACAAAATATGAGTTAACTATATTTGTGACACATTGTGATGAAACAATAGATATCAAAGCTGAATTCATGCATGAAATTTTTTTTACGGAAAACATTGAATTAATGATTGTCGAATGGGCAAAATTTATTACTAGAGAAGCAAGAAATTGGTTAACTCCGAGGATCGCGAAAATAGAGAAAATTCAAAATTCTCCACTGGGCTATAATAAAAATTTACTAACAAGTGAGCCCAACCGTTCAGAGATAACAAAAACAAGCCAAGGAAATCTGCAATCTTTGGATTATTGCAAAATACCTTCAGAAAATTTAGAATCAGAAAACTCTGGTAAAGATACTGTCGAACTAAATGCAAATATTCTAAACGATTTGCCTCGATTCACTTTACCTGAATTTTTGCGAAATACAGCTCTATATGCAGCGACCAACAAATCATTTTACAACGAAACCACCAAAATTACCTATAACTCAATGATATCGAGAATTGATCAAATATCAAACGTTCTTGAGCAAAAATTGTTGCAACTAACTGGAGAAGTACTTCGACCCGATTGTATTCTACCAGTCGTGGCAAAAAAATCACTTGATATACTAATAGTTTGCCTCTCAATAGTTTATAGCGGTTGTGCTTACTTACCAATTGATATTAAAAATCCTAAACATCGTATCAATGAAATTTTAGACCAGCTAGATGGTCAAGTCTACATCTCTGATTATAAAATTCACACTGATAGCCGCCGTGCGATAAATTTTAACTATCTTAATGGCGGTTCGACAAGAGAATTCTTTATACGAAAGCAATTCAAGCGGCTAAGAAATAAGCCAGATGATCTAGGATATGTAATTTTCACTTCAGGCTCAACAGGTCGTCCTAAAGGTGTTGCTATAAAACAATTAGCCATCATCAACGTGGCCGTACAGTCAACGCAAAATTTCTATGTGAAATCCACAGATAGTGTTTATCAGTTCACAAATTTTGCATTCGACAATAGCGTTTTAGAAATGATTATGGCCTTATCGAATGGCGCTGCAATATTTGTAGAAGAAACTATGTTTGAGATAAAAAGATTTTTTCAAGAAGTCGAACGCTCAAAAATCACGCATGCTTTACTCTTTCCTGGACTAATTCATACATTCACCAATGAAGAAATCGCTAAACTTTCACTATTACGCTATTGGATAGTTGGAGCTGAAAAATTAGATGATGAAACATTGAATATAGCTCTAGAATCTGGCGTTCGAGTGATTCAGAATTATGGTCCCACCGAAACAACAACCTATGCAATTTTTAAGCATATGAGATACGGAGATCGTGGTTGCAATATAGGAAAGCCAATAGCTAATGTCCATTTAAGCATCGTAAGCGACTGCGAAACTCAGTCTCCTCTCTTCGTTAATGGCAAATTAATTATTGAAGGTGCCTGTTTGATGAGAGGTTATCTCAATCAGGATCAGATGAAAATAAAAGAAAAGATTAAAAGCTTCGATACTGGAGATATAGTGAAAATTTTGCCGGACAAAAATTGTATCTTCATTGGCAGATCCGATCGACAGATAAAAATTCGCGGTTTTCGAGTTGAAATCTCGGAAATTGAAGGTGTTATACGACAAATCAACTGGGTTCGGCAAGTACGAATTATCTACAAAAAACATGAACAGATTTTAAATGCATATTTAACATTGGTGAATGGTTTAGAACATGAATTTAATTCGGTTTTTTTGAGAAATTTCTGCTTAAATCGTCTTCCGTATTATATGGTACCCGGAAATTTCTATCCTATTGAACAATTTCCACTGACATCAAACGCAAAGGTCTCTTTGGATGAATTATTGATGAAATATGAAAATTGTATAGAGCAAAAAAAGATTCCAGAATCAGTCGTCGAGTTTCGAATTTGGTTGCTTTTCAAGGAAATTCTTAAAATCGACAACATATCAACTACGGACGATTTTTTCTTATTAGGCGGTAATTCATTAAGTGCAACGAAACTTTCGAATAGAATATCGAATGAATTTAGTCGAAAATTAGAAACGAATGATATTTTTCGACTTCGTACAATCAAAAGCCTTTCTTTGATATTAGCAAATGATAAAGAAGAAATTTTAAACGAAAACGATTCGAAACTGATAACTAATGAAATACAACAACAACAACGTATCGATGAACTGATAAAGTTGAAAAATTTCGATATTAGAAAAATTCCTTTAAGTTTTCAACAAGAACAAATGTTTTTTTTGAGTGAAACAAATCAAAATGAATACTACAATTTACCTTTTGTTCAATTTTTTGAACGAAACGTCAATTACCGACACTTACGTCTCGCATTTCTTCGTCTTATTATGCGGCAGAACTCGTTACGAACATTTTTTACAGAAACTGCATATGAATTTTTTCAAACTGTCCTCTCGGGCACTGAATCGTATTTTCATCCTCCACTAAAAGCGTACTCTGCTATTACTCTCGCATCAGATATAAAATATTTAAGAAAACAACTTCCTAAATTCAAAATAGAACCGCCCGTACAATGCGCTATTTACTACGATAACGATTCAAGTCGATTCGTGGTCTTACTTATTATTCACCACATAATAAGTGATGCATGGTCAACGAGGCTTATCGAAAGCGAAATGAGCGAACTTTATAAGGAAATTCAGCGCGGAAAATTTTGCGATAAAAAAATTACCTATTCATATGCAAATTTCGCTCAAATACAATCTAATAATGCGAAAAATTTGATTTTATTAAGCGAAGAATATTCGGAAAAATTTGTGAATTTTGTGATTAATGAACGAAGTTGTCTTACATTTTGCCATAGTAATTCAGATAAAGTCGAATTCAATGAATGCAGCGAAATTCGATTCATTTTATCAGAGCAAAAAAAACTTATAGATATTTGCAATTTTATGGCGACAACACCATTTGTGATTGCTCTTGCAAATGTTCTGCTCAGCCTTCATCGAATCAGCACGTTGGACACAATTCTTGTCACAGCGCCTATCGCTAATCGTACGGGAAACACGCATATATTGGTGGGGAATTTTCTCAATAATCTTTTGATAGATTCGCACTACAAAAGCGAACAAACGATAAATGATTATATCAAAAATTTAAATATCAATATTGATAAGATTCGTAAATACGAAATCGTTCCATATTGTTTGATAATCCAATCATTCACTCGACGTTTGTCGAAACTATCGTATAAAAAACGTTTAGCACTCACCGAATTATATTTTAATTGTCGTTATGAACTCGAAGATGGTTCGACGAATTATTTGCTTACAATATCCGAAAACGATTTTAGACCTTCTTCGCTTTGTGTTTATCCACTTGAAATTGACGTTGATATGCTTCACGGTAATATTCAATATACGTTTCGAATTCGACCAGAAATCGGCAGTCAAAGCGATTTGATTCTTCTTAAGGAATGCGTACAAGAAATTTATGAACAATTCATGGATTTAAGCAAATCGTATGAAATTGGAAAAATTGATAATCAAAGAGAATTGGTACTAGAAAAAATTGACCAAAGGCAACGTGTAATGGTACCACAAAATAATTTGCTCGATGAGTCGAAGAAACAAATAAAATCTGAAAATCTCTTATCAATACGATCAATAAATGATAAAATTTATATTTCTGAAGACGAAATCACTTCAGAATTAAAATTAATTTGGAAAAAATGCTTAAATAATGATTTAATTAATGAAAATTTTTTTCTAAGTGGTGGAAATTCACTTTTATGTTTAAAATTAAAACGAATGATTAGTGATAAAATGAATGTTGAAATTCCTATCGATGAAATTTTCGAAAATTCAAATTTAATACAAATGTCGCATTTAATTTATTTAAAAAAAAAAGAAATTTATAAAAAATTTGATAATTATCAATCGAATAATATTCTAATAAATTTCACCGATAAATTCGACGAATATCATTCGAAAATTATCGTTTTTTTTCATCCTTTAGTTGGTGGCGTTATTTTGCCATATTTATCAGTTATTCGTAAATTAACTAAATCACTAAAAAATTATCGAATAATTGGAATTCAACATCCGAATACATTTCAATTAAAATTGATAAAATCGAAATATATACGAACAATAAATTGTTTATGTTGTGAATATATTAAAATACTTAAACAAATCGTTCAACAAAGTAGCGATTCAGTTTTTATTGGTGCTTCGCTTGGTGGAATTCTTGCTTATGAATGTGCCATTCAACTGGGCAAAAATGGTTAGTTGAAATTTTTTCGCTCTTGAAAGTATATGTAAATTTTAAATGTGTAAAAAATTATATTCTATAATATAATGATAATTGATTATCTGATTAATTTTTAGGTAGATATTTAGATTTTGCTCGAACTGAAGTTAATAAGCATGTGCTTGATTTCTAGACAAGCTGCAAATAAACCTGTGAAATTATTAGTGAAACCTGAGTGGTACTAAGCAGCTATCTATAGTTTCATAGCCGAATGAACCCCTTCCAACAAGCTAAGGAACTTACTTTGATAAAGTCGGTAAGGCCAAACCAAAAATGGTGAGAAACACTATAAAAATAAGATATGCTTTTTGCATTCTTTAAAATCATCTTTGTAAAATATTCCGTTAAAATTGCAGGAATTTATGTAAACAGGATAATCTGCATTGATGGAAACGCTCAACCATCATCAATTCCTCCAATAACTTTCGACGAACATGTGCAGCAAATGAGCGATTATATGAGCAGATTTGATAAAAATGAGGAATTCAACGAGGAAATTCGTAATGCTGCCATCAATTCCTCATGGGAACTCCTCAAGATGGTCAAATTTTATGTGCCTGAATCGAATGAAAGAATTGAATTATATCTTCTGAAAACGGAGAATGAAAGTGACGAAGACGATTATGGATGGTCGAAACTGTGTCAAACGTCGGTATTGAAAATTAATGGAAATCATCAAAATATGCTGGATGATGTAAATTCTGATTCTCTTGCAAAAATTATTGTCGAAATTATCACCAAAATCTAGAAATGGATTTTTTGCAATATTTAAAATTTGATGGAAAATTAACAAATTAATAACACTTCCACCAAAAACCCCTCAATAATTCAAAATTTTAATTTTTTTAATACACCTTTAATACCTTTAGCTTCTTAATAATTGTCTATTACACATACATATACTATTTCTTATCTTTCAGTGTTGTGTGTTGCATTTTCTTGTGATCCAAATGAAAATATCTTGAAAAAATTTATTTCGTAGAAATTTACACGAAAAAAAATATCTCAGTAGTAACCGAGAAAAAAAGATGCATATGCAAAAACATAAAAAAAATTAGAGAAATTTAAGCCCTTTTTCATGGAATCTAAATAATTGATGCTTACCTTATCTTATCCTCGCCTATTACAACCTATCTCCCCACTATTTCTGAAAGTTTCCAAAAAGCGGATTGAACGCGTTTTCTCACAATTCATACGAACAAATAAATAAATAATCTTCATTATTCAAAGAAATATTCAAATAATCTTCATTATTCTTATTTGCTATGAAAATTCAGTGAAATTAAAAAAAAAAAAACAGAAAAGATGGTGTGGTAAACTCCAACAGCAAGCCGTCATGTTCCATTCTTATCCTCGGTGAAAGTAAACCTGCTATTGGAAGAGAAATCCGAGTTGTAATGTGCAGATTTATCTCGAATCTATCATCATATGATGCTCCGGCAAAGACATTATTTGCAGTAAACAAAGATTAGAAAAGAGGCACTTGAATATTTCTCAAACTTTCGATATAGTAAATTACCGTCCACATGGAATATACATGAAATAAAAACAAGTTATGGAAGCCAAATGAATTACGCTGACGTAATTTAAAATATTTCAAAAAAAAATGAACATTTTTTCGCACAATACTACCCACATTACTTATTTCCTTTCTTTTTTAACATATCAAATCGCTTCGCAAGATCTTCAAAATCTAATTCATTCCCATCTGAAGGCGATTGGCTGTTACCACCAGATCCTGGAAAATTTCGGTTGTTTCTAGGTGATGGATAGATGACGGAGTCAAGATCATCCGGAAAATCACTCGGTGGTTCGGGAAAATCTGAGATATTCATATCTGAAATATTAAAAATTGAAATAAAAATAAATAATAAAAAACATTTCTAAATTCCTAAATACCTCCAGGAACATTCTTGGATGGCAAAGGCGCAGCAGGTGGTGCACTCGGTATTCCTGGATTATCATTTGGTCTCACTTTGGTTATATCATCATTTGATCCAATCTGAAAAAACCATAAAAATATATGACCTACTCTATATACCTCAATCAATTAATCAATGGAATGATAAAACATACAGAAAAAAAAGGATTATATAAAGGCAAAAATAAGAATTCATTAAATAATATTCACAGTGATGATGCGCAAAAAGCAACGCAATTCTTCAATTTTCTGGTATTAATCGATTTTCAAAAACAATATCATTATAATAACAATAAAACCACAATAAAATCAGGATTTATGGAAAAAAATAGGTAATTATTTAATGACCGAATCCAAAATAAGATAAAAATAATTAAAATACATCTGAAAACAATTTACTAAAATTGTGAAATACCTCTGTTTCAGTGGTTTCTTAGGGGAGCGCAGTTACTTCTTTGTACTTTTTTTGAATGAAATTTTCCTTGGTAAATTATTTTTCTCCTTACTTCGTAATTGATACCGTTATTAAATGCACGGTGCTTCCTCATTTTCTCTCTTCTCTTTTAGATTCCCATTTTACTGACCTAAGTTCGAATTAAGTTTTCCTAGTGCTAATTGGATTAATTACATAGATCCTAACTAAGCCTTCTTAAACGCAACATCTCTAACCAAAATAAAGCCTCCTATTTATATAACGAGTCACTCAAATTTATCGTTTTGACAACTTTCCATCGAAAAAAGTTTTTTCGTGCAATACCCCTAGATTTCTGGATTTAGCAAACAAAACAATATCTATGAATAAAAATATGTACGATGAAATAGAAAATGTATTATGGAAACTGATACCATGACATAACCCGCGACAAAAATATACAATATAAACAAACTGAAGGAAAAAAAAACTTACTTGACTTAAACGCGGATAATTTAGTGGTGGTGGCTGAGAAGCGAAATGTTCGCCGGATGAAGCAGAATATCTTCTATCACTATCACAATTACTGCCATCAAAATTACCCGATCCAGCGTAATATTCTGAAAGGTATATTAAATGATTAAAAAATTACTTAAAAAGTAATTTTTGAAATTTACTGCATACAAAATCAAAATTATGATCAGGGAATTACAATAACAAAATGTAAATAAAAAATATATATTAAGTAGAACATTAAGTAGAACACGAAGAAGCCATAAGTCATTTTTATTTAAAATTTACCAGGAGGAAATCGAGTGTTAGGATTTCCCTTTGTCTGATTAAACTTGCTTTCTTGAGGTCCACTTTGGCCACTACCAATAGACGACTCATTTCCAGGATACATCCATCCATATCCTTGCTATAAGTTTATTCTTTCAAAATTGATATAACAATAAAATGTTAAGGAATAATTTTGGAAGATAAATGGAGAAGAGTCATAGGCAACATACTCCTCCCTGATTCTTGAAATCTATTAGCATTTGTTCTGCGGCAGCTATTTCATCCTCACGCATGATATTTGCATCTGGAGTGAATGGAGTGCCTGAGCTCTTTGCAATTTCAATCATATATCTGGAAGGAATACACTGGTTTATCAGATGATGATTAAAGAAAAATAATGTAGAATTGATTAATTTACGAAATGATTCAGGTAGAGCGATGAAATACCTTTCAACAAGCAATTTTGGCGGAGCTTGAACACTTAACTTCGCAATCAACTTTGGAGATACTTTTGCTGGATATTCCAACTGGTTTGCTCGAGCAGCTTCAGCAAAAACTTTGCCATATTTTAACGTTAGTTGATCGCTTATTACCTAAATTTTCAGAAGGAAATTTGTAAATTGTCAAATTGCGGCCTAATCCATCAGGAATAAAATAATGGCAAAATTAACAAGTCAGTGCAACAAAAAAAACATGCTTTAAATTCAGCAACGTCAGCTGCAACTCGAGGAGCAGCCCACAAAATGCTGATTACAGCTTCAGCTATACCATCGTCCAACTGTCTACAAAGCAATTTGTTCAATTCAATTCAATTAATAAATTTAATTAAACAAGAATTACCATTTTTAAGAGGCTATTTCCAGAATATAAAAATAGGGCGAATCTATAATAAAAAATTATGGTAATTACAGGTCTCTTTTTAATAGCCGTTATATTTTGCTTCCTCTAAGAAATTCAAATAATTTATCTCATTTATTCTCTATTTACTGAAAATAATCCAATAATTAAAAATGGAAGAAATATTAACTCAAAAACTTCCAACTAGATCCACCACATTTTCAAATTTTATGTCTCTATTAATTACCAAAACGAAACTATCTGGCAAAATTTCATTAGCAGAAAAAAAGCTGAATCAATCTTCCCTCATCCCAACCTGTTACCAGTTAAGCGAATCCTACTGATTTATGGCGAAAAAGTTCTGTCTGTTCGATTCTATATTTATCTTATAATCTTATAAATGCAAAATTTTTAAAATTCTTGCAACCTTTACGATCAAACATAAGCAAAAGAAAGACGAGCCAAAAAAAAACTAAATAAAAAATATATCGCGATGGTAACATTACACCAAATTCTTTAACAATTGAATCTGAGTGTAGACCTATATTTTAATAATATAAACAATAAAAGTGAAAAAGGATTTACTTTAACTGTTCAATAAGACCGAAACGGGCAAGGAGAAGATCACAATACATTTCGAGAAGTTCATAGGCTTCAACAAGAAAATCTTCGCGAATTATATGCTCCACTCGAATACGGGCTCGATCTTCCTTATGATCTAAATGAAATCGTAATTTAATAGTGTCAATTTTATTATTAAAAACTTCCTTTTTCTAATGGCGCTCTACCATTTCTTAGTCGTTCTGCTGGCTTACTGAACCAAAAAAATTGCTGCCACCATATGGAAAAACCTTTCGGAGAACAGAAAATAGAATCCCAACTTCAAAATGACAACAACAACCCACTCAACCATTCCATTCCTTTATTATTGACTTATAAATCATAAAGTCGTATAATTAATTATAAATTCATAATTAATTAAAAAATATTAAATATTATAAATAGAAAAATATTAAAATACCCAAAAAATTGTCAATTTTATTAATAATTTATGAAGAAAATTTTGAATAGCAGTTTTTATTTAAAAAAAAAAAAAAATATACGATAATATTTGAAAAAATAAATAATGAAAAAAAAAAGTTACTAGCAATGAAATCAGAAATTTCGCTACGTGACTTAAGTGCCATTTCTGTCTTCTTTTTCTCCAGCAATTTCAGACGATTAATCGCTAATCGCAGATTAGTTTTCAGTTTCGGATATTGAGTTCCCCAACTTAATGACATTTCCTTAAAAAAAAACTATTTATTCACATTGATCGATGATCGATGAAAATTTCCAATAAAATCTCTCTCTGCCGATTACATTCTTCGCCTAAATTTTTCAAAGCATAAACAATACAATAATAATAATAATAACAATAATAATAATAATGCAAGTGAAAAAAAAGTATCTATCCGAACGAGATTTAATGTGAAATCGATCAAAATCGGAAATTGTGAGCAACTTAGGAGCAAAAAAAAAAAAATTTAAGGAATAAGTAAAAAATAAAATTCCTGCAAAAAGATTTTCTAAAAAATAGATCAGATCATCCATAATGCATTCCTTATAAATCAGATCAGTAGATAAGAAAATAAAATATATTATGATTTGGTGAAGTGACATGCGTAGAGGACAAAATACTTTAGGCGATAGCGAAAGATCTACATCGACATGACTTTTTTTGTAATAATTTTCACTTCAAACTGACTAGCTATAAAAATTCTTACGTCTCCTTTTCCTTTCCCCTTCCTTGCTACTTTCCTTTAATACCCTTCCTTCTACCGTCTTCTACTCGCTTTATCCTTTTCTCATCGCAAGCTTCGCTCCTACTCACTATTTAGAATAATAATCATTGCATAAAATCGCAACATGCTGGTGATCCGGCCGTCTTTCCGGGTAACCGCTATTTCTGCATAGCACTTATTACTATCGTGCAGCGCAGCAGCTGTAGTACGACATTTCATGCTGCGGGAATTTAAAAGAATTGCTGAAATTTGCTTGCGACGTTGGAGAGGGGGGTGATTGATGAGTTTCATGATACTTGGGTACTTAGTGGTGTTTATATGCGATAAAAACTTAGTAGTTTCAAACTATTCACTATTCAATGAATTAGATTTATAAAAACTGAGAATTAAGCATAAGATATTTGTGACAAGTATATGATTGATAACGACTGATAGTTGCTGATAATAACTGAGGAAATATTCGGGGGCTGTAGCGGCTAGAATTCCTAATTTTATCGCTAATATGAAGCCTTTTTTGCTTATAATGTTGCAAGAAGGATCTTTTCTTGTTTATACTTTTTGTTTTTGTTCTGGATATGATCAGTTTGCGATTTCTGCCTCTTATTCGTCAAATCCTTTAATTATTCTTTATTTAATTATTTTGAAGTGAAAAATCGCAATGCAACCAGAGGATGAGTCCTTGGATGAATCTTTCGAGGTAAAGGTCCTCATTCGCTTTCATTTTAAAGTAAAGTTATTTAATACTGAATTATTTTGGATTTGTTTCGCTTTTTATTTTTTGTCTATTTTTAAATTCATAAAAATTTTTCCTAATTTCTTCAATCACAATCTTCAGGCAGTTGCAAAAGCGAATATCTCTTGGCATTTTTCACCTTCTTCACTTTGTAATGAACATGGAAATCAAGCCGATATATCGAAAAGTTCGTCTTTTAGTAGTTTTTTCAATTTTTTAAAATTTTAATTTGTGTCATGTTGTAATTTATAATTTATTTACATTAATAAATAACAGCGTAGGAAGAACAAATTTTGAAGAAGAATGGTTGGAAAATTGCAAAGATATTGAGGACAAGATACAAGAAGGACAAGAGTTCTCCTTGCTTTCATATACGGTTATTTCCTATTTATACGATTTTTCCCAGTTTATATATTTTATTATGCATATTTCATGAAAGAACTTTATTTGAATCGTTGCTGCAATTTTATTTTTAACGAAAATTTTAAAGAAATTTAGTAATATCTTATGGATTTGAAGAAAAAATGTTCTTTTAAAAACAAATTCTGTTTTGAAAAACGCTTTTTTTTTCGAAAATTCTGTTTTAGAGAACTCCTTCACCGTTGGTTGACCATAGAGGTTTGTGTTCGATGGCTGAAACTTCTGCAGAAGAATTATGGATGGATATCGAAACTGAAAAAGAAAAAGCTGAATGTGACAAAGCGCTGAAAGAAGGAGAAGATGCTTGTGGTAATTTAAGCTTGATTTAGATGCCTAAATTCAGATTGGGATGAAATTTTAGGGCGATTTTTTTCTGCTACTTGGCCTATTTTTTCTTTTTCAGTGCAGCTGCTTCAAATGCTTCCTGTGCGACATGATTCGGTACTCTTTTATTTGTTTATTTAACAAGCTTCGTATTTCATTAGGAGAACAATGAGATATAGGTTATGTAAAACATAAGCACCAAAACATTAAATTATTTCTTGTCATTATCACGAAATTAACTCTTTTATTCATTATTTTCTTTCCAAAAATCGTTACTTCGATCTTGTGATCGTTATAGTGCAATAGTTACTATTGTTAATATCTTTTTCTTTTAGAAATATAAAGCGATAGCGCGAATGAATTTATGACTTCACAGCTTAATTCTCCAGATGACTGACAATTTACAATTTATTTTATTTTTGTGATTGTGATTTTTGTGATTGTGAGAAAGACAGATGTCCAATTTTTGGATTTTTTTTGTTGTTTTGTAATTTTTTACTAGATATTTTTTTCAGATTAAGTCCGTATCGAAGAGGCCTGATTTTTGGAGTGATGATTCGTTGATCTGTGATGGTTTGAATGATACAATGAGATCTCAGTTCGAACCATACCAGAAAATTCCGGTTTCGCCCGCTGAATTCAATAAGTATTTTTTATTCATTTTTGAATGTAGCGATTCGATTCCTTCAGGTCAATTCTTGCAAATTGTATAATTTTTAAAAATATAGAATATTTTTAGGTCATTCAAAAGAAAAATTTTCCTTCCATCATCTGATGACATTCCAGGACCATCTTGGAGGTATTGTAATATTGCTCACAATAACAATAACTAACATTTTTCATTTCGTTTTGTTTATCGGTTATGCATATATGATCGTTTCTAATGCCTATTTTTGTCTTTTTTGACCATCTATTTTACCTACATATTTATATTTTTAATTTTGTTATATTTTATATTATTAATCAGAAATTCAGGCGTACTGAATGCCAACCTCATTTGCCACCTGCCAAGCGCTATAAAAGAACATATAAAATGTGAGTTTTTACTTATTAATCCTGTTTAAAATTTTACTCTGTGCAACATTTCTTAGTAACATCTTTTTTAGAAATCCTGTAAATTTTTCGCCGAGCGAAGCTGATGCATCGCCGGAGCAGAAAATGTGAGTTTTTTTATGTCGCATTTACCATTTTGAAGTTTTCTGACTAGGTTTTATTATAAAAGATTTTTATTTCCACTATTTTTTATTTTCTGTGGCTATTTTGTTTTTTGAAATTTTCTCTAATATTCTTTTGTAGTTTTCCACCACTTCTTTCTTTTCCGCAGATATGAAGTATTTGTCACCTGATCTAAACAGGACTTTCCAGATCTTTGTGATCGCTGAATTAATTTATTTTTAGCATATTTTTTTTTAATGGATTGACATCATTGTTAATGGATTCTTAGATGCTTAGATTTTATGAATAAAATTTACTGCGAATAATTTTAAATAATTTCTGTTCTAAAATGTGAATTGTTAGATTATATTTATTGCTTTTTTAAAAAAAAAACTCACTGATATTCAATGAAATAACTTGTAAACAAAAAAATTTTTGTTTTTTTATTCTTTCGTCACAGTTTAAGCGCTGTAAATAATACTTAAATTTATTGCTATCTTAATGGAAGTAATGAAAAAAAAAAAAGAAAAAAGTATTCAGAGTGGAAATCTTATTAATTTTTTTGCCAGATTTTTTAATTTCTTAAATATTTTTTTGGAGTTGATTTCCGTTTTTTCTAGAAAGGTCCGAATTTTGTAATTTTATAAGCAACTATAAGCGATTGGCTATCCTAATATGCAAATTTTTTGTATTATCAGATAATGCAAATTTTTTCGCATTTCTCTCTTTTTATGTGGTTATTTTGTTTTAATTCTTTGTTCTTGTCTTATGTATTTTTCCATGTTGCATTGAAAGTTTTTTTTCTGAAAATTAAAAGAATGACTTTTGCAATGACTATTTTTTGCAATGGTTGGATGGTTTTTTGAAAGGTCGTAATTTTCGTAAAAGTAATCATATCATTTTTCCTATAAATAATTTCTAGTTCTTTTTTTTATAGATTGAAAGTTCAACGAATAACTTCTACACCAGTTAACAAAACAATAAAGAGATCCATATCTATGCACCAAACGCCATCTGCCATCGTTGGTAAGTTCAGTTTTAATTCATGTATATTTTCTTAATTCATTCTTAATTCAAATAAGGGACTATTGTGATCTGGTAATAAGTAAGGAATATTCTTTCTTACTTAGTGAATGACTTGACTATTCTATACGACTATGCGAATTTTTTGATGGATATTCATAGAATTTTCATAAAATTTTCATAAAAGCGTCTTTCTAGGAGATTTTGGTTTATCGCCAATAAAGAAAAAGCCAATGGTATTTGAATCATTTGGCCGGTCAAAAAGTTCTGTTGCACGTTTTGATGATGATTCTTTAGATTTCTGTGATACATAAAGGTGAAAATGAAAGAGTGATGACGATTTCAGAGACTATTGTGATCTAGTATCAGTTATTTTTTATTTTATTTATTTTTTATTTTATTTATTACTGCCTTCGAAGTTCACTTTTTTTTGAATTCCCATCTTATATGATCAGATTTTATGATTAAAATAATTTTTTTGTTCAATTATTCATATCTTATTCATTTCAAGTTGATATTGAATTTTTTTAATTATATTCACGAATAATTTGGTATTTTTGATCTCTAAAGATGGTTTGATTGTATATTCTTGTAAATTCTTAAAATATGCCATCTTGTAATTCTTGCAAGAAATAAAAAAGAATTTTTTTTTGTCTCAAAATTTGTCTAAGAGCATTATTTGAATTTCTATCTTCGTTACCTCATTATCAAAGTAGAGCTTTCTTGTCAATTCATTATTTTACAGCTAATAGTTCAGTTTAAGCAAAAATATTTTTTTTTTCTGTGGTTACTTTGCCGCAATGAAAAAATGAATAACCAGGATAAAATTATCGACAATACAGATTTGAAATTTTTCTTATTCTTCTAATGGCTCCCAGCAGTATTGGTAAGGCTGGCTTCGGTGCTTACAAGAGTAAGATTTCTCCAAGCTGATCGGTTCGACGCCATCGCTAGAAGCCATTCCTTTTTCCATCATCTAAGTCCAATATCGCTGGTCCCCCTACGCATTTAAAATCTTTCCTGATTGTGTCAGTCCAGGTCTTGACTGGCCATCCTGGCTTTTGAGGCCATCACAGCGTTTAGCAATTAACGAAATATGCGTCAACTCCTGTGGTGGACGACGGAGAACCAGCGAGAGCGATCTGTAATAACATTATTAATACAGGTGGTATATGAGTGAAGATGGATATAATCATTCTATCCGCTCGACGGATCCGTAAAATGTACCTTAGACATTGGTGGTCAAAGGCTAATAGCTTCTTAATGTCTTCCACTCTCATTGGCCATGTTTCGCAACCATATAGCAAGATCGAGCGAATGGCAGCGTTATGGACGCAGGTTTTCGTCTTAATGATGATTTCGCGACGATTCCATGAAGATTTCATCAACCGGAAAATAATTCTAGCTGCCGTTATCCGGATTACGATTTCATCCTCTGTCTGGCTATTTGGGATTAAAATGGATCCAAGGTATTTAAAGTCAAGCACTTTCTCAACTGGCAGTGAAATGATAAAAATAGGTATTTTATCAGCATTTTGTATATAGGACGAAAATACTTTCGTTTATTTACATCATTATTATTATTTGCATTTCCTCATAACTGTCAGCAAAAAGGACTAAACCATCAGCATATTCTAGGTGATGATAGATGTTTTGGACTGATCTGCATGCACACATCTTGAATTCTGACAAGTCCATTATCCAGACCATCGCATAGTTGAATACTGTAGGGGAAAGGACGCAGCCCTGACGGAAACCAGTTCTTATTTCGAAGGAGTCAGCTCCCCATATACACAGACCTGCATCGACGTGCGCTCATAAAATCCTTTATGAATCTCATGATTTTCTCTGGAACACCATCACGTTCCATCAAAGCGCCGCTCTATCAATTGAATCAAAGGCAGCCGCAAAGTCGATGAAACACATGAAAGTGAGCTGCAAATATCTGAAGCGATTTTCCAACACCCTTCTTAATGTAAATATTTGGTCAGCACAACCGTGGCCTAGTCTGAAAACGCCTTGATTAGGACGCATTCTGTTATCTCCTGTTGCCATGAATCTATTTATCAGAATAAAAGGGAAAATTTTCCGGGATGTCTAATAGGCTGATTCCTCGGTAATTGTCGCAGTACGTCCTATCACCTTTCTTAGGAATGGGAAGTAGAATTGCTTTGCTCCAGTCTTCTGGTGTTATTTTTTTTTGCCATACCAGAGAATACATTTATTGAAGGTGAATTATGAATAATGATGGACAACATTTGAAGAGTTCGTCCATCTTCGAAGACCATCTTCGAAGACCATCTTCTACGGGAATTTTATTGGCCTAAAGTTTATGGATTATAGAAATTATTTTCTCTTCTGTTGGTGGCTCACAGTTGCAAACGTAATGGGTTAAGTTCGTCATTAGTTCGATTATCAGCTCGATAGTTCGATTATTCGATTATTATGGCGAAGACTATAAAATTTTTTAGAGTCTATTGGTTTGTAATTTCTTTCAGAAACTATTTTGTGGCAATATCTACGATGGTATCACCTTGTTTTCCTTTCGAATTATTGCATGCAGAAATAATTCGCTATGCGAAGGAATGGCAAGTAAGATTTTATAGCCAAAATCAAATTCTTTTCGAGTATAAGTTGTGTTATTTTTACGAATATCATCGAAAATGAGGTTAAATGCGAAAAAAAAATCTTTGTATTTCTTGTCCAGTTTTAATGAGGTTAGAAACTTTAAAGATTTGAAGCTTTAAATATTTATGCACAAATATTAATGAGTAAACGAATTGCAGACTGAGTTAGCAGAAAGGCGAAAGGAGTGGATAGAAGGACTGCAAAATGAGACACATTCGATTCCATCAATTCATAGTGAACAGTTGAATTTGGTTAAATTGTGTTGTTTGCAGGTGTATTTTCTTAATTCAAATAAGGGAATATTGGAATGGTAATAAATAAGAAATTTTCTTTCTTACTTATATAGAAAAAAAAACGATATTTCGTTTTTTTCATCTTTTTCATAATTATTCAAATTTTTGTCGATTTGGTTCATGAAAATAAATGATTTTTCTAAAGAGTAATGCTGAAACACGACTCGAAGCACTCGGCTTTCGCGTCGGTTACATTCTTGTCGAAAAAGTGACGAAGGATATTCCGAGGTTAATTAATATTTACTGAATTAATTATTATTCAATTTTTAAAAAAATTTTTTCATATTTAAAGTAATAATTTTTTTTTTTACCAACTTTAAGATTATTAACTGAATTGGATAAAGTGAAATTCATTTGCAAAGAGTTTTGGACAGCTGCATTTGGTAAGCAAGTCGACAATTTGCGTACAAATCATCAGGTGAATTTCGATGTTTGTTTCGCAACACTTGATTAAAGTTCAGTGCTTTACGTTGAAATGGCGAAGATCATGGGGAATATAAATTAATACTATAAAGCAGTGCGCATAATTTTATAATTAGAAATAGTGTTTTAGTTCTAATTTATCTTTAGTAAAATTTAAAAATGATCTACAAAATTATCCCTCGTTCATTTCATAAAGAACCCACAAAAAAAAACTTTTTAAATTTTTTATTTTCAGAAATATCAAATTTATGAAATTATGAAATTAATGAAATTTCCAGAAGTATGAAATCTGAAGAAAGTCTGAAAAAAAATAATGAAAAATAAAATTATTGAATAGAAATAATATAATAATAGAAAAATAATAACAAAAATAATAGAAAAAATTGTAAATAGTTAAATGATGGTTTTTAAAATTTAAAACAATAATTTTATTTTTGTTAATAGGGAGTATATGTGGTTCAAGACAATAAATTTTTCACTGTCGCGAATTTCGCTGAAGGCAAACAATACTTGAAAGAATCGTCCATTTTTCTTGCACTTCCCTGTGGAATTATAAGGTTTTTTTCATAACTCGTTTGATTCATCTTAATTTTCATTTATAATTTCATAATTCATAATTCCTACAGTGGCTTTTAGCTTCCTTTCTTTGAACTTTGCTATTGTGTATAGTTTGCCACAAATTTTTCATGGTTAGAGGTTTCGAAGAAGAAAACAATAAATCAATCCATTTTGCAAGCTGATATTATTTAACATTTTAGAGGTGCGTTAAGCAATTTGGGTATTGAATCACTTGTGACAACATCTGTTGAAGCATTACCACTCGTGAAATTTCATGTGCAGCTGCAGAAATCACCAGTACCATGATATGTAACAATGCTTACTATAAATTCCTGGCTGGCTATGAAACTAAAAGTAAAATATTGTACAAATACAAAATGGAATACAAAGTGTACATAAGGCTTAGCTTTGCTTATATTTGAAAATTTCTTAGAGCCAAAAAAGCCTAATTGTTAACTTCAATAAAGAATAACATCACAACATTTAAAAAATCAAAAAAAGGCAAAATAAACATATAATAAAATATTTAAGAGGCTGAGAATCGATTGTAATGTGTTACATTATTTATCTATTTAGTTTATTCTATAGCCACTTGTACCATTAGCGTTTTCCAAGAGCACTAACCATTTCTGGTTAGGTTTCCCCCTTATAGGGCCAGTGAGTCGGCAGCACCACCCAGATTTTTGGAAGACAGGGAGTGGATACTCCAGCATCGGTACTCCGGAATAAGAGCTACAAGCCATTCCATTTAGGGTTAATTTAGGGTTAAATCATAATATTTAGTAGAATCAACAAAAAAAACAAGTGAAAACCAGACTTTAATTCTTCTTGTCCTTGAAGAGTTTAAATTATATTTTAAAAATATTCGATGGATCAGGATTTAATTGAAGCATTAAATAGGCTTATTAAATCCGAACTAATAGAAACATGGTGTAATTTCCATATTTTAGAATTCTGCCTTAAATGGAGAATTAGCCAGACATTGGTCATAGCTAAATAACAACAATTAACCACCAGATCCATCAAAGTAGTTCTTACAACACCAGAGAGAATTGAAGGTGCAGAAAAGCATCAGAAACTCAGTCCAGTAGAGAGTGCCAAGAAGTATGATGGAGGAAGGCATAACTAATTAGCTGGCATTGCCAGTATATGGTATACGGCTTAGACCTTCCCAATACTATATGGGAGGTTATCCAGAAAATCTCCGGGAACAACTACACCAAGACCCTGCTGGTCTTCTCCATCCAAATACACAAGCAATGCCCACTAGTCAACCAGATAAATGGTAGTAGAAGAGAACCAGAAAACAGCTCCAATGATGTGGCAATGTGCCTCCTAAACTAGAAAAGTGGCTCCAACAGATTCTAGGGATGATAGAAACTTCCATCCAAAAAATATACTGTTAAGCTAAGGTATCGTGCGGAATCCTTAAGTCACCAAACCAGGTGATAACAGAAAACCCTAGGTTGAGGAAGACCCACACACCATCCACAGTGAGAAACCTTATAAAACCTTTTTATATTCTTTGGTATCGTCTAAGTCATATCATGCTATCTCGCTCCATCAAGCTGCGCTTTTGCTGTATTCCATCAGTAATGTTATTTTAAACTTCATCCTGTGTTCACCTCATCTGGATGCCACTCACTGGACAAATTTCTCAAAATGTACTAAAGCTTTTTATGTCCTCTAAATCCTTTCAACATTTTACAGGTTCCCCTCCAAATTATTTTGTTGGTCGAACGATAGCAACATAAACTCCGAAAAAGTAGTTTGCCGATTCCATTAAACTCACCAAGATCTTCTAAAACATTGCTAAACCACATCGTACTTTTTTGTCCCGGTCCACTAATTACATCCGCTTAAACTTTCTGCGATCTTAATCCGACTCCATGCAACAACGGCTAAGAAAAATGTGAAAAACAGTTCGAGATACCGGGGGGAGGGGGAAAGGGGTGCCGTAAAATAAACTATTAGTGTGAAACTCTTATGGAGATGACGGCATAATGTAGTGCGTTTCAGATGCCGGGTTTTGACCGAACTCTCTTGTTGTATATGATTCTTTTCATAAGTTTTTGAAGTTTTCTTTGAAACTTTAAAGGGAGTTTATTCAATGCATTCGAATGTTCACTATTATAAAATGGCTCTAAAATGAAGGAAATATTTTGAAGGAAATATTAAATATTTAATACAAGGTCTAAAATACTATTACACCTAGTAGTAATGGCTCTAGTTACTATTAGGATGATAGCTCCTATATAAGCAAAAATTCGATAGAAGCACGAATCGGTCCTCAGCACCACCAACTTTACGCCTAATGGTAGATTTAGCACCACCAATGTACTGAAATATACTATGCTTTAACCTTATTCAAGACAACATTAACGAATTACTAGTGGAAAGCATTTTAGATTCAATTTTCAAAACCAATTTTTTCGAATAAAATTCTTAAATAATCCAACAATTTAATAAAGCTTGATTTCATACAATAATTTAATTTAATTTCATACAATAATATTTATTTACAATATTTTCCCTTGATATCAATTTTTTAAGAAACTACGAAGTTGTAAAAAAGTAAAAGAATAAAATCAATGAAAGATACATTCGAAAACTGGAAAATTTTCAAAAATTGAAAAAAATTAGCTGTTGTTTCACTGGTGAGACGTTAAATATTGGAAAGTTTCTAATACTCTCGTGCTCTAATAAAAATAAATATAAATAATAAAGTGATTGTCTAGGATTTTACAAACTGTGATTAAATTATGACTTGTGCAACTTTCAAAAACCAAACAGATTAAGGGCCGACGTTTAATCCGCTGTTTTGAGCTTTCTGTGTTGTTTCAACGCTAATAGGGCTTGTTAAATTTTGAGAAACTCCTGTGCTCGAATCTTCTGCATTTTGCTCAATGCATTTTTTGCTCCTGCTCAAACAGTCCTGGCCGTTGCTGATTCCGTTTGTAGAAGATGGTTCTTCGTTTTCGTAATCAAATTCCTAAACAGAATTCTACAAACTTTTCAAAATGAATATGCTCAAAGATATATAAAACTGAAAGGAAAGGAAATAAAGAATAATCGAACAATATGAAGATGATATTTCCAAATTAATAAGAACTAATGAATGCATACCATTCCATCTGGAGGGGGAAATTTATCAAATAGGTCGCGCAATAAATTGTCAGTTCTTGTTCGTTGAAAGTGTGTGCTTCGTGCAGTCAACGGCTTTTCTTCTTCTTCTATACTCTTAAAATTATATTCTTCTTGGAATGAAAAATTTCGAGCAAAAGAAAGTAACTAAATTAAGATGATCATAAAGAATCGGTAAATAAAGGTAATAAAATTAAGCGTGGAAAAATGACATTTGAATTGTTGCTAATATTTCGAAAAGCCACGACAATATATATCAAATATAAATAAAAAAACGCCTACCTTATTGCTTTCGACTGTGGACTGCTTAAATTCCCAGAAGTAACCTTTGGCAACATTATAGCTTTAAAAAAATATTTCATTATGTGAAAAAAGGCACAAATTAAAATTACATAAAATCTTCTACTAATTTTTTAACAATCATTCGTAACTCAATAAAAAGTAAAAATCATTTTTCTGGTAATCTTACCAATATTTTCTGGAATAATATGAAAAAGTTATTATTGAATTCTTAATTTCTTAAAGATAAATTAATAAACCGATTGAACTGTCGAGTAAGATCGAGTGCCTGCCGTAATGCATCAACTACTCCTGCCAATTTTGACTGCGTAAACATGTATATATCTGGGCATTGATAAACCGTTCCATTCACAACATAATAATAGCAAAGTGGAGTAACTGAAAAATTTATGAATATTGTATCTCAACAATAATTATCTTTTTTTTATACATTCTGAATAATTACCATTGTTAACACTATTTCGTCGTTGTTTCATGATTACATATAAAGGGTGATTCGCGCCAACAACCGTGAACTGTATGCCTTGCATATTCCTGAAAACTATTATTGATTTAATTTCCTTGATTTTTTCTTGTTTTCCCAGTTGATTTCCTTCATTATTTGAACATTTTGCCAGCATTTAGGTAGTTCCACTAATTTCAAGGATGAAATCTTCATCAGTCCCCGAAAAAAAACTCCAAACATCACTTAGATTTTAACTTTAATGGCGAGTCTATCGGGAATCTCAAGCCTCTGTCATGATAAGCCACAGCCCAAGGTCTCAAATTGCTCGATTCATGGCTTAACTTTCCAGATTTTTCAACATCCACGAAAATAATACGAAAAGGGGAACCAGGAATATAAGTAATTCTTTATTTTATTTGATATCAAAACAAAGAAAAATATTAAACCGAACTGAAGACATTCGTGCAACGGTCTGTTCAAACTTTGCATACGAATGTGCTGATTGCACGAGGATACATCGTAAAAAACATTGCCCGGGTCGCAAAAATAATCCAGAACATTGTCAGCATTTATATAGTTAGGAGGCCAATTCGGATTTTTGAATGACTGATGGAGTAATGACACTGTCTGCAAATGCGCCGCTCCTCCAACATTCGGACCACCCATCTGTGAGGAATTAACTTTTCATTAGAATTACCCTAATAAAATAAAAACACCATTCGATTTCAATGAATTAAGTACTGTTCAAATGTTACAGAAGTATAATATGAATTCCAGAAAGATATTTCACAGTATAATTATTACTGCAATCCACAACGCTTTAAAACCAACGCAAACAATTTATTGAATAGTGTTTTCTGCTATATAAAAAAACCTGCAAATACAAACAGATTGAAATTTCCAACATAAGAATAACCACTCTGAATTGTGGCTATCTAAAACAGCTAATGCACACATTGTTTCCAGCAAAAAATCACAAAAAAAACTCTTTTAAATATTAGATATTCGAAGTATTCTCAATTCAAGCAATAATTTCACATCGAATTATCATATTATCATGATATATTATCATAACATTTCATGGTACTCGTAATCCAAGTAATCTTCAGGTTCGATTGTTTCGTCTTTTTTTAAAAACAAATCCATATGCAACCTTGAACTGTTCGATAATCCTGGCGGATCCCGACTAATTTTTGAAGCTGTATCTAATTCCCTAAATAGTGATGGTTAACATGAGATAATCATCGATCATTACAAAATATTTTTGAAATAATCCACTAATATTATAAGATGTATTAAAAATTTAACCAATAGTATATTAAGATGGACAGAAAACGATGAAAATATGTAAAAAAAAAATATGATTATTAATGCCAGCCATATCTATGATTTTTATAGAAGATAAACATTGTTCCTCATATTATCATCTTTACCATGAGGCTTGGACCTTGCTTCTAATAAACGTAAATTTAAAATCTGTCATTCAAAAACCCAGTTGACGCAATGATAGCACCTAAATTTATACCCGTAAATTATTCCTTGGCGAAAATTTCGACTCACGCTAACAACCGGTGCAAAAAACGGTGAATGCTAGCCACTACATTTCAAGCAATTTAATTTCTTCATCTTCTAATGGTTTGAACCAATACTAGTTATGCTAGCCCAGCTGGCAAAATGTTGCCAAAATATTTCCAGGCCAATAATATAAACCACTCCTTTATCTGCCGTCTAAGTTCATAAATCGTACGTTCAAAATCTTTTTTGAAGATATTAGTCCAGACCTTAGTTGGTACTTTTGATGCCATCCAATACAGAATTTAATAATGAGATAGGTGAGAAGGATGTCAACTGTGAAGTACAATGGTCTGACTTTTAAGGCAGACAGTAAATGGTAGATGCAATTATGATCCTATCCACTCAGCGTAAAATGTGCCTTAAACAAGAGCTGCCAAAGATAGCTTCTTATTATCTTCCACCTCTTACTGGCCATGTTTTGCAGCTATATGACAAGATGGCACGCACTATAGCGAAACTTTAGAAAGATGGTAATTTAATTAAAGAAATTATATTTAAATTATTAATCACTTGATAAAATGTTCAGCGTACGCATTCCCACACAATGTACGATAATGATCCACGATTTTCTTATCTGTCTCTAGCATTGAATTACGAGACAATAACTCGTGGTTGATATTATTCGAACCATCTAAAAATTGAATTCATTCGCAAATTCTGTAAAATGACAATAAACGCAAAACCTTATTAAATTAAAAGAAAAAAAAGACCCAAGCCCAAAACAATGCAGAAGAGTATGTCTCTTATAAAATTTGATAATTATTAATTTAATCCATTCTCTCATTGATCTTTTTTAGTTCAAACCACCATGAAATTAGGTCTATACAAAAAAAACTTACATACGTTTAGTAAATTTACTATACAATTTAGTAGTGGAATATTTAGTAGTAGTAAATTTAGTAGTAGTAAATCAGGCTATGTCCATCATCAACAGAATAAACACATACCATTCGTTATCTGCCAAGCCTTATAAAAGATAGATAACATTTAGAGCGAGGTTGCCTATTCTAATTCTGAATTTATATTCTTCTTCTTCTTCTTCTAATAGCTCTCACCATTACTGATTAGGCTGATTCTAATGGTTGCAAGGGTAAGATGCTTCCAAACGGCGCGGTCTGATGCCATCGTCGACAGTAATATAAGCCATTTTTTTTTCCATCGTCTAAGTCCATATACTGATGGTCCACCTATACGTTCAAAATCTTTCCCGACCGTATCAGTCCAGATGTTGATTGCCCCACTTCGCTTCTAACGCCATCCATCAGACGATCATGTGATATTTTATTCGCTCGATGGACCCGTAAAATATACCTTAGATAAGAATGGTGAAAAATAACTTCTTAATATTCTCCACTTTCATTGACCGTATCTTAGAGCCATATAGCAAGATCGAAAGAATCACGTCTATATAGATGCAGACTTTTGTTTTAATGGTTTACAGCGGCTCTATAAAGGTTTCGTAACCGGAAGAAGGCATTTCTAGCTGCCGTGATGCGGGCTATAATATCGCCTTTTGCCTGTCCATTTCGCATTAGAGTGGACCCGAGGTATTTGAAATCGGGCACTTCCTCAACCGGCAATGAATTTACAAAAAGTTCTGATCAGCAGATAGCCTAACGATATTTACGAACAAAACAGTGTCATCAATCAATTCCTAAACGATTTTGGAAGCTTAGAAATGCCACCAATTAACTTAAAAAATCGATTCGAGTTGCTGATAAGTCTAAGCCGAGTGAATCATCTTAAAAATGTTGATTTAATGGGTAATGAAGATAAAATGATGAAAATGGTGGAAAAATGGAAAATTATTCATAAAATTCTAAGATTGAATATAAAAAAAAAGAAAAAAATAAACAAATAAGCATTACGCAAAGGTATTTGCAAATTCTTTTTGTTTACAATTCCATTATTATAATTATCGTCACATTTCAATGATTTATAAATTTCTTTATCGATTAGCAAATCATCGGAGATTTTCGTTAAAGAAGAAATGTTCATCACTGAAAAACTACTCATTTTTTAATTATTACTAAAATTAAATATTAACAGAAAAAAAACAAAAACCCAATGATACCCTTTAGAATAAAATTCTTAGAGAGACGAATAATATAATAGATCAAAAATCTCTACCGTAATTGTTGCAGAGATTTGCTTTAAGACCTAAAAATTTAAATACCAAATCTTCACCCTGGAATCAGTCAGTGCCAATCAGATGTGAGTTGGTAAATGCGTATGCATCCCAAAATAGATAATAATCCTCAACAATTTATCGAAGATAAAATGTTTATTCGGAAAATTATCAAAAAATTTTCTTATATTGAATGCAGTTGAGCATATGAATTTTATTCGAATAAGAAAAGATAAGAAAATTCAAAAGGAAACCTATTTAATGAAAAAAAATCATATGTTCACACGAAAGCGAAAAACTACTCGTTGATGTGTAGATGAATTTTCGTTGAAATGATAAAATTGCATCTCTCCTCCTCCCCCGAAAATCCGACAATACCTCTCTCCACCTCTCCTTTCCCTCCTCCTCATCGACCTATTTATTACTAGCAATATCCCTCCAGCTGTTTTCCTAATTATAGAACGATTCATTTGACTATAATTAACCAGAGTCAATTTTTACCAATCTGTATCCTCACAGTATTCCTTTGGTAATAATAATAATACACCAGCTGAAATAAATCATCGCTGCTCTACCTTGGCGTTAGCACAACAACCAAGTCGTTGTTGGTCATTACCTTGGCACCATGCTTTGTATTCTTCTATCCACAATTCTGTTCTACATATCGTTTTAAACCTGCCTATCACTAAAAAGACCGAATGATACCAAGCACCACCTATAACATTCTCATATGACTTTCATCGTTCCGTCAAAAAAAAAACAAGCGAATTATCTTAGTTAGAAATAATAAACACTAGCCATCTACTTATTTTGACCTCGAATAGCTCATAGATAGACTAATCCAGTTCAAGAACTACTACTTCAATTCATTTTCTGCCATATATGTTTTTTATATAATTAGCTAAAAGGAGAAAAAAAAAAATCGGTATTCACTACACTTTTCAATTAATAAATGATCCTAAATCTTAATTTAGTTAGAAAAGTAAACGAAAATTAAAGAAAAACAACTAATATCAATTTTTAAGATAAATTAGACAAAATGGAACCACTCCACAGAAGCAATCCACAAACAATATATAGTGCAGCACAAAAATTGGCAAAATCCTATAAATCACACTTGGTCTACATCGACCATATGTATTTACATTGAAAAAAATCACAAATTAAAGATAAAATTACGGTTTTATAAAATTAGAATTACTGATAAGCTCAATAAATGAATTGGATATCGTCAGGATAAGCTGCTTCTCGAATTACAAGGTGAATAGTGTTTAGTTGTTCTAATTGGTATACAATAATGATACTGCTGAATATAAGTGATCAAGGATTTCGGCAAATTCAGTCTTGCAGCACCATCGAATGTCGTCCGACTAGCTATCGCTGCTCGACATAGATTCTAAAAAGTACGAACTAATAAAATAATAAAATAAATAAATATTAATTGATATTTATATACTCATTTAACGGTGAATATAATATACGTTTAATGCATTTCTTTATCATGTAAAAAATTAATTAGCGCTCAATTCACTGACTGCACTAAGGCAGTCAGAAGATAAACTGTTCGAATTGCTCAAACAAAAAAAATTTACCTGTAGAGAGAAAACAAAGGTACGCCTTAAAGGATATGATAACTGCGGTTCAAAAAATAAGCATCTGAAATATGAGTCACTTAGCGAATTTCTAAAATAGTATTTGGTATTCGTTACGTGAAGATGTACGTGAAGAAGTTTGAGAAAATATTTTATGCTCAACATTCCTGATTATGAATCCTTAAGAAAAATAAGAGCTTTATTTTTAGAAAAACACTCATTATTTCTGATTAGATTCACTCCACCAACTATTAGTACGCTTCGTGATTTATGTCAAAGAGCCATCTGATAACTGAGAGATAAGTGTTCGGCATCTGTCGGATTTTTAAATGATAAGTTTACTGCTATGTAGCGTAGAAGCCGAATTCTTTCCTCTCAACGCTATTATCTTAGCCATTCGGTTATTCCGTCTATTAGTCATCTTTATACTATGTTTGAGAAAAAAACAAAGAAGAAAGAACCAACATATTCTGTATTTGTATAAAAAATCTTACTTTGAAGGATCCTTGTAATAATCTATAAGATCAGTGATTCTACTTGATGAATGAATCGCTGAATCCGAAAAATCGAAACCGAATCGATGATTTTTTTGTTCGATACGCGCATGTAATGTTCGCTTATAGCGTCGAAATGATACAGAAAATAAATAATCCGACTGGGCGCTATCACGCAATAAAAATGTTCCTGTAAAATTTTTAATGATAGGTCGGATAAAAAAAGCCGGAAGACCTGAAATAAAAAATTACTGCGCAAGGCCCAGTAAATAAAAGATTTCTATGTTTTCTATGTTCACAGGTAATAATGTGGCACAAGGTATTATGAATATAATGAATATAATGCTAACCCAGAAAAATGAACTGATAGGTTCATTTTTAGGCTCATTATGCCGTAATCAAGAACACAATCAACATGATCAAGAGCCACGAGAAGTTGATAAAATCATCCATTTCTGCTAACATTGTCCTCAGAATCTGCTATAACCCTCCACTTTCAAAAAAAAAACCTCTTAATCCTCACTAAACAATTAGAGTGCACCGTTTTTTGTTGAAACTAGGTAGTATCGCCTATCTCATACTGTGCTAACTCTGTTTTGATAGCTTGGTATACTGTGGTAATAAAATCTTGTTGCACTTCTTCGGTAACCTACTATTTCTCTATAAAAATCCACCAAACTGCCTACAAAATCTCAGTCCGCTCTGTTGTAATCCTTTGATATCTCCGAAAATTAGACAAGTTCTGCGAAAAATAGCTCAAACCCTCCGCAAATATTTCTTTGATGGCCCTTATAAAACCTCGTCAGTTGCAAATCACAGTTGCAAATTATTGCAAAGTTGTGCATACTAGAATTATGACAAATGAGTATTATACAGAAGAATTATAGCAGGAATCTGAGGATTATACAGATCTGGAAGATGTCAAAAAAGTAAATTGGGATTCAAAGGAGTTTTAAGAGAATGCGACGGGTTTTTTAAGAAATATTATCAAGGGATATATCAATAAAATAATGCAAATTTATAAAACGGGTCTTTTTCCAAACTTAATTTAACAATCTATGTACCAAGCGATCGTCAAATAATATTAAGATCGAATAAGTGTCTTTGACGGTATTAAGATTTGGGTTATCAATGTCCCTGTCCAAGGATCGATTTTTGAACTATTTTTCCACAGGCAAACTGCATTTCTTGAGAAATTCACAATGTTGATGAAGAACGAAGAACCTTCGGGCTTATTTTCGAGCAGTTTTTCGGCCTCATAACGATCCATAATCCCCCAGTAATAAACAGAAGCAAAAATTTTATCAATTTCTGGTACAAGAAAATTCATGTAATCAACTGACGTATGTACAACGTATGATTCAGCTTCTTGTTCCGCTGCTTCTAAACCTAAAAGAAATGATATAAATAATTAGAGAAGATCAAAATTTCAAGAAAAATATAAAGAAATTTAATGAAATTTCTAATATGAAATGAGTAAATAAATTAAATTTCCCCAGAACAAATACCTACATTTTCGACCGCTAAAAAATTTCAGAATTGAACGCTCATGAGTGTCATCGCGAAACAACCAGTTGCATGCGGCACGAGATTCTGCAAATTTGTTTGACTTTTATTCTATAGATCTAAATAAATAATACAGATATATTATATAAATGATTTGAAAAAAAATTTTTATATATAACCAAGAATCGAAATTAAATTAAAAAAATTAGATTCCGCCTGTCATGGATAATACACTAAAAATATTTTATGAATTGTTTTAAACGGAAAAAAATAAGCAAATTTTTTAGATGTTTCAACATTCTGATAAAAAAAAAATGAGATAAGAAAGATTGATTTAATTATATATCTATAAATTTATAATCTAAAAATTTTTATATTTATTTTTTTTATATTTATTATTATCTATAAATTTGACAATATGAAAAAATCACAATGAAAATGAAACAAACTTATTCGTTTCCGATTTTTTTCTCTCGAAAATTCACCAGTTCTACTTGGTTTATTTGCTCGATAATTTGCACTTTCGTCATCCGTACTCCTGGGGCGAATACACAGACAAAGTGGGCAAATTCTAAGAAAAAATCAGTAATATATATCCCAACTTAAACAATGCAAAAAATAAATGAAACAAGAACAATTGTAACAAATATGGGCAATAGATACTCTCCCAATATAAAGAAGAACTTCCTCAATTCCTCAATAAGTCAGGAAAAAAACGACTTGTAAGTGAATGAGGATGATCGAGGTTTACAAAGGTATTTTATTAGCGTATAAGTAAGATATATGTGTTAGAGAAATGACAAATCCTTTCGAAATGAAAACGGCCATCCTACGTCCATTTCCCTACAGCATTCAACTATATAGGCAATATATTGGATTATGGATATTGGATACTGCTTGCCCACACTAAAAAAGTATACAAATCAGCTCATATCAGAGTTCTTCAGAGTTAACGATGTTCATTTTTGTTAACAATCGACAACTGCAGGAAAAGGACTTACGGCTAATATAAATATGATGAAGGATATTTCGTTTTATACGAGACGCTTATAAAATAATCTTATTTTTATCAATTTATCATGGGATGAGGAAATATGAGGCAATTTTAAAATATTTTGGATTCAATTGGCCGAGTGAAAAACGAAATTACAATCCGAACAACCGCATCTGCCCCTTCAAATGTCCTGGCGAATCAAATAGCGTCGCAGAACGTCATCTACGCCGATTATATCACGTTTTTTGCTGCCTATGTTGCTAAACCCTATGATGTATAACGTCGAAAGCCGAACCAATTAAGAACTGGCCTAATGCAATCATTAAAAATTTCGAACGTAGATATATGTGTTCAGACGATGCAAAAGTGAATGGCTTCTATCAGATACGAAATCGATTCGCACGATTTGGAAACGTCTAATTCTCGAGAGAAAAGCGAAGCCAACTTAAAGCAATCGAGAGATTACTAGAAGAAGAAGAAAAGTAAAGATAATAAATGCACTGAAAAACAGTAAAATAAACTGACTGTATAGAATAAATGAAAGAGTGATAAGATTGATTTGTTGCTCTTTCGTAGATTATTTCGACAGGGTCAATCTATCGTCAAGGTGAGGTGAAATAAAACACAATCAAAATGTATCAAATAACTGAGGTGAACATAAAAAAAAAAGAAAAGTAATGGTGTAATGAGCAGAAAAAAAGAAACCTTGAAAACGTCATTATGATGATATGAAATTGTTGAAATCACTTGATACAAATGAAAAAATCAAATCATTTATCAGTAAAAATCTGGAAAAAAAAAAAGAACATCGAGAATAATATAGTTATAATATATTAAAATCTACAATTAATAATATTTTATCAAGAAAAATTCAATAAAAATTACAAATAAAATAAGAAATATCAAAAGAATTCTCTTTACAGTTACAATTATATTACATTATACAAATATATACATCAATTGTTATCAATCAGTGATAATGATAATTCCTATTCTATAACTAAACGATAAATTCTCCAAATGTTTATAAGTGAAAAATTGTTAGATGTGGTATGAAAAGAAATTTTTTATCAATCCAACCGAGTGAGAGAGAGAGAGATAATAACGCCCATTTGTGATTGAAACATTCATTAGTGTCACCTTGCATCAAACGTATTTATGCAAATTTAAGTCCTCCTCGCATGATGTTTTCCTCCTTAATACATATTTCACTTTTCTACTTTAGGAATTTCATAGCTAAATTTAATTTATTTATTTAATAATAAAATTCTTATTTTTTTTTTAAAAAAAAAAAAAAAAAGGAAAGGAAAGAAAATTCATTTAACGAATTTAAGTTTGTTAATATTTATTTCTTATTCAATAATCATTATATAAATACAAATATAAATAAATAATTACAATAATTACAACGCGATTTTAATAAATTAAAAATCGTTATAAATTTTTTAAATTAAATTCAGTGTGTATGCGTATATATTTGATTGTTGAAGAAGGCAAATTTCGCCTTAGTTTGCTAGACTAATTAATTAATTAAACTAATTGCGATTCGTTAGAGCGCATCGAAATAGATAGCAAAAATATGGGAAAAGCAGGAGAAATTCTGGAAATCCGCAAACGACGACCACATCGATACGAATTTACGAACGATGAACGATAGTCGTCGTCTGCATGCATCCATTCTCGGCGACGTTTTCATCGTCCTCTAAGTGATTCGTAGTAATTAAACGAAAAAATGAACATTCATTGCCGACTCAAAAAAAAAAATCACAAAAAATTTGCTGATTATCGTTATTCGTTAAAAGAAAATATATTTTAAAAATTTAAAATTAGATAAAAAAAAAAAAAATTGTAGAAATGAAAAAGAAAATGAAAAATGAAAATATGATTATTGAAGAAAAGTGAACGAAAGTGACGAATTGGAAAAGAGAGAATTTCCACGGGCGTTTAGCAATAAAAGAAAAATAACAAGTCTGATCATTTCTATATAAGAAAAAACTTTTCACTTTACGAATCACTTTAATCATTCGTTTCTTTTTTCCTTTCTTTCCTTCTTTCCTTCATTTATTTTTTCCTTTTTTCTTTTGTTTCTACTCATTAATTAATTTCTCCATGCAAAAAAAAAGAAAGAACGAATGTTTCACTCAACGCTATTCTTTATTTATCAGCAAATACCACTCTTATCATCATCGCAACTATCAATAATTTTTCCAAAAAAAATTTCTTTACCAATATAATTTCTTTTATAACCTTCGTAAATAATTTCATTTCTCCTCATATTTTGCATGTTGCATTTTATCAGAAAATTTTACCTGATTTTGAAAATTTTTCTAAAAAAAATCCTCGAAGAATTGTTGAAATTGATAAAAATGAAAAATTGAGATTTTAGCCATTGAATAAATAATATATCGAATTAATGTCGCTTCTCAAATTTCATTAATTTATTATATTTTAATAAATTAAATTTAAAATATTTTTTTTCCTCTTTTTTTTATATGAACAAAAAAAAAAAAATTGAGGAAAATTAAAATTATTGAACGTCGGATAAATTAAATATTTCATTAAAATTCGTTAATCGTTAAAATTTTTTTTAAAAAATTACACTTCACATTGACAACAATATTTTTTCCTTAGGCTAACAGGCATATTTCACAATTAAAAATTCAGAAAAATATTTTTTATTTATTTGAATTCTTTTTTTTTTCATATTTATTAAAAAAGATATTTTTATATTAAATTATTCTTTTAATATCCAATAACAATGATAATGACGTGAAATTTCTTTAATCGGCCTGTCAATAATTTAAAATTGTAAGTAGTACAATTCTCAGTTATCATGAACGATTTATTAGCTAAAAGTAATAAAAAAAACTATGATAAAAAATTGAAAAAAAAAAAAATTCGAATCACCAGAGAAAATTTTAAAAAATTTTTACTCACATTTTGACGTAGAACAGCATTACTTGCAAAACTCTGATAAACCATATTACCGACAGCTAAAAATATTAACGAAAGCGAAATTACAATAACGATTGCAGCCGATCCTTTAATTATTAATGCACCATAATCTATTGTATTTTTCTAAAAAAAAAAAATATAATTTAATCAATTTGCTTATTTATTTATTTTAAATTGAAATATTATTTAATTTTATTGGCTATATAATCGTTAAATAAATCATTTTTTAACGGTTCAGTTATGCTTTTTTTTTTTTTGTTTTAATTTATATTGCAATGAGAAAAAAGAAAAACTCACAGTTTTCAACTTTCTACGTGTAAATTGTATATAAAAAAAAAAAAAAATAACCTGTATCATAGTTCATTCAACTAGAACAATAATAAAATAGTGAATAAAAATTTTATGGAGTCGAGGAGAAAAAAAATTCGAGGAAAAAAAAACTGAAAAATTTTTCAATTATTTCATTTCGAAATTGAAAAAAATTTATTAAATGAAATGAAGAAATTAATTGTATATTAATTCTTCTTTTACGCTATTATATACGCTATTTTTTACGCTCTTTTACGCTATTTTTGTTCAAATTAAGAAAAATAAAATGAAATTGTGAAAATAATAATGATTCGCTACTTTTTATTTCTCAGTTTACTTTCTAACGAAAGGATTTTATTTTTATTGCGGAATTTTAGACGCAATCAAATCAGAAATCTTCAATTTTAAGAGTGTTAAATGTTGAAGAAGAAAAAAGAAAAATAAAAATGAGTGTAAAATTTCATTCCACAAATGCAATCAGCGACTCGAATTTTTTCATATTCACTTTTGAATTTATGCGAAAAAAAGAAATAATTTCGCATTTTACCATCGATAAATATAAATTTTAATATTTTAATAGAAAATATACTAAATTCGAATAAAAATTGTAAATTATCACAAAAATTTCCTAGTTTAGCCATTTTTTCACGCTTCTCAATTGAGAATCATCGAAATTATTTTATTGTCGCCAAAATGAGTGACACTATCGCGAAAATTTTTCACGAGTCGACTTCGCTATAGAATTAGAATTAGTCGCCTAGAAAATTTTGAAAAAGATCATATCGATAATATATGAGCTAAATTCTATTGCATTCAACTTTAGCAATTGTAATTCTTTGGCCAAAATTCCATGATTCGATTTTTTAACTAATAGCATGGAAAGCATAAAGCATGAAGTAAAATGATAGCGAAAATGAAATACTATTAAATTTCGGATTACTGCAAATGATTAAACGACTGCAAAGATATATCGATTCGCATACACTCTCCTTCATCAAAATGCAAGCAAAAACAATCAAATATCTTTATCACAACAAACAAACTACTCTTCGATAATCAATCTATCCTAAAAGAAAAAAAAAACAACTACTGAAAAAGACTTTCACAATCACTTGACGATTATCAAAAATTATCAAATGCCTGATGCTTCATCGACGAATCCGAATAGCTGCCTGCCAATCAGCTAAAACTTCAAGTTATATTGCCTGGAAGAGCATAATGACACCGAAAATGATGGATTTTCTTCACACAAAACATAAACAAAACTAAAATTTATTTCTTTTGATGATTTTTGAATCGATATTTGCAATAATTGCTTAAATGAAAAGAAATTCATTCATTTTAAAAAAACCAATTTTTTTAACTCCTTTAATTAATCATTTCAACATAAAATTACTTTCATTAATCGACAGACATTCATCTGATAATTACGTTTAAATAAATAAACTAAGATAGAAATTCATTAAAAGAATTTTTTTACAAAGTTTTTTTTTGTGTAACTGAGTTTATTAAAGTAATAAGGGAACTGAATGCGAAAATTTATTTTTCATAACAGTGCAGTTATTAAAAACTGAAACAGATACGTGAATTTATGGCAATAACAATCGTTTAACCATCGTTTTAATAAAACAGCACCTAGTTTTTAAAAGATATAAAATCAATATCAGTTGACAACAGAACTACCGGAATATGGAAAAAAGATTAAATGATATTTAAGATTAGACATGGAACTTCGAATTCTCTCAATCTAAACGTTGCGCTATAGTCATTTTACAAAGATAAAAAAACGATTTCTTTGAACAAAAGAGATCATTTGATTTTCATATATCCTTGTATGATGGCTAATTTGTATTTTTAACACTTCTTCCACGGCCTCGTTTCGCAATTTGCTCTCTTCCATTGCTACTTTGATCTAATCAATAAAAATTATAGCAAAAAACTTTAGAAAATTATTTCCAAAAATAAAGAGTGACAAAAATTGAAGAAATTTTAAAAAACCTTACAAATTGTTTTTGCGCAAAAAATAAATGTAATAATAGCAACTACGCCTCTAATTCCAATGTACAAAACAATAGAAAACGTTTAATACATGATTTTCAAAATTAACTTAGAAATCTGAAAAGCGACTAACTCTTTCCTTTACTCACTACTGCTTTCAATGGCGCAGCGATTTCTTCATTTTCATCATTCTCAACAACTGAATCGTCACTTGAATTACCAAGATCCACCACATTTCCTTCTTCATCGAGAGCCATTTCGCTAGCTAAATCTTACTTTTACTCCATTCACTCCAGTTTTTGAAAAAAAAGCTCAATTTTGAGAAGAAAGGATAATATTGCATAAAAATCGTATGTACAAAAGATGAACGAATAAACAAAATGTGATTATTCATTAACTATTTGTATTTCCCCTCCTTTTTTTGAATATGTCATCATCTATCACATAAGGAAGTAGTCGATGTTCTTTGTTTAGTGCACGAGTAAGAGCAGCTTTAACCTGAAAAAAAGTGAAATAAAAATCGAAAATATAATAAAATGTCAAAGAATAATTAAAAGCTTTTTTAAAGAATATAAAAGGGAAATTAAAAGATTATAAAATTTAAAGGAAAAAATTTTTAAAAAAGCAGAAAATGCCTTAGGCTCTATTTTTGAAGCAGGATCTTTCATACCAGGCCAAGCAGCTAACTCAACAATCGCTTCCGCGTCAATTTTCAGAAGATTATAGTAGTTATATGTAGCAATAACACTACTAAAGAAATTATTTTTAATATTATATTCTATATTCTTGTTAGAAAGAATTTGCAGTTCTAATAAAAATTTGATAACGAAAAAACACATTAGACTTCAACAAAATGTAAGATAAAATGCAAGGTAAAGCAATAAGAAGCGAATAAAATTTCACACTTCCAAACAGAAAATAAAGGACCTGATGCCATCAACTTTATTATCTACCAACGGCCAACAAATGCGATCTCTTAAAAACGATATATAATCAACATTTAGAGAGGAGTGACCATTTGGTATCCTAAAAATTGATCTCAATGTTTCCGAATGATTTTTGCACCAAATAAAACGGAAAAAAACTGAAAGCGGCTATCTAGGTTTAGCTTCTTTAGACAATATTATTTGATGTTATTTATTTATGTATAGATAGTATTACGACTTTGGTTTTAATCTTAATGGAAAAAACTTTAAAATTTTTCTTCCTTTTTCCCCCTTTTTTAAGAAAAATTACTCCAAGTTTTCATAATATAACATACTGCTTCGAAAAAAAACTGGCTGATCTTTTCAAAAGTTAATATATTTAATACCTCAACGATTTTAAAAATGCTCTTAAAACTATAACTATGGAAAAATAGAAACCTTAAAACGATATACACCTAAAAAGCACGTACTTGGAATAACAATGAGATGATAGCTGCCGTAGTAGCCGGAAACGTTTGTTAGTAGAACTAGTTTTGCCCAACCAAGAAGGGAAATTTATCATTACCTTCAAGTGACCATTCATATATGCCGCCGGTAATGCCGATGAAAACATCGACTGAAATGCAAATTTAAACTATGATTTAAATCACATTTACAAAGTGGACGCTAAATGATTACCTATAATTTATTATCAAAGAGGAAAAAACAAAAGATTATAATCGAATTTTAAAAAAAGTATGGAAATAGTTAAAAAGTACTAGCTCATTAAGAAGACTCCAGGTCCCTGCACTGCGAATTGACTTGTCAACTATATCACCTAATGAGATGCAGTCAGCTGCTCTACGCAAATTTTCCAGTGCCTCATATTTGCTGAAAAATATCTCACTGCAATTTCATGACAGACTTTCTAATTCCGATCCATAGGCATTAATATAAGTATATAACCTTCAAAAATTCTTTAAAAATCTGAAAATAAAAAGAACCCCGAGAAAAGAAAAAAAGGAGAACCTTGTTTTAGAAGAACCAATATTAGGATAGTTCTCTTGTACAAATAATGGCATGAGTGTATAATCAGTGAAAAACATTCGTTGTTTATCGATTAAGGAGGTTTCTGCACTAAGCAATCGACGAGCAGCTTCAAAAACATTCTAGAAGTACACGATTTAATTTACTAAAAAAAATCTGCCACAACTTCCAGTTTAATTTAAAAGATTAGATGCTAATTTCCGACTTCAATAATTAATATCGTGAGTCACCTAATGTTAGTGGTTTATGCATAAGTAAAATTAAAATAATGGATCGTAACAAATAATTCTTTGAAAATTTAAACACGTTTTAGCTAAATTAAATCATCAAACAGAAAATACAAACCACAGCACAATCCTTTGACTGCACATTTTTCCCTCCATAACTTAGCAATTGCAAATTATAAATGGTCTGCCGAACGTCATGGTTCGATGCCTCAATAATATCATCCAATAATTCTTTTGACACCGCAAATTTTTCCTGACAAGCGATTGTCAACATTCGTGCCTGCGAAACAAAAATGTTGAAGACATATGCGAACTTCAAGTCGCTATTATGTTTATACAGCACATGCAGTTTATATTTATATTTATACGACACATAAAATGTTTCTAGGTGAAATAGAACTGAAAACGAAATCAAAAAGATAAAACTTTCATTAGCATATCCTCTTTAAATTACCTTTATTTGCTCCACTCTGGGACGCTGAAAACGAATATCAAAGCAATAATGGATAAGAGTACGCATTTTTTGCGACTGTCGATCATTACAAATGCAAATAATTGGAATACGCGTCGTTTTAATCATTTGTATGAGCTCAGCTATCTTTAATATACAATTCATAACTGGTTTAATACAATTTCAACAATGAAATAAGTGTGCTTCTCGGAAATGTCACCTTAAATTGACGCCACATTCTCTGAATAATTTTTGGAGCCCATTTATTAACACCCGAAACATCCTTCGAAATGCATTAATATCTCAACACACTCCTTTTGCACCTTTTTCCAAATCTCGTTATATTCCTTCGGAACTCATTAAGCTCTATTATACTCTCCTAAAACCCTTTAAGTATTGCCTTATTTTCATGATCTAGAACTCCTTTATATGCTCTTGACATAATTTTCTAATTCGGATGCGCTTTACAATAAACTCTGTTATAATCTTTAATTAGTACAGAAGCTATTACCACAGCAGTATTCTTATTAACTTTCTCCATTTCGCGACATTAACTTTCTCAAACATTGTTTTCTTAACTACTTATACGAAATCTAAGATCGTTAATACTATTAAATCATCAAGCGCATCATCATAAACCCGGAAGTGCGACGCTTTTAGCTATGGTACCAGAGATATGCAATGGGATGAAGTCGATGCTTATTTTTATTTTATTTACTATTATTTGAAGAATTTTATTGATACAAACCAACTATTAAGTATAGAGATTGAGCAAAACTTACCCCTGCTCGATCCTCATTTCCACTCATACCGTCCACTTCGTCCATAATCAAAACATGAGTTAGGCCCTTACTTTCAACTGTAAAAAAAAACAAGTTTTTATAAGTTTTTTTTTCAGTGAGTTCAATATTTCATAATAAATTTGATAATCCCTCATGATAATAAATAAGCTCAGATTCTTAACCAAGAAGGCCCTAAAACACAGTTAACGTGAAAACAATCGGCAGATGAACATGATTCTTAACTTAGATAATCTTCTGTCTCACTACAGCATCATTATCAATAACTAAAAGAATCATTAATCAAAATAACCCTAAAAATCGAACAGACCACAATAATTTTATATATATTTTATATTTTTCATAGTAATTTTATTCGCTTTTATCTTTTTGGCAATTCTAATTATCAACGTAAAGATTACATATAAATCAAATCAAAAAAAAGGCTTTATTGGATAGATAAATCTATGAGAAGAATAGAAAAAAACTCGATGAAACGAATTTAAAGTGAAACAATAAAATTAAAATTTACCTGATTTACTTGACTGATGTTTCTTACCGAAAAATTCATCCATCTGACGACATCCAATTAATTCGGCCACAGTCGCCTCTAAATTTTTTTTGTTTCGCACTTCTGATGCGTTCATTTCAACATATTCAAGATTCAATTCCTTGCAGGCCATTATTGCACACGTAGTTTTCCCAACGCCTGAAAATAATTCTAAAATACTAAAATTTGATTTTTGAATTTGGGTGGATTTTTTTTGAGTGGAAATAATAATGAAAACGAATATGAGAATGATGAAAGTTTTCTTTTAGGGTCAGATTGGTAAAATCCATCAGAAAGAATTTCAAAAAACAATAATAAAATAAAAAAGCAACCAGGTACTCCACTTAAAAGCACGGCTTTGAACGACGAACCATCAGATTGACTTAACCACGGAGGAGGCCGTGCTAAAATCAGTATTCAATTTCACAAGAAAAATATATTTTTGAAAATCAAACCTAACAAATCTTCAAGCCTGAACAAATTTATTATTTTCGAACCAAACAGTAAAATCTAATTAAAATGCATAGAATAACCTTTTTTCACACTAGCTCCTTCACCAATGTGGAGATGGTACCAACCGCGCAACCAAGCAAGCAATTTATTCATTGGCGATTTTTCGCCATTTTGGCCAACTAAATGTTGCAAACTTGTTGGCTTATATTTATCGACCCAAGGTAGACTGCCCTATGAAAGAAGCAGAATAGAATAAAATTAAAGCAAAAATTGTCCATATTTATTTATAACTTAGAATAATGTAGAAAAGATAACCTTTTCCTGCAATTTATCTAAAGAAGCAACTGATAAATTTATTTCGTCCTTTGAGGTCAAAATAGCCTTTCCCTTCGATGAATGCTTTGGTGATATGGCTGTTTTCTTACGTGTAGAACTCATAGAAGTATTATTCAACACTTCATAATCCAAACATTGTTTCTTAGGGCTGACTCCAGTGGCGTATTTATTAGGAGAATGGCAAACACTTCTTTTCAAATCTTTTGAATTTTTTTTCTCGAAAGGCTCTCCTTTATTATTAATGCCTACTTTATTCCTCGTTTGCAAACTTTGTTCTTTTATGGATTCTTGTACTGATAAATCAAGATTCTTTGAAACTCCGGCAACAGGCTTTTGCAATCGTTTTTCTTTAACGGATTTCAAACTACTATCTTCATTCTTGATCGCTCTCACTTCTGATTTTTGATTCTCATCTTCTGCAGCTTTCGTCATTCGCTTAAGTTTCTCAGCTTCAGGCGGAACTTGAAGCCTAGACGATCTAGGAAATTTGCTGAAAAAAAGAGCTTCATCGATTGGTTGCAAAATTTTTGAATCGTCTTCGACTTCTGCAAAATTGAACACCGTCAGTGCTAATGATGAACGAAAAAGGTAAAAATAATTCGAGAGTACAAATCATTATGAGAAATAAAAATTGAAGTACGGTGCCCAAAATTTGTGAAATATCAGGAATCATCTAAATAAAAAACTTTTTAAAAAAAAATGATTTATATCTTTCCTTGCCTACTTTTGAAAATGATAAAGCTGACTGACCAGATACCATCTTGGAAAATTTCGTTCTTTTACTTTGTAGCGAAGAAGGAACGAAGCATGTTTCGTCATCGCTTGAAGTAATCTAAAAAAATTTTCCCAAAAAAATGAAACACTGCTCCGAAAAAACGAAAGCCTTAGCAACAGCGGTTTATTAAGTGAATAAAATAGATTACCACAACTTCCAGATCTTTCCTACGTTCTTCTACATTTGGCAGGCGTTTCTTCTCTGGTTTAGAACCCGAATTCTGCTTATGTGAATGGGACTGCACATTTTCAAAAGATAAACGAGTTGATTTTCCAACGATGTTTTGGCGATGAACCGGAAAATTCGAAGCAGAACCTTCCTCGTCTGAAATATAATTTAAACCTCGAATTAAAATCCTTTGATTTTATAAATAACGAAGACGCATGCAACCAAGAGAATTATAACCAAATATAAACTAACCAGAGCTTAGAATAATCTTTTTGGACCTCTTTCTTTGTTTGAAGTCTTGACGAAGAGATTTAGGAACTGGATCTTCGTCAGCTGAAATTTATGGGTTAGAATAAATCTCGACAAGCATCTCTACTAGGATAAACCTTAATAGATACTCCTGTTAAGATTTAAGATTATATAAGATTTTTTTGAAGAAGAATATGACGGTACACTCCTTGCATATAGCTATTTAGATTTCTTTTATTCCACTTAGTAATAAATCTTTTTGTTCATCTTATAGCACCATTTCTGGAATCGTTCCTATCTTCTAGAATAAGACCCTTTCAATCGAAAGTCATATGAAAGGAAAGACAAAGTGGAATCCTTAGGTTTCAAACACTTAGGTTTCACTTTTAATGGCACAGAATAATGCTCTCATCATAATTTTCCCATTCTTCAGCTTAAAGTATTATTTAAAAATAGAACCATGAATTAGTTTCTGCCTGATTAATAACTTTTATCCAGTGAAAAATATTTTTCTAAATCTTTTTCATTATTTATAAACGTTCATTCAATATTATATTTCATCAATATTTCATAAAAATTTATAATATGACAAACTATCTTCTATTGATAATCTTTGAATTTAATACTAACATTCGCTAGTGGACGAAAAAACTGTTTGTGGTTTCGGATTTCTTGATCGTCTAATTTTCTTGTTTGCTCCGGAATTAATCGGACTACCACGACTCTCACGAATCTGGCTCAAAGCGCTAGTATTTCTTGATGGCCATTGTTTACCAAAAAATTTTCGAATATCCTAAGATTTACATCATTTAACATTTATCGCCTTTCTTCATTTCTCCTTCATTTTTAACATTTTAATTTTGCTTTTTAAAACAATCATCTAGAAATTCAAATTTGAAGCCTCTCAAAGCCTCACTTGTAACATATTTCTCGGATATTCCAATTAGTTGAATAGAATTCACATCACTTACAAGAGCAATTTTCTACTCCTTTCCTTTCTCGTCTTTTGCTTCGATCGTCATCGCATCAATATTATCTCTTACCTATTCAACTGTAAGTCCCCCCCTCCCCCTCGCACTATTATTTGTATTAAACTCATTTTTATATTGCCAGTGAAATAATACCAGTAGCGCATCTCACTTTCTCTTGTTATCGTAAAAATCGCTTAGAATGTTCAACTATTATTTTTATAATAAAATTAAATATATTATTTTTATAATAAAAATGAAATATATTAAAAATATATTAATATTATATATTATATTAATATTTATATTAATATATTAATATTTTTGTGTTACAAAATAAAATATATATATGAAAAATATTAAAAAAATTATTTTAAAGATTTTTATAATTAATTAAACGCTAAATCAGTATTTTCTAAATTCAAAATTTAAAAAAACCCCAAAATTTCACCAAATTTTTATAAATTTATATTTAATATTTTTAATTTCTAACTAATAATTTTAAAAAATGAATAAAATCGAATTCAACCCACCATTTGACACATAAAACGCTTCGTTCATAAATTCATATTTCGGAAAAAACAAAAAATTTTTGAAAATAAACGGGGAGAATATGGGCGAAATATGGCCGCGGTTCTGTGGCCGGCTACGCAGCGGTTTGTTCGTTTAAAATGCGCATTTGTGAATTTTTTTCATTTTTATTAGTCATTTAAAAAATATTATAAGTTGATAATATTATTAAATGAATTATTTAGGAGATTTTTGGTATTTTCGGCACTTCATTGAATAGAATTTTTGTTGCATCTTTTATGATTTAAGTACATAATTATTGTGCTTTAACACTTAAAATGGTCCTAAGAAGATTGTTTTAAAATTACTAGAATATTTAAAAAATTTTGTCTTAGGTTGAGATAAGTGGAGGAATTGGGAGGTGGGGAGAGAGGGGGTAAGGATGAGGAGGAGGGGTGCGGTGAAAAAAACTGGAGTACTGTTTTCGACCTTCAGCAAAATGGCTGTAATTGTTGACAAGTTGACTGCTGGTTTGAATTCTTCTTTGTGGTCTCAAAGTATCTTTTGTTCTCGCTTTTCGATAGCGCATTCGGTCGGTCGATTCGTGGAATTTTAATTGGTGCAATAAAATTACTTGTACTTTTCTTCAGTTAATATGGCAAAAAGTCTTCGTTCGAAATTTAAACGGAAAATGCGAGCAATTAAAAGAGAGCGTATTGCTAAGCGAATATTGCAAAAACTAATCGCAAAAAATTCATGCAACGGTATTTCACTTAAAAGATATTTTTTGGCCTTTGGCAAATTTATTGAAATTCAATATTCATTCTCATTTCTTTGATTTTAACCAGTGCTTAAGGTTTAAATTTAGATTTATATTTACGCGAGTAAATATCAATGAAATGACAACCTTCTTTTTCTCATTGAATCTATAGAATATCAATATTTGTGCTTTGTATTCACCGTTAGATCACCGTTAAATAAATTTTTAGATATGGAGACGGAACAATCAACAAATGATTTACCAGAAGTGGTCGGTTTTTTTTTCCTGTTAGATCGCTAAGGTTTTAAGTTTTTCTCGAAGATTTTCTGTAAATTCCGTCAAACTCTTCATTTCTAACATATCATTCATTTTTATTTTTCTTTTTTGCTTTTTTTTGAAGGGCATATTTTAGAAACATAATTAGGCGATTCTTATACGAGTTATTCATAACTTTGATTTTTTTCACTTATCAATTTGTTGTTTTGTCTTATGAGAAAAAAAAATTTATTTAAAATCCATTAGCAAAAAAAGCTGGTTTTTTCGTTAATTATTTATGCAGACTGAAGAGGCAGATATTTTTTTAGTAAAATATTTTATGATGATCCATTCGTTCAAATTTACTAAAGAATGGATGGAAGTGTTTTTAAAAATAATTGTAACTATGAACTTAAATTATATTGTTTTCATTTTATCACCATCATTTAATTTAATATTCAGTTTTCAGAAGGAAGTGGATAGCAAATTGAAATCGAATTCAAAAATTCGAAGAAATCCGATGGTACGTCCAATTTGGATAAGTCAAAGGAGAGTGCGTAAAATGAAGGAAAAGAAAAAAAAGATAGAAAAAGCTAAAAGGAAAAAGAGTAAAAGTAATCGATGAATTATTTTTTGTTTTAATTGTTTTTTAAGTTACTATCGTTATCACCATTTATTTGCAAGTATTAAGTCAGATGGTCGACTCATGTATTGTTTGATGTCAAAATCTGTGATATGGTTGCTCAATTTTTTACAACTGTTTCGTTCTTTTATGCTTTTATCATCGTTTATTTCGAAAGTGGATATCTGTTAGAATGGTTATTTCTATAATGAGGATAATTGTTTGATATTTGCTGCATAAAAAATATGGTTGTATCTTGATATGAAAAACACCGATCGATACACCAAATATACGGTATTTATTATTAGTTTTCGCGCAAATAAAGGATCAGTCTAAAGGAGTTTGAGCGATATGGCGATAGCAGAATCTTTGGTTTGCTCTCAATCTGATTCATTAAGGGAGGATATTTTTTGACGAAACGTCCAAAACAAATGAAATTCGTTTGGTTAATGATGTAAATGATCTTATGAAAGGCCAATTAAGCTAACTAATTTTGATGGTTACAAGTGGTTCGCAATAATTGGATTTGCATTGGAAGAAAGCTATCTAAAAAATTCAATGATAGCCATGAATAATTGGTGTCGTGATAATGATTGTCAATCTTCATGTACAATGAGTAATTTGAAGTGGAAATATTTTTAAAAAAAAATGAATTTTAAAAGTTGAAATCATTAAAATATTTCAAAGTTTCGTAATATTTAGTGGGACGATGCTGATATTGGAGAGTGAAATAAAATTCTGTCGGCAGTTGGCTCTATAGCAATATTTTTCTTGTTCCACTAAGCCAGCGGAGCGAGACTAATCAAAAATGGTGAGCAATTTTTAGCAAAAAAAATCCAGTGAAATAAAATTATTTAAATTTCAATAAAAAAAGTCAAAAGAAAAAAAAATTATATTATGGACACAGATGGTTGCAATTAACAATTTATTGCATAGAAAATTATAGCAAAAAAAAAGAAAAAAAAAATGATTCGTAGAGATTTCGATTATAATTGATACTTTTTATTATATTTTTTAAAATAGAAATTAAAGTTTTTTTTTTTTACTAAAAAAACATTTAATTGAATGGCGATGAAGAAGTCTGTTCAAAACTATAACCTTTATTATAATTAATCGTTTTCATCTAATTTATTTTATATCTAAAATTTCTTTTTTTTTTTTTAAATTTATTATGGGATTAGATAATGGATTTTCTTTAATTTCATTCGAAATACTTCGACGAATGAATTCGCTTTATTGCGAATGTTTTAGTCAGTGAGTGAAGTGCAATTATTTGTTATGCGCATGAAGGCAAAACGAAAAGTTCATATGGAACCAATGAAGCCAAAAGCAGTTTAGGAAAAAAACCAGTTTTATTTAAAGTTATAGGACTAATGTATTCGCTTTTTATAACCATAATCATCAATTCCATCTACTGCTTTCTTTTATCATGATAAGCACTAGCTGTCATTCATAATATCCATTTCATCCATTGTTCGTTCTTATCATGATAAAGCGCAAGCTAAAGTGATTCAGTAATCTCATGCAAATATATTCTCATTTTCAAGCTCAAAGATCGTTGATCCATTAATGAAATAATTTTGCAGAAAGAGAAATTATTATAATCGTAATTATTTGTGGTGATGCGTCGAAAATAATTATTAAGTTTACTTTATTACTAACTTTACTGGAAAAGAAATAAAATTAGTGCCATATATGTATCCTCTAACGCTGGCTTTTCTACTCTCAATTTTCTAGGCGTCTGTCATCCAACATTGAGAAAGGAGCCATAGGAGCGAAGGAACTGCTTTTAATATTCTTTAGATATTCGATGATTTTATTTATAAATTATGTTGAATAAAATTTAATAAGACGATCGAATTTTCGTTGGGTAAATTTTTACATATATTTTCCTTCATAAAAAATGATTTAAATGGATAAAATTCTTCAAGTTTTACATAATTCGTAAATAAAACTCGAAAATTGTTCATTTATTAAAATATTTAAAATTTATTAAAATATTTAAAAAATTGAAATAATTATTAACTTTACTAATGAACAAAGATTTGTTAATCTTTAATAAGAAAGATTTTTTTAATTTTTTTAATTTATAAATTAAAATTTGTCGATTTTAAAAATTAATAAATTTTCAATTTAAATTAAGAAATCTCTTGATAATTTCAAAATTTTTATTTTATTTTTGAATCAGTTATTTTGCTTTAAAACGATCTAATTCATTCGTCGAAAATAGTTCATTAGATATCAATAATTTTTCATTATCCATCAAAAAAAAAAGGAAAAAAGATCTAATCGGAGAAAAAATGAAAAAAGTAGATCATTCCTTTAACGATTAATCAATTAATTACTCTTTATAAGAGAAATTAAAAATTAATTCAAAATGAATAAACAACAAAAAAAATAAAATTTAGATGAAATGACGAAGAAAATGTGGTAAATGTCCAGAAATTTATTTCATATTATTCGTTCAGAATTTCCAGAATTTTTCATTTTTCTTATATTCTTTATTGTTAATTTTTATGGCGTATTTATTTATTATATTTAAATTTTAAATTTAAATTTAAATAAATTTTTAAATTTTTAATTGGTGAAATAGAATATAAGCCTTGCTATAATTTTAAGTTTTTAAACGTTTAGTTTTAAAATTATTGAAATTATTTATTAAAATTTTAAATTTTTAATTTAAATTTAAAATTTAGATAAATTTATTTATTAAATTTAAATTTATAAAATAAAAATATTCAGGAAAAATATCATTAAAATCGTTAGTGGTGGCAATAGTTAAAATTTTTCTGCAAAATATTTAGTATTTAGTGAATTTTTCTTAATTCGTTTTTCTCAATACTTCTTAGATAATTCATTTAATAATGTGTTGTTCCGCGCTGAACTGAACACTTCAATTTTTTTCTTTTTTTCACTGTTATTAATAATATTGATAATGTGATAAACAGTTGTTGATCCATGGTAGCTCTAGTTCGGTCTAAGCGGAAGTAACTGAGACGATTTCAAATAATAGGTTCCAATAATAAATAATAAATTTGCTGGGAGTGATCTAAATAACTGAATGATGACTAAATTATTCAAGTTATCAGATTAATCATATCATTAAAGTGGTGGCTGATTTCATTTTAATTGAATATACCACAAGATTTTGTATATGCGGGTGTCAATGAAATTTATTTCTCACATAGTAGATGAGAAAATTTAGATAATAGCTCTGGGAATGATTTAATTAAATTAAATTAATTAGTAATTAAACTTCTTAAGGAAAGATAAATTAAGTTATTGTTCTATAAATTTAAGACAATTTTAAATTTAAAATTTAATTTAAATTTTAAGTTTTTTAAACGATTTTCCATCTTTCTAGTTCGAGTAATTTTTCGTTTTTTTTTATGTAAAACTTCCGTTCATAATTTTATACTATTTTTTTGCATATTTAAACTTATGGATATCTTTATGGCCTATTTGGCCAAAATAATTAGAGGATTTATCAAATTTTTATTAAAAAAGTTTTATCATTTTAGCCTATTATTAACTTTGATTTTATAGCTTTTATTTGAATAATTTTTTCAAAATAATTTCACTCATTTAAACAATTTTATATTTTAGATATTAATTCCTATTATTATTATCATTATTATTACTATTATTATTATTGTTATTATCATTATTATTATTATTATTATTATTATTATTATTATTATTTGAAATTACTGACGAATATTGATAATGAAAGACATTTCTGATTGATTTGAATCGAATTATATTTTCACCAAATTTCCAAAAACCATTTATGAATTCAAAAAAATTTTTATTTGGCTAATAATATAATAAAAAAGAAAAAATTGATAATGGAATATTTATAAAATACATCGTCGTTGTTGAAAATTCGTTAAATATTTTTCTGGGATTCCTAAGTCAATATTTCTTTTTAATTAAAATAATTTTTAAATATAAATAATATTTCGTTCTTTTTTTCTCATCCCAAATGAATTGAAAAATTTTAAAATGAATTTTATTAATTAACGAATAAAATTTTTCTTATTGTTTCCTTTACAAGGTTCCATCGAATATAGGCAATTCGTGATATTCGCTCGATTATATTTATATTTTTTTCATTTTTTAGTTATACCCAACGCTTCTGATTTGGTTCTCTGCAATTGCTACAATTAAGATGTTATCTCTTCGACATCACTTGGGAATAGAAGTACAGATTTACTTCCATTAGGAATTAAATCTATAATGTCTTAGTCGAGGCACCACGTCACTCGATTAGACTATCTCTTTGTATCGTCTAATCATCTGACCTGTTGAATTTTGCATATATACTATATTGTTTCATACATATACTAGTAAAAAGACTCGTCCTGTGGACAGCAAGCCTTGCTTTGATATTTCCTCAAAATCTATTGTATTTCCTTACTTCATACTTCATCGAGGAGGATATCACCATCTGATTGATTATTAATGGATTGATTATTAAAAAAGCATAACGGGGTACGGGATTTTGATATTAATAACCTGGGCTGCCATAGCAGAATTGCATGAGAGTTCAACGAAACTAGGAGGGAAATTTAAAGTATCATTAATTGATTTAAAAAAGATTTGTAATGCATTAGGTCACGGAATGTTTGAAAGTGTTCAAGTTTATAAAAGGCTCAAAAGAATCAAAAAGCTGTAACATATCTGAGAAATTCAAAACATGTAAAAATGTTTCTGATAAAGTTATTAATCAAAGTGAAGACTTGAAGAAACGCAACGGAGCAACTGGTTCCGAGAGAGCTGTTAAAAAAGAAAGGTGCGATTTGAAAAAGTGGAATATTGAGAAGTATGGGGGGGGGGGGGGGGGAAATGTCATAAAGAGAGAGATAATCTGGTCTAAGAGCGTGAATTTTGACAATATTTGGCTGGTTTTGCAGGAAACAGATGAAGTTTTTTTCAAAATGTACCATTGCTAACATTTACAATTTATTAACTAGTTATTTTTAAATACATTTTTATATTTTTTAAGTAATGAATGATAGCAGCGAATTTTGTTCGTATGTGCCACCTGATTTCTTACATGAACGATTTTGGTTAGTGTCAGTTGCTGGTACGACTACTGCTGTTCTGTCGATTATTTTAAATATTATATTACTTATCGTTCTACTAAAAAGGTAATATTGCCTTCCTATTTGCCTGTATAAATTAAATATCGCTTATGAGTGAATGTATTAAATTAATCAAGCGCTATTCTGATAAATTTATGTTGTTATAGAATGTCTACAAATATATTTTAAGGCTTCTACCAGGCGCGCTTTTTCGCCCAAATGACACTATAATAATTTTTATAGCAAAATATTTTGATTAGATAGGAAACAAACATTATAACAATAAAAAATGATATTAATACAAGTAGTCAATTTGGTGGCTAACTCCATTTTTTTTACTCGTTTTCTTTAATTATTGCTACTGATAGCTGATTTCGAAATTTAAAAATAAGGATATCAAATATGGAAATGAAGTAGGCAATAAAGTATTCTTATCGTTCATTCTTTAAGTATTCTTTTTTATCAGCTCAAATCTCTGTAAATGAAATTGTTTTTTTCCAAGAGCGTTTACCGTTTCTGGTTGGATTTCATTTCGCCGAGTCAGCCAAATCTTCGTCACCTGGCAAAAGAAGGCTGCCAGTACTACCCGAATATTTGAATGGTATTAAAAGAGAAGAAACCTAGCACCGACATTCCGAAATGATAACAATAACCCACTAAGCCGTTACATCCCATTTGCTGAATATAATAGAAAGCTCCCTTATTTAACTCGCATTTTTTTTATATGCAAGTAAATTTTTGTTCATTTTAATTTCAAAAAAATCTGTCTCATTTTAGGAGGAAATATCGATATTCGTATTTATTATATTCTCTATTATTAGCATTTTTTGATATTTTAATCGCTGTATCGTATGTTCCGCTAATGTCATTATCACATCTCGCCGATTTTTTAGAATCGCCATTTTTGCTGCGATCATGGTATTCTGTATTTTTATGGTTATTCATTTTCTATCTGCCATTTTTTTTAAGTGTATAATAATAATCTGGGCTATTAAATTAAAATTTTTTTAGAAACTGCGATATTACTAAAATTTATTTTCGCTACGAATAGAAATCAAATTGGTTAATAGGAGTGCACTGAAATGCCAAAAAGATTCTTTCTAGAAGATTTATAGGAAAATAGTTTATTTGCATTAATAGTAATAGTTGGTTGATATGTCGAATTATTAGTAATTTTATGAATTTCAAAGAGAAATTTAAATAAATAATTTATTAAATAAATGAAAAAAAAGTTTTTTTCGTGATCTAATTGCATGCATTAATAAATTTTTTTAAATTTTATGCCTATTATTTAGAGATTTAATGAAAAAAAAAAATAAAACAAAATAATTTTATTTCTGTAATAGTTAATTTTATTACAATATAAAAAGTGAAAAATTATATTAGCAAGCAATATTTTGGTGCCTTTTATAAAACCATTTTGTATATTCATCTATGAACTTCATCAGACTTCAACAGAATTTTGCAATGCTCTTCATTTTTGGCTCTGACTCAAAATTTGGTTCATGTATTAGATATTGTTTGCCAGATATTTTACAACAAATTATTGAGGTTTAATTATATGCTTCCGATGATAACGATTTCACATATAGCAATGACATCGTCATCATTTTTAATGTTGGCTGCAAGTTTCGAAAGATACTGCATGGTAGCAAAATTGGATCGAATAAAATGGCTTACCACACATCGAGCGAATATAGCAACGGTCGCATTCATATTCGGTTTTTTCACTAAAATAACACTTGCTTTTGAATTCAACGTTAGTTTTGAAATTACTACCAATAAAATTTCCCATTCAGTATTATTTACAGTATTCAGAGAACAAGACAAAAGAGATTTGCAAGGTTTCCGTTTACCATAAATGAAGATGAAGCCTTAGATGTTGGAAAAAAGAACGGTTTCTGCTGCTGTCAGCGAAGGTAGAAGATCGAACAGCTTGGAAACACCCTTGTAGCCAGCAGAGCCAGCCTGACCAGTAATGCTGTTAGAAGAAGAAGAAGAAAAAGAAGATGAAATATAGACGATTATCTGGTTTATTCATTAGTTAGTAATTTATAATTAGCTTAAGCTTTGATTGCAAGTAGAAATTTGAAAACTTAAGGTACAGAAGAAAAACAAATGTAAATAAATTTTCTATGACTTTATAAAATAGAGCACTAGTGATTGAGTCGTAGTCGTACCTCTGCTAAGATGAGGGTAAATCCTTGATTTCAATTTCGATTTCTTGGTGGACTTAGCAGTGTTATTAAAAATAAAATGCGACTGACAATTGCTTCTTCGTTTCGGAAAATCCTCTAGCATAAGTGTCGTCCAATGATTTTCTCTAATAGTCATTAGAGCCAAAAATGGTCAGTGCTAGAAAAAGAAATATGGCCAGCCAGTCCATAGGCAAGATTTAAAATATCAATTTTCTTCTAAATTAGTGAAATGAACAATTTTTAACAACTTGAGTTCATGAATGTGCACTTTGTTGAAGAATTCAAATGATAAAATTGATTGAGGTTTTTTTTTTCTAAGAGCTTCAGCTATTGCTTGTTAGGTTAGGTTAGCTCTGCTGGCTTGTCAGACCAGCCAAATTTTGCAAGTCGTTTTACGATAGAAGTACTATTGAGACATCACCTTGGATTTTTGAATCAGATATCTTAGAACTCAGCATCGCCATTCCGAATTGAGCAACAACTACTCATCCATTCTACCCCAGTCGACAAGAGTGACTTGACGAAGCGCGATGCATTAGTTTGATTCAAACGCGAGCCATTCTTGATCATTTTGCCACTAAGCCACCGTTTTAATTCATTTTTGTGAAATTTAGTTATAATAAAATGTATTAGAAAAAAATCATAAAGGTTGTGCAGATAAATCACAATTTGGAATGCAAAGAATCAATGTTGGAATACAACTTGGAATTATCAGTATTGGCTCAAAATCCTACTTACAATTTGTGGTGGCGTTTATGGTTTCGAAATATTGTAACTGTCTTATTCCCATTTTTTCTACTTTCGTTTTTGAATATACAAATCGTTACTTATTTGCAACAAAAAAAACAGTATGAACAGTGCTATCTCAACGAATTTCAAAGAAAAGTCAATTTTTAAATCTTTTTTTTTTTTGTAAATCATAATTATTATATATAAAATAATTTAAATCATTAACTTTCTATTTTTTGAATTTCAGCTGACATTTTTTCATAAAAATTGAATTTTCTGCTAAAAATTCATCATTAAAATGCTATATAAATAAGTACCAATAAGTATAATTATATATTATAAATTATTATATAATTATTTGGTGATCGAATTCATATTCAATCTTGCAAAAAGCTGACAACTTCAAAATTTAATGAATTTATCATAAAAAATCAGATGCGAATTCGAGCAGCAACTCGAACTCTTGTCTTAGTCGTTTTCACATATCTTTTGTCTAATGTATTAAATGTTATTATAACTATATGGGAATATATTGATATGGAATCACTGACAACTCGATTCAGAACTTTTTATATTTTTAGTGTTGATACGGTATTTGTTTATGCATTCTGTATGTAACATTTTAAACTATCAATTCAGTGGCAATGCATTCATTCATTTATGATCACTAAAAGTTTTTTTTTTTCTTTGGCACATTATTTCTTAATTGCTTCGTGAAAATTGAATAATTATTGCCCACTGGAATGATATCCAATCTATATAAGTTAATGCTTAAAAAATATTTTAAAAAATCCATTTCTTAGGTATCACTAATGACAGTTCTCGCTGGAGCACTACGTTTGCCTATATATATGTCTTGTCAACCTGAATTGCGCGCTGAAGTTTTACGATCTTTTTCTTCATTATTCACACAAAAATTGAGGATGAAAGTAAACTAATCTCAACTAATCTCAGTAAATCGTAAAATCGACTAAACTTTTTAACTTTTTTTTTCTTTAAATATTAAATATATGCAAAATATTAAAATTAATTGGAATTCAGTTTTCATAAATTTTTCTTATCGCTATTTTAAATTATAAAAATTATAAAATTTTTGGCTGTTATATGATCGAATGAAATACTTGCAAATTTCGTTCTTTCAGCTTCACATAAAAGAAATGCATACAAATGTTGATATTCGTGGCAATTATGAACGAACAAAGCCCAAAGCTAAGCAATTAACACTTTGTGCCATTTTTGCTACCAATCATTGTATTTTACGAAGGCAAAGTATATCAAATAGCAATGGCGATATTTTTTTATAAGTCGTAAAACATCGAACAAAGCATGCGAATTGCCTTTTTTTCCGCTAAATAGATTTAAGCAAATTTAGAAAAAAACTTTTAAAGGAAATTATCCTTTAAAATAACTAAAACAATTTGCAGATTGATTTTGGGAATGGGAAAAATTTGCGAATAAATGAAATTAAAAATGAAAATTTAAGAAAAGTGCAATGCTTGCAAAATATTTTTTTCAATTTTAATATATTGTAAATTTCGAAATTCATCAAAAAATTCAGTTAAATGCCATTTCAAAAAAAATAATAAATAACAATAAATAAATAATAAATAAGTAATTTATTCATGAAATTCTTTCCGCTATTATAAGAGTGAAATGCTTCAAAGGCTGCCTATTCCGATCGTAATATTAAAAGCCATTCCTTTTTCCATCGTAGAAGTCCATATACCGTTGGTCCAACTATGTGTTAGAAATCTTTCCTGACCGTACCAGTCCAGGTCTTGGTTGGCCCTCCTTGCTTTTCATTAAGCAGCAAGTTTAAATGATAAGGAAAATACTATTAAAGAATAGATATAGGAGTGAATAAATATAGAACACTTGAACCAATTTCGAATACCCTTTGGATTACGCGAAACATTTCCCACACGAAAGTTTTGCAAAAATTATATTTATTTGTTGAAAACCAGCCAAGTAGTGCGACAAACGCCATGTGCTTCTATTGATAATAATAATTAGAATAACAAATAATTATTATGATAAAAAGCAGATAATTGAAATGATAGCTATCTTCTTTTGAGAAAAATTTCTAAATGTTATCGATTTCAATTAATTCGAATTATTTCAATAATTTGAATTTAAATTAAATTGAATTAATATCAATTAATTTAAATTAAATTTAAATTATGCAAAATGAAGATTCCAACACAAATATCTATATTTGCTCTATCTTCTGTCAAAAATTTTGGTGAAAGTCGATTTAGAAACTGCGAAAATTGTGAGGCTCGCTGCATCCTTTTTATATCTCCTTGAATCTCTTTCTCCGCTTGCACTCTTACAAATCCCCTTCATTATAAGGATTACAAATCTCATGAAAATGTCATCGTTACTTTCAAAAAATCGTGCATTAAATCTAATCTATTCACTGGGAAATCCGTAAGTGATTTCGAGTAGTGAAGAAAGCAGTATGATGTACAAGGAGAATTTTGAAGAAAGTACAGCGGAACTAGAAAGTATAACTGAAACAGATAATGAAATGGAAAGGGATTTGAGTAATGGCATGCAGCTGCTTACTTGCAGTTTGCAGGCGTTTCAAAAATAGGCATAATGAAACACAACAACCTTCGACCTAAAGATTGCATATTCGAGACCTGCAAAAGCCTGGTTTTTGGAGTCATCACACCATCAAAAATGTGTGCATTTTGAAATTAATACAAAATGAAATTTATGCATTTTTTTCGAATTTGGTTGTATATACAAATTTGAAATGGATTTGCTTGAAGTGAAAACAAAATACAATAGAAATTCGAACTCCCAAAACTTTTTTGAACTACTAAGGCTCAGAATTTTATAATCGAAATCGACTGAATTGCGCTCGAACTGTAGCTGTAAAGAATTATATAGGCAAATTGTGATGAATCACCGTTATAATAGAAAACTGGCAATTACCGATTCATTAGGTTATGGTATAGCGAAATCCGCTATTTATTTATTTTATTTATTTATTGAAAACCAGCCAAGCAGGGCGCAAACGCCATGTGCTTGTATTAATAACAACAGTTAAAATAACAAATAATAAGAATTAATGACAAATAACAACAAAAAAAAATAATAAAATAAAATAAACAATTTAAAGATGAAATAAAGAGGATATTGCAAAATAAAACATAGTACAATTCGAAATAACTATAATCGGATGGTAAAAATCGCGATTTCACACTTCCTGCATGATGTGAATTCTTTAAATAATATTATAAATGATATTATCTATTCTTTTTTTAATGATAGCTAGAGATGGCGCACAAGCTATGTCGTTCGGTAATTTATTCCAGAAATTAATATTGAATAAAAAAATCATAAGTCCTTAGTTTAGTTTTGCACATAGGTTTTAGTAATTTTAACCCATTAGTTCTTTTTGGATTTAAATTTAACCTAAAATTATAATATTTTGAACAATCTAATTCAACATAACCATACAAAATCTTTTAAGTATAAATTAAATCTTATTTGATACGACGAATTGACATAGAATATAGGTTATATTGCAGAAGTTTTCTTTTATAATTAAAATTGCATTTAGGAGAGAGGCGCAGTGTAAAATATTTTTGGAGTCCTTCAATTATTTTACTTGATTTACGATATCTCGAGGAATAACATGTAGCAATGTAGTCAAGAAGTGGCTGAACGAACACTTTGTTCATTTTGATAAGGAAATCTTCAAATCTTAAACGAACGAAAAATAAAATTAAATAAAATAAAATTTACTATGATTCTGCAGTGAAGGTCGAAATCAAGATTTTCATTCCACGATTATACCAAGATTAAAAATGTGTGAAACTCTACTGGTTATATTATCATTAATTAGGAAAATCGGAACCTTTAGAATTGATATGAAGAACGCTATACTTCTGAAAAGAAAGGGCAATTTGCTTGTTATATAGCCAGCTGGCTATTCTGTTAAGGTCCTCTTGCAGTGGAGATAGGCTATCTGATCTACCATGAGAATAATAAATAATAAATAAATCCGCTACCTTTGTCCTCTTAAAAAGAAAAACTATTATTGTAAAAGGAACTATAAGAAAAATTATAAATTATTTGTTTAAAATAAAATTAATATCAGAACAAAATAAATATTATTTAAATAAATGAATATTGTTGCACTTGCTTGTATGGTTTTTTAAATTTTTTTAAATCAAAATGTTTAGGAACAATTTAGCCTAAATAAATGGAAAAAGAACGATGACATTCTTTTTATATGCTATTTTTTAGCGAATTTAGCGAAACCCTTTAAATTTCTCCTTTTTTGTTTTCCTACCTACTGGGCGAAAATCTTCGCTTTTTTTTGCTCTTATTTTATCGCATAGCTCGACTATATTAGAAATTTATTGATAAATGCATTTTAGAGATAGAGATCACTGTGAATAGATAATAAATCGTTTAAAAAGTACAAAGTACATTGAAGAAAGTAGTTGACAAACAGTATTTCCTTTCACATTTCTATCTTATCACTTTTTTGCTGCGAAATTCAGAAAATATTATACTATAATAATTTGAGGGATGCTGAATGGAATGGTACGCGGGGAAAATCCATTAATCGTTTTTGAATATTTTTCCCACCAAAATTCCCAAATTATAAATTTAAAAGTTCGGAATAAGTAGATTATTGATATCATTTCAGAGCGCTAATGTTGTGGTTTCCCTCCTAACAGAAGTAAATCTATCCTTCAAAAATACGAGTGATGCTGACTATTATCGCATACAACTATCGCCAGGTTCCTGAAAAAAGTTGCCTGGTCCAACGGAGCAAGTCCAGCTGGACGCCAAGCGGAAAAATGATGGCAATATCGACAATTTTTAAATCAATTTTCTATTTCTTACTATCAAAAAATATTTGCGACAGTGATTTAAATGATATGAAATGATAAAAACCGGTTGACACAAATTTCTGAATTTATAATATGGGAACTAAAGGTCGGTCTAAATTGAATTTCGTGCTGAAACTTAAATTTTTTTTTGATAATTAATGAAACAGTGAAAAACTGAAAAATATTTTTCAGAATATTCATGGTAACACTCATCGATACAACCACGAATTTTCAACGATTTTGCTTTCTTCTAAAATATTTTTTTATGATAAATATATTCACTTATTGTTTGGAATCGATGAAAACAGGTTATATTAATATTATTTAATTATATCAATATTAATATTAACAATTGACGAATGCAATAGAGTTAAAAAGGTGGTTAACGTTCACCATTTCTGCTTAGACTCTTTTCGTTGGCTGCTAAAATGACGAAAAATTTTTGCTAAGGATTTAGCTGCGAAAGAAGTGCTGGTGGACACAAGCGCCAATTGATATGGTAGAATACATAGATATAACAGATAATTTATTATATGTTTTATTATATATCAGACAGTCTCAGATTATTTTTCACAAAATCTTCCATAAATTTTTTGAACTTTCATTGTAGAATATTTTTTTTTTTGAAGATATTTGGCCATTTCCAGTTAGGCATACATCGGACCATGTAAGTTTTGCCGAGGAGTCTCTTGACGATAGTTCAGGTGGATTGCTAGCATCACTTGGAAAGGGCAAACTTACTGTTAAGAGTAGGAAGAGTAGTAAGAATCCCAGTGGTTAGTGCTCCGAAATGAGAGCAGTAGCAAATTTAGCCATTTCACTCCTTATTTCCGAATATTATCCATCGCTATTTAAGCTATAATACGAAGGCATTTTTTCTTAATGGAAATTTTATATCGATATGTAATCATTACTTTTCGGCCAATCTTAATTTATAGCACCGTAAATGATTAGTGATTATAGATGACAACTACTATGATATTGAAGAGTCGTATATAGAGCAGCTCGATGTTACTAATGACCATATTCATTTTACCTGGATTATCCCAAAAAATACAGCGAAGATTCTTACTTCTCTGCGATTAATGGCTACTTCGAAGAAAGGTTATATTTTTTCCGACATATGCATACAATATCAATATCGAGCGAAACTTGTTGGTCATTTACCTGTAAATGCATATAAAATTTGTCACTTCAAAATTTCGTCAAACAAAAGTTATGCTTCTCGTATTTTTGATTGGAGAATTCTGATTGTTTTTGCTAAAATAACAAATTCAAATATCAGAGCACCAAATTGTTTCATATCAATATCACTTAAGCAATTAACTTTAAGCAATTAACTTTTTTATTGATAAATTTTCATAAAAAATCTGTATCTCTTTTACCTATTTTGTAGCAGCAGTTACATTATGTTAAGAAGATCGTTTAGTTTCAGTTTAGAGCAGGCAGACCACATCGTAAGGCAATACCCCATTATTTAATAAAATAAAGATGACCTCAAAATTTTAATTTTAATATAACCTTGAGTGGGGTCTATGATAACTATGGACAACTCGGTGACTGTAAGAAAAATCGTGCAAGCTTATAGCCGAAATAGCCAACTGTATAGAAGTTTAGATTATCTGAAGTGCATAGATATAGGGATTTAGCTTAATAAAAAAGAATTCAAATCGCAGAAATTAGAATCGAGGATTTAAATGTGGAATAAAATGGAGAACTGATCTTATTAACAATTCTTCTGAAAGATTTCTATAGGGGAGTAAATGATTTTAATGAGAGTCACAGCTTAATATTCTTAAGCATACATGATCTGAGCATATTATCATCATACCATATTGTCTTTGTAGTTCGCCTATGATACCCCTAATTAGTGAAATTTAGTTTCTAACATTATAAGGTAATACATTAATAATATATTAAATAAATATATAAATATATAAAAAAGATAATATATCAATAATATATTAATTAATAATATATTAATTATATAAACAATATAATTATAAACAAGATAGGCATTTTTACACAAATTTTGATGAATTCATTCATCCATACAAGCAAAATTTTTGGTGAAAACCAGCTAGTCAGCTGGTAATCAGCTGGGAATCACAAGCAATACGACATAAATTGCTAATTTAAACGATTTATAATTAATTTTAACGATTGGCAGTAAGCAGTGATCCTTTTCCGAAAATTTGCTAAGAATATTCTAAATAGACTTAAATCAAAAATAGAGTTTGGCTAAAATATTATACTTTGTTTTACAGGTAGCTTAAGCATCAATTCTTTATCAGCAACGGTGGAACCCAATGTCACTTCTTATCAATTTGATAATCTTATTGGTAATACCACCTATCGTATAAGCGTTGAAGGATTTTCAAACGATCGAAGTGTATTGTATACTAGCGCTATGATTTCGACGTCACTAGCCGGTAAGCAAGTGATTTGACCACTTATTTAGAACATATTTTATTTGTAATAAATAAATATTTTCTTTTAGTGATTACTATTGATGGTTAGAATTGCTCCGCTAACTTGTAGGACCATACAAACTTTGCTAGGGGAGTTATTTGCCGATAGAGTTTCAAATACATTGGCAGTAAAACCAAATTTTTGAAAGATGGCTTTATTCTTACCAAGACAGAAGGCCAAGATCGGCGCTAGGAAATGGGAATTTTATAACCGATATACGTATAATTTTGCGCATTGCAAATGTAGCAGTATAAATTGGTGTGAAACATCGCAAATTGGTTCAGAATTTTTACTTATTACTAACTTTATGTTTGAACGTTGTGTGAAAATTGTACGACACATTTAATATAAAGGCACATGGCCCTTGCCATATCTCATCATACATTTCTGTTTTAATGATATTGCTCTGAAGGTGCATCAATTCATATCTAAACTATAGTGTTAAAGTGGCTACCAGCTCCGTCGGACATAACTTTAATCGATAAATCATGGGATTTCATGGAAATTCGCTGGACGGCGCCAATAGTTGCTTCTGCCAGAACTCAAGCAATGATCAATCAGCACTTGGTATGCCGATGCCTTTTAAATTATCGTATAGAGCATAATTTCTTGCCTTTATTTTAAAAAGGGTTATAACAGTCAATGGTTAATTTATGAATAGACAATAGAACTATGGTTCAATAGCTGTTTAGTGCAACTAATAATAATATTTTGTAAAGACTCGTGATAATTTCGATAATTTACTAATAGGAATAAAATGAAATGGCAAGCAGCACAAATCACAAAATGCATTTATTTTTTATCTTATCCTTATCTTCACTTAATCATTATCTTATCTTTACCTTCACTTAAATAAAATCTAAGTGTTCCTGCACAATTATTATTATCCAGGTGAATTTATTTGAATTTAACCATATTACGAAAACTATCACTCAGCGATACAAATTGTCTATACAGTTACCGACGACGAAAGTTACTTTTCTAAATTTGGATCCGCGAACTGTTTACAATGTAACCATTCAGGTAATATAATGGTTGATTCCCAAAAAATTAGTTGCGCATGTGCTAAGCTTATTTTCCTACTAACTGATTTAAACAATGAAACGATTCGCCGAATCGGATCGTCACGATGGGCCTCTCCGAACTTCCGCTGATGTTATTTTTCCATTTATACTTCTGCCTTTGTATGCCTATAAGTATTATTTAAACGTATTAATGCTCCGTACGATGATAGGGGGCATTCAACAGAATATCCGCCAGCGTGCCTATTCTCTCGAGTCGAATCTGGATATTCAATTAATTTAAAAATGTTTTTAGCCTCTAAAATTTGCTGAAATTTATTAGAACTTTAGTTTCCTGTCAATTTATTCACTGTTTAAACTTTTAAATATTTTAAATTATAATGGAATAATTGAGTAACAAATCTTTAAAATCTAATTCTGCCTTTACGATAGTTATTTGCATGGTTGCTGGATTTTCACCAGTTGCAACTTTTGGTTATTGCTTATCAAAATATCATTACTATATCCAATAAACGATAGTTGAAAGATTTCTATAATTCCAACTAAATTATTCATTTACTAATAGGCGAGTACAGAATTCGGTTATGGCGATCTTGGTTGGGCAACTTATTCCACTCTCGACGTAAATGAAGACTTTATTTTACGTTTGAAGACTAGAACTCCAAATTCACTTACCATTAAATGGCCGGCATCATGGTTCGATACTCCATCAACGAGATACACAGGAAGTACATTTGTTATATAAAAATGTCTAAAAATTGTTATGTAAATCTTTGCTGATGAAAATATAGAAAGGAACGAAAGCTAAGGCGCATGGACAAATGTCGATTATTGCTACTTGGGTATGCTATAATATTGTTAATCTATAGTATAAAGGGATTTTTTTTCATCAAAAAAATATTTTAAATGTAGAATCATTTTTTGGCTGCAAATTGTCATATAAGGCTGCAATGCCTGATGTCGCAGTAAATTTGATTTCAGGAGAGTTTGCCGATACCTCTTTACTTTAGATTCGAGCAAGAATACTGCATTCCATAGTCGGATCTGAGAAAGAAATTTCGATCAGCAGCTATAATGATGGTCATGTTCCGGAGCACCTCTTGCATGATTTGGAACCTGGAGCAACTTTTAATGTGACTCTGATTTATATAATGGAAGTTTGTATTCCAATATTCAAATGGAAAGTTTTGTTGAAAAAACCTGAAAAAATAAAACTCTTATTTTTCAAAATTTCTAATTTCTACTAAGCAGTGCAAAAAATTTCTCACCATCAACCAAAATTTTTCTTTTTCGTTTTTTTAGCATCATTTAAAATTTTTAAGGTACCGCCCAAGAAGGCCATCTTAGGTACCAAATCATCTTTATCAGTTGTCAGGCAGAAAAGTGCATGGGCTGTATTTTCAACTCTGCAACAAGGTTGATGATGAAAAATTTTAGACGTTATTATAAATGAAGTGAAGTTAATGAAATAAAATCATGGATTTGATTGTGTAGGATTTTTGGATTTATTGAGGTTTGATTCTTAAGATTCAGAGAGCAACAACTATTGCTATATAACTGAACAATTGTTTTGGCTATATCGACATTGGACTGAAAATTTACAGTGGAGAAATTATTCCATGAATAAAATTTTTCAGGTGAATTCGTTGTTGAGGAACCACGTGTGGCAGCTGAAACTGATGCAGCTGCATCAATCGTTTGGCATAAAATTCTTCATAAACAGAGTGTTTATTATCAGGTAGTTTATTCGAGTATTTGTTCTCAAAGAATATCCGAACGATTGTACTTAATCATCGTTGAAAAGAGGCGATTCATTTATTAAATGCGTCGACTTAGTTATCTTCAGAAATTTTCACAAATACTGTATTAACTGTATTTTCAATTACTGTATTTCACCATAGTTGTATTAGGTTCGCTATTCAATAAGTGACGAAGATATTGCAAATGTGCTAGATCCTCAACCAGAATCAGCATTACAATGTCCCAAAGTTGGTTGTGATTGGCTATGCCTCTTAATATTCAATTTGGCAGAAAATCCAAGAGAATACACGTTTGATATTCGAGCTCAAGTGGCCGGCGTATGGAATAAATGGGTTCCTATAGCAAGAAGGTATATGTCTTTTCCATCCGTCAATTCTCGTCTTATTTTATATTTCTATAGTCAAATATTTTCAGAGAATTTATTAATGAAATTTAGCAAAATTATTTTTTATTTTTGCGTTCAACAAATATTTTGAAAATACCATATTGGAAAAACCATATCGATTTTATTCGATAAATTGTCATTTCCTTAAGATTTTTGATAATTTTCATTTTTTTGAACGTGGAACTTAATGGAACGAGTGTGTAGCATTAATCCTCCACTTTCATTCGTTGCAAATATTGGAAAAAGCGATTTTATGCGAGAAATTGTTATCGAGAAAGATAGTATGAATGATCCCAATGTTTGGTCAGTTAAAACTCAGTTATTATTTATGTAGCCTTTTTCTATTTGTGAAATTAATGATCTGCATGGTTTTCTTTTCTTTATGACAATCGCAATTTGGTTGGTACCACTGCGTCTCATGCAATCTATTTTTTTGTTTCATTTCCCAATATCTCAAAAAAATTTCTTAGTTTTTTTTAATCGATGTTTGATGAAAAATTTTCTTCTTAAATTTCATTTATAAACCAAAATTAACTCATATGCATCGTCTCTTTTTCTTTTTTTTTTTACTTTAAAATGCTTGAATAAATTCATCAGAATACTCCTTAATTGAATATATTCAGGAAATATTTGGTGGTGATTGACAGGCGTGTTGAAGGCGACATTATTGGGGCTGTCGACATTTCACGCCTTAGCGATAAAGTAACATCGGATCATGAAAATATACCATATTATATAACGGCTGCATTGATACCAGAATATTTTAATTACAAAATACCATTCAGGTGGAAATTACTTGAAATAAAAAAGTTGTCTTCATGTAAAATATAAAATTATTTTAAATATTTTTAATTTAATTAATTCTGAATGGCTTAAGGGTATGGCTTATATAAAGTATTTGGGGATAGAATGGCTTAGTGGGCTGTTGCTCAATTGGAAGTGCCGATGCTGAGGTTCGATTCCTCGCAGGAGTAAACCTGTGCAAAAATCCGGATAATGCTGACGAATCACTTGTATTTCTATCACCGAGGGACTCCCTGGCATATTTGTCCAATGCGACAAGCCAGCGGAGCGAGTTTAACCAGTAATGATGAGGACTCTTAAAAAAAAAATATATGTATATTAAGTATTTGCATAGTATTTGTTGACTTTACTTTACAACTTTGACAACTTCACAACTTTTCTCTAGCACATTAATTGTCTCAACGATTATTTAATCATACGTCTGTGAAAGCCAACGGTAAGATATAACAATAAATGATAAGTACAATATAAATCTGGATCAAATTATGATTGAATAATACAGAATTGGAGATGGCCAAGTATATGGAGGCTATTTAAATTACCCATTGGATAAAGGACTAAACCCACGATGGTTCCTCATACCTCTCTCACAGACCGAAAGTGAAATAATGGAGCCTACACTCAAATACTGTGGTTTTCGTGAAGATGGTTACCGCTTTTCTTGATTTTTTTGCACAGATTTCTTTTCATGGATTGAATTTCCTATATCTCTAGCACTGCATACTATGACTAAGAAAAATAGCGATAATGGGAAAAGAGGACCAACCAAAATGAAATCTTTTCTTATTGATATGTTTTATTATTGTTATCATTATTGTTATTATTATTATCATTGTGATAAAAAATTATGACCATCATTCTAATTCCCTGAACATTCGCGTTGTTTTGGCCAATCTTGATAACAGTACACCTCGGATATTATACTAATTTCAGGTACAATCGAATGTGAACTGTCTGTTGCACAATTATTGAGTTTTGTACCTTGGTGGCTTGGCTTACTGGTTTCGTTAATTATCATTTTCGTTATGCTTCTTGTTTTGCTGATCATTTTCAAATTTTTTCAGCGGCAATTTTGCAAGTTTATTGTTTCATTTTTTGTAAAATAAAAATCGAAAAATTTTTTTCTTCTAAAAGCGATTTTTTAATGGAAAAATTATTTGTTTCTATTTTGGTATTCGTATCGGAAATATTTATTTAAAAAAGGTAGTTTTAAGTTTTTATGGCATAAAAAATATGAATTCATTTTAAAATTAATATAAAATCTAAAAACAAGAACTTTTAAATATTGAATGTGCATCCGGGGAAAAAAACTCTTTAGTCTCCTCTAAAATCACGAAAATTTTATCAAAAATTCTGCCAATCCCCTCTGGCACCTTCTTGCTTCTCTCATCCAAAATTCCCTTCACACCGAAATAACTTTACTTTACAACTTTGACAACTTCACAACTTTTCTCTAGCATATTAATAACATTTTATCTTAACCTATTAAAATATTCTTTAATAATATCTTCACCGTACATAACCGTCTTTCAGGTCCTGCTAGACCTTTCTAACAATAAATTGTCTTTTATATCCATCTCAGCGCCAAAACAAATCTCGCAATATCCCTCGTTAATGATATGCAATAAGCCCCTTTCTGCCTTCTTAACCTTTTAGATAATGCTGTGCTTCCTCGACATGTTTCTCTTGTTACAATCCCTCACATTCCCAAAATGCTTTCGTCTCCTTTTACACACTGTTTATTTAACATCCCACTAAGCGTGTTTTTTTAAAACCACATCTTTCCTCCTTATCTTATCTCCTTTCTTATTTTATGTCAACTCCGAAGAGCTCTTTTAATATACTAATTTTTAAAAATTTTCCATGGTAATTTAATATATATTTTGCAAGGTACCTTCTTAATGCCATATTATCAAACAATGGTACACTTTAGCCAATGAAAAAATAAATAACGCTAAACTAGTTGCGTTGGCTGCTAGTACGGTTAGAAATTTTCGCTAGGGAATGACTTAAGAAGTACAAGTAAATTGGCAGGGGTTTTTTTAAATAGCAGATTTATTTCTGCCGGAGCTAGGAAATACCATTTGAGGAGTTACACTTCAGCCAATGACGCAGTTAAAAGTTATTTGATAAAATTGCTTAGAGTTGTGACACGAAGTTTATTGGAAGCACTTTTCATTTAACTTGCCAATGCTATCTAAAAAACCCATTATATAACCTTAAAATTTTTTTAAATCTTCATCACATCTTTTCCTCCTTTCTTATAGTCCTTTAAAAAGCTGTTTAAAACTGTTATGCTACCAATAATTCCCTTTTAACTCTCATTGTTTTTCCTCTAATATTCTTTCAAAACTCTACCATATTCTTCAATCTTATTTCCTTTAGATTTACAAAGCCTTATTCCCCCAGTCCAAATCATATTCTTAAAATCTTGTCATATGCGATTAATAAAATTGCCTCTCCTCTTTTCCCCTCCCCCATCCACCCTCCGTGCTAACTTAACTCTCTAAGATACCATTATGGTCCTTAAAAATTTCTTCAAAATCTGTTCATAATATTCCATGCCCTTTCACTCCTATTTGATCATAACCAAATCCCATTGTATTCTTTTACCAAATACCTAGCAGTAACACCATGTTGACTCCGTTAAGCGCTGTGATAATGTCCTGTAATTGGTGAGATGGAGGGATGATTTGGTGTCAAAGAGAATAATGAGGATTAGATGAGAACAGTGGAGAAAGATTTGAAGAAAGAATATGATATTCAGAACTATGATGAATTTGAGGGCTGACTCATTAAGATATATATGCGGTTATCCATTTCCTGCTTTCCCTAGAGGCTATTATTGAAAGTATATATGTTCTTCAAACTAAGTTTTCTATTATGAGGCCTAATTTTGCACTTATCTGCATTGATATCAGTGCTTAGAAAATGAGGAAGAATTAGATAAAATGATAAGAAAAATTTCAGCGAAGTTGCATTTAATTAAAATTTCGAATTTTTTAAGATAAAACTCAACTTTTAGGTAATACTGCGAAGGAAGAAAAGCCCACTGTTAAGGATAAACGCTCAGAATATCCAACGAAAAATAAGCAGAAGAAGAAACAAATGAGAAAAATCCAGCAATCCCCATCATTAAAGTCAATGAAAAACAAAAGTGAAGATGAAGAAGAATCTATTATTAGTATTGATTGACGTATGGTACTTATAGTAATCTTATAATTTTATACATTCATACATTTATACATTTTGCTTATATATTTCGTGCTGTTTTTTCGCTATTATATTCTTTCTTAGTTCCTTTTACGTTCATTTTTTTTATATTTTCTGTCTCAATCTTTTGTGTCAATACATTAAATTTTGTTAATATAAAATAAATTAAATTAACAAAATAAACAAAATATGCTTTGAAATATATATGAAATATATATATATAGATATAAATCTTTGAAAATCTAATTTTATCGTTTTCCTTTTCCTTGATTTTCCTTAATTAAGAAATTTGCGATATTCAGAACCATTATTATTATCATTATTATTATTATTATTATTATTGATATTACAATGCTACTTCTTATTAAATGCATCGTGATAATTTTCTCTCAAAATTATCTTGCTAAACTGAATTATTAATCATCTTTAATAAAATATACGATTGTCAAGCGGTTGACTTTTTGGCCTTTTAGGATCTTCTTTCTTCTTAGTCAATTTTTTAATTATTCAATAAGCTACATTGGCTTTTAATTCTATTTTAATTTATATAATTTAATTTATATAAGCAAAATTTTTCATTTTCATCAACGTTTTAAGTAATCGCAAGATTTCAATTTTTTAAATCTCCATTCTAAAATTTATAAATTTATTCGCATTTATTGAATAAAAAAAAAAATCTTAGATTTTATTTTCTTTTTTTAATAATATAATAATACATAAAATTTATTTCGTTATAATATCGTTAATCAAAAATTTCTTTAGCATTTTTCATTCGAAGTTAAACGAATTTACTGTGTTAATAAAACATCGAACAATTTATAATTTAATCTTATTTAACAAATGAAAAACAATTTATAAAATTTATAAAAGCCTAATAAAAAAAAAATTTGACAATTGATTCAGCGCATCCAAAATTGATTCCAATGAATAGAATATTTCATAAAATCCTTTATTTATGAAGAAATAAATAGTAATAAAATACTGAAAATGGTTCGATTTATTGTTTTATCGAATTTTTTAAGAAAAATTTTACTATTCGATTATTATTTTAGAAACTTTTTAGAATGAAAATAATCGCTCTAAATATTCTCAAAAATTATAAAAAAATTAAATTCTCTGAATAGATCGAACCATTTGTTTATTTCCTCGACATGTTGGACTAAGATATGGTAAAATAATTGCTGCTGGAATAGTAAATGCATTATTTAAACGATCTTTACGAATTAATTGCATTTTTGTTGCTTCCAATTTTTTCATCTTCAGTCCAGTTTGTGTATATATAGGTGGGAAAATCCATGGGAAAAAATAATCTCTGAGAATCCACAAATTAAAGATGAACCAAGAAACCAAACAAACCAAGCCAAATACGTAGTAAACATGACCACGATATTCATTAAGATTCAATAAATTGCTTATCTAATGTATTTTATATTATAGAAAAAATTAGAGGAAAAAAAAATTTTTAATGTTATAAAATTCTTTTTAAAATAAAGTTAAGACGGAAAAAAAGTCGCAGAATAATTTCGAATTTTCGTCATAATTTTCCAATGTAAAATTATTTTTTAACAAAACTCTTATCATAAGAAATTTTTCAATTATCAAAAACTCTTGAAACTGTTTTTTCTTTTTTTTTTAGAACAACGACTGAAAAAAATTAATAAGAAAAAATTATAAAAGTTTATAGAGTACAAAAAATTTCTTTGCCACAAAAGACTTTTAAAAAAATTCTGTGAAGTAAAAATTTTGAAAATTGATAATGGCGAAGTATTGTATGGATTTATCATATTTATGGCCAAAAAAGATTTAATTGAAAAATTTTTGCATATTTATTTGCGGTTTTTTTTCACTAAGATCGCTCACCATTTCTAGATAAGCTGGCTTAATAGGCCAAGCAAATTTTGCCAGCGAGTCACTTGGTGATAGAAATGCAGGTGGACCGTTAGTATCACTTGAATTGCTGTGAATAGCCTAGCTCTAGCGCTCCAAAATGAGACCAACAATCCGTTGAGTCATTTCATCCGCTATTTGCGCTTTTAGGTAAATTCGTTTTTTATCGTAAATAGAAAATGTTTTTAAGCGAATAAGTTTAAAAAAAAAAAACCTTAAAAGGAAAAGATAAATTTGATGTCGAATCGAAATTTAATTTTTGGTTATCCACTTTCGCTATTAATAGAATCGCCGAGATTCGCCAGTTTTTTTATAGTTTTTTTGTCTTACAATTATATAATTAATAAAAATAAATACGCTAATAAGATTATGCGAAAATCTGAAATTTATTATTCAATAAATTTGAATTTATGGAAATTAATTTAAAGAATAAATTAAAACTCTTAATTAATTTGTTTCAGATAAAAATTGGGATAAATTGGGATAAATGAGGAATTGAGGTTCTTAATTTTCGCGCATAATCGCCCATCATTAAAAGTAAAACTAATCAAACAATAGCGGTAACCATTTCTGATAAAACTCGCCCCTTTGGCCACTAGTATGACGAGAAATTTTTCCTAGAAAGCCAGTTGGCGATAGAAATGCAACTGAAACACGACTCGAATTTTTAATGATAAGTTGATCTCCATAGGCTACAGGGTCCAAACGCTTGAAATTTATTCGGCTAACAACTGTATTCTTTCAGCGATCCCCAACCAGTATCGTTTATAGAATAGAATATTTCATACCACACGTATGCTTATTAAGTAAGATTTTAAAATGAAACAGTGTGGTACTATAAAAATTATATTCAACACTGCAATACTACTTTCAGCATTACAAACCATTTAATAAAAAAATAAAAATCGAAGAAAAAGATTGATAATATGAACAGAAGATCATCAAATGAGCAATGCGGTCGAGCGAGTCTGATAAACTCAAATAAAATTTCCCGAATTAACTAAATAGAATTTTCTATCAAGCGAGTCAGTTTTAATTAGAGTTTTTGTATTGTATATTTTATAAAATTAGAAATTTAAATTTAGAAATATTAAAGTCGCTTTTTGTTCTATTAAAATTCGAAAATAATAGCAATTTTTTAAGGTCATTTAATGAATAGCAATCGTTAAGAGATTTCACATTTAAAGGATAAAAGAAAATTAATGAAAACATAAATCGAGTTGCATTGCTTCAACATGCAAATTTAATCAAAAAAATATTTTAGAAGATATTTTTAGAAAATTTATTTTAAAAAAACAATTTCTCATTTTCTTAATTTAATATAAAAATTTCGTATTTAATTTATTATGAAATTGCGATATTTCGTTGATTTACTGATTATAGACACTCGAAACGATAAAAGGTAATATTTATTTAAGGCAATTTAAACCAAGCATGCAAATATGGTTGGTTTACTAATAAGAATAAATGAGGTATGTGATTGAATTAGGTGAATTATAGCAGTTTTCAAAATCCCATTAAAATCTTGCAAAGCAGGAGTTTTTTAAGAAAAAAAGAGAGCAAAAAGGATCATTGCATATTTTAGGGGGGACGCAAAGTTACAATTAGGTGTAGATAAATGAAATTTCAATTGTTTGCCGTTTATTTTTTAAAGTGGTTCGAATTTGGGCTTTTTATTCTAGGAATTATAAAAATTATGTTTTCGGTTGAATGGAACGTGATTTTCTAATTTTATAATTTTTGAACTTGTTTTTTCCATTTTTATGCCATTTTTAATAAAAACTGGAAAAAATAGTTGTTGGTACAATATGCAGTAAGACTGTATGAATGTTGCCTGTTACACAGGATTAAACCGGTTAAATAAATGGTACAGTGGTACAATTAGCTTTAAACTAGATTTTACCTATTGATGCGAGTGAACTTCATTTTTTAGAAAAATCTTTTGTTAGGTAAATTTTATAAGAATGCTGAGTGCATGTAGCGCATGCATTATCCTGCGTTCGATTCGACTTATTTTCCTTGATAGAATGCAACCATTAAAAGCGAAGGCGAGACGATGGAATTCACCGGCAATTCATTCCCACAGGCAACTGCCTAGTAAAGTATTCACATCCAGAGATATCCAGTTGAGCCAGCCAATTCAGAAATGTGTCAGTGTTGCTCGAAGTTAATAGGAGTGCATTTTGGAATAATTTAGTTATTTACTTTTTTTCACCGACTAAATATTCCTTCCTCTAAACGTAAAAAATAATTCACTTATTTAATTCATAGATAGAATTCATATGATTCTGAAACGGTAAGCAAGTGTGCGAAGTAATTTTTTAACGTTCACTTTTTCTGGTTATGCTAATTCAACTAACTGCACATACGATAAGAAATTCATGAAACACAGGTGGACCGCTAGTAGCACCGCAAATTTGTTTAATGGCAGGCATATTTCCGTAGAATGCACTGAATCTTTCCCTTTGCCTTTTAATGATTACAGCGGTCGCATCTATCTATTCATTCAGCTATCTTAACTCTAATTCTGCAAAAAAAACTCATTTTTAAATTCGATAATTTACATCCTATTGATAAGTACTTTTTATTAATGTTTAGACTTTTTAAATAATAATTAAATAGACTTTTTTTTTCATACAAAAAAATGCTTCTAAATTAGAGTAAATTCAATTTTCGTCAGCATACGATGTCTTTTTTTTTTATGTTGTAGAGTGTAACAAAGTGTTACACTCTATTCGAAATTTTAAAGAACTGTTAAGATAACTATGTTAAATCTTTCTTTATCATTATTCGCTTCAAAAATTTTAAAAAAAGTGCCAAAGTTTTTAAATTAACTATAAAAATTATTTTATCATTATTAAATTATCATTATTACTAAAATATTTAGCAAATAGAAGACACAATAATTTTTAAAAATATTTTTAGCTTTTTAGTTTAGCAAATTTCATAGCTATAATTTCAGAACTGAAAAAAAAAAATTATAAATCCAGAAGATGAGATTTTAGTTCGTTATTAAATATGTAATTATCAAATATTATTAGTAAATTTTCACTGTTAGTACTATTATTATTATCATTATTATCAATTATCACAATTATAATCGCAACTAGAATTATAATTATCATTATTATTATTACTTATTGTTATTATTACTATTATTATGCTGCAATTATAAATAGTTCAGTGCTCTATGGGAAAGTAATTTAATTGGCTCATATAAACAGAAAAAGCGATATTCTGTAGAAAATTTTGATTTTACCTCCAGAATTTTTGATAATTTCATTGTGTCAGCGATTATTTTCATAGTAAATATTATTTAATAGTATTTACAAATCGGTCCACATAATAGACCAAAATTTGACCTATGAACCGATCAATATAAAAGCCATATTTTGACCTATGATAAGTCATATTTAACTAACTTATGAACCAAGCAGTTCATTTGCGTTGGTAACCTTAAATTTTTTGGCAATCTTTTGTATCAATTCATATTTAAATTTTACCAATTTTTCTTTTTTAATTTATTTCTATATTATCATTTTTTTTCCATGTTTACCTACACATATATTTTCGAATATTTGATAAAATTATTATCATGGAAGATTAATACATATTTTTCCTATTACATTGTCCGTTTTCGATGCCAAATTTGGAGCCAATCGAATCGTCACTCATAAGGAGGTCTTTACAGATTTTTTAGGAGATTTATGTTTGGCGAAACAAGTAGAATTCAACTTGACTCTTTTGGCTCTTTTTATTTAGAGGAAAATAAAAAATATAATATAATTAATAAATATAATATAATAGAAAAATATTATACATTATAATATTATAAAAATATTAAAAATATTTATAATAATATATTATATATTTATTATAATATATTATATTATATTGTAAAAAATATCAAAAATATTATAGAAAAATATTATACATAAAATTTCACTCATTTAAATCTTCAACAAATATATACATTAATAAAATTTCAAATTTTATAAATATTCCTTACAATATGCATAATTTCGATTAAATATAAGTAAATTAAAGAATTTCATGTGAACAAAACAATTTAGAATGGTACTTAATGAGTTGGTTGGTTTCATTTTGGAATGCCAAGCTACTAAAATTTTATTTCTGATAGAAATAAATAAACTTGTGTTTTCCTTATCAAAAATTCGCGTACCGCTATATCCCTCCATCCATCCATATTTCTATCGCCAAATAATTTGCCTGGCAAAAATGAACTCGACAAACCAACTGAGTCTGTCGTTCACAACGAATTGTAAGCGTTATTAGTTCAAAAAAAAAACAACACGAACGAAAGAAGCAAACGACCGACCCCACACGTTGTGTGATATCTATTTACATTATTCTCGTTACTGATTGTTTGTTTCTTTTCGATTTCGAAATCACCATGAAATTTTTTCGTATAAATAATTATTTAATTTTTAAGAAAAATTAATTTTGTATATTAGATTTAATAATATAATTTCCTATATTATTTTTATTATTATTCATTCGTTTTGCTAATTTTTCATTGAAAAAATATTTTTTTTTTTAATCGAATTTTGATATTTATTAAAATTTAATATTTATTAATATTTCAATATTTACCAAAGTTTCACAAATTTTTTAAAAAGCAAATTAAAATCGAATAGAATAGAATGCTGTTTAGTCGACACAATGAATATATAACCAGTTGAGAGTGGAATGAATGGCTCAGTGGGTTGTTGCTCAATTCGAAGCGTCGATACTGAGGTTCGACTCCCCGCTAGCGTAAACTTGTCCAAAAACTTCGGCTGATAGTTTTATCGCTAAGCGACTTTTTCGTATGTTCGCGATAAGCCAGCCGAGCGAGTTTAATCACTAATGGTGTGGGCTGTTGAAAAAAAAAAGCAACCGTTTGACGATAGCATTTCGCATTTTTTTATTTAAACATTTTTCTCGCTTCAAAATTTATTTATCTTCTTTAGAAAAATTTTTCTTATATTTTTATCATACAAATGTGCTAAAATATTTTAAATTTTGCTTAAATAAAAACAATAACGAGTGGTAAACAAATGAAATTACTTAAACCTAATATATCATTTTGAATTTTATCATTTATATTATCAGTTACTGAAAAAAGTTATTTATTTATTTGATAAAAATTTATTTTTGGCTTGAGTTTTAAAATTCCTTAAGCACTTAATTCGTCGTCAATCCATATTATTTTTCGTTAGAAGCAATTTTCAATAAAGCGTTACTTATTTATTTTGCTTATTTATTTTCATTTTTCTCTAATCGACAATAATATTTTTTTAATAAAAAAAATTATCAATAAAAAAATAATCATGAAAAATAAAATAAATTTGATCGTTATCATCGTAAAATCTCCTACAAATTATCTCTCTCAATATTTTCGATCATTTGATATTTCTGCTTCGATTTATTCGCTATTCGAATGTTTCATTAAAGAAAGTTATCACTTGAAGGTTTTCAATTGCTTTTCCATACTTATTACCCATAAAAGAATATGAAACGATCCTCGCGATTATTTGACATTAATCGACCTCAATTCGCTCGCTATTTTTCGCCATTCTTTCGTATTTAGCATTTTAAGCATTTGCTATAATACATAACGAGTTTTACTTCGCTCCAGTTTTTTTTCATTCCGCAATCGATTATTAAATTTCATTGATTTTCGATTTTCATTAGTTACGTTTCTTTGTTGTAAAAATTTGATGTTTAGTTGTTATAATTTATTTATATTAAAGTTAGGAATTGTACGAATAAACTGAATTAAGTAAATAAAGTTATTAATTGTTAATAATTGAATATTAAATAATTGCAATCGCTGACTATTGCTCGCCATATAAATTGAAATAATTTGGAGAATTAGTCGTTCATATATGACAATTGCGAGTTATATTTATTATATTTTCTTTTTATGATAAAATAATAGGTATTTGTTTAAATGAAGCAAATTTTTTAAGAAATTTTTCACATTAAAAATTTAAATTATTATTCCGATGAATGATATTTAATGTATCGATGATCTCCATTAAATTCACTTTATTCACAATTTTATTCGAAATATTTTTCTTTCTCAAAATAATAAATATTACGGGCCGCGGGCCGTAATATTTATTATTTCGTTTGTATAGAATCATGAAAAACAATGCGACAACTAAAAATATTTGTTATTGTGTATAATTAATTTTCTTTTACTGCTCGGAACGTTGCTATTACAACTTTGTGGCTTTTCTAAAACGTTCGTTTCGACACTAATAGAAAAGTTTAATCGATCGTCGAAAAGTTTCTCCGAGTTTTGCCCCATTGAAAAGGAAAAAGATTGATGCTGTATGATATTGAACGTCGTTTTGTTCACTGAGATGACTCTCTTTCTAATATTCGCTTTATGAAATGAGGAAAATATCGAAGAAAATCCTATTTTCACATTTCTTTTAATTGTTCTTTGTAGAAATCTGAACAAAAAAAAAAAAAAAGCGATTCGAAATTACAGAATTAAGGGTGATTGATGGGTTTCAATAGACGAAAAGCAGAGGCGAAAACGTGGCCCGATCATCTTTTTTTTGCGGTCCATTAGAACTTTTCGTCGTTTATCATATTTTGTATTGATTTCGATAAAAAGAATCGATCTAAAATGATAAACATTGTAGAGATTAGTCTTTTTATTTTCAATTATTTAATTTTATCTATTCGAGCATTTTCGTTTAACTCGTATGGGCTTAATTCGTGTCGCTTGACGGGGAAATATTGCTCGTTGAAGGTGGAAATCGAAGCACATTTTACGAACCAACTTTTATCATTAATTCTCCAACAAAACATCTTTTTTTTTTTTTTAAGACTCCTCACCATTACCGGCTAAACTCGCTCCGCTGGCTTGTCGCATTAAACAAATATGACAAGTAGTCCCATGGCGATAGAAATACAGGTGAGTCGCCAGCATCACCCGGATTTTTGTGCAGGTTTACTCCTCCGGGAATCGAACCTCAGCATCATTTGAGCAACAACCCACTGAGCCATTCTATCCCTCGAAAAAACAGTTCTAATGGAATTCATTTAAGTGAAATTATTCAACATTTCTTTAATAGGACGACAATCGTATCAATTAAAACTCGTTGATTTGAAGAAAATTCAAATCAGTGTAATTACCTCTAAGCGATTTGAGCTACCATTTTCTAGAGCTTCGTAACAGTGCGGCAGCACTCAGCATTTTCGCTAATTTTCGTTTAGCCAAGTTTGGCCATTTACAATGATAACAGTGAGGTAGAATTATTTCGGATGGCCGTCTAGGGACACATTTCTTCTTATATTTCAATTTTAATTTCCAATGAGGTGAATTTATAATGCTAAAATAATAAACGCCGTTGTTTAATGACATTTAAAGGGCGTTGTTTTTATTTGAGTATCAATCCACATTGATCGTTGATATCAAATCATATCGAAAATCGGAAAAATCAAATATATTTGATTAAAATAAAAAATATATAAATGAATTTATAACTGATAACGAGAAATAATCATTTTTTTTGTATTCTCTTTAATAAATTTTATAAATATTATAAAAAAATTTTTATAACTTATTTTATGCAATAGAATTTATTCGATATTTTAAATCACCAAGCAGCTCTTATCACTGCCATTTGTTTTATTATTTTAAAAATTTTACGATGAATATGAGAAATGATTTGGCTTCTTGGATTTATAGTGGTTTCTATTCGAATGGATCTTTTATTATTCAATGATAAATACCTTCAGAATATTATAATTATAATTTCAATTTTGTGCAAATATTTACGAGGAGCTGATTTTTTGTTATCACACAAAATTTATCATTATTATCATTTCTATTCTCTTGATACAATTTTTGCTGTAATATGATAAAATTCAATTTATTTGCTTTTTTTTTCTTTATCATTAATATTAATGTCATTTTCTTAGATAATTTTTGATGTAATGAGTGATTTAATGAAAAAGTATTATTTGATTTTTATATTGCTTTTCATTTAGATTCTCGTATTATATAAATGAATGATTGTCGATCGACAACAACAAAATTCTACTAAAAATTACTTTTTTTAGCACTAATTGGTAAAACAACGTGTCGCAACGATGCCGATTCTAACTGATTATGATAAGCGAAAGCAGATAAGCGTTCGTGGAATAGCACAAGTTGAAAATGTTGCAAATATAAAGAAAGCTTTCAATCGGCATCTCCATTTCTCTCTTATAAAAGTATGAATTTCTTTAATTTAATTTAAGTTTCTTTTTTATTAGTTATATTATATTTAAATTAATTTTGCTCTTAATTTCTTTTATCAATAATTTTTAAAATATCTTATTGAGGCATCTCTATATATGTTTAAAATCTTTTTTGTTGAGCTAAAAAAATCTCCTCGACTAATCGTTTCGTCAATTTTGACGCTATTCAATTCAAGAATTAGAAAAAAAACAATGAGTTTTTAGGATAGGAATGTCGCGACACCAAGGGATTATTATTTTGCTTTGGCGCATACCGTACGAGATCATTTGGTGAGTCGATGGATAAGAACTCAGCAATATTATTACGAAAAAGATCCAAAGGTATTTAATTTAATTTAAATATGCATTGAAATTTAAATTTACTAATTTTATTCATCGAAATATTTTTTTTTTATTTGGTAATGATTCGCTGTTTTCATTATTATTTTTGCATGAACGATGTGAGAGGATAACAGCGAATATCATTTGAGTTCTTGAGAAAATTGAAGAAGAAATTTCTTAAAATTGTGGTGACATGTATGTCAGTTTGCTGCTGCTATATGTTTTTTTATTTTGAGACTAGCCTGTGCAGTATTGAATAATGTGTTTACTTTAATACGTTTCAATATTGGTTGGTTTTAAAGAAAAAATGACAGGTTTTCGAAAAATTCTTCGAAATTTTTATGTTGTTAACCTTGGAATATCAGATATCAGCTAGCTCAACTGGTTGTTAATATGCTTAGAAATTTTTACCAAAGAATCACTTGACAATAGAAATGCAGGCCATCAGTACCATTCGGATTTTTTAATAACGAGACGAGAAAGATTTTTTAGTGAGTTCATATTCCTATCAGAGTCAAGAGTTCGAACTTATGTATAAGAAGCGAAGCAATCATGTTTAAAGGATGGTATAAAATATTACCTGATTCTTTAGCTTAAAGAAGAATTCTGTGACTTTAAGTATGTTGCTGTTAATCGTGCCATATTAAATTATTTTTCTACATGTGATAACGAAGGAGCTCGTCTGATAATTGTTGAATCTTGGAGACATCCATAAATTCTTTAGCAAATTTCTTCGAATATTTCAGCAAAAGGAAAGACGTTTGTTCTTCGAGTTGTTATTAATTTCAATTTGCTTGTAGCAATTCTCAATTTTTTAGTGATAATATTGGTTATAAATAACGATAAAGGAATTTGTAAATTAAAAACTCATTAAATAAATATTCATTAATCTTGCTTCATATTTTTTCAACTGAAAAAATGTATAAATCATATCTAATTATTAATTTGGAATATGGTCTGTTTAAGCGAGTGTATTATTTATCGTTGGAGTTTTACATGGGTCGTACACTTTCGAATACGATGACCAATCTTGGTGTGCATGCTGCTGTTGATGAGGCTCTTTATCAGGTATTTTCAGATTTGTCGGTTAGCGTTTACCGGCGTTTGTGAATGCTTTTTTAAATTTAAACCATAACCAACATAAATTAGCATTCACCTATATTTAGATTTATCAATATCAATAAAAATCTGTTTTGTCTTTTTTAATAAATTGACATTTGTCATTTGTTTTCACAGCTGATTAATTGATCATATTAAATTCAAACAGTAAATTCATCGCATAGCGGTAATTTCTTTGATATTTTTAATAAGTGCAGAAGTGCATTTTAATATATTTTTGCCTTAATATAATATAAAACGATTACAAGCGCAGTTGATTCAGCTTGGTTTGGACATAGAAGAATTGCAAGAGATCGAAGAAGATGCAGGTCTAGGCAATGGTGGCTTGGGTCGTCTTGCAGCGTGCTTTCTAGATTCATTAGCTACGCTTGGTGTTGCAGCGTATGGATATGGTCTTCGATACGAGTATGGGATTTTCAAGCAACTCATTCGTGAAGGATGGCAAGTATGCTTTTATTCTTTTGTTGCTGTTATTGCTTTTGTCACTTATTCTTTCAGCTTGAATAGACGTTACAATTTGATTTATTGACTAAATATATCGTTTCATTTTTAGATTTGAATTTTCACTCATCATTTGAGTTTCTGAACAAAAGAAAAATTCTAGTGTAGAAAATTTTTCTATAATTTCAATTAATATTATTGGAATCTTTGGAATTGGAATTTTTCATCATATGCGGCGAAGTATTTTTTTAAAATATTTTGTACTTAAGGATTTTAGTGAATGTTCATCAGTAGTTTTTGACTTAAATAATATTTTTAGGTGGAGGAGCCTGATGATTGGTTGCGTTTTGGCAATCCTTGGGAGAAAGCCCGTCCGGAGTATATGTTACCTGTCAATTTTTACGGCAATGTTGTAAAGAATGAAAGTGGAAAGGTCTTTACTTTCATTTTTATTTTAAATTCTTCAAAAATTATCGATGAACTGTGCTTGAATTCTACTCCCAACATGAGTAAAGTTGTTTTTCAAAAATTGGGTAGTCCTGGCGACACCTATATTTCTACCGCTAAGTGATTCCTCGGCAAAATTTCTTCCGATAAGACAGTGGAACGATCGCAAATAAAATATGTATATGAGCTCTTAGAAAAAAATTATGCATCAAGAGCAGCTTCAAAAGAGTAAAATTCCTTTTCATAATGTAATTGATTATTTTTTGGAGATTATAAAAACTTTTTATAAAACTTTTTTTTTATATTCTTGATATACAATTATGGATTTTAGAGCGAATGGGTTAATACGCAAGTTGTATTTGCAATGCCGTATGACACACCAGTTCCAGGCTATCGGAATAATATCGTTAATTCATTGCGCTTATGGTGTGCAAAAGCAGAAAACCACTTCCATCTCAAATTTTGTTTGTTTTCAGCTAATTTTTACTTTTTGAGAATGACCGGCTGTAATAAAATTAGTTTCCTAATAAAAATAATAATGTAAATATTAAATAAATCTAATATATATATGAAATCTAATATATGAAATTTTGCTTATCACGCTTGCTGACTTTTTTCAGTCAATGATGGCGATTACGTTCAGGCAGTGATGGATCGAAATTTGTCAGAAAATATTACCCGTGTACTTTATCCTAACGACAATGTATGCAATAAAATTTTATCATTTCTTTGTTTCGAGAAAGACAAATATAAAAATTTGAAATTCAATGAGAGATAATGCCGATGAGAAAATGTTGAATTTATTTCACAAATCAATGATTTAAGAAATATTTTTGGAGTTTGGCAGACTTCTTAAATATTTATTCAAGCGCATTCATGAATTTCGATTTATTTTGATTTCATCCTTCATATTATGGTATAGATATTCATTGGCAAAGAATTGCGGCTGAAACAGCAATACTTCCTTGTTGCTGCTACTCTCCAAGATATCATCCGTCGTTTCAAGTCAAGTAAATACGGTTGTCGAGATACAGTTCGTGGCACATTCGAAGCCTTTCCAGATAAAGTGATTTTTTTTCTTATTAACGGTATCAAAAATATTTCTATCTTCATTCCATGAAGAGTTTTGAATGAGTTTGCAATGATTTTTCCATAATATAAATTGCCAAAGCTATTCTTTGAAATTTCAAAATTTTTTGTAGCAAAAAAAATTTTTCGAGAAAAATTTTATTAAAAATTCATCAAAAATTTAGAAGTGAGGAAACTAATTATTTCAGCAATTCACTGTGCCTTTTAAATTTATTTAGATTTGCAATTTTTTTTGAGAGGAGGATTTTTTCTGAAATTTTTTTAGGTCGCAATTCAACTCAATGATACTCACCCATCAATTGGAATTCCTGAATTCATCCGATTACTTGTCGATATTGAAGGTAATTTTGATTAAATTTTGATTGTAGTTCTTAAGTATATTTTTTTCATGAAAGGTAAAAGAATTTTTTTTCTTTTCTTGTCCAATGGAAGATTAGCGATATGTTTCTCTTTTCTCCTTTTTGCTTTTTTTTTATTTATATGCTTCTTTTCTGGGTTATCTTTTCTTAGAAATTAATTTTTCATTTTGTTGAGGCTCATTATTTCCACCTTTCATTTTGCATATTTCAGGTCTTTCTTTTGATATTGCTTTCGAAATTTGCATAAAGACTTTCGCTTACACCAATCATACTCTTCTACCTGAAGCACTGGAACGTTGGCCAGTTTCCTTGCTAGGAAATCTTCTTCCTCGGCATCTGGAAATCATTTATCAAATTAATCAGGTTTTTATGGATGTATGTTTTGAACGTATTGGGAAAGTATAATCGAGATTTTTTTATTAATTTAACGTTGTAGGCATTTTACTATTATTTTTGCTTAACATTGACGGTGGATAACTTTTTTTTTAATTTTTCGCCTATAATTTTTCGTTTCTTTGAATTTTCGAAAATTTTGGTCGATAATTGTATATGCAAGATATAATTCAAAATACGTTTCACGTTTTAAATTCTATTTTCAGGAAGTGGCAAGGAAATATCCGGGTGATTTCGATCGTATGCGGCGTATGTCAATTATTGAAGAAGCTGATGATTTTGGCGAAAAACGTGTTAATATGGCTCATTTGTGTATTGTATCAACTCATGCCACAAATGGAGTGGCCGAACTTCATTCAGAACTTCTCAAAAGCACAACGCATGCTTTTTTTCACACGCATTACAAATATAGATTCACAAATATAAAAAATTCGCTTTGTTATTAACCCTTTTAATTGTCGTTCAGAGGTAGTATTACTTGGTTTTAATTTAGGTTCAAAGATTTCCACGAATTTTTCCCTGGACGATTCCAAAATAAAACGAATGGGATAACTCCACGTCGTTGGCTTCTACTATCTAACGTATCGCTCGCGGATGTCATTTGTGATGTGAGTGATGTCTTCTGATTTCGTTCTAAAATCACTTTTCTTAAGAAGCTTAGAAAAATTACCGACTCCAGCGTTTCATGAATAATAATTTAATACGAATTGATATTGAAATGTACATGGTTAAACTATGGTGAGGTGATTATCCGCAATGCCTGGCGTGAAATGAGCAGTTGTTGTCTATCACTTGTTTTCCCAGCTTTATTCTGCTGCTTTGAATGCCACTTTACTGCATATGGTTTTAATACCTATAGCCAATTATATAGGTCTATTCCCTTCTGTTATTTATTTATTTGGTTAGATTAAAGCAATCGTCCGACTGTGAACAAGTGGTATGTAAGCAAACAATTTGAGAAGTGATATTTATAGTTTCCTTTTATATTTTGCTGTCTGTACTGAAAATAGAACATTTTGTAGAAAATTGGTGAAGACTGGATAACGAATTTGGATAAATTGCAAGAACTGAAGAAACTTGATAAAGACATTGCATTTCTGGACTCTTTAGCTAGAGTAAAGCAGGAGAATAAGATGCGTGTGGCAAAGTTTATCGCTGATGAATATCAGGTGCAAGTGAATCCGGCTAGCATTTTCGATATACATGTATGGATTATATTATTTTATATTACAGCTCTAATTTGCGAACTGAAATGATAGATTCAATTGAAATCGACTTGAATGGCACATTTTTTTCCTGTTCAAAATTTCAAAAATCAAAGAAAATTATAGTGTAGAAGGATCTACAAAAATTAAACATTAATCAAGTATATATATATATATATATATATACAGTAATATTAATATGTAAAAAAAGAACACCAAATGAAGTATATGGACTTTATTATTAGGTGAAACGTATTCATGAATATAAACGACAATTGCTGAATGCTTTACATGTTATGACATTGTACAATCGTATCAAAGCCAATCCAAATGTATCCATCGTACCTCGAACTGTTATCTTTGGAGGAAAAGTACGTTTATCACAGTCATTTTATCATTATGAAAATATTTTAAGATATTATCAGAAATATAAGATCTTGATGCACTTGCTTTTTTGTAGGCCGCACCAGGTTACCACATGGCAAAACAAATCATAAAACTTATCAATTGCCTAGCTCATATTGTTAATTCAGATCCAATCGTTGGCGATAAATTAAAAGTGAGCGACTGAATTCATTGCTTAAAATAATGATTAAATTTATTTTAATATTAATGGCGCTTAAACGAACATAATTCATGAAAATTCAAAATTCATGGAAAGATAAAAATTTTTATCTTTTGCTTTATTTCCCCTTATAAAAACAATCGAAATGGAACATTTAAGAGTTGAGCATTTTTTCTTCGATCTAGATCTTTTCGCGATGCTTATAAAATTATTATTTATAAAAGCGTTACAGGAGTAACCTTTTTATTAAAATATCGAGATGTCGAGATACCGCCTTAAATTCCATGTTTTTATTGCTCTGCCATTTATGCTGCATTTTGATTAAATTCTTGATTAAAATTTTTGACTTATCTATTACAACGTCCATTGGGCATTTAACGCATTAAGACTCATGAATTCTATTGTGTTTCGAATTTCAGGTCGTTTTCATCGAAAATTACCGCGTTTCGATGGCTGAGAAAATCATTCCTGCTGCCGATTTAAGTGAACAAATTTCCACTGCTGGCACTGAAGCTTCTGGTACTGGCAATATGAAATTTATGGTATGCATTTTTATTCGTATGTTATTTGTGCATTTGCATCATCATTCGAAATATAATTAATTAATAAAGATTTTATAAATTTATCTCTGAATTTCCAAATTATAAATTAGATAAATTAGATATCTAATATCTTCTGATCTGGTGGTTTAGTTCCACTAATGCCTTATATTATAAAGTCATTCTTTATTCATGTTCTTATAGTTCCCTCTCTTTTTTCACTTTTTCTTTTTTGGACATTTTCTTAAAATTAAATAAAATTTAGAAGATATGGCTTATAATAAATCCGCGAAGATCTAGTTTTTATACTTCGATTTAGTTTTATGACTAATTTTTTAAGAAATCCCATTTGTAATTGATTAATTATAATAATGGTAGTCTTGTTTAATTGTCTGTAAAATAAATATTTGATTATATTTCTATCATAAAACTTTTACTTACAGCTTAATGGAGCACTAACTATCGGTACTTTGGATGGCGCGAACGTTGAAATGATGGAAGAGATGGGTCGGGAAAATATATTCATTTTTGGAATGGAGGTTAAAGATGTTCTGGAGCTGGAAAAGAAAGGGTAAGTTTTTATAAGTTTTTATAATGAATAAAACATGCGGAATAAATAAGTTGAAAAAATCTGCATTTAAATTTCTTCTGAATTGCAGAAAAATATGATTTAGGGTTGTTATACTTCTCCTGGAATGTTAATTTATTCCATTCGTATTGTTGCTGCTCATTTATCCGCACTGTGGGGGTTAAGTTAAATTGGTGTAAATTATAATTATTTTATTTTATAGTTCTTCTTTATTGTATTCCATAATAATTATTTTTTTTAGATACAATGCGAATGAATTCATCGATAAAAATCCCGAACTGAAACAAATAATTGATCAGATAGAATGCGGCTTTCTTACTCCTGATCAACCGGACCTCCTCAAGGACGTTGCTGATATGTTACGCTTTTATGACAGGTTTGTGCACACTTACTCTTCTTTTAAACTTAATGTAGGTCAGGTAAGGTTAGTCGTAAAGAGGAAAAAAAACAAAAACTGACCAAAATCAACGGTATCTAAATGCAGCCAAAAAAATATAATTTACACTAATTTATGAAGCCTAGGTGAATAACAGATTCTGCTGTACTCTAGTAAGGTTCGAATGAATGTATTGTCCATTTTGATTAGAAAGAGTTCGTTGCTATTTTTAAATTGTCGAAAAATAAGACTAATTTTTTATATTGCGATGCAGATCGAAATATTCAAAATATTCTAAGAAAAAATTTGAACTATCGGAGTTTTCTCACCATTTCGATTGGAAAGATCATTTTGATTGCAAAAATTTTTTGATGAAAAATTCATGCAGTTAGACTTTTTCTTGCTAGAAATTAAATTTTTCTTTTATTTTTATTTTAGATTTATGGTTTGTGCAGATTACGAATCCTATATCAAATGCCAACGTGAAGTTGAAAAAGTTTATGAGGTATAATTGAAATTGGAATACTAATTTTTTATTGACAAAAAGTGCAACAAAAGTCCAGCTATGTGCGTACAAATGAAAATATAAAAGTACTACAAAGATAAGGTCTATCTAATCGTATGAAATAAGAGGATAATCGAACATTATATGTTATTTCAAATGAGGTCAAGCATCGGTCCATTTCTCATTCTGTCATGGAAGGAGAGCTCCATCAAAAATGAAGTTCTGCTGCTGAGTAACCTTCTATTGCTAAAACTCTTAATATAGTAGTCAGTGGAGCTAAGTAGACGGGAAATGAATAACTGATGCTGCTTGAAGAATGCATAGGCAATATAGGCAATATAGGCAATATATATAGACTTAGACAGTGGAAAAAACAGCTTCTACACATTTTTTCATTCTTATAATTAGTGAAACCAGTCTAACCATAATAATACGAGCTATTAGAAGAAACTAGATGAGGATTCAAGTAATCTATTGAAGCTGCACAATTTGTCTTTTAAACGGAAAATCATTAGATGAAAAATTTGATATAATTTATTTGGAACATAGGTAATATGAAACTATTTACATTTACAGGTACAAATTTCTAAAATTTATTTTCTTTGTAGAATGCGGAAAAATGGCAACGAATGGCTTTGATGAATATCGCTAGTTGTGGAAAATTCAGCACGGATCGTACAATCAGCGATTATTGTCGCGATATTTGGGGTATCAAGCCTGGGGAAGTTAAGCTAGCAGCGCCTTACGAAGGTGTTCCGCAAGAAGCAGAATAAGATGCCTCACCCAGATCCTATGTTCATTGCGATTATTTTTAGGAAAACATAAATTCTTTTAGAATTCTGACTACGATCGAATCTATCGACTGTCACAAGTCTCATATCTAATATAAATGAAAATGTGCTCAACAGAAGGAAAAAAAACCGATTTGAAAACGTGAAAATATAAATCCTAGCAGGAGCTTTATATTTAATTTTCCAATGAATTTTTTCTTTTTTTTACAATAAAATTTATTTTAATATTATTTTCCGTTTAAAAGACAAATTGTCGAAATTGTGTTGGTGTTTTTTTTTCAATTTTTTGGCTAAAATTTCCTCGAAATAATGATTTGAAATGGAAAATTTCACATTCAAATTGCTTCTTTTGTAGTCTATGTAAAATGTACAATTATAATTATTTTAAATATTCATCATTTATTAAGAAAAGAAAAATTGAGAAATAAAGAAAAAGTTAGCGGAAAAATTTATGCATTAGCGTAAAATAAGAAAGACTGTGCGGAAAATAAAGTCGATAGACTTTTTTCTTTTCTTCTTTTTCAAAATGGATTTTCACCTTGCTTAATTTTTTTTTTTTCTAAAATTAAGCTTATCACTAAATAAAATTAGCTTTATTGAAATTATATATATCGTAAATGATTTAAATAAACGTAGAATTTTTATTTTAGAGTATTTATAAAATGATTTGAAATGTTCGAAGAATTACATAAAATAAATTTCTTAAAAAAAATTTTTTTTTCCTTTTCTTGCCATTTCAGTTTTGTTGATAAAAATAGTGAAATTGTTAGGAAGGAAGGAAGTTTGATGAAGTTGGTGACGAGAACGACCTCTAACGAAAGCGACAGCGATACGTTCACCTAATGACGAGTTAAGCCTCGCGCTTCTTAGCGCCAACTTGAGGAAGTGATCCCCAAGTGAAATTGCTGGATTGGCAGTAGATGCGAGTAAAGAAAATCTGCTAAGCTGATTTTTGCATTCCTTTTAATAGCATTTGCATTCGAATATTAGCAGTGAGTGTCGATATTTGGTACGAATATCCTTTCTAATCAGTACGAATCCTTCATTTACGCTTATCAATCGAACCATAGTAAATTATCAGCCGAATGGTTTAGAACGAAATGCATTATCGTCGACGCGTATGCGAAAATCATGATTAAAGTGAATCGATATATGCGCGCCTAAGCTCTGTACGTTCATTCCTAGTTCGTCCTTTCATTTCCTTTTCTTTATTTTTTGATCCTTTTCCTTTTCATCATTTCTCTTTCTTCCACCGTATTCCATTGTTCGTTCAATTTTTATTCTTTTTCATTGATTTCGGATTCGTTTTCCTTCGTGCATATAATGTCTGATCCAACAGCATCGTCTAACTTGTGCACTTTTCGCTAGAGAATCCATTTAGATAGAACAGAAGTTTAGGTCACATATAGGTCATTTTAATGACAATGCATGTACTCATGGACGCTTAAAAGGTATTAAAATCGGATTCGTAATGCTTTGGACCCTAGTGGGGACCTCTACGAACACCGCGCATCTTGTAATAAATCTTATCAAAAAATAAAGTTTCAATTTGTTTTCTTTGAATATTACCAACATTTTATAGGTTCCATCGGTAGGTAAGGGCATCGTTCAATTGTACTGGTAAATACATTGCATCCCATAGAGAATATTGAACAAATGCATGAATCAACGATTCGGTTCAAAATTGATCTAATTGAGTCGCATTTTTTTGTAATATTTTTTCTTAAACCTTATTTGTTCATTTGAAGAACAACGAATTTCGAATTAACATAACGGCGACGTGTAAAAGAAACTTCAAGAAATTTGCCGTAATTTGTGAAAAAGACTGTTGAAATCGAGTTGATGTAACAAAATTGCCTCAGTTTGCTTCATATTTTCACGTCGGTAAGTCATTTAGCGTTTTATTTTTATTTAATTTGATTCGTTTATAAGTAAAAGAGCGAACGGTGATCGATTGATGCTAAAAGAAAAATATTTCAGTGGAAAGACAAAATCGCGTACAATATAGCAAAAGATAGTTTAATTAAAGCTTTTATTGTTCAATATTAATGTTTTTATTAATACAAATATTAATGATTAGTAGTGTGATATACAATTGTGAATTTTTGATATTATCAAATTTCATTTTGAATTTTTCGCAAGCAAAAAGAGCGAAAAAAAGCGAGAAAGAGCGAAAGCAAAATTTATCGTAAAGCGAAAATTTTTTCAAAACTTTTATATGTTTCTGATTAAGAAAATTAAACTAAAACAATGTTTAAGCAATGTTTAGAAAGAAAATATAGAAATTTTTTACAAAAAAAAATGAATTTGGAAAAATAGAAAGAATATAAAATATGTAAATTTGTGTTGCGATAAATAAGTGAAATTAGTGATAATTATTTCGTAATATCAGTAATAAAGATGTAAAAAATCGTTGTAACAAAAAAGAAAAATAAGATGCAACGGGAGGAGTTTATAAAATAGTTCAAAATGAGACTAATGGTAATCACTAGTATTGTTAAATATCTCATTTGGCGTCAATAATACTTATGGCCAATGATAGTCATTCATAATCGATTAGCTAAGAAAACGTTAAGGTCAGAGGTTGTATTTGTTAAGTTCGTTGTCATCAATCAGTTTAGTGATGCAAATTATTATTGTGCAAGTACACTGATCCATTTTATATTGTGGAAGCAATAAAGCCAGGCGTAGCCACCGTATTTTAAATTTCGCTTATATTCATCATGCAAAAAGTTGAATATGAAAGTAATTCTTTAATTATTTTTTATATTAATTTTATATTTTTTATCGGGAATTATGTAATGATTTTTAATTTGATGATTTTTAATTTTTCTTTTTATGATAATTTTTTTAATAGAAAGTTTAAAAAATTTCTTTTTTTAAAAATTTTTCATTCCAGTTTTGAAAAATTTTTTTCGAAATTTCGTAATAAAATTAGTTTTGAATATTGAGTTTTTTATTTCCATTTTTATTTTCTTTTGTTGGATAATTTAGATAATTTTTACTATTCGAAAATTTCTTTTGTCGGTCGGTTTTAGGCGATTTAGGTAAAAGCAAACAAAGTGGCAGTTTATGATCGTTTCTTCTTCGAATAGTACACCTAACCAGTTTAGCTGATTATTACAAGGAGAGGAGAGGCTTCCAGATGTCTACTGGCTTTCTTCCCAATAATGCTTTGTAAATTATATACAAAAAAGAATCATCTTTTTTTTTCGTTGGAATGAAGTGAAGTCGATTATTCATTACAACGACTTATTACTTTTTAAATTTAACTTCTCGTTTATGATTTTTTCATTGTCACCTCAATGTCATTTAATATTTTCTGCTAATGCAAATTCAAGTTTGTTGGGCAGATGTAAACAGAAATTGCTTTGTAGATTTAGCGATTTTCGATGATAATGAATTTGGTGTGGGAGTTGAAAGGTTTTCTTTATCAGTTTCTTCGATACATATATATTTTTTGAATCAGTAAATGAATCGGATAATCTTATGATGATTTTTCCCAAATATTTTCGAAATAATTCAGTTGAAAATGCAATGCAACTTCTTTAGTTTATATTTTCATTAAATGGTAAATGTTCGCTAGGCTTTTTCCTTAATGTGAGCCTTCTTTTCAGTTTGATTTGTTTCGTCTAATGAACCATTTCTTTGATGAATTTGATTGACCTTTTAGATTTTAGTTGTTTGCATGACATAACTTTAGGTTCTCAAGTATGGGTTATTATTTTCTTTTGTCATTTTTTCAAATATATGATTTTGGACGTTTTCGTTCTTTTCACAATTCAAATGAATTGAAAGAGTTATTTTTTTTCGAGCTCTTTTTTTTTGCTTTTTAACCTTCTTTACTTCTTCAGATAACTGTTCTAATTTTTATAGGCCTTTTTGATTGTTTTTTGATTATATTAAAGGTTTATTTCCAAAAAAAGAACATTTTCTTGCGATATTCGCTTTGTTTAAATGGATGCCCTTGTTGGCTGTAATGCTATTTAGCATAATTCTCCAATCATTTTTGTTTATTTTTATATTAGATATCAGTTTTAAAAGTTTTCAGGTTTTGTTTGGATTCCTGATTCGAATACTATTCCGTTAGAGAGGGAAGGAATGGACGATACACCAACTGTTTTGTTTGCAAATTTTAATCAGACTGGCACGTAAGTTATTCATGGTGGCAAAAAATATAGACTGAGAGTTGAGAAATGCAAGCGATTATCACTTCCCTTATTGCATTTGGAATCTTTGAAATTCATATCATCGAGAGAGTTCTTAAAGAACTGCTTTCTTCTCTTTTCTGGATATAGTGAATCGTCATAGATTTTGACTTCTAAGATTTATTATCATAGATTTGTTGAGGATTCAGTTTTTTTGATGAGAAAATGTCATTTTCTAATCAAAAATGTATATTATGAAATGTATCGAAAATTGATTTCTCTTAATTAAAAACAGTAACGAATTTTTGCAATACCTTCAGTTTGGGATAATTGTTAATGTTTTTTTAATCATCATCACAATGATATAATTTTCTTTTATTTCCTATAATAAGCTACAGCGTTAATTTGCAAGAATTTCTTCGTATAATTGATATATTAATTGCTTTTTATTTCAGAACTATTAATATAGGCACATCTGATGGTTATTCTTTATATTCTATCGAAGATGTCAATGAATTGAGAAAAACCTACGAGAATTTCGTGGGTAAGCTTCAGTATTTTCTTTCATAGCAAAACGAAATCAAAAAAAATTTTTTTTTTCATTTGGAAAATAATCGGCTGCTTCCAAAAGAAATAAATTTCTGCTGGTTTATTCTAATTTAATCAATTTAATATTTATATTTATATGAATTTTATTGTCTTATAAATCTTACTCGGACTTCTGTCCATTAGGATAGGACAGCATATCCATGAGGATATTTGCATTTTGTTCGGCCATCCATCCTTTCTGCGGTTTTTGTTGTTTCTAACTTTGAAGGCGCATATTGTTTTCTTGTGCGAATGAGCAGTTCATCCTGTATATCGCTGTTCTGATCCTGACTTTGCCTTCCTTTTTCATGGACTTATGAATTTTTTTTCGCATTTTATAACATTTTATAATCACTTTAGATTTGATATGAAAAGTTTTAATTTAATTTTTTATTTCTTGTATTAGCCGAAATTGTCACATTGAACGACATAGTTCGAACAGCTAAATAAACAGAGAGTGCTTCTGAATGAAAAACAGTCTGAAGTTCAGTTTCGAAGATGGCTTAGGCAGTGACGAACTCTCAAGTCCTATAGGTGATCTCCTTGAAAAGAGTGAAAATAAATTTTAAAACATATGCAGATTTAGCTCAAAATATTACCACATCTATCGTATGGACGTATTGACTGAATGTCAAATGGAACCATGTCTAATCCAAGTCTTCTTCAATCCATCACATTCTCTAGGTCTCTTCAACCAATTTTACTTTTTCCAGTGTCTATCCTCTTGAAAGAGATATTTTCGAAAGCAGGAGAATCTTGAAAAGATTTTTTTAAAGCAGTTTGTTAGAATCGGTTTTTATGTGTAATATAGTATTACATTAACAAAATTATATATATATATATAATGTATTTGTAATTTAATGGCGTAAATGTAGTGGTGCTCATTTTGATTGAAAACGGAATTCGAGTCTTCCAAAGTTAGCGACAAAAAAAGTTAGCGACATAAATTTTAGTGTTCATTTGGATTTCTAGGATGGCTGAGCACGTTTTTATCGTTTTTAATGAAAATTTTTTGATGTTTTCCTTTCCTTTCCTTTAGATAATGGTGGTGTTCTTCAAGTAGAGCGTTATTATTCAACTTCTCTTCATGGCGTAATTTACAAGAAAACGCCATACAAAATACATGTTTTTTATGTTGGCCACGGTGAACTTGTTTGTGATGTGCATTGCTCAGGCGTTATTCTTTCGGTTAAAATGACTAAACAAGTAACAGTTTCAGAATAGCTTTATTCTAATTTATTTTTTATTCTATTTTATCACTTATTTTTTTTTTCATGCTTAAAGTTCGAAATTATGATATAGAAAAAGGAAGCTGTGTCGGAATTAATATAATTAATCAAATATTTTTTCAGTATTTGGTCACTTGTCTCAAGAATCGGATCGAAATTCACCATTTGCAAATAGATAAAATGAAGGTTTTAGATTTAGTCGATATTAAATCATATTATATAGTTCAGAATTAAATAGTAGGTAAGTCTTCAGAAATGTACGAAATGGTAAATTCTATTAATACTGTTAAGATTTAGAAAGATCATAGTGTTATGTGCGTTTTTTGAATATTCTTCTACGAAAATTGATGTTTTAGCGTTACCATGCAATCGAAGATATTCCGGAAAATCCCCGAGGAATTATGGACGTAGTTACCTTGAAAAAATCGGATATTTGTGCTGACCTTAGATCGGATGATAGTTATGCTTTACTTGCATATCCTTCGTCTGATACAAAAGGAGATGGTAATAAATAATTTTTTACAATTGCATTATTTAAAAATTCCTTTCATTGTGAGAAAAATCAATGATTTGGTTAATTAAATTTTAAACTATTTATTTTTATACTTTCATTTTCAACTTTCTTTTTTTAAGTTCTACATTTTTGTTAATGAAAGTCGTTATTCAAATCATATTATATTTATTTAAGTAATGGTATTTGATATCAAAACTCTAACATCAATTATTATTATAAATGGCCATCAGAACAAAATTGCTGCTGTGCGATTCAGTTGGGATGGCAAAAAACTCGCAACTGCTTCCATTAAAGGCACTGTAATTCGAGTATTTGACACATTCTCTGGTGTTAAATTATTCGAATTCGTTAGGGGATTTCAGAGGTTATTTTTTAAATGATAAGTTAAAGGCATTTTCATGGTGTTTGGAACTTAATTTTCTGCTTTAAGGATAAATGAATTCGATTCTTTATTCTGTTTCGTAATGCGATATGATTTTCAGATCTGCTAAAGTTGGTACTCTCGCATTTAGTGAGGACTCGCTTTATCTAGCGTTGATTAGTGATACGCCTACTGTTCATGTTTTTAAACTTGAAAAGAATGCAACATGTTATAATTCTGATGAACAAGGACAAGAAATTTCCCCAACTGGGTTCTTTTTTTTTCTTTCCACTGTATTAGCTAAATTTTCACATTTTTAGAATATTTTATTGTTCATATAACCATATTTCTTATTTTTTCAGAAGTGTTAGTAATTTAACCCAAACAGGAGGTGGATGGATTGATTATCTTTCTCGAACAGCACTAAGTTATTTGCCTACTCAAGTAAATGAGGTTTTCGCACGTGAGAAGAGTTTTGCAGTTGCGAGAATACCAAGCAGTCGTCCAAGTACTGCAGTTGCAATGCCACTGTTAGTTTTTTATCCACGTCTTAAGCGCTGGGAACAAATTTAAAATAAATATTTGGAACACATAAAAAATTTCTCTCAAAAAATTGCTACTATTCTGTTATACTTTTATTTACCAACTATTTTTATTATTAATTTATTAATTTTATATATGTGTGGATGAAATCATTTATGTGCAGCATATATTCTTTCTGATAAAAGATCTATAATTTTATCTTTTCGGAATTTCATTCTCTCGGAATTCTCTCAGAATTTTATCTTCTCGGAATTTTCATTTTATTCATTCTCGGAATATAAGTAAAGGAGATTAACATCAACTCATTCTTTACCATTTAGAATTGACGGACAGCACTATCTTTTCGTTTTAAGTTCTTATGGAGATTTATATTGTTATACCGTGAAAGGACAAGGAGGAGAGTTGTCTTTGTTAAAAAGCTATTTGGTTTGTTTCATTCAATTCGTTTTCGTTTAATTGATTAATTTCTTAATTACATTGTTATATTCTAATATTATTATTTGGCTAATGCATGATTAGTGAGCGAAATTTGATGTAAATTTGTTTTCCTAGCTTCGAGGGAAGAAAAAGATTATAGTGCTTTCGCGATTGTCAAAATTCTTCTTGCTTCAGGTGCCAGTTGATGCTATCGATTGCATTCCTGCGGGCCATAAGACAACTCTAAGGCCAAAAAATGATAACTTGGATATAACTGTTAATGTATCGGTCTCAGATTCAGGTGATTTAACGTTTAGCCCTCCGTCATGCCACAAGACATAATCGCTTGACATGATCGCTTCTTATGATATGGTTTTTCTTTACTGCATCGATCAATGACATAAATCAGTTTTATTTTTGTTTTTCAGTTTTTATTAGGCATTTTCTTTAATTTGCTATCTTTTATTTTTGCTTATTCTGATTTGTGATGGTAAACTGATTCATGTTTATTAATCTTGCCCGGATTTTTCAGTCGATTCTACATAGTTGTCTATTATTAGTAAAGAAGGAAGTTTAAAAACGATTGAAAAGATATGTTTCATTGTTTTCTTTTCATTCCTTTGTAATATATTATTTATTTATCGGACTTCGGAATTCTAATAAAAACTATCGGCATACTGAATTTCCAATTTTTATGAATACTGCTAATGCTTTTAAAACGTGAATAACGGCAATCTTAAAATATCAAACCAAAAAATGTGAATAAGTACGAATGAATTTTATTTTTTTATAGTTATTTTGATTCGATCTTTCATTTTAATATTCATTTAAATCATGTTTCTTGTTTTATTGCCTTATATTGTTTTATCTTTTCTTTCGCACTAATTTCTTTTCTTCTGTCCATTGGCAAAGGTGAATCTAACATAAAAAGTGAGTTATGTGGCTGATGAGGGGTTCTCTACACCTTTGCCTTCAAACGTGGCTCTGTGGCCAAAGAATCTCAGCCGTATTAGTCAGCCAGGTTGGAAGTGGTCGATAGATATGAAAAAAATAAAATAAAATAAAAATAGGCAACAATTACCACTGAACTTGGTGCGCTTGGCTGTTAATTTATTACTGCAGGCTAATGTTTTAAATTTGATGGGCCTTATTTATTTGGATAAAATTTATTAAATTTATAAATATTTAAATAATTGGCGTTTAAGACGATTGTTGAAGTACGTCTTTGATTGTCAAATTAATAATTTCACATTTCCGCAAACTTGAAAATCATAAAAAATCATAAAATATTTCCAAATCGTTGTTATTCGATAGCTATATCAACTATATTTGCTTAAGGCTTTTAGGCTTAAGAAAATGTCGGAAAGCGGCAGCTTATAAAAAGTTAGATTAGCTCTCTTCTCTCTGGAAATCGGTTGCTGCTTGTAAAGATTAGGTTGCCACGGATCCATTTGTCAATGGAAATAAATATATGGGCTGATGGCCACCGGGATTTTGCCCGGCTTATTTCTGTCGTGCAGATGTCGATAATTTATACCACTCTCCTCTCTAACAGTCTATTGCTAATACAAGTTATTCTAATGAGTTTATAGGTTAGCGTTGTTCCCATCACAATTTTTAATGATAGGATTTTATATGTGATATTCTTTAAATTTTTAGATAACATACTTAGAGGATTCGAAACCAAAGAAAGGAAGCGGTGGAGAGATGTCCTTAGGGGAATGTTAGCTTGTCTCTTCCACAGACTTGGCCATAGCCTGGTTAATTCATCAATTTGAGTTTGAAAAAGGCAAATATTTTTTGTCATCAAAAAAGTACTGCAAAAAAATTGTATTATATTAAAATATATTGCCTATTTTCATTTATACAATGTTAAACGATACGATTCGGCGATGAATAAATTTGTTTTTGCCTATCGGCAAATAAATTCAACTTATCGTATATTATTGTTGCATAATTTCATGGAGCATGTGAAGCATGTGAAGCATGTGAAGCACAACGATTATTTCATATTACGTAGAATATTATTTATAATTATAGTTGAATGAAGGAATTGTTAAAGGTGGAGGAAAGAAAACTTAACCGCAAATAAAGTTGTCCAACTTAGAACTCGAATTTTAAAAAATTCTCATATTTTGCAGGATTGAGTTTGCAATAGAAAAATAAAAAAGGACAAAGTTTTTCATAAAATTAATCCAATCAAAATTAAAAATTCAAAATTCAAAATTAGATTTGGCAAATCGAAAAAAAAGAAAAAATTTCGATGTTCTTGCAAATCTTCAGAAATGTGGTAAATATTATGTTAGATGGTTTCATTGTTCTTCGATAAATTTGGAACTACTCATGCGGACTTTTCCAACTGAAAGTTACAATGATCTATGTCATTATCTACATAGATTCCCTCGAGTAGAATAGCTGAATGTGTTGTGATGCTGAATTTGGAATGCCGATGCTGAGGCTCTATTTCCCGGCGGGAGTAAACCTGTCCGGAAATCCGGATGATGCTGGCGGCTCACCTGTACTTCTATCGCCAGTCTAGTGCGATAAGCTAGCGAAGCGAGTCAAATCAGTAATTGTAAGCTATAATCTATCTAACTTTTTAAGTTTATGTTATAACGCTTATATTTTCGAAATTTTATTATACAACAATATTCACGAAGTTCGGTTTGTTTGCATATCATACTGTAATAAATCGCTTTATAATACGGTATGAAATAGAATGGCTTAATGGATTATTTGCTCCAATTTCTGGAATTTCTACTCTCCATGAGAAAATCCCATGTCTTTTAAAAATTCGAGTGGTGTTAACGAATCATATTTCCTTCTATCGCCAGGTGTCCCTATAGGCAAAATTTATCCAACAAGCCAGCAAAGTTGGCTCAAGCAGAAAAATATTCTATTATTTGTAATTTGTTTCATGATTCATGTTTCACTTTTTATGCTTTTCTCTAGCTAATCAGCTAATTTGAAATTTACAAAAAAGCTTATTTTATTTTGGCTTTCACTCCAATAATAGTTAAATAATTGCAAACTAATTGGATTGATTGGTGTTTAAAAAATTTATCTGTAAAGTTTATTATTATGTGAAATTCTTTATTGTTATGTGAATAGATGAATTTTATTAAAAAAAAAAACAATAACAATAATAGGAAAGTATAACGAAATTGCTGTTTTTGCAAAATAATTAACTAAAAAATTAAAAAATATAAAATATAAAAAATTCAAAATATTCTTAAAAAAAAATTATGATTATGAAAATATGACAAAAGATGTTCATTTCGATTTAATCTAACATAATCCACAGGTTTTACGGCATTGTTCTCTCATAACGTTTATGTAAAGAGAATTCTGACATAAATTCTTATTCGCTGGACAGTCAGATACGGCATTAGGTCTTGCGAGGTCGACGCAGGGTAATGTTGCTGAAATCTTTCTTTTTTAAGTTATTATCAGCAAATTTATAAAGCAAACTTCTTTGTTCTTATGTAATAATAATAATAAGTAATAATTAATAATAGTAATAATAATAATAATTTTAGTAATAATTAGTTAATAAGTTTTTAATTTATTGAATAAAGCAAGTGTGATTGATTTTCTACTTCTGCCATGGCCAAATAGCACGAGGATAGCCCTGCTTGACTGGTTTTCAATATATAAATATCGCTTCTTATCCGTTGACTGCATACGGCTATTTTATTAAACTTTTATTAGTGCTGAAAGCATCTCTATACTCATATCTGATGAAAGAATCGCCATAGTGGAGAGAGCCAAGCCAAACCAAAAATGGACAGCATTGTTAAAAGATAACGAAAACTGTCATAAGGCCGTCAATTAAAAATAATGGTACTGCAATGATAAATACTAATAGCCAAAAATTAATTTTTTTATCAATATTATTGGATATTCTGTGGCAATTAAGATTGGCAAAATTGTCAAAAAAGAAATGAGGTTGAGAAAAATTCGACCTGCACTAGCATTACATCTATTGCAGGTTTGGGGACAACGTTGAGTCATTAAGGAGCTATATAGACGATCATTGCATAGATATGCCAATTGTATGCAATTTGTTGCAATGTTCACACAAGTACCTAAAAAAGAAATGTTACATGTTTGTGGTCTTGTCGATTTTATCCTATTGAATTTATCGGATATAAGAGAAATTATGATATGATAGCGAAAAAATATGGCAAAATATTTGAGGATTATTATGTTTTTAATCTTCGTATAAAACATTCTACCAGGCAAAGTGGTCGAAGTTCCGGCTGCTTGAGTGTTTAAATTCAAACATTCTCTTCCCGCATTGTCAACCGTAAGACAAGTGAATCCCGTTAAACATACATTGGTTGTACATGCTAAAATATTCATTTGTATTTCTGATAATTATCAAAATATAGCTGTGCATTGTATTCATTGAGTGATAATCTCAAATAACAAAATGCACTTGATAAACATAATAAATCTTAATTTCGATATCAATAAACTTCGAAGCAAAGAAAACATTCTTGTATTATAAAAATTTCTTAAATAAATTTAAAAAATGAAAATACCTTAGAAATATCTATAAATATTTTATAAATATGAATGAAGAATAATACTTAATTTACTATCATTATCATTATCAATATCACCTTCGTGATAAATACACTGCTTAAATCATTAATTAATTAAAAAAAACTTACTTCCGTTTGTCTCATAGCATCTATTTCGATAACAAGAATGGCCAGTTGGACAGATACCACCGAAACATGCTGAAAAACGCGTAATTCTTTAGTCCTATCGAACTACGCGCAAGTAAAATAACTAGCGAGGTTCAATGAATGAATTTTATCATCTAAGTTATGCGTCTAAATTTTGCGAATAATTTTTTTAAATAAAAATTGTCGGCAAACAGTGGAAATTAAATATAATAAATTTGCTTCAGCTCTATTCCTTCATATTATTAACGCTTTGTATTCGCGAATTCCCTCGCCATTTAAGACTAAAATTTTTCAGTAAAAATTTAATAAATTGATATTAAATATAAATGTTAATAAATATTAAATTAAATTAAATTAAATACTAAATATTAAATTTAAATAAATATTTAATTTAATTTAATAAATTTAATATAATTAGATTGTTTCGCGAAGACAAAAGAGGCTAATTAATTTCAATAATTCGTAATAATTATATTCAATAATTCAATAATTAATAAATTTTAATAAAATACCAAAATTTTGTCTAAAATATTCGCAAAATAAAACAATTTACGATGTGTAAAAAAAAAATTTATATACATACGTCCAAGTCCTTGGGATATTGTTCGACGTAGATTAATGGACAAAAGAATAATAACGATGGTCAAGAGGAGCATTTTAATTCTGTGATATTAAAATAACCGAGATTAGCGTCTATAATACTGATTACTGATCTGTTCGCGTTTCTGATATTTATGTTGGCCTAAGTTTGTCAATTTTCAGGCTAAAAATAAATCTGCAAATAATTTTTTTTTAAAAATATAACTGGCTGATATGACTGCTACGATGTCTCCGTTTATAGTAGTTTTAACAGCTGCCGTTCATTCCTTTTTTTTTGCATTCGATTATATGGTTGAAAACGATTCAAATAAATTGCATAGAACGAAGTAGCACAGAACACTTTGATAACGTTCCGAAATTTTTTTTTAAAATATAATTGAAAAAAATTTTTTTAATAAATTTTCATTTTCTCATTTTTTTTTCTTTGCTAAAAAATTTTAAATTTTATATGTATGTGTGTTTTTTTTTTTTTATAAGGCATTTGTTGATTAAAAATTTATTTTAATTTATTTAATTTATTTAATCATAATCATAAAAAAATCATAAAAAATTAATCATAAAAAAATTTAACGAAACAATAAAACTCTTCAGAATCGAATGTTTAAGGCAACGATGAAAATGAATCGAAATTATAAAAAATTTTAAGAACCGATTAGTGCTCTCGAAACTAACTTATAAAAATTTGCATATTTCTCTCTAATCACCAATAAAATCATTTTTTTTTCACCGCTGAAATCACTGCTCATTTCACTGGTTCCACTGGTTACTTAGAATTTTCAATTTCCCACCAGACCAGTGTTTCACTGGTGATAGAATGATAAAAATAGTACGCGAATTTCAATTTGAAATAATCCCCTTAAATAAAAATAAGTAATTTATCCTCTCTTCCTCTTAAACAAAAGTAATTTATTGTATTATTCAACCAATGTTATCCATGGTGAAATTATGCAAAAATACTGGAAATTCCGATTTACACCACTTTTACTTGATTTTATTTTTTATCATTTATACTATAACAGTTTTTTGACGCCCTACGGTTATAGAAAAAATTTTTGCATGATCTGATCATAAAATATGAATATGGAAGGACCATTGTTTTCATGTTAATCTTTTTTTGCAGCCTGCTTTCAATATAACCTAATAATATTATTCGAACACATACAACTCGATCTACACAAACTATTCATTATAACCGCATACTGAAGTTACAAATTTGTCGATATACCAAAAACAAAATTACCAAACCTGTTCACTATCCAAGTACCTTCCTTGTCTAAATATTTCTTTTATTATTATTTTGTTATCTGTTAAAAAACGGCTACACAGCCTACTTCCTTTTTATTATATGTTATAAAAATTTTTTTGCTATTTTGTCTTTCAACGCACTTCTAAATCATTTTTTTTGCATAGTGTTTCCGATCTAAATGCTTTAAATCTGTTGAATACATGGTGATAAATAAAAATTGGCAAGGAAGAAAGCATAGGCAGAAAGTGATATACGCGCTTAGACGGTGGAAAGAGTGGTTACTTTCCTAATCGAGAGGCTTGAAAGTGTCTTATCCTTACCAATGGAACCAGTCAAACCATCAACGGTGCCAGCTGTTAGAAGATTATGATAAGAATAGGAACAATTTCTTTAAATTATCTGAATATGAAAGGCATAAAAACCATCAGAATATGCCAAATTTTTATTTTTTCAAGTCAGTTAAGTTAAAAAATCAAACAAATGAACATTAGATTCTGAAAATATTAACAATTAAATTTCTACAAAAAAAAGGATTTTCAAACCAGTTTTTCTGTACTAAGTGAATAAACAGAATAAGTGATGCATGAATATCACACGAAAGTAAATGCTAATTTGAGCAATGAAATAGAAAAAAAGTTAAATTGGTACAAAGTTTAAATTACAAAAGAAAAAGGAAATTCCCTATTGTACAGATTGAAGCCGCTTTAATTTATCACTCTTTCCATTTTCATACGCATTTCCTAAAAAAAAAAAATTCTTAAAATTATGGCTCTACTCTACTCCAGCGAAATCTTTAAAATTACTTATATTTACTTTATAATTTAGTTTAAACAAGCTGAATTTTATATCCTATAAACATTAAGCAAGACTCTACAATACCTCACACCAAACAGAATTAAAACAAGCAAACTGAGAGAAAATAAAATATTGACTAAGAGTCAATATAACATGAAAATAAATGACAAAGATGAAATTAAGAATTTAACCAACCGATATGACTTTCGCTTTATCACTCGATTTAATAATCCCAGTTCCAGAAACAATCAAATTCGCACCAGCCTTTGCACAAATTTCAACGTTATCCAAATTCACGCCACCGTCAAGTTGAATGTTTAAAATGGGAGCCAAGGATCGAATCTTTTCAACCTTTTTCAGCATATCTTCCATGAATTTTTGACCTATAAACAAATTCGTACAAATAATAAAAAACAACATAATTACTTAGAGATTCTTTGTGATGGATTTAGAAAATAAAAAAATATAAATAAATATAAAATAAAATAATATTCAATATGCCAGAAATAGAAAGTAAACAATAACCTAGTGCAGAACCACCTTACCTCCGAAACCTGGCTCGACTGTCATTATCAATACATTATCTAAATCATTTAAGAATGGCAAAATGCGCTCGACTGATGTTTTTGGCTTTATAGCCAATCCCGCCTAAAAAATTATATAATCATTACTGGTTAGGTTAGCTCCACTGGCTACAAGGATAAGATACCTCCAAACTATTCGACCCGACGCCACTGTTGACTGCAGTAGAAGCCATCTCTTCTTCCACCATTCAAATCCAAATATCGCAGGTTCACCTGCATTCAAAATCTTTCCTGTGTTGACCTAGATCTTGACTGACCCATCTCGCTTTTGTGGTCATCAGAGGGTTTAGCAATTAATAAAATATTTGTAAACTCCTGTGCTAGGCGACGTGCTCTAAGCAGCAAAACGAAGCTTTACGATGACACTGTTAATGCAAATGGTACTTTAACAAAGATGGATCCAATCATGCAAGATTCCGCTCAGCGGACTCATAAAATATATCTTATAAGTGGTCAAAGGAAGACAACTTAATAATATCCTCCACTCTCATCAGCCAGGTTCCACAGCAATGCAGCAAGATCGAACGCGGCTATATAGATGCGAACTTTCATTCTTATAATGGTTTCTCGACGGCTTCATAAAGGTTTCAGAAGAATACATTTTTAGCTACGGTTATCAGAGTCATAATTTTGCCCTTCGCTTAGTCATTTGGGATTAGAGTGGGCATGAGATATTAAAAGAGCACTCCCTGAGGATGAATTGAAAAAACAAATATTTATCAGCTTCTCATATATAAGACGAAAAGACTTTCATCTTATTTATATTGGTCCTGAGTCCGATTCTCGCTGCAGTTGTCGACACGTTGTTTAGCATCATTTACACTTCGTCAAAACTGTCAGCAAAAAGGGCTATGCCATTAGCGTATTCAAAATCAGTAATTATACTCTAATCTGATCTGCATATTTCTTGAATGCCGACAAGCGATGTTTATTATCTAGTCTATAGCATAATTTAAGAAAAAGTCCCTATATACAGACTTGTACCAATGTACTCGACAAAATGCCTTTATAAATCGAATGATCTCTGGAAGACCGTCATATTCCATCACCCAGCAAAGCACTGCAACTGAATCAAAGGCAACTATAAAATGGATGAAACATGTGAAGAAATGTGGTGAGGTTGTCGATATTTGAAGAAATGTTCCAACATCCTTCTTAACAAGAATATCTGGCCAGCACAACCGCGTTTTAATCTGAATCCAGCTTGATTAGAGCCTTCCTGTCTCATATTGCCATCAGTCTATTTCAGTAGAAAGGAAGCCTAATTTGCGTATAATGGAGCAACATAGACCCGTTCGTATTGCATGCAATTGATCGGAGTTAGAGCGTATGCGCTGGTACCCGAAAGATGGTGAACTATGCCTGAGCAGGATGAAGCCAGAGGAAACTCTGGTGGAAGTCCGAAGCGGTTCTGACGTGCAAATCGATCGTCCGACTCGGGTATAGGGGCGAAAGACTAATCGAACCATCTAGTAGCTGGTTCCCTCTGAAGTTTCCCCCAGGATAGCTGGAACTTATTTTGAGCAGTTATATACGGTAAAGCGAATGATTAGAGGAATTGGGGACGAAACGACCTCAACCTATTCTCAAACTTTCAATGTGTATGACGTCTCGCTTGCTTGAAAGAATTGTGAAGCGTTTAGACATTGAATGTGAGTTCCAAGTGGGCCATTTTTGGTAAGCAGAACTGGCGCTGTGGGATGAACCAAACGTTGAGTTAAAGTGCCGAATTTTACGCTCATAAGATCCCATGAAAGGCGTTGGTTGATATAGACAGCAGGACGGTGGCCATGGAAGTCGGAAACCGCTAAGGAGTGATGTAGGCTAATTCGATGGTTGTCACAGTATAACCTATTATTCTTGTTGAGGACTTGGAACAGAATCACTTTACTCTAGTATCCATCTAGTATTAGTTCTTTCTTCCATACCAGGGAGTTACATCGTTGAAGGTGTGTTATGGATGGTGGACAACATTTGAAGCTTTATCCCGTTGACCATCATTTTCTTAGAGCTTTATTGGCTCTAAGGCTCTGAATGGCGAAGGTTATTCCTTGTTTTCTTGGTGGCCTGCACTTAAAAATATATGGCGAGCATTTTAACTATGTTTGGGATGACATATCATAATCATTTTTGGCATCAAACATTTACAGTCACAACATTACTGTCCTAGATCATTTTACTGACCGTTCTCCGAATTATAGTTGCTTTATGAAGGCAGAATGCAGTTTCCTATTACCGCCTAATCAAGCCGCCGTCTCTACTCTCGAGGTCATATCACTCCAACAGCGATTTTTGCCTCGCCTTATTGCTGTTGTAATTCTTCGAAGTATACGGTATCTCCTGATATCCTGATGCTTTAGAGATTTTTTCAGACAGTTGGATAGTTGCTTCCAATACCCAATTAGCGCATTTCCTACCACTATATTTTATGGAAGTGACTGACTTCGGAGATATACCTTTAATTGGGATCCAGTATTCATTTGCCTTTGCAGAGATCTCACTGTCGTTCATTTCACTGAGGTGCTTCAATAATTCGGTTTGCCATGTGCTCACTCTCCCCGAATTTTTTAGTTTGAGATACTCTTGGGAAACGTCATTTCTTGCGAGCGGCCAGTTTTATGCTGATTTTAGCTCGAACCGTAACATGGTTTCCTCCAGTAAAGTTACCAGTTTTAGAGCAACGATAGGAAAGACTATCTAGTATAGAACTCTTCCAAAGGCGACTAAAATATAATCTGGTAGAAATCCATAATTACCTGAGAAATTCCATGTGATTAGATGTCTCCTCCGATGCTGAAAGCATGTTGAAAGCAAAATTAGTCATAAAAAGTTCATCAGCAAAACGAAGACACTCCCCATTGCCACAACGAATCCCAATGCCAATTTGCTAGTTACCGAGTTTATCGTAGCTGCACCATGGTCTACACGAGCATCCCAGTCTCCCCTGACCATGTCATTTTTCAGTAGAGATTTTGTTAGCAACTAAAGTTCCACTTAATCACAGCGGATCGAGCTTTTCAAATTTGATAATCATTACACCATTTCGCCCCAAATTATCCGAAATAGTTCCGTATATAGAACTATCTTTATCATTTATCTTATCTTTATCATTGTCATCTGCGCATAAAGTTCGAACATATACACTAATGACCGAAATATTGTAAAACTTTCCGTGGAATTTAGCATAGGCTATACGGTCGTCTAACAGCTTCCACTCAATCACAGCGATAATCATTAACCATTTTGCCCCAAATTACCCGAAATACCAAAATAATATAGCCAATATCTCTGATCAAAATCAGTAATTTCTCGAAACTCGAACAGAGGAAGAAGAGAGAAGGCAGGTATTTAAGAATTTCGAAAGCGATAATATTGGGGCAATGAAGAAAATCGACTTCAAAGCCAGTTTATGTTTATATGTTTATATAGATTCTACAAATATGTAAAAACAAGGCAACTGTGGGAAATGGTTAACTATCTTTTCGAAAATTCACCTTCATTCCACACTTTTTAATATTATCGATAAGCGAATGAATAGCCGATTCTCCGTCATCAATTTCAATTGCTTCTAAATGAAAAGTAAACTGAGAAGCACCTGCCTGAAAACTTCAATATCTTAGAAATTAATTTTGGCATAATTTTTCTGATTAGACATAAAAATGCAATAACGGATAAACTGTCCCCATATGTTACGACTATTCAATATTACCAAATATTAAAATTAATAAAATCAGGATAAATATGTAATAAAAATAAAAAACAAGTTAAACTAAGGAAAAATAACATGAAAAACCTTTTGCATTGGTTCAAGCCATTGTGCTGGTTTTGATACCATAAGATGGACGTCGAAAAAAGGTTCATTACCGAGTGCATTACGAAGACTTTCGATAACTGCAAAATAAACAATCGAATCAATTAAGAATCAAATAAAACTGTAAAATATAAAATTAATTATCCTAATTTGTCATTTATTTTTAATAACAAAAGCTTTACGAGCTCTCGTCATTTTCGTTCATATCGTTTACAATAAATAAAAAACATACGTACCGGGATGACCAAAACTAATATTGGGAACGAAATGACCGTCCATAACATCGAGGTGAAGATAATCGGCTCCAGCTTGTATTAGCCTCCTGCATTCACTAGCCAAATTCGCAAGATCGGCATTAAGAATTGAAGGACAAATAATTGCTTTTAACCGCTCTATTGCCATTATTGAATTTTCTGCAAAATTTTCGAAAATACAAAGATAGAATGCTATGCGACGAAATCCATAGCGCAGCGTAAAGCAATGACTGCGAACGTCGGTCGATGAACTGAAACTGAAGAGTGAATAGAGGAATGGAAATTCTAAAAGTCGAAAAAGTTTAAAGTTATCATATCAAATAATGGATATCAAAGTTTATTTTGCGATAAAAAATTTCTACTCTATTCGCTTATAAATTTCCATGAAAATTTCTCTCTTTTGAATGATAAAAAGAAAAAAAATCTCTATCTGAAATAAAACTTTCTACGTATCGGAAGCAAACGAATCAATTAGAAATTAAACTCCTTTCGCTTATTATTTAAAGGAAGTTTTCTATCTTAGAATGTTTATTGCTTTCTTCTTTGAACAGCAAACATCATTTTAGATTTAACTTGGCTAAGCCACTCTGAGGAATAAAGAAGAAATTATCATATAAGTTATTAAATTATCATATCAGATTATCATACTTCCAAAAATTATCACATAAGTCAATAAAGCCTAGTTGCAAAAAAAAGAACCATAGAATTATTAAAAATGATATGAGATATTGGATATAGACGGCCGCAATCCCTCGAAAACATAGCACAGCCCGAGCCTACGAAATCACGGCCCAGTGATGTCGATAACGTGGTAGTCTAAAGTAAATTTTAAGCAATAGTTTTACCAATTCGCTAAAAACATAGCAAACATTATATTGTCTGAGTTGTGCATTTTCTTTCACAATATTAGATATGGCCTCAGAAAGTTAGACATATTAAATTAAATATTAGACATGGCTACTGTTTTTTTCGCGCTTTTTCGCTGTTTTGACGGGTGCGCTATTTTTCAGTTTAATTTTACATATATGTATATATTTATTTTTATGTGAATATATTTTTTTAAAAAAAATTCCACTTCTCATACCATGCGGATGATATAAAATCGCTCCTGCAGAGAGTAGAAGCTTGGCAACTGTGCTCCGAAATGAAAGCAACAACCCACTGAACCATTCTAAATTTATGAAAAAAGTCTTATAGTCTTACTGTGTTACTGCGAATTTCATCTTTTCTTTAAAACATTTAAACATTTCAAAAATCTATCCAAAATTTTTCATATTTCACCGAATAAGCACAGACTAATCTTAATCCTTAATTATTTGCTCAGCTCTACCTGAGAGTGCGAGGATCGCATCGAATCAATCCACGCATTAAGGAATTCAGACCTACAACACATTTCCTGAAATGGTACTTCTTACTTGAAGGAATACACACTCGGGATTATGAACGAAAAGTAAAAGTTTGTTAAAATTTTACAAAAGAAAGTAAATATTTTTCGTAATTTATAGCAAAGAAGCAGTAGTTTCAGAGAAGCAACTTTACAAAAATTGTTTTACTACGCTGTAGCTGTGGTGTACAAGATGACACATATGGTGAAAAAGCAGCTAAGATGTGAATAATATTAAAATAGCCTTTTTCCTTCTTGATAATTTCTTTTATTTCACCTTATAAGCTTTTTTCTTCGAATAGAAATATGGATCACCGTATTCCAGTACAACACAAAATGATCTCGAGGCATATTTGAAGAATTATGAACACAGAAAACGCCAACCTAAGAATAGCAGCTTATACTGAAAACATTATCATATCAAAGATTTTATCAGAGATAAAATATAAATGATTTGGAACGTGGAGTATTCTTAATTATTCTACGCTTCCGATCATATAAAACAAATACATTTAGAACGGTTACTACTAAATAAATTCATATCGGTCTATCTATCTATTTCTTGCGATCAAAAAATAACTATATGAATTTGTTTTTATAAACATTTTTTATATTTTCCAGATAATTTTTCAGCACTCTACATTATAATTTTTAGCAGTCTACAGTTATTAATATATTATATAGTTTGTAGATCTTTCCCACTACCAATAGAAAATATATCGTAACACTTGGAAATAGGAAACAATTAAAAACTTCAAGATATTAGGCGACTAATCGCTTATAATCTAGGATATTAAAGAATCGGAATTACGAGAGAAGAAAATATATCAAATCGTGCTATGTTCAATGGACAATAATTTTCAGGACTTTTCTTTAACAGCCTGTAGCGATCGCTCTTCTATGTCGCATTCTTCTAGACTTTTTTGCTTTCTAGAGTTATTGTTGGGCTTAATTATAAGCCTCCTATTTTATTTTATGCATAACCATTCGTAGTGTTGTGATGAATGTTGTTGATAATTCGCAAACTTGAACAACATATTAACCACTATATGGGCAACGAACTCAGACCTATTGGTGGCGTTAGGCTTGAGAAGTTTGGAAAAGATGAAGTCGTAGTATGTAGTCACTCTTGATTCTATCGTCTATTAAAATGTAATATTTGACGTCTTTTTGTTGGTTTAAATCTTTCATTTCTTCTTTATAGATTATGAGAAAGAGAAAATGCGTAAATTCGCTGACTGTTACTGGAAACTGATACGTGAAAATGAGTACGAAATAAAAAAAATGGAGATTTTACAAGATTTAACTACTACTTGAACACTTCAATTATTGGAATAAAAATCAAAATATTTTAGAAAAAAATTATCACACCAACTGTTCCTTTCTTCATAAAAGACAGAATTTCTTTCCTAAAAATCTAGCGGATTACATAGTGAATGTAAGATATATAAATAATATATACATATATACGAAATAAATAGCAGAGACGTGGCTCACAAAAACAAACACTGGTCAGTATAGGTTTTTCGTAATTGCGGTCTTGACTCTCTTTAAGTGTTTTTCAGTTTTAAGAATAATGATGTTCATGTTTAATTCGATTAATTTTCTAAAAATGCTTTTTGATGGCCTTACAAAAAAATGACCTTCGTAAAAAACTGATAAACTGATAAAAAAGGAGCGGTAGAAAATAATACAAATGTGCAGTTGCAAAGAACTGTTAAACTGCAAATTACACGACTGCAAATTACAAAAACTGCAACTATAAAGCAGTATCCTCAGAAGGAAGTATGATAAATTAGCCCTACTTCACTCACCTCCGACATGGACTAATCATACATTCATTATAATAAGCATCAAGTAATGCATCTTCATAGCTTGGTGGAGGTGAAACACCTATATTTAATTGTCCATTTATCGAATATGATGGTGGAGCTTCTCCATTCATTGGGGTCGCAATGGATGATTGAGCACCGATAAACGATCGCTTGCGTTGCCTCATTGTTCGAGCTCCTAAAAAACCAATAACCCCAATAACCAAGTTGATTAAATTCTCGGTCCAATTTTAATGCAGTTTTTATGACTTATTTACCAGTTGAAGAATTACTGAAACAACTATGAATGGTAAATTTATAAATTTTACTCACATTTTCTCAAGTTGTGATGATATGGAAAAGTGAAGAAAAAAGAAAAAGAAAAAAAGGAATTTTACAGAATTTAAGGTAATAAAGAAAGTGGCTATCTACTTCAATAGCAGGAAGAATATTAAATATAAATCATTAATATAATTTCTTGAGTCTATGCAATTTAAAAGAACAGTGCACTACAAGCAGTATAAATATTTTCACTTAATTGTCGTTTAAAATATTTTTCGAGCAAAAATTCAAATAATGAATAAAAAATCGAGTTTTTCATTAAATATTCGAATAGTTGTAGCTATTGCGCCAAGCTTGTTCGTTTGATAATTTGTCGAAAGCAAGCGAAATGGCCTCGCTTTCCTCGACGAGAATGAATTTTAGAAATCTAAGGTGGGTGTTTGAGGTTGATGTAAGTGCTTCTGTGATTAAATATTTTAGCAATTCTAGCCACATTCTAGCAATCAGTGAATGAAAAATAGTATATGCTGTGAGTCAACTCATTTAACAAGTAATATGAATAATATTTCTTGCATATTCCATATTTCTTGCACGATTAGCAAGCACTTTATATCATAATATAATTCTAAGATTTTTTTCGAAAAAATAACCAACTTTGAATTGTTCGAAAATTCTTTTCCCTTAAACGTGCAGTGATTCGTTGCACAATTCGTCTTGTTCGCCTCATTTCAACAATTTTATCCAATTCCCATTGTTTACATTTATTTATTCCAATTAACATCGCAATAACCATTGCAATGCAGAAAACAATTGTTGGTAATACAATTGATGTAACAACTTCGCTTGAAGGCACAAAATATTGCTTCGGAACGCTCATTACTTGGGGGAAGCGTCGATCATAATTTGCATAATTATCATTACATAAATTCACAAAAATTTAAAAAAAATAACCTGAAATCTTTAAGAATCTTTTTACAAATTACCGCAAAAGCGAAGATTATAAATTAGTTTGCCAATAATCGCAAAAAAACATACTGTCGTAAAGAATTCGAGGACATAGGTTCCCTACATTCTTTTATTGTGCTTAACAGTTAAAGCAAATATTCTGAGAGTAAATTATCAAAATCTGAACAATAGAAGAATAGAGAAATGAACTTCGTCAGTAGCGTCCCAGTTTTGCCGTTTTACCTTTCTGTTCTTCAAATGCAAATTTTTTGCCGAAAAAATGCAGTTAAAGATGCATAACATACATTCAATATACAAAATAGCAATTAGTTTTTTCAGCAAAAAATGCAATTTGATGCAACGTTGGCATGTCACATTATTTTTTTTGGAAATAGAATGACTTCAGTGGGTTGTTGATCATTGGGAAGGCAACGCCGAGGTTCGATTCCCTCGCAGGAGCAAACCTGTACATCCCAGGTAATGCTGGCGACTCACCTTTACTTCTATCGCCAAGAGAATCCCTGGCATATTGCTCAATGTGATAAGCCAGTGGAGCGAGTTTAACCAGTAATGGTGAGGACTTAAAAATATTACTTAATAAGAAGGAAGCAAACCTGAGGTGAGGTAATGTTGCAGTCTCAACTCCACCATTATCCCCAAATAACTTTCTGGAAAAGTCTCACCTCAATATCCCATGAATTCTAGCCAACCAAAATACAAATGCTGCTGGAAAGAGAAGGAAAAAAAGGAATTACAAGGTGTTTTTGATACTTTCAGGTCTATTTTTAATGTATGAATATTTAGATATAAACTTTCTTAATATTATAAACTTATAATAATTCACATAACTCATTATTTGCTAAGCTCCGTGATTAATAGCGTCAAAAAGTAAAAAGGATCAACTGAGGCTCGAAAATGGATTCGGTCAGAAGAGACTGTGTAAGACGGTTTAAAAAGGGATGGTTTCTATTATTCTCGGATATAGCAACAGACCAAGTGACCTGGAAACGTCCTATGGCCAGTGGTACCAACCTAGTCAGCAATATTTTAAGCTTTTAGGAAGAAAAAAGGAGTTAATCCATTAGGGATTAAATCTGATAACAAATCTGATTAAATGCAAAAAAATACTCCTAACAATGTCACAACAAACGTCTCAACAATACAAATATAGCACATCTATCTTCTAAAAAAAAAACGAATACACATCCAATCGTTATCACAAACGACCAATTTAATCATCCGCATTTCATCTGCAAAGTAGTATTTCAGGGAATTTCAGGGAAATTTATTTAGGAGTAACACCTTGGAACTTTCGATTTGGAGCATTGTTGTGTGGGTTTGGGTAAGTGAGGAGTAAGGGGGAGAAGGTGGCGGGGGGGGGGGGGGGGGGGGGGGGGGGGGGGGGGGGGGGGGAGTGTGGTTGGGGGTTTTAGAAATGAGAGGTGGCATTCTAAGAATATTTTGGTTGTATGGTTAGTAAATTGAGCAGAGATGGGAATTTTTCCTTTCGCTTCTTGTTTTTGTTTAAAAGTACGAACTTCATTATGTTTTATATTTTTGAAAAACTATGTTTTTTGCCTATTTTTATGTCTGATTTTTTGAAACGTTTTGGAAGTTCTTAAGAAATTGACGAATCAACTGTACCGGCTTTTGAGCGATTATTTCCAAAGTAATTAACGAAAAATTCGCAGTTTTGTTAGAATTCAGGAATCTTTCATAATTTTTATATGTCACCTTTATTAATTTGTTCTTTTTTTTGAGGAATAATTCTTTATGTCTTGGAAATGATTTTAAATATCACGAACTTAATTTAAGTCAAACAATGCCGATTTTATTCATTTTTTTTCCATTAATGGCGAAATATTTCTAGAAGCAATGTAATTTTTCTTTATCAGCTTTGGAATATACGCTTGGAACCCTTCCTCATTCTTTTTTTTTTCTTTAGATAGAAGTATGGGTCGTCGTATTCGAGTGCAACGGAAAGGACCAGGAGGTATATTTAAAGCGCATAATAAACACAGAAAAGGTCCAGCAAAGCTAAGACCAGTGGATTACGCTGAAAGACATGGTTATATCAAAGGTGTCGTGAAAAATATAATACATGATCCGGGACGTGGAGCACCGTTAGCTATTGTAAGATTTCGAGATCCATACAAATATAGGACAAATACGTGTACAATGATTGCGGCCGAAGGAATGTATACTGGGCAATTTATTTATTGTGGTCGCAAAGGTTAGTTTTATTTGAACTCTTTATTTCTTGCATTGCATTTATAAAATAATTTAATGTAAATTAATTTGAATTAATAATTTGAATTTTTTGATGCTTAATGTTTCTTTGTTTTTTCAGCTCAGGTGCAGATTGGTAATGTTTTGCCTCTTTCTGAACTGCCTGAAGGAACAACGGTTTGCAATCTTGAGGAGAAAACTGGTGATCGCGGTCGACTTGCGCGAACATCGGGTTTGTTTTTTTTCGTAGGTCAACGAAAATACCAATTTGAATTATATAGCAGTTTCTACAGTTGAAATATTAAATGTATTTTGGGATGTAAAGATTTTTTAAAATATATTTGTAACATTTTCAAATTTGTAACAATTTTGGAACTCTGCTATTGGAAAAGGATAACTATTTGTGAGTCTTGATGTTTATAAGACCCTATGCATTTTATAAGATGTACAATGCTTGTAAAATTTCAGGAAATTATGCAACAGTAATCGCTCACAACCCGGATACAAAAAAAACCAGAATTCGCCTTCCATCAGGTGAGAAGAAAGTACTTCAATCGTCTAATCGTGCCATGGTCGGTAAGTATTTTCAATCTTAAAACTTTTCTTCAAAAAGTTTAACGATTACTGCTTAATATTATGCCGCAAATTCTTATTTTAAGGAATAGTTGCTGGAGGTGGGCGAACTGATAAACCATTGTTGAAGGCTGGCCGTGCTTATTTCAAATATAAGGCCAAGCGCAACTGCTGGCCAACTGTTCGTGGTGTTGCAATGAATCCTGTCGATCATCCACATGGTGGTGGTAATCACCAACATATTGGACATCCGTCGACCGTTAAGAGAGGAACTAGTGCAGGCCGTAAAGTTGGTCTTATAGCTGCCAGAAGAACAGGGAGAATTCGTGGTGGAAAACCTGAAAAGCATGGAAAAGATGAAGCCGTATGAAATCGCCGCATGGTATTGTTACATTGTTTTTTTGGTGATTTCTCTGTTTCACTGTGGCACACCTTATTTTTCGTAAAAATGTTGCATTAAATTCTTATTTTGGCGTCAGTCTCAATCTTTAGAAACTCATGACGAGCAGTCAGTTTTTAAACTGCCTGATCCTATGAAAAAATAGCAAAATGTAATAGAAGTGATTTTTTAAAAAATTATTTCTAGTTATTTTTGAAGCAGTGCTTGCGCTTATAAAAGATTTAGTTAGAAGTCAAAAAAATATGAAGCTTTGTGAAATTTTATTTTTAGCGGGAAGTCCACTGTAAGTTAATTTTTGGTGTTTTTTTTCGTTTCTCTCGATTGTCCAGGTTATTTCCTAATTATTTGCGGCAATTTGCTGTGTTTATTTTTCTAGTTATTTTAAATTGCTGAAATGAGATAAAATTGTGATCAGCTCTGTTTTCTGTATGAAATGAGATACTTCGCGGCCATGGGGGTGCATCAAAACTATATGTGAGCGGATAACTTCAAGATAATTGTGAGAAATATCTAAAATTAAAGCTGCAGTCTGCACATTCTTGGTGCAGTCGTGTAAATCTCAAAGATGATTAAATATCGTGCAGGGAAATCGTCACAATTTGTGCTTTTAATAGCATTTAGGTTCAAGCAATATGTTGTTCCAAAGAAGAATGATTATTTTGTCCACGCACTGGTAACCAATAAATAATTTTTCGCAGAACGTAAATTTGACACATTAACGATGTTTATTTCTTTCTCTAACAACTCTCGCCATTACTGATTAGATTGCTGCGCCGGCTACAAGAGTAAGGTGTTTCCGATGCCATCGCTAACGATTCATCAAAGCATCCGATATTCAGGATCTCTTAAAATTCTGTTTGAGCAAATTTTTTAGTTGGATAGTATATATAAAAAAATATATATAAAAATAATAAACCGTTCGTTTAAATATAAATCCGCCCCATTTATATTTGCTGTCCTCTTACTATTTCATGAGAAAACTGAAGAAAAAACCAGTAAAATCGTAAGGACTTGTAATCAATTAGCAATTCTTTTCGAAACATGTTAGAAAGGTTTAGGCAGAGGGGAATGGTGCCGTGACACTTCACCATTGTTAATTGTTAATCACATGATTAATAAAATATACCGCAAGAGCTAAGGTATTATCGTTTAAATTATAAATATCTTGATAAACTATTATATGTGCTGCAGATACTTTTGAAAATGGTTTGGATAAATCTAAAAAAAAATTCTTAATCTTTAAGATCAAGAAATGAAAGTAAGGCCGTCGTTAAACGCTTAGAGAAAGATAAAAATTCAAATAAAAAAGCAAATATTATAAGGATATTATGAAAGGATATAGTTGATATATAAGGTACAGTTAAGGAGTTCGAGTTTTTCATAGTACAAAAATTCGTAGGATTTCCAAACAGTCAGAAACCAGGAGAAGTATAATATATATATTTAGACGCAAAATTATAACGACATATCAAGACATCAATAAAGAATGGCCATTATAGACGTATTGGTTTCGAAAGCACTTTCTAGTCCCTTCATCTCTTCCCCCTCCTCCCCCCCCCCCCCCCCCCCCCCCCCCCACCACAACAGGACTACTTCTTTTAGAAAAAATAAAACCATTCCTGAACCGAAATTCAGTTAAATGTGGCCAAGAGGGATTCGAATCTAGGTGTTACTTTTTGTCTTAAAACGAAACCTGATTCAGGGATTGATTACGGTGTCTGGGGTCTTTTTTTTTTCGCTTTTTTGGGCCATAAAACAGTGTTTCCATAGTTAGTATGATGTTGGGTGGAGGTGGAGTGAGGTGGTGCTAATTTTGGTAACAAACTGTTTTCGTCAATTGGTTTGTGATCATTTGATAGGGCTATATAATTGAGGAAAACTGGTGGTTTGGTCATTAATTTTTAGAAAATTATGATGTAGAAAGAATGATGTTTTTTGAGTTTTTAAGCGCTTTCACTGAAAATTGCGCGGATTCTTACAGTTTTAATGATGGCTTTCTTTTTCTTAGACCCATTGGTTTGTGAAAAATTTGGTGAAAATGTCGGGACAAGGTGGCGAAGAATCTGTTGATCGAAATGTTGAAGTTTGGAAAATAAAGAGACTTATTAAAAGTTTGGAAATGGCTCGTGGGTAAGAGCTATTTAATTTGTTGAGTATGCTTTGTTTGGAAAATTTTTGATAATATTTTGATATATCTATTATTAAATTATTTTTATTTTTTCTATCATCGGTTGCTCAGTGGCAAGGTAATTGCCACGAGAATCAAGGCTTGGCTTCGCACCACTTTTCGTCGGGCAACATCGTCGCCTAACGGAGAAAAGCAAAGGAGATTAGAATGGCTCAGTAAGCTCAATTCAGAGCGCTGTTGCCGAAATTTTACTCAACAAGAACAAACAAAAATGTCAAGAAATCCGGGTTATGCTGGCGATACCCCTGCACACTGCACCATCGCCAGAGGACCCTTTGGCATATTTGTCCAGCGCGACAAACCGGAAAAACGAGTCCAGCCAGTAATAGTGAGTGAGTAATAGTGAATTTAAAAAAGAAATTGTTCTTTTAATCACAAAAATCCTGCATTTTATGCATTTGGGTATGATATATTAATGTTAATATTACAATAATATTATTAAATGAACATGCGATAGTTGGGAATTTTTACGAATGGGACTGAACAGTTCAGAATTGAGAAGAAATTTTAAATTTGCATGAAATTTAATAAAATATGGTCGAAATCGAATTTTATATTTAATTTTACCTTTTATTATTTAGAGTCTATTATCGCAGATTTTTTTCTTTTTGCAGAAATGGTACTTCTATGATATCACTGATAATTCCTCCTCGTGATCAGATTGCTAGAATTTCGAAAATGTTGGCTGACGAACTAGGTACAGCATCTAATATTAAATCTCGAGTGAATAGATTGTCGGTTCTTGGTGCGATTACTTCCGTGCAAGGAAGATTGAAACTTTATAATAAAGGTAAAATTTTGTTGAATTGGACGAAATATTGTTGGAGTTTTGCATTTTTTTTAATATGTTGAATTTTTCAATTGTTGTTGTTAAATTATAAAGTTATTAAACTTTAACTTGTTTCATCTGCTTTTAAATTTTCATATCGTTTTAGTTCCTACAAATGGGCTTGTTATATACTGTGGTACTATTGTTACCGCTGAAGGTAAAGAGAAAAAAGTGAACATTGATTTTGAGCCATTTAAGCCGATTAATACTTCATTGTATTTGTGCGACAATAAATTTCACACAGAAGCACTACAAGGTATGTCATTCAGCCATTTCAGCTATTTCTCGTTCATTTAGCATAGAAAATTTATTTTTCGGCTTTCATTTCGGGGAATCCTATTTTCATAGGGTCTCTATAATGCAATGAAATTTGCCGGAAAGTTTGGTCGCTTTTTTGGATATTAGCAGCTTATCGCGTTTTTTAATGATATATTTAGAAATTAAATACAGTTTTAGTAGTTTACAATTTTTATAGCTCTTTTGGCGGATGATAATAAATTTGGATTTATTGTTATGGATGGAAATGGGACATTATTTGGTACATTACAAGGAAACACTCGTGAAGTTCTTCATAAATTTACTGTCGATTTGCCAAAAAAGCATGGTATTTTATAATTTTCGTAACTTGAAATTATGAAGTATCATTCAAAAATGTTGGTAGTATCTGTATATCGTGATATATCTTTTATGTAACGTGAGCAGAATTCAGGTGAGAAATTTTAAGGTAGAGGCGGTCAGTCAGCAATGCGCTTTGCTCGTCTTCGAATGGAAAAGAGGCATAATTATGTGCGCAAAGTTGCCGAAACAGCAGTTGATTTATTCATACGAAATGATAAAGTGAATGTTGCGGGGTTAATACTGGCTGGTAGCGCAGATTTTAAGACTGAATTGAGTCAGTCTGATATGTTTGATCAGGTATTTTCCAGTTATTTATTTGATTTTTTTTAATTTTTGACTCGTCCATTTTTGGTACTTCAGCGCCTTCAAGCAAAAATGATCAAAACTGTTGATGTTTCATATGGCGGAGAGAATGGATTTAACCAAGCCATAGAATTGGCTGCTGATGCTTTGGGTAATGTGAAATTTATTCAAGAAAAGAAGCTCATTAATGGATATTTTGATGAAATATCTCAAGTATTTTTTACGATTTGTATGATTTCCATTTACCAAATTGTAGCGACATGAATGGCTGAACTAATCGTTTTATATTTGGAATCTGTATCTGTAGTTAAAAAATTGAGAAAATTGATAGCTACCTAAGAATAAAACATGTCATTTTAGGACACGGGGAAATACGTATTTGGCGTTAACGATACCTTACAAGCACTCGAAATGGGGGCAGTTGAAACGCTGATATGTTGGGAAAATCTAGATATTATACGATACGAATTGAAAAATCCCGTTACAGATGGTTATTCTTTCTCATAGCTGCTGATAAGATTTTGTTTTTGATTCATAATTTTTCTGTAGATTTCTTAATTATTTGGCCATATTTTTTGAAAATGTTTTTCCAGAGAAAAAGATATTACATTTACGGTCGGATCAAGAAAGAAACAAAGAACTTTTTCGAGATCAAGCAGTTCGTATTTATATATATTTTATATATATATATATATTCGTTGAAAAATTTACAAATTATAATTGGTAACCATTACTTAGTCAGCAATTCGTCCATTATGGAAAATTTGCGTTACAGTAATGGGAAAACATTGTCCAAAGAAGCATGCAATATTGTTTGCTTTATCAGTGTTTGATAAACTGTAACACATTGTATGCTTAACTGCATGCGGACATAGCGACAATGAGAGTTGGTTTCTGCATTTTGCGGCAAATCATAGTGAAGTCGCTGACATTTATTTTTAATTAATATGATTCGTTAATGGACCAAATAGAGGACTTTTTTAGACGGGAGTAGAAATGGAATTGGTTGAGTCGATACAGTTATTGGAATGGTTAGCAAATAATTACAAAGACTTTGGCGCAGCACTAGAGATCGTAACTGATCGTTCGCAAGAAGGGGCTCAGTTCGTCCGTGGTTTTGGTGGCATTGGTGGTGAGTAATAATTTATTTGTATCATTTGTTAATTTTTTATTTGTTATCGATTTCATTAATTTTTTATTTGTGGAGGTGGAGGATGTCCAGCAGCTTTTTTGAATTCTGCTACTCGGATGATTTTAGTTCTTTATTTTTATTGTATTGTACTATATTTAGGTTTATTACGATATCGAGTAGATTTCCAATTTTCTGACCTAAATGAAGGCATTGACGAAGTCGATCTTAATGAATATTGACTATGCTCGGTGGCTAGCTGCGATTTTTTATGTATGGAATTTTATTTTTTTCTAGTTGCAAGTCTGTTCTTTTTTTTCAAAGTTTTCTATATTCGAATCTCATTTCAGTCTTTTCTTTTTCATATGAGTATTTCATTTTTCATTTGCAGATCATTTTTGCTACTATCTTATAAATGCTCTTTATTGTCCAATACTGTTGAGTATATTTATATTCATTGATCTGCTAAAGTTCTGTTTTCGGTTCATCTTTGTTTTCGCATATCTATACCGTTCATTTCCGAAACTATCCTTAAAAGTATTATGTCACCTTTTTCTCTACAAAATCCAATATAAAGAATCGTGGCAGCCACCGATTGCATTTAAGCTTGAGTTGGGTAAGTTTTTTCTTTGATGAACAATTAAATTTTGTTGGCTGAATATATTTAATTTATTTAATTTAATTTATTTTTAAAAAATTCAGCTCCTTTTTCTAATTTTGCGATGGTTCACAATAATCCATTTGTTAAAAAATAATTTTTATCAGATATTTTGCAGTTAGTCCAGCATTCATAATGGATGACGATGAGAGATACAGGGATTGGTATTCTTCGAAATCATACCACCATTGTTATACTGGTATCAGTGTCATAATACGCACAAATGTTGACTTGAATATCCCTTTTATCTCAAAGTATGAAAATTGTGTTTCATTTGCACGATTTTTGAATATGGCTTTCGAATTATATTTTTTCTTCGATTCCTTTTGGATTCTTTTAAATGAATTTGCCACAGGTAAATTTCTCATTTCTTTTTTTTCAGTTTGTGTTGGAAAATGTGAAAATGTGAAAATAGATTAATAATATTTGAAAGTAGTGGAATGATGCTCGGTTGCTACGCGTTACTTATTTTGAAATGACCTTGATCCGGCTGCTTTATCAGGGCTGTAAATAAGGACTGATCACAGTCAAACTTGGGTAATTAAACCAATTAATATATAGGCAGAAAAAACAAAGTTCGACTAAATCAAAGAGACTAAGGGGCAAAAACAAAAAAGAATGAAAGGATAAGGGATAAAATAACAATGAATGCTTGAGTACATTAAATATTGGGACCTAACCGTTCTTAGATGGCGCCTAAATAAGGGAAGAAGAACGATTTTCTTAAGCTGATTGTATAATTTATTGTGTAAATTGTCATTTATTTTTTTTTTACATAAAAAATGCAATAAACAAAGAATCGATTATATTATGAAAGTTTTTTTTGGTGGATCGAGGCCACCGGTTTGAATTATTGTCTTTAGAAAAGGGTATCGCATTTCGCGACAAGAGTAATTCATTTAGCTACAATATTCACACAAATTTTCATATATTTCTTTGTTTATGGGTAGTTTTATTTCAATTGACAAAATGTTTATTTTTAGACTTATCCGCGTGTTTCGTTGGTTGTGGTTAGTTTTTGTACTGGATACATATTTGTGATCCATTTTTTTTTAATTTCATAGAGTTTGCAGACTAAAATCGCATTTATTTTATGACGTATCCGGTTATCATTTTAATGATCTTTGATAATTTTATTATTACTATATTTGTCTTATAAATACTGGCCTGCTTGTTTTGTTTAATCGCAGTCTAAATTTGTTTCTCTTCTTTTTCATTAATGTGAGAAAATATTAAACAAATTTTTTTTTCTTCAGAGTAAGATATATTTATGTAATTGCTATATTGATAAATGTGGCCTCCGATAAGAACTTATCCAATATCTGCGAAGTTTTTTGAACATTTGAAGTTTTCAATATTCTTCCTAGTCTTCGTTAAAAGTATTAATTCCTTCATCAGATTTACAAAATGCTATTTCTTTTTGATAGGCATTCTACCGGTAGAGTCTTTTGTATTGGCTGCTCAGAAATATCGGCAGCGTGCAAAATCATACTGTTTTGTATTCAGTGTGATATATTCTAGCAAGTTTGTCGGAGGCTGCGATATTTTTTTAACATGGCTTTTGGTCTCGGTATTCTTAAAATCTGTGGACCCCAGTCCTGTTCTGACAACAGTTCACGTTCACCGGTGCAGTCGTTTTAAATCTTTTTCTGTGGTCTTAACTCCACCTTGCGTGGTTGTGGTGCTTTGGCATTGTCGTTCTCTCCATTTTATTTATTAAAGGCTTGTTAAAATTTGCAGTCCATTTTTGGTGAGGCTGAAGGTAGAAATTCTGAAAAAGCCATGCAAGAGCCATGTTGTGTATGTACATCGGAGAAGTGGAGAAAGGTGTAGCGAAATTTCGAAAGTAAGTGTAAGATTTTGAAGGGATATTAAAGGAATGCAACGGATTTTGAACAAATACGAAGTGGTATGCCAACATTTTTTATAATTTTTTTTGTTTATAAGTGCGCTTATCCAGAAAAAGTTCATTTATTCTCTGCGCTTTTAGAATTTGCCCAATTTTCTCAAAATTCTCCCCAACCCAATACCTGTTAATTCAGTCAGCGATCTCCTAAGGTCGATTATTTCCTTTTAGAATTCGTTCCATGCCCAAATTTCCACTTCATCCGTACCTATAATTCATATTCAACCTCGACCCATAAATGAAATCAAATACTGCATTATTGTCCTAATGACTCTTTTTTTTAAAGAGTCATCACTATCACTGGTTAAACTCGCTCAGCTGGCTTGTCGTATTGGACAAATATGCCAGGGATTCCCTCGGAAATACAGGTAAGTCGCCAGTATCACCTGAATTTTCAGACAGGTTTACTACTGCGGAGGAATAGAACCTCAGCATCGGCGCTCCGAATTGAGCAGCAGCCCACCCTATCCCTAATTTCTTCAGAACCTGTTGTACTTGGAGTTTGAGTTATTGTTGCACAGATTGACCATAAAAGTTCGTATCCTGTTTCAGACAGGAATAAACCTTTAAAAAGCCATTAAAAAATTATGGGTGATAGATATTTCTTCTACTTCTATTCCTGAGCAACTCCTTGGCAAAATTCCCTATGGAACTAATAGCTGATAAAGCTAACCTAACCAGAAACAGTGCTAATGGCTTATTCACTTGTATTTCCCATTAATATTCCAGAAAAGTGCGTGTGTTCGCGCTTTATTCTATCAATCCTCGCCAGGGCCCTACCTTCTTAGTGCCATTGTATTCTTTATATAATCTTAATTTTTTAACCTTAGTTAAAAATCGCTTAAAATCTACTTCGACGCTCCACGCTCCTCAAAACCTCCTTAATCTTCATTATCTAATCAAAATTCACTTTACTCTTTTGTTACAAACCGTCAGCGACAGACCATTAATCCATTAAATTTTCTTATACTGTATTGGACCCGTGAGACGCCCTTCTATGGTACCGTAACACGCAGCTAAAATCGGCTATGACCTTTTTTATAACCAACTTCTCTAGAAATAATAGCTAGCCTGTAATAATGCTTATAAATCCTGGCTGGTAGTACTGAAGCCTCTTAACTCCTCTGTTAATGCCTGTTATATTCTGCAGAATACTCCAAATTCAATTGCGCTCCTAATATCCTTAAAATTCCCCTCATGCTCATTTGCTATATTAGTGCCATTATTTTAAACGTTTTTCAAACATTTTTTATTGCTTTGGTCTTCCCAAACTCAATGCTACGCAGCCCCATTCATTTGATATTTCTTTGCAATGAACTTTCGCCAGAGTCAAACAAATTTATAAGAGGTTTAGTAAAGGCGATTGAGTATGACGAGAATTTGAGGCTGCCAAGGGAAAATTATAGGGATTTGGCGGATGTAAAACAATCCTGCATATCCGTAAAACAGTCATTTCACTAGTACGGAATAAATAAAAAGTTGCAAGTTGCTTGATTGATTTTATTGGCCGTAATTTCATAACATTCTGGCAAAAAATTTACACTTTGAAAAGCCTTAAATTAAGTGATAATGAATTAATTTATCAGACCGAACTGATTTTATAGTGTCGTAATTGTTTGATAACTGATATCTTCTTGTGGTATCGTCTTTTAGTATTTATAAGCAAACTGCACGCAGAAATAATTTTTTTTTTTTAATAACTTGATTGATATGCTGATAACAGTTATTTATGCAAAGTTTTAATGCCATAAATAATGCGAATAGAAAAATGAATTTAAAAAAAAAACGAATCACAATGATATCGAATATTTCGATGATGGAATTTAATATTCAACGATAAATTATGAAAAATTTGATAAAATTTATCTCATTTCATTTGTAAAAAATATAAGGAAATTTTGCAAAATAAAAAGTCGAGAAATTAGCGGGTATTACTTGAATGCCGCACAACCCGTGCAATCATCATATTTCATAATAAAATCTAATTTTCAACAAAATTTAATTATCAATAAAAGAGGTATACTCGTTGAATAATTGCATAGATAATTGCCGCATAAAAAATCACCGCCGTTTTCCATTCGAAGAAAAAAGATATTGCAATTGCGGTGGAATCGTTGGAAATAAATTATCCGGTGGTCCATAGTTCTTGGCTATTTTCACAATCTAAATGTGGCCAAATAATAATGATGAAAATTTTTGAAGATTTTTTTCTTTTTTCCTTTTTTTTCTAAATTTTAAAATAAAAATTAAAAATGAGTAGTGAATGAATGAATGAAATTATGCATTCGATACGATCCAGTTGAGGCAAACTTGAGAAACTTAAATCAAACGAGAAATGGAGTAAATGGAACTTGAAATAAACGAATTAACAAATTTTGATAGATTTTCAAATAAGTATTATGGCTTCTAGGAAGTATTACTAGGAAGTTTATTCTCTCCCAAATGTTAGCCAACCTGCTATGTCGAAATTCGTTGGAATTAGTTGGCAACAGTCAGCACTTTTTTTTAATCGGCTAGCTTGTACCTCTGGACATGATGCCAGGGAGACTCTTTGCGATAAAAATATAGTCCCCACCATTATTCAAATTTTTGAAGACTCCTGCAGAGAGCAGCATCTACGCACTGAAATGAGCAACAATCCCTTGAACTATCCTACTCCATAACGGGTGATGTTGGCGACTCACCTGTATTTCTGTCGCCAAGGGACTGATTGGCATATTGCTCATTGTGACAACCCAGTGGAGCGAGTTTCACCAGTAATGGTGACGACTCTTTAAAAAAAAAAAATGCAATTCTTAATCGTATGGCCGCTGATATTGAAAAGAACTATGAAATGATTTGAGCAACTTTGCAGGACATCTGATTTTATAGGAAATCCGACGATAATTTGCTAATCACCCTTACGGTTTTTTTCTACAACTGATGAAATCCCTTATCCAATCACGCATATTCATTTAGTCAAAATCAATTTAGAATGGAAACCATCGAAAACAACGAGATAAGCACAATTTTTTCCATCGAGCATTCTTGTTCATCATTTTAGATGGTCCAAATTTTAAATGGTAAAAGATCGCCATTGGACAAAACTATGATATTACCATACCGAAATCAAGAAGTATAAAATCCTACAAGGCCGAGGGTTTTGATTTATAATCGCCTTTCAGTAAAGAGATATGGTAAAGGCTGTTTTGCTTAATAGTAGATCAATGACCGTGTTTAACGCGACACCTTAAATGACTTTTTACAAATTTTTATACAAAATTTATGGAAGAAAATCGAGAATCCGAGAAATGGAGGAGGATAAGTTGGAAGGTCACAGAATTATGTTTTTCTTAATTTGGTGAAATTGAAACCAACCAAAAGAACGAAAAAACCTAAAAATTAAAGCGCAAAAGAATGAATTTTTATGAAAATTTTTAAAGGACCAATCGAGAATGAATCAGGTGAAAAAATAATCAACAACTGGATTCTTTTTTTCCATATTACACGCACATATTCAGATGGAATAAGAAACAAATTCACCAGCACTAATACGATTAACGTTTCCAAATACTTGAAGTTATTAAATTATTAGCAATCGTTAGTATATTCTTTTAATCAGAAAAAAACGAAAAGAAATTTATCTTTATAATAAAAGAGATTTTTAATTTTCCAACTTAATTTCAGATGCTATGTTAGTCAGCGATAAAAGGCTTAATAGCTGTTATAGCATAAAAACTTTTTGCTAAATCCTCTCTCTCGCATCGGCAACAGAATCGCCCGATAGAGAAATAGTTATTAGTGATAATTTTTCAGATAAGATAGGTTTCAGCGGGTGAATTTTGAAATTTCTAAAATTCTTTGGCTTAATCTATTCTTTCATGTTGTAGCAATTTTTTTGCAATCTTCTGTCTTTTGCAAACTGCAAAGGATTCAAAGCTTCGCTAATGAAGACTCCTGGAAGAGATTTCTTAGCACGAGGAATAAAAAATGGTGCTTTGAAGCTAAGGAGTAATATTCAAGCGACTTATAAAACATGCGGAGTTTGTGGCAATACGCTTGCCATAGCGAAATTTTTCTCATTTTTACTATATCACGAAAAATTCTAGCAACTTGTATCGAAATTTTGATCAGAAATAAGCATCTCTCCTTACCTTCGGTATCTTTTTTTAAAGAATATTGGCCTCATAAGAAGTTTCCTTTACCTTTCTCACTTAATATCCAGCTACATCAAATTATATTCTCAATGAGTTCATTACGAATGTAAAACGAATACGAAAATTTTTAGTTGAACCATTTTTTGGGCAAATTTTCTAGGATATTCTACAAACCTGTTCTTTAAGAGCATCCAAGGCACCTCCGGTATTTGCCCATCGTTGAATCCTTTGTAAATTGTCAATTCCAATCGCTCGATCGATATGTCCAAGCAATTTAGCTTGACTATCTAGTTTTTGACTGCCAAGTGCAACCTGCATGAAATTATATATGTGATGGCATATCGTGATTCTTCGGAAATATTTAAATTTTAACGAATAATGATTTTTGAACAATTGCGATAAATTACCTCTAAAATATCAATAGCAGCCGCCTCAATAGGTGTTCCTTGTTCAAAATGAGTTATTGCCTGATTGAAACCCAAATCAGCTTTTTGAAGTATATTGAATAATGCAGACGGTTTCAACTATAACGAAATCCTTGTAAGCCAAAAAAAAAAAATTTACATGAAATACGAATAAAGAATTTTTTTATTATTCCGATTTACATCAAAAGCCAGGAATATTTAATGTTTCGCTATCACACACAGCAATCAAAGTTAATTTTTAACTAAACTCGATTTAAATACTTTCAAATAATATAAAATATGACTCGTATGATCTTTTTTTTTCCTCCAATGCTGTCTAAATTGAATAAAATAAATAACCGTAGTAGGTGGATTGGCGGTAGTTTCACTTATCCAATAAGGAGGTATTCCTGCTGCACTACCACCAATACTGACAGCTGGAACAGGTGGTGGAATTGCAACACCGGGGAAAATAGGAGGTCCATAACCATCACCAGTAGGTCCTTTACGATTTGGTGTTAGAGCTGTTTCCCCGGTGAATATGGAATCATCAATGTTGGATCCTAGAAATAATTTCCTTATTTGAAAAATTTATTACACTATATTTATTATAATGAAAATTATTATTATCTTTTTTTCATTAGAATGCAAGTATTAATCACAAAATAACCTTTAACTCTACGATCCACGGTCTGATCTGTAAAAATCCTGAAATCAGGCAAGGCGACATTCGCCTGATTAGTTCCAAATCCATTTTGAAACTCTGGTGGTGGTGCAACTGAACGAAGGCCAGAGTTTTGCGGTATTATGATGTTATCTATATTGACATTAGATATCTCTGAACTAGCAGTTGAAGCCAAATCAGCAAAGTTAGTTTTATCATCGTACTGCCTAAAGTAGAATTGGTCAGCTGAGTAGAGAAATCTATGAAAAATAAAGATTTCCTTCAGCCAATCCTTTTTTACCTTATAAATTTTTTATCCAAATCCAAATTGTTATGTGAAATGCGCTCATTTTGACGACTAGTTTTTCTTACAGCAAAATGTTCGTTTAAACTGAAATTTTCGCTAGTATTTTCCGTTTCGTCAAATATCGACGTCTCCGTGGCGAAAAGCAATTTTCGATGGTCATCCGCATGCGACTGTTTTTGATAACTCCTTATATCTAAAAAATGATCGATGAATTCGAAAAAATTTCAATCCGATATTACTAACTATCGACGAAAAATTTAACTGATTTTTTTATCGTAAAAGATTTGTTCTAAATACCATTTTCTCCATTTTCAACACTGATATGATTTTTCGGACTACTCGAAGAAGCCAAATAAGGCGATTCAGTCGCTTCAACAACATTTCCTACGTAATCTCCTCGAAACAAATAAGATTCACCTAAAATTTTCCATGCAAATTTCTATGTAATCATAGAAAATTGTTTTTTATTTTTTGACAAAAAAAATCTGAAAATCAAATGGACGATGCGAATTTGTTTTAAAATATTAAAAAAAAAAAAAGTGAAACAGGAAATTATCTAAAGTGGTATTTAAAAATTAGTTTATTTTTATTTTTTAATAAGAAAATTTTAAAAAGGATAAGTTTTGAAAGAAGAATACAATATAATAAAAATGAACCAGGTCTACGAATTCGAAGTCGTGGGTGATTGCTGATTTTTTGATTGAATTTGTATTTTTTAATAGGGGAACCAGTTCGATGATGATAATCCATTAATGGAGTGCTAGTCAATAAATTTTCTGTCATTAGGTAATATTCAGAGTTAAAATTGTCAGATTGAGGTTGCAAATAAATAGTATTTGTAGTTTCAAGCGATGAATCAGTGTTCCATTGGCTTTCATAAGAACCATTTTCTACTGAAATATAAAAAATTAGATAATATTGAATTAAAGAATTATGGTTAATAAATAAAACATGAAATTATTTAAAGAGAATATGTGATACCTTCATCAAAGCCTGATTTCGTATTTTTGATGCTAGTTTTGTATTCTTCTTCCACTAGTGAACTATGAGCACCATTCACAAATTGTAGTTCATTAATTGCTGGAAATACTCGATTTTTTGGTCTACTTTTTTTCATTTCTGATCTCCTACGGACGACTTCCTGCAATTTTGTAATTTTCATAACGCATAATCCTATAGAGTAGAGTATGTTTTATAGCATTTCTATAACAAACAATATGAAAATGTAAGGAAATGAGTTTACCGTTATAGCTCTGCTTGAAATAGGAGGTTTATTTATAGCTTCCTGAGCGAAACGCTTCGACGGCGGCTCTAGCTTCAGTAATACAGGATATAAGCTTTCCAAATTTCGCTTTAGCATTTCTGTTGCAGATGGACTGAATTTTTTGCCTCGTAAATCTTTCTTAAAATTTGCCACGATTTTACACAATTTTAGAAGAAAACTGCATGAAATAGTAAAAATATAAAAAAAAATGAAGGAACAAATATAATATGGTAACTGTGAATCGTAAACGAAACCTTGGATTTATCCCTTTCTTGTGGGGGAGACCCCTCATAAGCTTTTTCAAGATCTTCCAGTACAATGCTTCTAAAGTTGCCAGCAGACACTGGCGATAAAGGCTGTTCGTCATTGCCATACCTATAACAATGGAATTTCTAGATGAAAGAATGATTCAGATCGTGAATGCACCAAAATTTATCAAAACATTTTCGGTGATACTTAAATGAGTTGGAGCAGAGATCTCTAGCTGAAACCAGTTTTTTTTAAAATTTTTTCCCCGAAACATCAGCCAATCCCAACTGCGACATCTCATTTACAGTGATGCTATCCTCACTTTTTTATGATCTGTAATTGCGACGATGACAAAAGTGCGGTCTGAGGCTCAACCGGACCTAACAAAGTGAGAATGCACGAAAAACTTGAAATGATTTTATTAATGGATTACGATAAAAGAAAACAATGAAGTTTTGGCGTGTTAAGTAGATATTTGACAAAGTTTGTGGAAGTTTTTCACAAGATATGACAGGTTTTGGAGATAGTGAAAAGGTAGATAGTGAATACGGCGAACAGTGGATCGAAAATTTGCAAATATTTGATTTTTAGAATTATTAATGCATTATATCAGAAAGGCGCATACATACTAAATTAAGAGGACCATATTAGAGGGTGACAGAATTTAACAAAATACACAACCTTTATGAGATGTTATTAATTTGTTTTAACAAAAAAATATTAGGGATTCGTTAAGAGTGATTAGTGGGTGGGGGAGGGAGGGTTGAGAGAGTGAATGATAACAACAGGTTCTGAAGAAATGGTCCATAGGCTATCTGCCTAAGGAACTGAGACCGATGATATTAGCTATTTACCTTTTGTTGCCAAATGGCAAAATTTGTCTGGAGAGATCAATGAAGCAAGCCTAACTGGGAATAATGAAAACTTAGAAATTCTCACTTAGAGGACAAGCAAGCTTAAGATAATATTACTGATATTAAATGGGTCAGTTGAATACACCATGGTTTAATAGAGCATTGGCAAGGTTCTGAGGGGCATCAACGAAATATAAACAGGTCCGGAAAGAGTTATTAGGAGTTATGACAGGGTTTGCGAGATTTGAAAGGTTACGTGGAATCTAAGAAGACTTATTAGTTGGATTTAAAAAAAATGAAGCGATTAACAAAATCCTGACAAAATTAGACAAATTTCGGTAGAAACAAATAAATTTTCAGGACACACATATTAGACTTTCAAGATGAGTCGACTTCAAATAGACTAAGGTTTCTTTCCCAATCGTATTTTATCACTTATCCACTTACTCTTTCAACAAATTTAAGAAATGTTTCCACTTACTCTTCGACAACAACGAGATCTTCAAGATCTATTGAACGATATTTGAAAATTTATCCCGCATCAATAATCATTTTAATTATTAATCTTTGGTTAGATTTAAAAGTTAAACTTACTGAAAATTTGCTTTGCTTTTAGCAAAAACTCCATATTTCCGTTTATTCAATGTTTGTAATTGCCTTATACCGGTAAGATGATTTTTTCCTTGATAAAAATCGCTCTGTGATGAAACAAACTAAAAATAATATATTTACCTTTTTTTATTTCTATATTTGATCTGATATTAAAAAAGAAAATTTTTAATTTTAATTTAAAATTAAAAAATTTTAATTTTAATTTTTAAAATAAATTTAAAATTTTTTTAAACGACTGATTGATTGATCGAAAGACTTTAAGAAATCGAAGATTTTTATTTTATTATTTTCGAAAATAATCACAAATAAATTTAGACGATGAGCGCTAATATCATATAAAATAAAACATAAAATATAAAACATATAAATATTCCAGGGAACTTATCAAATTAAGCATAAATAAGATATTCTAAAATTCTATAACATCTGAACGATACATTCAGACCTTAAATTAATAAAACAATATTGATAAAATGTAAATTAGCATAGATCGCATTCATATCTTAGATTATGAAAATTTGTAAAATTAGTCTCATTGCTGGAGACCTTGGAGAAATATGAGAAAAATGGGTATCTCCGGCATTCTGTTTCAATGCTTAAAATAATTCGAAAACTTTGGCTAAGGAAATGGAAGAAAAAAAAAATTTCGCGCAAACGTCCTTCGTATATAGTAACATTTACAGATAGAAGCTATCAGTAAGCAAGTAAGACCTATAAAAAATTTCAAAAATGAATATATGCGATAAAGTGTTCGTTTGGTCACGCAATTAGATTAGAATTTAATTTTAAGAGCAAATTAAATTAAAGGGATTTCACGAATCATCTATTATATATACATATAAATATTTTTTTTTATATATACATACACTCGATTTTCGCTCATTTTCTTCGATTCGCGATTTTTGCTACGTTGGTTTAACCGACATTTCAGCGAATAATGCGTAAAATTACATATTAAATTATTTATATTACTGAATGAGAAATTAATTCTTATTCACAAAAATGCACTATCATTATTATTAAACTTCAGCTTTGTCAAAAAAGAATTGTGAGAATTTACGCAACATTTAGTTGGGTTGATTAGCGTCTATGTAAAAATTTTACTAGATGTACTTTTCTGGTTATCGGTCAGATAAGGAGGTGAGGTTAGAAGGACTATTTATCATTCGTGATTTTTTAAGTTTCACCTAAGGGGCGTCGCTCCTAGACTTCTCGATGTTATGGTTCAATTAATATGTTAAACAATTGGCAAGCCTTAATGTGCCAAAGACGAAAGTAAATTGTAAAATTATAGCTATAAGAACCAAAAAAAAAAATTTCTCAAAAAAAAAATTTCTAAAAAATATGATAAAAAATTTTTATTAAAAAAAAGTGACAAAAAATTATGTTTTAAACAAAAAAATTTAGCTAAATTTTTTGGAAAACTATTGCCAAATTTTTGAAGCGATGTTCCAAAACTTTTTTTAGCGTGAATATCTTCTGATCAGCAAATTCGGTTCCTCGTTTCAGTCTAAGGCAGGATTCTGTTTTCAAACCAATTTCTCTATGAAACGTGATACTCATGTTTTTTTTTTTGAAGTGATAGATGAACAATTTAATTATCTTTAAAATCTTGATTTCAAATAAACTGACAGTGCTTTAGAAAGAAGAATGAATTGAAATGAATAATCTGAGACCTACGGCGAGGAATTTTGGTTTTTCCGGAATTGTACATGTGGTTAAGGAAATAGAGAAAAGATATTTTATTTATTCGACGAATGAAAGATATGATCTATTAAATAAAAAGAATCGCTGATAATCATCCTTTGTTTCTCAAAAATGTAACTCTTGTGAACGGAAATAAAATTCTTTCTACTAATTTACAAAGAATTAGGTCATTGCAGATTTGTTTAAATTCGTAAATGATCTTC